TGCTTAGGTCCATCAATATGAACATTCACCCTATATATAAAAGAAAGTATATAATAATAATGATAAGATGAGAATATGATATATAAATGTATTGGTGAGTTTTATCCTTTATAAAACAGAAATAATTATTAAGTAGATGTTGTGCAGAAAGTATAGAAGTGTTTTCGCGTTCTCTACTCTTTATTTGATTTAATTAACAAAATTTATTCAATATCAAAGGTTTTCGGGGTATTCAAGGTTTACGACATATCGGAGTTCGTGTGGACAAGAGTTATACATAGTTCAGTTCAGTTTTACGGGATATTGATGCTTGCAGACGTGGTTATTCTACCAAGGAACATTACCGACGATGATATATTTCACGACTAAATGAGATAGTTAGATAACAGGGCAAGCTGACGGTTCCTGATGCCTCGATAAAAGGATTTCGAGACTTACGGATCATTTCAATGAACGCCAACAAGGCGAGCGAGGTCAATAAGGTGATCAATAAATTCATAAAGGCCTTCGTCATCGGCCTGGGTGGCCACCAATAGGCATAGTTTCGCCTGAGTGGGAAGTGACGGCAGGCGTTCCACAGGGATCGATTCTCGGCCCAACATTGTGGAACATGATGTATGATGGAGTCTTACGCTTGAAACTACCGGAAGGGGTGGAAATAGTAGGCTTCGCAGACGACATAATCCTGACGATCATGGGAGACTCGCAAGAACAAGTTGAGGTCCAAGCGATAAGAGCTGTAGAGAGAGTAGAGGGATGGATGAGAAGCATGCGTCTTCAAGTGGCACATCACAAGACCGAAATGGTAGTGGTTAGCAACTGCAAACAGCACGTGACGACTTGAATCGAGTTCGGAGGAAAGGTAATAACATCATCATCATCAGAGTAGGGAGTGCACGACTGTACACTAAAGCGATTAAGAATACAGGAATATAAATTCCAACTTGTTTCGCTCCCTTTGTCTCATCACCTGAATGATGAAGGTTCCACTTAGCGTTCCACAGGATTGTATATTCCTGAATACTCTTCATTGTTCATATTTGACAAATTTATATTTTTATCAAATTTGATACAAAGAGACATTTCAGTTTATTATATCCTAGTGAAAAATTCCACTTTTAAATGAAACAGGGGCGAAGTATCTAAACTTCTGAAAACCTCAGCCCAAGTGACCACCACCGAGAATGGAACCAGGATCGTACCGATTAGTGAATCGATACGAATTCTGATACAAATCCGATGGCACAGACACTTAGGACAATGAAGCAAATTTGCCCCCAAAGGTAATAACATCGCAGAGGCAAATAAAATACCTCGGAGTGATGATAGACGACAGACTCAACTTCAACAGTCAAGTCGATTATGTGTGTGGTAGAGCAAGAGTAGCTCAATCGGCACTGGGTAGACTTATGCCAAACAGAGCAGGCCCAACAGCTAGCATAAGACGTATGTTGGCCAACATTTGTACTTCAATATTCAGGTATGAATTATTTTATTTTATTATTTACTTAGTGATGGAAGAAACAATAATATTCCAGCTGGAACAGTTGTGGACAAAAGCATTGTTCATCCATTCCAGTATCAATTTTTCCTTGCTTCTCATGCAGCCATTCAAGGTGTTACTAAACCGACAAAATATTGTATTCTTGTTAATGAGTCAAAAATACTGCCTGATGATCTTCAAGCTATTACTTATGGTGAGATTCTTTTCTTATTTCATTCATATTATTTAGATGAACTCAAACTTTATTATCGAATGCTTTATTAGATTTGTGCCATTTGTTTACAAGATGCAATCGCTCAGTTTCATATCCTGCACCGACATACTACGCACATTTAGTTGCAGCAAGAGGCAAACAGTACACAATTGGTCGTAAATTGGATAAATTAATTTTCAAGAAAATAAGCAAAATCTTCTATTATAATCAATTACATTTGAATTTTTTAAATTACCTACTTATCATTTATCATAACAAGATACATTAAATTGAAATGAAATATTTTGTCTTTCAGTTGGAAGATTTTTACTTTTTTTTTTCTTCCGACTAAAAGCCAAAATATTTCGTTTCAATTTAATCATCAACCATAAATTAAATTCTGTATTATGTAGGTTAATTTACTGACCTCCAATATTGGTTAAACTAAATTTATGTAATGTAATGTGGACGTACGTGATCTCAAATATCAAACAGTGGATAGAACGACCACATGGAAAGGTTAACTTTCATCTCACCGAGTTCCTAACCGGACACGGAGGGTATAGAGTATTCGTACAGAATCAAAAGATCCGATTCACCCAACTGTTCACATTGTGGGTAGCTGGTGAAGACTCCAGAACACGTAGTGTTCGAGTGTCCTAGGTTCTCGGTGGAAACAACCAAGATGATCCAAAAAGTCAAGAAGGACATCAACGTGGATAGTTTCATCACGGAGATGTGCAGAGACGAAACGTTTTGGAATGCTGCAATGAAGCTAATAACGAGTGTAATGGAGAAACTAGTAGAAACACAGTCTTTACTAGTCTCCGCGAGCCAACCTCAGCCATTAATTTAGGTGGTCTGAAGGGAGTTGAATTGGTTCTTTCTACTGAAGCAATACTGCATAGGTCATCCCGGTAGAAGGAGAGAAAACCATTCTCTAATGATGATACTTAAATTAAAGGCATAGTTTGGCCAGAAATTGATCGGATCGTTCCCGGGCGGCATGTGTCATTAATTGAATATTTGGGATGTCATCAAGAATGACATCCTGGTGAGCCAAGAAAAAGGCATCGACTTCAATTATAAAAAGACACGGGACAAATAACAATAAGAAAAAGAAAAGACACAATTAAAGCACTCACGGTGTATGTAATATAGGAACAAAAGTCGGTTCGGTTTTACCAGGTTTATTTCTGAAAAGATTAAAATAATAAAACCCTGATTTATACGAAATTCCCCCGTGAATCCCCTTGGGTGAATCTCTGGGGAAAATGGAAGACAAAATTCCCAGCGGAAGTAGGCAAGCTTTCACTTAAAATCTATATGCTGATGTTTTTACCTTAAGTGTCGAACTCCTATTTTTCTGTGGAGTATTGCCCACAAGTGTTCAATGGGGTTTAGATCTGGGCTTTGGGCAGGCCAATTAAATATTTTTTGCAATTTTGATGACTGCATGGGAATGGTCGACTTGAATCTAAGGGATTATTTATGGATGTATATGCCATTTTGAATGACTTATAATATCTTTTTTGTAGTAAAATTGTTCTTGGCAGAAATCACATTCAAATCTCTAGATTCTTGCGTGAATTGACTCAAGATGATACAGCAAAAAGCGTTTGAAAGCGAATGATTTTAATCAAAAAGCATATATGCTTTATATGATATTATTTGTATATATACAAATTTTCTTTCTTTTTCACCTTTCATACGGTTATGGTTTTGACAATCGCTTTTGAATTTTCTTTTAATTTTACGATTAAGTTTTTCGTTTCTGAAATCATCATTAACCTCCATGATTAATAAAACAAAGTAGAGCTATTCATGAGGATATAAATTACATGAATCGTTTTGTCTCATCAGGGTTAAGACAAGACAACTCAGCGAGGAAAATAGCGAAGAAAATCGTATACAAAATTTTGGAAGACTTTGCGACAGCAAAATGGACAACATTATGAAATTTGATATTGGTTTCGGCGGATTCATATCAATCAGGAAAATTCATGATGGTGGGAAAATAACAGCAATTGCACCCAGGAAGGTAACAGGTATGGAAATAAAAATGTCGATTAAATATTTTATTAAAGTCAATTACTAACAGATACAGACACCGACGAACGAAGAAGAAAGAAGAAATTTTGATGAGCACGACGAGAGCAAATGGAAAAAGTTCCTCGATGCAAAAAGAAACTTCAAAATGAATGAAGCAATAATTAAAGGCAATTCGAACCCGGAGCTTATTAAAGAATTTAAGCATTTTCTCTTCTTATTTTCTAAACAGATGAATTATCTATCAACGCTGAACATGACAACGAGTTTCTTAAACTCAGGGATAATAGGACGGAAATGAATTGTCTTCGGCGACCAATGAATTACAACAACAATGAACTTTATATAAAATTAATTTTTTCTTTGAAAAATGTAGAAAAAAATGAAATAAAAAATGAATTGGAAAACAATATAATTCTACATTGAAAGAAAATAAATTGGTTTTCAGTCAGGTTCATCTCTTGTGTTTTTATTATTTATTGCTACGTTTCAATTCAAGACTTTCAACAATACTGGCGAACCCTCGATCTTGAGCCAGAAGAACATGATGTAGACATCAACCTCTTCCAGTTCGAGACTGAAAGTCTTACAGCCTTTCAAGACTGACTAGCTGTAAACTTCTCAAAAAAATTTTGACAAATATTTTTGTCAGAGATCCGGCAATCTGCTCCTACGGCCTACATTTCCAAGACACTAGGGTTGACGAACTTGTTGGAAGCCATAATACCCCGACGACCCGAATACACGGCAAGCACTTTCCAGCCTTCAGCGTCTGTATCTAACAGCAAATATTTGAAGGCCGTGCCGAATACCTCCGAATGGGGCAGTATATTCATTGTGGAGCCCGCATCCACAAACTTGGACCGAACGTTTGTCCAGCTTCTCGACGACGATGTCTTGAAATTGAACATTTGAAGCATTGCTGCCCTTATCCTGCAATCAATTAAAATCTTTCTCTCTCACTCGCTCTCTGACTACTTAATATTGTCTTCGGCCTATAAGGAAAATAAAGACATTTCAAACATTTCATTTCGTTCTTGTATATTTTCCATCATTTTCCTTCGCAGAAAAAGAAATAAAAATAATTAACTTTTCATTTAATTTCCATTTCCTTTTAACGGCCCAAACTTATTTGAAATTCAACCGTTTAAGGGCCAAATTCGCAATTTCCTTCTCCTTGTCATTCAACCGTTTCAAGTCCGCAATTTCGATTCCCCTTGTCATATTTCGCAATATTTTTTGAATCTTGCTTTACGAATCGTTTTGAAATATTTACCGAATTTATTGAAGCAACCATTCTTGATCCTACCGTAGCTAAATGCGGGTTAATCAGTTAACGAGCATTTGGAAAGAATGCAGAAATCAGCTGCAGAGATCTTAAAACAGTTGTTTGACAAATAAGTCAAAGACGTTCATCTCCAAAGCGTTCAAACTGTCTACGTGCATTTAGGGCTGATTGTCTTTCAATGCCTTCTTTTTCTTTTTTCCTGTTTGACTCTTCGGTTAACAAGCTGTGCACAATTTTCAATGACAACTTGCTCGATTCCCACGTATTTAAACCAATGATTAAGCTGTCGTAATCAGAGTTGGGCAAATTGCACGCCCAACTCGATTGACTGACATTTTGACAGACATTGACTGACTGTCAAAATGTCAATATCACAATATCACAGCCATCAAAATGAAGCAGAAATTTTGCTTCGGATATTGGTCAGCCAGACAAAAAAAAACCATGTGGTTATTTATTTTTGCAGATATTCTTCAGTGATTTTATCACAACATGCGGTGATTAATCACTGAACAAATTTTTAAAATCTTGTGATTAATCACCGCATGTTGTGATATATCACTAAAATGTAAGTGATAATCACAATAGAATATAAATATTTAAAGTTTATTCTGGTGCTCATACTTACCATTAGCAAGCTTCTCGTAAATTCTTCTCTCATTTCTTGACTTGTTTTTAGCTAAAGTTATGGAAAAATATTAAAAATTATGTTAATTATATTAATAAATTGGAAATATATTCCCCTTGAGCTACAAAAAGAAATCAAATTTCATACCCTTTGTAGCTCAAGGGGAATTTATTTCCAATTTATTAATATAATTAACATAATTTTTAATATTTTTCCATGACTTTAGCTAAAAACCAGTCAAGAAATGAGAGAAGAATTTACGAGAAGCTTGCTAATGGTAAGTATGAGCACCAGAATAAACTTTAAATATTTATATTCTATTGTGATTATCACTTACATTTTAGTGATATATCACAACATGCGGTGATTAATCACTGAACAAATTTTCAAAATCTTGTGATTAATCACCGCATGTTGTGATAAAATCACTGAAGTATTACTGCAAAAATAACAACCACATGGTCTGTTTTTGTCTGCCTGTCCATTTTTATTAATGTAATGTTGTAACTTTAATTAAGCTATTTAAGGCTTCAATTAAATTTCTAAAATTAACTTGAAGTAATTATACATTGTTTCAAGTTAATTAAAAAAGGATTTAGCGTTAAAATATACACAAAATCAGTGTATATTTTTTCGCATCTTTGGACATTTTAGTTGGGAAACGTTCATATAAACGTTCCGCTCAAGTCGATTGACTGACTGACTGACATGTCAATGTCTGTCAGTCAGTCAGTCAAATCCCAACTCTGGTCGTAATCTTCATTGAGACTAGTGAGGATGAGGCTCACGACTTCTTTTCACTAATTTTCGCGCCCATTTCAGAAATTTTCTGCAGATGTTTCTGCATGGAATCGCCTGATTCAAGCTTCAGGGCGTTCAAACGACGATTTGCTCGTGTACGCGCCCACAGGTTGTTTGGAATGTGGTGTTCCAGCAATTTTATCCATGCTTGGAGTCCTCCATCCTCATCTTCAATTACATGATACTGCTCGGAGTCTATTGCTAGTACAATCAGATTTAGCGCCTTCTGATCTGAGGCAGACACCGCTGAGCTCATTGGGCCAGCTTCCAACTAGGATTTAATTGAATCCAAACAACCTTCTTTCTTAAGAACAATTTCATTTTGAAAAGCCCATGATGCATAATTCGAGTCATTTAGTTTCTCGAATTTAAATGCGTCTCCGTAGGACATCTGAAATGAGAATTGATGATCACTTTTAGAATTTCACTTTTACTATTTAACGCTTTCCCTGGCCTTCACTTGAGGGCCCATAACCTGTTGAAGGTCGGGAGATTTAATAAAACACTTGAACTTACTTTTTATTTATTAAATGATATTTATTTCAGTTGAAATATATTAGTGAAGGGATCATTTGATTTGTATCCCTTTTTATATGCTAAAAAGGGTATAAATTGTCAGGGGTAGAATAAAATAACTGAGTGTCGAATTAATTATTCTTGAACATATTCTTAAAGGTAAATATTAAAAATAATTTATTTCAACAGATAACACTGAAGAAATATCTACAGCTGAAAAAATTCCAGATAAGGCAATAATACTTATTTTGGGGCATAAAAATATAAACTTTAAATTTTTACTGCATTTAGTCACTTAAAAAAAACACGCTTGGAGCTTATTCAAAGTACGGACCACTTCGCATGCAACTGCCATTGAAAAAGAAATAAATCGCTATCTTTAGCAAGCTCAAGTAATGTTATGGGAAGAAGATTTAGAAGAATTTTGGAATTTTTTTTCCTTTTATCCTAAATTATTTAAATTATCTATATCGAACTCTTGAAAGCGTAAGTATGAAAAGCTGCGTGTTTTTTAACACTTTTTTTATGTCTTCGCGTGTTTCGCAGGCATTTTTGTGGCATGAAAAGTGATACCTCTTTGCATAAGCTAAAATAAAGAATGAAATTCCTCGGGGAATTTCGTTTTCCATTTTCCCCAGGGATTTCCCCATGGGGATTCACAGGAGATTTTCGAGTTAATCTCCGTTACCCTGTTTCTCTCACTTTCTGTTTCTCTTTTGTTCTTTCTGTATATATACATAAGAAGTGTTCAAGTTTCTGCGAAATAAAGGAATTGTTCCGAACAAAGGTCATGACAGATTTAAAAAGCAAGCATAAGAAATGCAGTGGAACAAATTTGGTCAGACGCACGAATGATGGAATGCTGATTCTATTTTTGTCAAGCAATTAGACGAAATGCAAAAGAAAAACCTGGCCCACTTTATTCAACACAAACAGATTTAAACGAAGCACAAATACGCACAATACGTCTGTTTGGAATATTTCAGCAACTTTCTTTACTTCCAACGGATCGTATAGAGATCGGTTTAATGGAAATCATAGAGCTTCAAAAACGAGTACGCATGAATTTTTTTTTTGTTTTTATTACAATTGAGATAGCGTTTACATCATTGAATTCATATGAACTTCATCGCATATAGGGTCTCTGAGGGATCCCTCCCTAAGGGAAAAAACCAAGGGATTTTTAATGAAAATCCCTTTTCTCTGTTTCCCTGCTTTTTTCACAAGGGATCCCTTGTGAAATTTCCTAGAGAAATTTTGAACTTTTCAAAAATGAAAAAGTACGCTAAAAGTGTTATAAAAGTTGGAAAATGAAGTCGTGGCTATGGAAACATTTTTTAAAAATTAATACTGATTTGGCACGGTGCCAAAAGTGCCAAAAAGTGTTAAAAAGAAGCGGTGGAACCAAAGGTCTTGTGCTACATTTAGAAAAAATTCACCGAATTGTAAAGAAGCCTGTTGATGAAAGCGCGGAAGAAAAGAAGGAAGTTGAAAAACCAAAAATATCCTGTTCACTTCAACAAAAAAGCATGACTGATTTTTTGAAATTTCAGTCAATTGAAGAAACAGTTTCAAGACTTGCTGCAGAATCAGGACTATCATTCCCGTGATGTCAAATAATTTTATTTAGAACATTTCTGTTTACATTTCAAGACAACAATTTAATATTTACTCATCTCAATTTTGAAACTCCAATCAAACAAGACAAGATAATACGAATTGCGGCTATTGTCTATCGAATGGAAGTTTAATAGTTACACTTGCAAATGTTTCCACTCGAACTTGGAGAATTTTCTTTTTACAAATTGAAGTCGATAAAATAAATATGTAGATAACATTAAGTTGAGAGCTTTTGAAAAGAGAACTCTTTTTTTCAAGAAAATTCATGTGAATGATTTCAAATGTGATTGGTGTTTAACTCGAACACGCTGCAAGCGTACACTTCAATTCATTCTCATTATGCAAGAAATGATTTGCGCAAAAATAAGAAGAAATATTTCCATTTGAATCCATGACAAAATTAATTGATATCCCTTTCTACAGGAAATTATTGATGTACTTGAACCAGCACGAGTTGCAACGGAGTCACTCTCTCGTGGAAGTATTAACATCCTGACAGGAGAAGGAATAATTAAATTTTTACTCGCTGAAACTAAAAATAAATCATCACCCCTTGCTACCGAATTTTATGACATTCTTGTTCAAAGAATCAACAGCAGAAGAAACTCAAGATTGTTGAGCTCAGAGTTGGGATTTGACTGACTGACTGACAGACATTGACTTGTCAGTCTGTCAGTCAAACGACTTGAGCGGAACATTTATATGAACGTTTCCCAACAAACGAATATTTTTGTTCGCGATTTTGACTGACTGACTGACTGACTGACAGACATTGACATGTCAGTCAGTCAGTCAATCGAGTTGAACGGAACATTTGCCCATCTCTGGTTGAGCTTGATTTTGTACCTCAATAATCCAAAAACTTTCAACAAAACTTATTTCCACAATTTGATAATTGAAACAAAAGCTTCGACAGTAAAATATGGAATCGAATTAATCAAACGGATTTTCCCCGACAAGAGAAATGTGGTTGATAGCTCAGACTCTGAAGTTGAAGAAGATGTGAGTTCTTATTCGCTTGAAAAGCGTTTGAAAATATCAGTTGAGTCTTTCAAAAAGCCAGGTGAACCAGCAGGGGCAGGAGATAGTCTAAAGAGAGACTTCCAGTTCTTTGACCGCCACGAACAGAGAACTCCCACTTTAGAAAAATTGTTTGCTGCTTTATGTACCATCCCACCGACATCAACACAGTCGGAATGAAAATTTCCATTGGAATCAGGTTTTGTAACAAAAATAAGAACAAGACTTTCAGATGCTTTGTGTTTATTGAAAAGTTTCTTTTTAACAAACAAATAAAATAAAACTTTCGACACATTAAAAAATCCCTTTTCCCTCTTTCCTGCTTTTCCGAAAACCAGGGATTTTCAGAGACTCTAATCGCATATATAAGACAATATTAATACAAGATTTTTCTTTCTAAAAAATTTAATGTTATTTGAACTTTCCAAGCAGCTTACTTGGTCCGATAATTTTGAAGAAACAAGAAAGACTAAAAAACAAAGTTAATCAAATGAACGATACATAGTTGAATGCTTTAGCTTTTATTGAAAAATTTCAAGCTTTGCAGCTTCAGCAATAAAAATTTGTTTATGTTTTCCTTTCGTAATTAGGTATTTAGAAAACTACGAAAATCTTCGATTCGTAATTTTAAAAAATTATAAATTAATCATATCTCTGCTTTTTTCCATGTAAAAGATTTATTTAACTTCAACCTAATGATTGAAACCTGTTTTTTTTTTGTGTGAGAAAATTGCAAATCTTTTTTAATTTTCTACACCGAAACGATAATAGTCTTTTTTTTCCTGTAAGCTTGTAATGTGAAAATGAAACAAGTATAAATAGCAACAAGCACATCTCTACAGCCTGAAGAACAAACGAACACCACAGACAATAAATCTCCATGACGAATAAATCCAATTCCATCAGCAATCTTAAAGAAAACATCTCAAATAATCCTTATCTAATATTTTTCAATTTACTTACTTTCACGCGGTTGGTTATTGTGAAAAACATTTTCCAGTTGAAGATTGTTCGTATTGCATTTAAGATGCTTGTCGTAAAATTGCTTCTCATCTTTGCTATTGTTCAATGCAGTTCTTTGAATATTTTCTTAAGTAAATTGGATAATTTACTTGACTTCTGTTTAATGAATCAAAATAGTGTAGATTCTGGCACTGTTTTAGGCATTTCTTTCGCCAAGGTTATTCTTTTGAAAACAGACAACGAAGCGGAAATTCAAGGTTTGATAAATAAGTGTGAATCCATCGTTGAGAATTATTATTTGTCTACTTACACAACTTCCAGTAGATCTGACGTCATCGGTAATTATCTTTAATGTTCATTAAAGTTAAAATTGCTCTGTGATTGTTAAGTTCCCTTTTTTTAGTTAAAACGATTATTAGATCATCAAATCATCTTTTAAGATTTCCGTTGGGGCATGCAGCGAATTTTAAACGACGCAACGCTTTCAAGTCTTTGGAAGAGTATTTGAAGCTCTCAAATGATGTTCAAAATCAGCCTAATGGTGATCAATCAGATGCATGCTTGTTAGAGACGTTAAAAGGTTGTGCAATATCAAACGAGTGTCGTCGAATTGAAAATTATCGAAGGAAATCATTTAATTATTCATTGACCCACAAGTAAACTTTCTTTATTATTCTCAATGAGATTAAATGATGGAAATTATCTCATCCGTTTTATTTAGATTAATTTTCCACCTTTTCAATCATCTCATTTGTAAAGCTGACAACTTTGATAATATTTCGCATAAACTTTGTTCGGACATTTATCAGGAATTAAATTTTATGGTTGATAAAGTTTCAGACGTTCGTGAACTTAAAGATTTGATGATGGAACAAATATTTTTATGCGGCTTCTCTGGATTTAATGACTTTTTGAAGAATGATTGGATTAAATCAATAATCATGTGGCAGTTTAATTTGGGATGTTTTTCTTATGACAACTTCAACTGCTCAAGTCATATGACTGGAGTTGGTGCTGCTAACTTGGCGCTTTTTGGGGCAGTTTTACATGAAGGAAATTCTGTAAACTTTGAAAATAACTTCCAAGTTAAAACGAAGAAATTTTAAGTTAAAAGAATGTCAGTTTTATTATCTTATCTATCATGAAAATTTTTGGCACAATTGGAATGAAATTAAAATTAATTAAAAATAACAGAAATAAAATTTCATCTCTGCTTAAATTCTATGATCTTGTCGTAGTTTTCTCACATTTTCCGAGAAGTGAAATTCCATTGCTCACGAACTTTTCAGTTATCAGTGGTGAAATTTCTGGTACTCCACTGATGTCAAGTGAATCATCTTTGATACTTTTATCTAAATCTCTTACTTTGCTATGCTTCTTGTAGCACTTGCGAGTGAAGTAATCTTTAATAGGCAAGAATACGATCTGAATGATTCCCACAAAGATTAAGACAAATCCCATCACTTGTCCAACTTGTGGTAAATTCAAAATCATTCTCACTTCAGATGCAATGTCGTCACTCATTTTCACGTGCTGCTCGAACCACAAAATTGGCATAAATTTCTTCTGAACCCTCTGATAAATTGTTATAGTTGGAATTGGTTCAACAAGAATATTTATCTGAAATCTTGCTGCTACTTCTAGTGGAATTGCTGTTTTCTTTTAATTTGTTTAAATGATTTTTCATTGATAAAAATAAGTTAATTAATTGTTTCGATACTTACAGGTTCAAATGACATGAAGAACTGATGTTTGTCTTTTTCAGGTTTCATACCTTCAATTTGATCATGATAAAATGGGTCAGCATTGTAGAAATGAGGGAATGACATAAACACTGGCGTTCCATAACGACATGCAGAAATATTAAAAACTCCTGAAGGGACACATTCACCCCCGCAGTAACATTCATTTTCAGGATATAAAGTTCCATTATCAACAGCCCGATCACCGCCACTAAACTTTAATGTTTTCACATCTTTAATTATTTGTTCTTCTTCAAACTCCATCAAAACACTTCGACACATTTCAGGTGAGAACAGTTCCATTGTCTGATTTTGAGTAATAAAAGGTGGAAAGAAGTCACCGGAAGATCCCGAAAGTTTCCTACATTCTCCTTGGAAGTAATTTGTTTCCGACTTGTAATTCCATGTTCGTAAATTTCCAATTCCTTTAACATCATCAACACCTGTATTAGCATTAAACTGCCCAAGCAATTCACATGAATCGTTTCTCTGTAAAGAATTAATTAAATTCATTTCTCAGGGCATTCAGTGAATCAACTTACCATGTAAAACCAACCGAAACGATCGTAGGGAATTTCCCCAGCATCTAATAGTGGATTTTCTTTAGCGAGATCTATCATTGGATCTTCGTAACCATCAAACAGCCACTCACTAGCATTTTTTGTTACATGAACTTTCTGTCCATAAACTGCAAAGCCCATAGAGACTCCTTTTGCCTTTAACCAACCCCAATGTTTAGCACGTGTCGCTGCAGACTGTTTAATTAAATTATTAGAAACATTACCAGTTTACTTCAAATATTGTCATATTCTTACAAGTGCGATGATGTTGACTGACGTTATGACATCATCGAGTTTGCCTTTACTCTCTTCTGGCACGAAGAAATATCTGCTTTGCTTTCTGTAGCTTACAGTGAAGTTTGCATCATGCCACGTAACGTTAACTTTCTGTGGAATCTCCTGGAACCTGAACGGCCCAATCTCATCGAAGTGAGGCTTAATTGATTTGTTAGTGAAGTCTTTTGGATTCGTCCAATTAAAGAGATAAATGTCAAGATAAAGTGGCTGTGGTGGGGAACTCCAATAACCGTAACTCTTTGAGCCTGGATGAAGTGCGATTTGCTGTTTACATATCAAAAAATGATTTTAAATCAATATCTACATAATTATAGTTGAAAGTCAAGTAATTTGACGTAGTTTTATGGCTTCATCTAGTCACGAGTTGGGGATGGATTTGCATAAAAATGACAACATTTTTGCAACAATGTTTATAAACATTTCATCCATTAAATGAGTCAAAAGGTTTTTAAGTAAGAAGCTAGTTAAGTTTCAAGTAGGATTTGACAAAACTTGGCGATTTTGTTTTGCCAAATAGAAGATTTTTTTCTTTGTCATGATTTTTGCATTTAGTGGTTTTTCGGCTAGAACCAATCAAAACATTATGTCAGCAGAATTTATTGTGCCAGTGAGTGTCAATTCGACCTTGTCAAAAATCAAGTTGCGTAAAAGCTAAAGTCACACACCAATTACCAAGTTTTAATTTTATAGTTTTAATTCTTAAAACTTTTAAAATCACATAAATGTTTATCATCTTTTAACGTCATGAGGAAGTTAAAAGAATTTATTAGGGAAGGCAATGAAAGACTTTGTTTTGACTCATTATTTATATTTGATCACGAAATATATTCTGCGTTATGTAAGCTCACTTGATTGCTAATCGAGCTTCTAGTTTGTTATATAAGAATCAAATCGTTTAAAATTTTAGTATTTAAATTCTTTTCGGTACTTTTATGTTTGATATTCAATAAAAATATCAACAATAAAATTGCAAAACTGTTAATGCTTAAACAATTATTCATATTTGTTCCATTCTTATCTAAATGGTTTTCAGCAATCAGAAATAAATGTGTGCTAAAAGATCAATGTCAAGGTCTTCTTCGAACACATTTTTTGTTTTATAATTTTGCATAACAAAAAATTCTTGAAAAAAGTTTTGCGTTTTACTTTTATTTTTTTGCGATATTTTATGGCTAAGTATCAAGAATTCAAATGTCAAAAATTAGTTCAGAACTTACCTTGAATAAAATTTTATCAAAAATGTCAGGCCAGAAAAGCACTAATATAACGCCTGATATCACAGTTATTACACCGATTATTGTTAGTATCACTCCTCCATATTTTTGAGACATTTCTGTAGGTTTCATTTGTAAACGTTTCAGTTTATTCAACTTTTAACACAATTCAATTTCTGATAATGTCTATCAATTATTTTCATTTTTCGAATAATATTCTAGTGCACTCGAATCATTCAGCATTTCATTCTTTATGATAATCTTTAAAATGAAGAATTTTTTTAAGAAGTTTTATTTACAATTTTCATTGGAGCTGAATAAATTTTAGATGATTAATTTCTTCACAATTTTGAAAACTCTAAAAATTAGTTAAACAGGTTTTATCTTCTTACTTTTTGGAACTGGAAAAAGAAATTACCAAAGTTAAGCCTAAACGACACTTATGAGCATATGAAGACCGGAAAAAATGTTAATTTCACTTTACACTGAACGAAAATTTCTTATGTCTTATTGAGTGACGATAAGAAATTGAACTGCGTGATTAAGTCTGGTTCTCTTCTCTTCAAGCTGACTTCATTATCAACGTGTTGAAATATATTCCACTTCAATTGATTTTGTTTCTCTCATCCAGCACCTAGTACTTGATTGCATTATTATCTTATCACAAGCCGAAATTTGAGAGCCGATATCAAAGGTCTTACGTTTTCAAATAAAAATTAAAACTTATGGCTGGTGATTGATGTGGTCAAGATTATTTTCTGAATGGAACTTTTGAAAACGCGACAAGCGTGACTCTGGCTTTCGCATCAAACAATCACTTACACTGATGAATCAGATGGCTGGAATTGCTGGAATCGCAGGTTTCTCTTTATCAGTTGCTGATAAGATAAGACAATTAAGATAAGATATTTATTCAAACACACCCAAAGTTTTGCGAAGAAAAATATTTTAAATCTCGTAAAGCTTTTTTCACTCTCAAAGTTTAAATTCCACTCACAACATCACAATTTGCTTCTCTCTTTGTTAATATTTTTCAGAACTCATCGCATCGAATCAGATGTTGATCTGATAACGATTTAACATAAATTGACTTGAAGTTCCACTTGTAATAATCATAAACAATCGCACTGCAAAGTTTAAATTGCCCTCGAGAAACAATTCTTCTCAATTTGATGAGATTAAGTTGTTTCGACCTTCGAGACCCGTTTAGCTTATTGATTGAACTTTCTTTTAATTGAATTATTTTTTGCAATTTTATTTCCTTTTTCAGATTTTTTATGATTCAAAAGTAAAATTGTCAATTATGCACAATAACTGATTGATGACGAACTAAACAAAACTGACATGATTCTAACGCATTCAAAGCCTTAAATCAGTGAAAGCAAACTAAAATATTCTTAAACTAATTTAATTAGTTATTAATCGATTTCTCCATTTATTATTCGTAATACTCGATGATGAAATTTCCTTCAACCTTTCGAAACGTTAGCATAAAAAATCATAAAAGTTATTAACAAAAATTCAACTGACACTTATTAAGACTACAACCGTCAATGTCTCGTTCTTCACTGAGCTACCAGGAGAAAATCAAAATTCGCATTGTCACATCCACATATCTGTTTACCGAAAACAAAACAGAAAAGTTTCGTTCGAACTACACAACGTCATGAAACATAAAATTGTAGTGATGGTTGTGGCGACTTATTCATTTTTGAAAATTGTTATTCTTACGTCACTCAAATCGCGTGTCACTGACTTCAACCACTAATCCTTAATAAATGTCAATAAAAATACATAAGCAAAGAAAAATTAAATTAATTTCTTATTCCTATTGGGAATCAAAGCTTGAAAGAATAAATTTGATTACGTTCTCGAACAACTTGTTGCGTCAAGGTCGAATAGTAAACTTTGAAAAGTTTCATCATCTCAAGAATAAAACGTGACTTGCCTAAACTCGTGGAAATTCCAATCTAACTGTACAAAGCTAGTTTAAGTAGATATTTAATGTTTGCCAAAATATGAAAAACATGTTTATGAAGCACTTGAAATTTCCCACGAACTATTTACGTTGTTAATTTGTCTCTTCCCAGGATAAATATTTGCACATTCAACATCTCAGATATTCAAATTTTGACTTTCCCAAAGAAGAACTTTAAGGCTAAGGTCAGTTTTTTATTTGTTTAAATTTGTTTTCAAACAGGTGTTTAATACTACCAATCGTGAAACTGAATTGGAATTATTTATTTATAGAAACATTGATTTAATTTCATGATAAAGTATTCAATATTGTCTTCACTTATGTGATATTAGTGTAAACCATAATCATAATTACATACTACACTTAATAAGTTTAAATAAACAACTAATAGACAATCTTAGCTTTTCATCAAAGGCAAATTTTCAGGCAAATTTACTGTCTTAAAAGAATCAGTCTTTAAGTCATTAATCTCTGTATTTGAAAGATTGTTACGATTATGAGATTTAAAGAATAATTTAAAGAGTGTAAATGACACACCAATCATAACAAAGCAAACTCCAATTATTTGACCAATTGTTGGTGATAATAAAATGAGTTTAACGATGTTTGTTATCGTCTGTGAAGCGATGACATGTTGTTCGAACCAAAGCACAGGCATGAACTTTGTTGGGACATCTTTGTAAAGATTGAAGCGTGGAATTGGAGTAATGAGAAGATTCAATTGAAATCTTGCTGCTATTTCTAGTGGAAATGAAGTTTTCTGTAAGACGTTAAATATTTTGTTTATTAAACTTCGATTTTTAATCGCGAATATCAACATTACCGGTTCAAAGGAGATGTGAAACTGGTGTTTGTCCTTGTCTGGTTTCATGCCTTCGACTTGTTCGTGATAAAATGGATCAGCATTGTAGAAATGAGGGAATGACATAAACACTGGCGTTCCAAAACGGCATGATGAGACATTAAACAACCCTGATGGAACACAATCACCGCTACAGAAGCATTCGTTTTCAGGATACAAAGTTCCATTATCAACAGTTCGATCACCGCCACTAAACTTCAAAGTTTCCACTCCGTGAATCTTCCGATTTTCTTCAAACTCTAACAAGACACTTCGGCACATTTCTGGTGAGAAAATTGATACAATCCTGTCTTCTGTCATTCCTGGTGGAAAGAATTCTCCAGCTGATCCCGAAAGTTTCCCACATTCGCCATTGAAGAAGCTCGTCTTTGATACATAATTCCATTTACGAAGCTGGTCAACTTTCTTCACATCATCCATTCCAGTATCAACGTTAAAATCACCAGTTAATAAGCTTGAATCGTTACGCTACGAAAATTTAATAGAAATAAATGTTGAATAATTTATAATTTTAGTTTAGATTCTTCAAAAATGTGTGTGATGAATTGATTACCTGGTAGAACCATCCAAAACGATCAAATGGAATGTCACCGACACCAAGTACACTGGCGATGTCTTTAGCTACAGAAATAATTGGATCTTCATATCCTTCAAACAGCCACTCACTAGCTGTCTTTGTGATGTGCAATTTCTGTCCATAAAATGCTAAACTCATCTCAACTCCTTTCAATTTAAAAATATTCCAACTACGAGCTTGAGCTGCTGATGACTAAAAATAAAAGAAAAAAGAAAGAGAATCATGAAAAAAAATTAGAAGTGTAAAGGTTATTGTACCGGTAGGATTGAGAGGGGCGCGGCACTCGGTTACTCGCTGGTATTAGTGCGAGTGACGAGTCAGTTTGGACGGGGACATCGAGGCGTGCGGTCGTGTGGTTCACGACCGGAACAGTTATCAGTAGAAGAGATTGTGGCAATTTGTTTTTATAACTTAATCGTGACAATTCTCAGCTATGTTTACACCATTATCAGACACCATGAATTTATTATAGGTTTTAATTAATAATGAGAAATTTAAATAAGCAGAAAAAAGTAAACTTACAAGTGCAATGACATTCACTGATGTGATAACATCGTCGAGTTTGCCTTTACTTTGTTCAGGTACAAAGAAATATCTGCTTTGCTTTCTGTAGCTCACAGTGAAGTTTGCATCATGCCACGTAACGTTAACTTTCTGTGGAATCTCCTGGAACCTGAACGGTCCAATCTCATCGAAGTGAGGTTTTATTGATTTGTTGTTAAAATCCAATGGATTCGTCCAATTAAAGAGATAAATGTCAAGATAAAGTGGCTGAGGTGGGGAACTCCAAAATTTGTGATACATCGAGCCAGGACGTAATTCGAGTTGCTAAATAGTTGAATCAAAACAAAAAAAAAAGAAAGTTTGTATCTATTATAATTAAATCATTTGATGTGCCAAGAGCGCTGGTCATTTCGCAGAACTATGCTAAGTGCTTGCTGTCTGTCTTTAAAGTTAACATTGTAATTTAATAGTTCTAGATGACTTCACATTTTTATTGATACAAGCTTAAATTATTTTTAAAACGAGAAATACAATAAAAACTATTAAAATTTAAGAAGAGTCTAGAACCTTTTAATTGCGCTTGACTTTAATTATCTGTCCATTAAAACAATTTTATCTTTGATTGTTTTAATATCTTTGTAAATTGCCTTAAGCAAAAAAATTCACGCTTCTCGTTTCATTAGACTTCTCCGGTTTTTTTCTTCATGCAATGCGTCACACGCATTACAAACAATGTAACTACAAAGGAATGACATCTTCTGGATTGAGTCACCTGATTTAATTGTGTTTACACTGCTAATCAATTCTCGTTACTTGTTTGAGAAAATATTCAAAGAAAAATGAGTCACTTACAATGATTACACAACAATTTTCTTCTAGTTGATATTAATGGAAATTTTATTCACTTTTTTCTTGATTAATTAGACTTACCTTGAATAAAATATGATCAAAACACTGCGGCCACGTGAGAAACAGCAAAGCTCCCACTATCACAAATAAAGCACCGACGAGAAAATGTGAATTCACGCATTTTTTATCACTTTTTTCTTGGTTTTTCATGGTTATTCCGTTTATCGATTTTTTTCTCTGTTTACATTGAAATTTTACTTCGTCCAATCACACACGAAAGTAGAAGTCTGAGCTGAGCGAATAGGAAAAGAAAAACGCCAGCGCTTTGTTTATATTTATAGAACTTTCATCAAATGTTGATTGCATACACCGACCGGTTTGAGCAACAGCTGACGAATGAGTTATCGGGTTAGACAAGACGATATTGCTTTTGTTAAATATCTAGTTAGTTTAGTTAATGATACCTTTTCATGTGTAAAAAAAATGTTACCCAAACTTTTTGTGTGATGAATTTCAAGTTGTAGAACAAACAAATGATGATAATAAAAAACAAGTAAAAACACAACACGGAGTGAATTTGTTTCCTGACTGTTCGCTTTCAATCGTCAACATCGACTGAACGTAAAGCATCAAAGAATCTGAGACGACCTTTAAAGAAAATATTTTTTTTAACTTAAAAGCTTCGACAAAACAAAGAGAACAAAAAAAGAATAGAAAAAAACCAGAAGAACTAATGTCTTAGATTGTCTGATTGATAAATTTTGTATTCGTACACTGACCACTGTCAACAAAAGATCATGAATTAAATTGTGACGTCAATACATTTTGTTTGATGGAGATAGAAATTGAAAGTCTTTTTAAAATCACCACAAATATTGATTGAAAAGCAGAAATTAATTATACAGAACTTTAAGAAATCACCAAAAAGAATGATTTGTTGATGGTAATTACAATTAAATAAATTACGACAATGAATGGTAAAATATTAATAATGATCATGACGTTCGTTGGAGAAGCTAAATCACCTGAAATCGAATCAACTCGTTGAATATTTATTTGCACGTGTTTTTTACTTAGTGGAATTAATTATGTGATTATCTCTGGATAATGTACTTACGAACATCTGGATCATTTAAAAGAAGAATCGTCTTGAAAATTCCGTGACATTGACCTTCAAGATGTGATCCGAAACGTCCGAACTTTGATATAAAATTCATCGTTGACCATCAAAAATAGAAGACGCTGATGAACATTTTTTTTCTCTTTAATTCAATCAATTTTATTCATTAGATAACGAAATATCGTGTGACAAAAAAAAACGAAACAAAAATAAATTTATTTTAATAAAATTTCATTCTAAACTGACTCTCACTCGATTGTATGCATTTGACACAACACCACGAAGATTCCAAGTGTTTTTGAAAGTCTCTGGTTGACAATTGTAATTAGAATCGACAGCTTTCGACCAAATTTCAATAACTTTTTGTCCTTTTTCAATTGGAACTTTGACAGTCCAAAGCGTCCACGCATAATGACGACCAGGCCCAACATTCTCTCCATCAGATAATTGCTGAAGGTCAGCAGTCACCCAAGACTTCCCTTGATTCGCTGTAATGTCGACTCGAATGATTCTATTGCCACCACCTGAATACGCATAGCCTTTGACCTCCATACATCCATCAACAATCTTCACTTGTTTTTCAAGCGGGTTCGGAGAGCAAATCGCTGACGTTACTGGCATGTTCTGTATTGCTGGTGCTGTTTTAAAGTCAACATTATCCCAGTCAGTGCTTGGACTGAATGCTTTGTAATCATTTTGTTGCCAATGTGAGTCTGATTCGTTTTTCGATATTGTAATTTTATTCAACCATTTCACATTGCGAGCACCAACGACACCTGGCACAATCACTCTAAGTGGATACCCGTGATCTCTTGTTAGATTCTCGCCATTCATTTGATAAGCAAGAATGACGTCACCACGGGGATCCATTGCTTTAGTTAATGGAATGGAAGCACCATAAGGTTTGTTTGTTGGATCAGCATCGTAACCCTCGAGAACAACATGACAACTCTCGTTGGGTTTGACTCCTAATTTAGTAAGAAAATCAGAAAGTCTGACACCTTCCCAAACAGCATTTCCAACGGCTGCTGCACCCCAATTTAAACCACGAACCTCTTTAACTGCATTCATTTCCGAGCGACGATTTCCTCCACACATAACAACAGCAACAACTCCACTTTTAGCAAACTTCGTCTTTAAATCTTTTAAAGAGAAAGTTTTTGTTTTTCCAGTTGCTTCGATTTCAACTTCTAATTCGTATTCACTTTCTTTGATATCAGGTACAGGGAGATGATTTCTAACATAGAAGAATTCAACTGGCGTGATGAAGTTATCAACAAGAAGTGACAGTGGTGGTTCGGCATTAAATGGCGTTTGGGATTTAGGAACTAAAAGTGGACTTCGTGTTGGTTCATTAGCGTAGGGATTGTCTTGGTCGTCAGTTGTTTGTTGATCCTCAGCTTTTAAATTACCGATGCGATATTTCTCGAGAAGATCAAGAATGTTTTGTTGCTGGTGGAACTGATATGTATGCCAAAATGGATCTATTGCAGCTCCAGCTCCCAACATGATGTTTTCCTTTGCACCAGGATGTTCAGGAATGAATTTTGTTATATCGTAAACTCCAATTCCATATGTCACCCATACACTTGTCTTTCTATAAATATTAAATAAAATTAGCAGTCATTAACTGTTAATATCTTCTTTACTCACTCATCGGAATGTTTCGAAACATCATTAGCTGAATATGTCGGTAAATCTTTTCTCACGGTTTCGTGATGTTTTTTTGATTCAATTTTCTGAGCACAATCGGCTGTTTTAAAAAAATCTATAAACGAAACAGGGTTTGAATTGGCTTGATTGATAAGAGAAAATGATAATATTATGGACATTGAGCACTTATGTGTCTTATCAGTTTTGCTTTTAGGAATTTTTTAAGCTCACCTTGAAAACACCACAATCCAGTACCGACCAAAGACGCTCCAATTACAACTTTTGTAGCATTAAAGTTTCTTGGTTGCTCACTTCTAGAATCGTAGTAGTTTCGATAAGAAGCTGAAGCTAGTAGCCTTGGCTGATTTCGCATAAATACATGATAATGTCGACTGGAAATTATAATTATTGAATATTTTAATTTAATACGAATTTCTATTTTGTACTAATCAACTCACTTTGCAAATGACTTGAATAATATCTTAAACATTTTGTTCATGAAAACAACTTAAAAGTAAATCAAATTCAATTAGAACTACTTGTCAAACTTTAAAAAAATATTTGAGTATAGTTTGAGTATTTGTCTTGTTGACATTTCTATGCACAATAACAAGAGTTGGATTTCTTATTGGAAAGTTTTACATTTAAGTTCAATAAAATCATTCAAAACGATAAGAGTATGAAAACTATTGCCAAAACAATTTTATCATAAAACTTATTTTAAAATTAAGCGATCATTTATATTTAATTTAATTTATATTATATTTAATCGTAACGGTTAAAAAATATTTAAAATGAAATTGAACTGTTTTGAATTTTAGTAATGGAGAATATCACCAGTAATGTAACCTACAATATTATCCAATAAATACACGAAGGACAACGTCGATTGAACGAAATTACGCATTAAATGTGCTGTGATAATCGTAGCGATTAATAAATTTAGTTAATGAATAACCATTTTAATTCATTCCATAGAAAAAACCATTCATACTTTTAACATCACTGAAGAATCTTCCCTCAATAATTTTTTGTCTCTCTCTTCCTTTTTCTTCTGAATTTCGAGTTCGCAGTTTGCAACAAATCGAAAATTAAATAAAATCATGGGATTCGCTAAAGTGTGGAATGCTCATCCAAGAAATTATGGTCCAGGATCACGTCATTGGTAAGTCATTACTGAAAGCAACGCGAATATTTGTTTCTTAACTTAGAAATTAATAAATATTCGTTCTAACCTTTATTCATTCCATGTCGAATAAGTAATATTTTTGTTTTCGCAATTTTAGCCGTGCCTGTTCCAATAATCATGGTATCATCAGAAAATATGGATTAAACTTGTGCCGACAATGTTTCCGAGAGTACTCAAAGGATATCGGTTTCAAGAAGGTGAGATCTTTTCTGGATGTTGATGATGTGTTTTCTAAATTCGTTTTACTTTTTCATATTTTAGCTCGATTAAAACGATTTCAACATCCCAAGGAATTTTTTAACATCTGAAATATCAACAAATTCATCTTTAAAATGTGAAGATAGTTGGTGAAATAAAATAAAATCCAATTGAGCGTAAAAAGAAGTTTCAAACAATTTTTGTATTTATTTTCGTTTAATTACAAGATTATCAGTAAAATCTTTAATCCAACCAACGTTGAATCTCTGGCCAAATGTGGTAAGTGCGGCAAGAATATTTCGCTTTGGTGGTCTGCAATGCTTCCGTCCACCTTCAAGGCAGCAGACATTGGGGAAGCATGTAAGACTTGAATTGCATGGTTTCGGATGTTTGTCAAAAGCAGCTGGTGGTGGCGGTGTGCATTGGAAGTATTGTGAAAGCGACTCAACTGGATATGCAATTTGCCGTCCAACTGGAAGTTCTTCTGGTTCTGTGTAACTATTCATGCAGTAACGTTTACGTCCATTCGGACAACAAATCCTTGGAAAGTCACAATCTTTGTCGATGTCACAACTCTTAACATCCCAGAAGCTCTCAGCTAATTGATCCTTGGGACATTTTCTCGGTATTCCAAAGAGAGCTGAAAGAAATTTATCTTAAAATATTTGACATTTAATTTAATTAATTTCTTACGCTCGTGTTCGACATCTTCCAAAGGCTTTTCAAATCCCTCGTGACAACGTTGACCACCAAATAATTTGCAACATCTGAATCTCTTTCCCACCTTCACACAGTCTTGATTATTATTGCAAATCACTGGAAATAACTCGAACTTCGCTTCTCTTTCAGTTGGACATAAAAGTTCGTCTTCTTCCACCACATTCATACGTTTTGTTATGACTGCAATTTTGCTTTTATTTTCCGGTTTTGTTACATCGTCGACAAGCAAGTTTTGTCGATTAGCTGCTGTTCGTGGTAAAATTTGAATTTGTGCTTTCGCAATTGGCTTTTCTACCCTTCTATCAGCTGTTGGATCTGAAAAAGAAGAAAAATGAGTTTTTTTTTCTTTAGATTTTCTTTTGTTTTGCTTCTTCGTTGACCTCCGTTTGTGATTGCATGGCTGAGCTTTACCGGCAAAAAACAAGTTGTAAGAAACGGTGATGATCAATCGAAGACGAATAAGAGAGAAAAGGTGTAAATAACACGTGAACGAGGTTAATGAATTAATGTGGTTGCATTTTATACACCCATAAGTTCCACAACAAACAAATCAAATAAACTTGTTGAAGCTTTCAAAATGAGAGAGAAAAAAGATATGCAAAAAAAAAGTTGATTGAAAATTAAATTGGACGGGAAATTGCGGAAAAAAAGTCATTAAGATTGTTCAAGGTAGCTTCATCTTATGATTTCGGCTTCATGTGGCATTGATTCTTAAATAAGAAAAAGCGTAAGATGAAACCGATTATATTAAAGCGCGAGAGTCACACAACAAGGTAAGTCTTATTATCAACGAAAGATTGAGTATTAAGGTCAATGTTTTGAAAAGTGTGTGCAATTTTTATGAACGACAAATATTTCGTACTTACACGACGCATAAGATCGAGTTAAAAAGTCACACATTTGTCAATACAATGTTCACAAAATCAACATTAATTTATAATTCATCGCTTGACCATCAACAGCATTAACAACCAAGCATCGTTTCATTTCGTTTTCATCATATTGTAATTAATTTTTTTCTCAATTATTTTCCTAAAATATTTGTAAAAACATTTCAGGTGCAAACTTTGTATTTTTCTTTCTTAAATTTCAAACAAATTGGGCAAGAGCATGGTTGCTGTTTTGTTGATGGATTGAAAAATGGAACGAAATCATTTTTTGAATGCTTTGAAATTTCTTCTTTTCTCAATCAATTTTCCTTGAGGCATTTTAAGTACATATCAAAATAGATCTACCCAATTAGATTTTAATGTAGCGTTTTATTAATAGCAAGCGTATACCTTTGTCTTTTGTCTATTAACCGTCACATGAAACGAAGGTAGGCAAATAATAGACAAAAGATTTTTTGATACTTTTATTAGATTGTTCATAACCGAAATTTAAGCAGTAAACTCAGCATGAATTTACATTATTTTTCATTTGCTAAGGCACGAAACAATATCAAACTGTTATGAATGTTTGATTATAACAGAATCGCGCCCATGTGGTGATCTGAATTTAAACAGATTTTTAAGTGAAGATTAATACTCACAAATGGATCACATTTGGTCACTTTGGGTGTTTCAAAAGTGAGTTAAGAAAGAAAGAAAAGTTTTCTCATGGACCGCAGTCGAAGTGCGCAATAAATGCTTCATTCGTGGGTCCATTCCCAACTTTATTACTTGGTAAAAAGCTCATAAACTTCAAGTCAAATACAGTGAAGCTACTCTCTGATGTAAATGGAAATAATTTTTTGTTTCAAGACAGTTTTAACTAAATATTATTTTGGAAATATTACACTAAATACTTATTCATTTCATGTCCAAACTTTGTCGTGACGGTTATCGTGAGAAATATGCGTTTATCGTTTTTACATGTTTTCATTTCTTATTTCCATTACATTTCACCACTGAACCCCAATCGCTATTACATAATTTATCATAGACAATTTAAGTTTTACATTTTTTTTTGCAATGTCTTAAGCGAATCTCGACTTCAAGTATTCACATTTGCAGTCGAATCATTTATATTGGGAAGAGAAGGCGAATGATAGACCGAGAGAGAAAAAAAAAGAAGCAGCATCAATTCCGATCATGAATCATTAATAAAGAGATTGTTTGAAGCTCCAAAACATACAAAGCAAAAGTTATTTGTTGCTTTGCAGTTTGCACAATCGTTGAAAGTGAGCGAATGAAGCTTCACACTTGGATAAGCTTGACAAATTTCATGTGGTTCAGCCTTCTATTGAGGGAAAACCGCCTGCACATTGTCATCAACTTACTGAAGAAGAACTTCCTGATATTATCCAGTGTGCTGATAAAGAAGTTTGGTGGTGTCGTTGACGTTGTTATTTGAGGCTTTGGAGACACATTTCTAACTTCAACTCGTGACGATGTTTTACTTAACGAGTCTGTTATGTTTTCTCCAATTGCACAGTTCAAACAATTTACAAAAAACAACACAATGTACAATAAGTTCAGTTTCATTGCTGAAAAATTTCCTTCAAGTTCTCATTGGTTTCACAACACCTGATCTTTCGCGAAACTCACAAAACAACTCTTTTTAGATCAAAAACAAATTTGATTTTGATTAATAAAAAAATAATAAAAAATTATTTAAACACTTGTTGATTAATTAAATTCTTAGACTTTATTGCCTCGATCTGCGCGCTTTGCACGCTAAATACTTTGTGAAAAAACAGTTCGGTTTAAATTTTTATTCAACACGTTTGTAAAACACAACTTACAATTTCAACTTCTCAAACTCAACTGAGTAATATTTCTTCTGACTAAATCGTGTTTTAGGCTTGGCTTAGTTGAGAGTTATTAAGTTAACTTAAGCTGAAACTGAGAGGCTTTATTTTTTTTATAAACTTCGGCTTTCAAGTTCACGAACGAACTTAAGATAAGGAGAAGACTGCAAAGGGCAGAGTGAGTTCATGCTACTGCATAAAGACAACATATCAGAAGCCTTGATATGAAAAAGTTTAGTGACCTTCGCGTTTTGTCCGTGGAACTGTGACTTCATATACTTTCACTCTTGATAGTCAATATGAATATTTTTGAAAGCTTCGAATAAAATCAAAGTAAACTTGAATTTATTGGGAATCTTAATTAAAACACGAAAACATCACACATTAATATTCTTCTTCTTACGCCATCAAAACTCGTCACCATAAGAAATCGCGAAAGTGCTGTTTAAGTAACGAAAAAACCTGAATTATTTTATGACATTTCCTACTTGTCCATGTGCTGTAGTTCAATAAAGGTATACAAATATTGAGAATTACTTTCCAAAATACACATATGAGACTTTTAATAATTACCAACACTTTCTGATAAAGTTAACGAATTTTTCGATTTTAAAAATTATTAGAAACCCTCCAGCAGCGAATATAAACTGTTGTGAGGTATTTTATAAGTTGTACAGGAGCTGCATGAACAGTTTACTAAAAGTACATTTGACACTTGCCAATGTTTGTGGATTTTGATACTAATCAGTGTGAAAGTAAATGTGTATGTTTATCAAGAAAATTCAAAAGAAAAGCAACATAAAAATAGTAATGAGACATACAATCGTTTAAACTTATTTTAAATAATATATGGAGATATAGAAAGCGTTTATTTAAAATTAATGAACAAAACTTACATGAAAAGAAACAGCACAAAGTGAAAATGAATTGAGGGAATAATCGACACAGAAAATGAAAAATGAAAAGCGATATTCTTGACAATTCAAAGATATTAATCTTACCAATTGAAAGACGAGAAAACTCTGTGCTTCTACATTAAGGTTTTCGCGAAGATTATCAAAAGCGGAATGTATTTCAAATGACATATCAATGTAATGAGATCGCATGTTAAATAGCACTTTTAATTCATTCTCTAAAACGCCTTCGATTGAAAACAAATCTTGAAATATTAACACGAAAAATGTGAAGAAACTTTCAATGTAAAAGTTTAGTTACAGGTATTTTAATCTAATTATTTTAATATTAGGTAATTAAAAACTTTTTTGTCTTCTGTAAGTTTGAAATCACTGAAACTTAATCAACATGAAACTATGGGATTTATCTAATCCGATTTAAAGTTGATAACATTAAGATGTTTATCAATCAATGTAAAAATCTTCCAAATTTTTTATGTTTGCTTTTATTCCATTGACATTTAAAAAATCGTGAAATTAAAATCTGAAATCGATTTCTATTTTATCGCGTGATATTACCTTTGGAAGTTCATAGAACAAAACAAGAAATCGCTAAAAGAATTTCGATTGACATTAAGCGACTCTACTTTACATTAATCTCCCATCCTTTTCATCCTTGAATGGAAATTGATTAAACATAAGTGCGCGAGCGAGGGATCAAGTGAAAGTAAATTTGTAAAATGTCCCCGAGTGATTGACAACATTTATCAACTCACACAACATTGAAAAGTGATTTCTTTTCCGTTTTTTTGACACCCTTAAAACGCAATTTTCGTTGAAAAGAAATGAAATTTTTCTTATGGGCACACGAATATTCATCATCGTGAAGGTGATTTGATTGAATTATCCATTCATGACTTCTAAGTTGCGAGGGTTTTCCCACTTATCACTTTCTATCGATTCATCGAATCCGTCAATTTTAATACATTTCAGTCATAAATTACTTTCAATTTCTTTCCTTATTTCATCGAAGATCCAGCAATAAATCTTCTTGTTCAATTAAATTGGCTAAATGTTTCATCAACAGGGAAATGTAAAATAATTCTTCTTCGATGGATTTATGTTTGATTTATTTTTAATTAACTAGAAGTGATTGGATGAAGAACAAAACTCAAGAGAAATCCCAAACAAGACACTTTTGGATATAAAATGGATTGGAATGTTGTCAAAAAAAATCGAAAGAAAAACAGAATTTTATGTTTAATGCAGTGCATGGAACGCTGATCAAGCTGCGACGAAAACGAGACATAGAACGAGCGAGTGAAATAAATTAACTCCACTTCGATTCTTAGGACGAGAACATGAAGGGAGCGAAGAGATTTGTACAAAATCGTGATATATTGTCTGCTTGATCTCGAATATTTTCTTTTTATTCTTACAAACACGCTCAGATTCGTTTAAAACATTCTTTTATGAGAAAAGCTGTGAAATTTTACAACTTATCCCTTTAGCGTGGATTATCGTTTAACTTTGTTCTTCTTCTTCTGGTTAATTAAAAAAATATTCATCTTTCTCGTTGTCGCCACGAATCGGTTCTTGTATTCTCACTAATTACAATCACATCACATCCTGTTACGATGCTTTCCTTCCATCCTTAATATCGATTTCAAATCCTCATGTAACCTCATCGTATCACTATGAAACTTGGTGTTTAAATTTGTAAGAATATTGTATGATAAATGAAAGTTAATTAATTTATTGATGGAGAGAAAAACATTTGAAACTTGTTCTTGAGAATGAATCGTGATCGACTGTTAACATTAAAAACATGCTTAATGATCGTTTAAAAGTATAATTAATATTTCTTTCTCGTGTTTGCTATTATTTCTTTAGTGTAAAAATCAATTCTGATAACCTCGACCATAAATGGCGTTCTAGACTAAAAAAAGCGTTTAATGTCCCCAAAGCAGTCGAATGATTATCGTTGAAACATGAAAATTATTCACGGACTTTAATTTATGCAATGCTGGTTAATGGGTGTGAATGAAACAATGAATTTCACGAATAAAGTAATAAGCCATAAATGGTGAACATAACTAACAATTTTTGCATGCGAAAATGAACGAATGAATGAATGTTAAAACTATCAATAAATATTCATTATAATTATGTTCACTTAAGCCTTTCTCTTGTCAAAGTTCTCATCGACACCACTTTGATTAATGGTTTCGTCATTTCCAAAGCTAAGTGAAACTCTTGAAGTTAAAATCAGAAATAGAAAGAAAAATCTTGACAGTTTGTTGACCGAGTCGAGGATGAAAACCATAAATGTCGAAAGTTGTAGTCAGAACTTTGCAATGGAAGCGTGAATAAGTATCGACAGACAAACAAGAATTTAAGGAAAATGAATACAACAAAACACCAATATTGCAGCCACAACAAACACGTGAGCAATTAGCTTGAACAGTGCGAGATAAGAGCAGCAAACTGGGCAGATTAATCTCAAGTAAAACGGGGCAAGTTTTGTCGTATTTATATCGCGAGTTTTAAGCTTTTGTGCAAATTTTTGTCATTGTTAAATTGCCACGATGCGATGGAAAGAAGACGAAGAAAACATGAAAATTTTCCCTCCGACTTGGACATGAAAATTTGTTTAAATCTCTCGACCATCTCGCTTAATGTGGTGGTTTATGTGTGCAGTTTCGCGGCGCTCTCGACAACATGAAGATAAGAAACTTGAATTGAAACCAAGACTTCTTATTTTGAATACGATGGAATTTCATTCGATGATTCTCTGTGCTTTGAATTTAGTTCTCAGTTTTGTTTGGTTGTCTTTAATTTGAAAGTCTTTAGCTTCATTTCGGCAGTTGCTGTTGTTTGCGAATTGCAAGTTTAACACTGTTCAGGACATGTTTTTAACTGTGGTTCATATGTAATGCCATTTTATTGTTTTTTTTCTTTCTTTTCTCATTTAATTTCATGTAGTTATCCATCGTGTGTTTTCAGTGTTTACAGCTACTTTATCATCGCATATTGACCGTGCTGCTTTCTTACCTTTTACGAACTTTACTTTGGTCATCTTCACTGCAGTGTTCAGATTGAAATTTTAGAGCTTCATGACTTTTCTCACTGCGTTAGAAGAACTTTTAGAGGAAATTTTCAATGTTGATTAAATATATTTTGGGAAGAATTCACAAGCACAAGCAGGAAACCTGAGCCCATGTTGTTGTGAGAATTTTTTGTTGATTGGGAAACGTGATTATAGTACAGAAATGTTTTGTATGTTTGTTTAACATCAGCGACATGTCTTTGGTTTGTTGTTATTGAAACGCGATGAAGAATTTCTTGGCGATGTTGAAGGGGAGAAGGAAAAACTTTTACAAAAATTTTGTTTTGTGGTTTTGTACGCGTCGCTTAAAAACATTTAACACGTGATTTGTTGTCTTCGATATTGCGAGATTTCTCTACGTCAAAATACAAAACGATGCAACATGACAGCAATTTATGAATCTTCATGACTCAATTTATCATTCCAGATAGGAAAGAAACATTTAAATCTGCAATTTTTGATATTCAATCGGCGATGAGAGGAAAACAATTAATCGAAGAAGGAAGAAAACATTCAAATTATTCAATTTCACTCCCATGGTCAGATCAAGAAACAAGAAAGATTTATTTCGTTTTAAACGATTTGATTTCAACTTTATTATTCTTCTCTCTTATTTTTTAAACGTGCATAAATTAAAGACTGTTTACAAATTGCCAGACGGCAGCGATTGAAATTGGAATATGGAGAATGAAAATGTGCAATTGTTGAAAGGAAAATAGTATAAATTATTGCATATCGGGCTCCAGAGGTAGAATGAAAATAATTTCTTATTAGAGAGAAGGTTTCGAACATTATGATTTGTTTGTTCATCTAGTCATCCTCAAAACTTGCTGCAAATCATACTCTTAGTTTCAGTTCAGAAATTTTTATTTATTGTCATTCTCTTCGAGTGTTTTTTATCTTGCAAGATTGTGATTACTTTGCAACATATCTCTAAGCATAAAATGTTATTAAGGAATATGCAAATTAAAGAAGGAATTTAATTGAAAAATATATGAATTTAATTGTTGAATATGTGGTTGGATGGTGGGTTGGACTTGATTATTTAGTATCGAATTGAAGTGTCTCAAAGCAGTAAGAAAAAATGTTCTTGCCAGACCACCATCGTGTGGATGCAAACGATTAACCATAAAGAAACTTATCGAATAGCTTCTGATGGAAAATACGAAATTTTTTCGAGGTTAGTGTTGCAATCGTTTGACGTTGATTACATTCACCAACGGTGTTCGCTCTTTAAAACCTCAATAAAGCCTTCACTTAGGTCATTCAGGTTTTTGACCTCAATCTATCAGTTTGTTTCATCTGCGAATATGCATAGTTTTGGTGTGAAAAGATAAGCGTGAAGGAGAGTGAGTGTGGAGCCATAAAGTTGATAATTTATGACAATTGTCGAAGTTCCATCGTCTTCAAATCAAAATGAGAGAAGAAACCTGAACAGCAAACCGAATGTACAATCATCATCTGATAAAGTGAAACAAACCACATCAGGAAACATTATTAAGCCCTTTTATTCACGCTTTTCTTACGCTCTGTAAATATGAAGAAAAATTTTAAAAGCAGAAGTAGTTGGCTTTTTGGTGTTTAAATCCCACTGATGCCCTGCACATGAACCAATGTTTACGATAATCTTGTACGCGGAAAACCCAAAGAAACATGATTTTATGTCTGCTTTTTTCTGCACAGCGCGAAACCAAAATAATAAGCTTGTAAAAATGAGAAATTGCAGAAGCGATACATTTGATGCTTGGGAACTAGTTTCAAAAAATATTTAAAAATCATAAACTTTGTAAATCATTTAGCAACTCTTTTCAATGCTGTTTGTTATCATTTTGTTTAATCAGTAGTTCACTGGTGTTTGCCTCTTCACAGCATGATAATAAAGGTCACTGGTCTGATTCACAACGTAACAGAAAATTTTCTACTTCAATTTCAGTTTTGCGGGATTCTTTAAAGTTTAAACAACAAAAGTTTTGATATTTCCAGGGAACAATATTTTCAGAGCCAATATATTGGGTACTTAGCGTCATAAGGATAAATTATGATCGTTTTGCGAAGGCACACACAATGCTAAAGATGGAACAACAGCCGTATTAAGAAATATATTTCCTTGTTTTCTTTTATTCGATAAGCAAGCAGAGTGTGTGTCGGGTTGTTTGCTGTCTTCTGCGCCCCTTTTGAAGATGGCTTTTAAAACAATAAAGTTCAATAAAGTTACGCTAAGAACTTCATACCTTTTCATAGCCATTTTTGCACGCTTTCAAGGCGCGCGAACAACAAAAAAAATATTTATAAATAAATAAAAATAAATGAAAAAACTTTACTCCTAAGATAAAGGAAAGAAAACTTTATATAAAAGCAACAAAGAATAAGAAATTCTCAAGTCAGTTTGGAATCTTATCGTATCTCGTTGATATTGCTTTTGTTTCAAAGGTAATAAATTTATTAACATTAATATTGCACCAATGAAACGCAGTGGGAGGCTTAAGCGATTTTTGAGGAAAATTTTTCTAAACAAACTTTTATAATAATTTCTCGTTTTATAATCCTGACGCTCCCATTCCCAATTAATCCTGACCGCGTTGTAATCAAAATCTGATGAGTCTAGCATTTGTTTCGTGGAAAATTTTCGGACCATTCATAGCTGAATAGATGAAAGATTTTTAAATTAAATCAAATTTATTTGAAATGCTTTTAAAGATTTTTTTTTTCAATTTGAAACATTCAATTCAATTGTTGGAAAAAGTTTAAGCAAGAATAAATCTCAGTCTGCAATGATTTTTGTAAACTTCCATATAGATAAAGAATTGAACGATATTTGAATTAAGCGGCACTCGAGACTGAACACTACAGAAATATTTCATTTCATCATTTCAATTCTTTATTCAATTTAAAATGCATTACGAATGAGAAGAATGCATGCAAATCGCGCGCGGTGCACTTTTTATTTCACATGGCAAAGTAATTCCGAGAGATTTGATTCAAAAGGGAATTTAAATGCATTATTGATTGAACCACAGCATGGAAGAAAGCTTTCAATGATCAAACAAGTTTTTCAATCCAACTTAAACTTTAAACAATAAAACAAAAGAATGAAAAGAGTTCTTCGGTTGCCTGCTTTATCGTTATCGCGGCACAAGATTGTTGTTTGAAGAAATCAATCGTCTAGTCAGATCTGCTGGATTTGGCAAAAACTTTTTTCTTACTGTTGTTGAGAGACAATGAAAATTCTTTTTTTGTCGTTCATCGGCATTTTCTTTGTTGATCGTTCCTTTAAATGTGCATTGCAATTAACTTTTAAAATCCTTTAATTAATCTCTACTGTTCATAAATAAATTCTCAAACTTTTCTTTCCATAAAGTTCATCATATTAAAATATTTTCCCATGTCAATTTGGACAACTTTCAATCCATCATTATTATTTTCTTCCTTTCTAAGTACAAAATATTGTTGATGCAGTTACGGTATGGAATAAATTTACATACAATAGACCTTGACCAACAGAAGTCGTCGTTGCAATTGAACTGAGATTTTAAGAAATTGATTACATCGCGCATCCCAACAGACTTTTTCCTTCTGATTTTCTGTTCTCATTCTCATCGTTGTCGGATTATTGACAAAAAAATAAAAGACAAACAAATATTCGAATGGTAGCGTTTTTTAGCCACTGTTCATTACATCAGATTATTTCGTTTGCATGTGCGCTGCCTTTGCTTTGCAATGTTCCGCGCGGCATCGCAATGAGATGTAAAGGAGAGTGAACTAAGGGACACAATTTCTTATTATTTTTCTCTTCTTCAATGTTTTTTATCGATTGAAATTGTTCTTCAAGAGAAGAAAGAAAAGTTTATTTAATATTACTAGCTATTGGTTGCTTATTTTGCATATCAAGCAAACAGGTCATTTCTCTCTCAATTCGATTTCAACTTCGTTTGATTTAAATAAATTGCCTATCGAACGATTGCAAGCGCGGTCTTTTGTTATTTAGCTGCCTGTTCTTCCTTCCATCCCTCGATCTGCCATCACATGAATGCTTCTTAAACAACTTTTTTTGTTTTTGTATAAATAATGAATCTCTGAAAGTATCCTTTGTATTTGATTAAATTAACATTAATATATGAATCTGAGATTAACAAAAGAATGTTTTTCTGTTACAGATTTCATTTTAAATTTCAAATTATGACATTAGAATAGTAAAAATATGAAGTTTTGTAATTATCTAATAAGACTATTAACTATTTAAATAAGATAAAAAAGAAGAAGTTCGATGAACTGTCTGACTGTTGTTACATCGATCTAGTTCCACCCATGCATGATATTTACTTCTGTTTTATTAAACTTTTTATCGATCACCGAACGTTGTTTACATTCATTTAATCACAGCAGTAAGAATCAATAGTTGACTTAACAGTTAATTTCAATTTCACCGTGATCATTCCATCGCCGTTACGTTGTCAATTCAAAAGAAAACTTAATTAACCATCTCCGACATAACATTTACACACTTAAATGGAAGTAATAGCGAAAATAATCGTATTTGAAATAAAATAATAAAAGAAATTGTTTCTTGAAGTTTTTGTTGAAATTCATTTCCGATATAAAAGCGGAGAATCTGATGGACTGCAAGGTCAGTTGAGTTTTAAATTGTTGAGGTGAAGTTGTTTTTTAAATTGAGAGGAATGTTTAAATTTAAAGTAAGTTTAAATGGAAAAGTGACGTCATTTTTCAAATTCATCGATAAATGTTAAGAATTTGTTTAAGTTTCCATAAAACTTCTCAGAAAAGAAGAAATTTCATCTAACTTTGTTACATGATAGAAGTGATCGCGTGATAATCGAATGGTGAACTATGCGTGCTGATTGAAATGCCTTTCAAAACTTCTAAGCATTTTCTTAATTTAATTTCTTTCATGTTTTGATGTGTGTTCTTGGAATCTTATAAAATGAAGATTTTATGACTTTCGTATTACTTTTTCAGCTATTATTATTTTATGTTTACAACATTGTGCAAATTATCGATGCGTCATCATCGTACAGCGAATCAGAAATCAATAAAATTTTGAAGCAACCTGAAGATATTTCAGCAGTGTACTCGGCAAACTCTGAGACTCATCGACCGCTACAATTTCCACTCTACCAACATTCAGTACCGATTTCTGTTCCACACTACGTTTACGTCCCACAATCTTATCCAAAGTATCATCATGTACAGCATAACATTGAAGTTCCTGTTTACAAAGTCATTCCAGAAATTGTCGAAAAACCAGTTCCATACACAATCGAAAAGCATTATCCAGGTAATTCTCCAAATTAATTTTAAATAAGTAACTTAAATCTTATTTTATTTAAGTTGAAGTTGAGAAGCCATTTCCAGTCGAAGTGATTAAAAGATTTGAGATTCCAGTTCCAAAGCCTTATCCAGTTCATGTTGTCTACTACAAACATGTATCAGAATATGATCCAAGTCCAATAAAACCAAAACCAACTTACGCCAGCAAGCCTATTAAATACGGTGGCGTAGTTTTACAGAATCAACATCACGAATTTCAGTTTCGAGGATACTGAGCGTTGAAATGGAAACTTATCGCACTTCGTGTGCCTATTGTTCTCGTGTTATCAGTTTTTAATTTCACTTCAAACCATTGTAAAGAGAAGTGAATGTTTGTTAACTTATTTTGTGTATCAAACCGTTCTTTACCGAAACTGTGACAACAGTCATCTCTTGGGATGAAAATAATATTAATTTCATTTCTTTATGTTGCATCGAAGCACTGCTTTGAAACTCGTCGTGGAAAGTGATTGAACTTCATGAATACTTTTAGGAATTTTTTTTATGTTGTACAAGAAGTCAATAGAAATTGAAGTTCTTTTGTAAATGTTTTAATTGTATCCGGAAACCAAATTAATTTTTAGAATAGTTGATGTTACGACAAAAATTAAAGTTAATAAATTTAAATTCTTTTTCGCACAAAATTTATATCAAACAAATCTTGAAAAACAATTTTTCAACAAATGCCCGCCATGTATAAATAAATCAAATTGAAGCTTCACCATAAAACAAGCTTAACATTGAATTAATATGATTATCTCACGATGGCGCTTGATATTTGTGATCTTTCTGGTAATTTATCATTCACTAAATGTGGAGTTAGTAACACGCTTTGATTTACAACTTGGGAAACATTCCAATGTGGATCTAATTTAAAACCATATTTTATGCACAATCGGAACCAATTCAGCGGTAAATTTGTTGATGCTAATTTTTACAACTCAATGAAAGTGGATTCATATTAATGACAGTATATTATCTGAAAGTCGATTTCTAACAAATGTTTTTAATGTTCAGAAGAGAAAAGACATCCTACTGTATTTTAACGCTTTGATATATGAGTTTTTATCCAATAAATTATTGCGCTGACGTTTGCAACCTGACTTAAACTTTTTTTAACTCTCGACCACCGAAATTTCCTAGTCACACAAGAAATAGAAATATGATCATACCTTCCACTAATAGGTTTTTAATTTACTTCCACAACGGAATGCTGTCGTTTGTTTCTTTTCTGTTTATCGTTGTGGAGATATCCGACAAAGAATTTTTTATTTATTGCATTCATTGAATGTCATGTCTTGTCTTGTGATGTAATTCGTTGTTTGTTGTTTAAAACTAAGTTAGATGTGCTCAAATACACACTCATCGGGGTAAACATTTTAATAAATTGCTATAATAAAACTTCCGAAATAAAAGCGTTACTTAAGGACAATAAATTTCCAACCTATCCTGGATGTGTTGCAAGGGAATGTTTAATGTTAAAAATTGTTAGATAGTAAATGAAAGGGAACGCTGGAGAATAAAGAATTTTTATTTGGTCGCAACAGCGAGCAGCTTGGAAAACAACGATGACATGAATCGCAAAGCAAAAGATGATAAACGGAGGCCACTAGTTTAATTTTTATTCCGAACAATTTATTATACTCGACTTTGCCTCCTTGACTCTCTCACTCTACACTCTAACCGTTCTTCGTACAATCAACAGGTACTTTAATGAAATGAATTATTTACTCGATGCTTTAGAATCGTTTTGGAAATTTATTAATTTGGTCGCGTGGAATGTTTTCACGACATTTAATAAAAGAACAATTTTTCGAGGAAGTTGCGTTCCATATTTGAGTGTATGAAAATTTATATTTCCACTGAGATGAACAAAACGGATGTTGGTTGTTTGCTTACAGCACAGAGCAGGAAGTGTAGTCCATAAATCCACTTTATTTGTCGTTTGCAGGTGAAAAGATTGAAAACATCAACGTAACTCAACACACAGTTCTGGGAGATAGTAAATTCCAGTGGTTCTCAAACGTCTTCTATCGGAAATTGTTCTGAAATTGAATTAAAAGCAATTTTAGCTATTTATGCTAAATCGAATAATATTTGATCAATTCCAGATCATCAAAAATAACATTGTGAAATAAATAAATTTTATTTCAGAGAAAAAGATTTTCCAACCCTGTTTGTTGATTTCTTCTATATCGTCTTTAATGAAATTAACAAACACTAAGCAGACATATTCTGGACAGATTTTCTCGCTCACTGAAACAGCATAAATTATTTCTACTTTTTTCTCTTCTTTCACTCGCTCCACCACCACAAAATTCTCGTGTAATTTATGGACTCAGAGTGAAAACATGAATTAAATGCCGTGTGTTTTCGTTTCATCATTTTGACCTTTTAAACTCGACCAGTGTTTTTCTCTTCACTCGCTGTTTTTGTTCTGCTTTATTGGAACGTCGTAGCACACACTGAATAATATATTAACTTTTGTTTTTCATCTTGCGGATTATTTTCCTCTTTGCGAAAAATTTCTGAAAGTTGGAAAAGGTAAAAGAATCATCGAACAATATTGAACTTCAAAATTCTTTGATAATGTTTTGAGATAAAATAAAAATATCTGAAAATTCTGTCTTTCATATCATTTAAGATTAAACTTTGTTTCTGTTTTAAAACAAACAACATAAGAATTTCATGATCTCACTTTTATTTTCATAAAACAACATTTCTAAGCTGTCGAGTTTGAACAACGACTGAAACAATTTCCAACATTGAACGAAGCGTGACATTGTCATGTGAATGCTTAAAAATTCATCAGCTTTCAATTTTGTAAATGAAATTGAATGATAACAATCAAATATGAAATGATAGCTGAACAAAACATCGTCATCAGTTTATAATCGATGAGAAAAAGTTTTCCGGCATTAAATTGGGGGCTGCCATGGATGATGGAAAGGTAAAATATTTGATACTAGAATTAAAAATATCTCTTGTAAAAAATATATTTTCACTAATATTTCTACTCACTTCATCAACTTTCTTAAACTTTTTGCAGAAATTTTCTATAATTTCCAATGAACTTTTGTTTTCTTCACGAATTTCCTCGCATCCTTTAATGCAAGAGAACAAAATGCTGAATTGCAAGCATATCCAGAAAAGTGTTGAAAACACTAAATAAAAATTGAAGTGAATTGTGCCAATGTATGCTAAAAATATGCTGTACATAAGATTTAAAACATTAATGAACTGAGAACCGATAATTGCGAGAAGAACTTTGCTGAAGATTGATGACAAAAGGCGCGAGATTTCATTCAAGTCACAAACAATAATTTTGAAGACATTCAACTTCAAATTACTGTCACTTGTAGCCAAAGTTTTTTCAAACTTTCTATTTGCTTCTTTGTGATAATCTCTAATAATTTTCAGAATATTTATGTAAAAAAGAACTAAAACAAATCCCAGAAATGTAGAAATAACGCAGATTCCCTAAATACAAATTTTTAAATATGTCACTGGTTATCAAATTTACAATATTAATTTAAACTTACCAAATAGCAATGCACTTGTTCAATCCAACTTTTATCATAAGGGTGGATAACAATACAACCACTTGCTCCAGTAAGATTAATCAAAATTGTGATTATAAATGTCCTAATGAAATTTCTTTTATGTTTTTGATAAGAAACCTGACAGCCAATCTTATTTAACTTTAAGCTTAGATTATTTAATTTTTTCAGAAGCTGAAAACTCAATTAAATTTTTAATGTTTGAAATATATCAAATAGAAGAGCATTTGTGCAGATATTTTACCTTAATCACTTTATGACGCATCAGCCAGATATTGATGCTTCCCAAGGCACTGGACATATAAAAGCTGATCATTTGCAAGCGAATTATTGTATGCACAGCGGGATTGTTATCCTTCACATGTGCATGTTTCATTTTTAAGTTGGCATAAATGACATAAACAATCGATATCGATGTAATTATCAAACTATGTATCTGTGAATATTTTGTTAATTTCACTTCAGCTTTAAGTGGTGTTGATGATAATTTAAAAGGGAATTGTCCGATGATAGTAAAAAATTTTAAATAAACCCAAATTGAGGAATAAAAACATTTCTTAGGGATATGAAATTTAAAACTTTCAAATATTTTTGTCATAATTTAAGTTGAAATTGAAACTCAAAAAATATCCTTGATGTGTCTTTGAATTGAAACATAGAACTAAAAATATTTTGAAAAAGAACATTTAACTTAATTAATTCTTTTATCACTCCAAGTACATTCATTAAATTAATTAATCGTTTTGTACCTACAATTAAGCACACACATATCAATAACCTCGATATGAATTTTTATATTTTCCTAATATTTGTTCATTGTTTAAACTCTAAACACTCGAAAAAGCGAAAATTGTTATAACAACGTTTATGAATTAATTTTTTTATTTATATCCACTTAATCATTACATCTTTGTTTTAACTTAATTCTGATAAATAAAATTCTTTGGCGCCAGCAATAACTCAACAGTCAGCGTAAATGGAAAATTTGTTATGCATTTTAATCGGCGGGCGGAAATTGAAGTGTTGATGTTTAATGATGTAAACAATCGTTCAAATTAAGTTGAAGCGATGCATATTGCCGATAATTTTTATTTTAATCGAGATTATTGAACATGTTTTCATAAAAATTTCAAAGCAACAAGTGATTTATGTGAAGCGTCTTTCAACCGTGATTTAATAAAAAAAAGAAGCTAAAAAATAATTGAAATTGCGTGATCGACATGTGAATTTTTATTACATCTTAGCTGACATCTTTGGTAACATTGCTATACAGACGATGAAAGTAAAAAACAGAAAAAAAGAAGAACGAGAAGGGAAAAAGATCACAAAATGCTCCGCCTCATTTAATTGTTTGTAAGACGAACGTTGTCGCAAATTTCATCGCTGCCATCAAAAGCGTCTCACCGAAAGAACGACAAAAACTTTTTTCTTGTTCAAATAAAAGGCTTCGCGACAAAGTAATGAGAGAGTTGAAGTTGAACTTTTATTGAAGTCGCTCTGATTGGATGAATTATTTGATGTTTTCGCATGCATAAATTTCCATTCATTAAACTGAATATCATTTCATTTTTTTCTTTTCCATCTTGTGCCTCAAACTAAATGAAGGAAAATTGCAGCAAGAAAAAAGACAATGACTGAAATGCATATAAATTGTGCCTTTAAATACTCCGACGATTGTGAGTCGGAAAGACGGGAAAAAAATTGTATTTATTCGGAATAATGGATGGCAAGCTAGCAAGTGAATTTTCTTACTTTTTTTTCGTGTGTAATGTGAATAAAAAATTACATGCAATTACATAAGAAGCTTTGAGCTCTAATTCAGCGGATTTTTTACTTGAGGTTGCATGAGGCATCAGAGGATTTGCATAAAAATAAATGGAGAATTAAATTAAATTGTGTTCATTAATTATTGATCTCTGTCGTCTTTATTCATGTTATTAACAACATATATATAAAATTAATGTTATTTTAAAGATTTTGTATTAAAATGCCTTAAGCGCAAAACTGCTGGTTGGGACGGTTTTAAAGTTAATTATTAAACCCGATCTAACAACTTATCAGAGTAAATAGCCATTGAAATTAGGATAGGATGTACTGAAATTCCAGATTAATTAAAAAGATCTTAAAATATAGAAGAGAGTAATAACGCAAAATCACTTTTTTAATTGGAAGGTTAATTAGTGGCTACACGTCGTGAATGTTTTTCAAAAATAAACATTTTCAATTAATCGCAACACTTTTGTCGGAATATTTTGTTGGGGAAATTTTGTTGATTAAACACATAGTTTTGTCTGATTTATTTACTTAACCAGAAGTATTTAAACTAATTATAAAATAACTGTCAACAGAAATTTTTTCTTCACTTTAAATATTTACAAAATATTGAAGAAATTGTACGAGAAGAAAATAAAATAAAATTATCTGAGCTGCTATTGGCTGCGGCTTCAAACCAATAACTACGTTATACGCCATCGCACAACGCAACGTAATGACGTAAACGTCGACAACGTTTCTTTGTCGTTTTTCAACGTTGATGGATTGTGCATTTCTGTTTGATTCTCTTTATATTTAAATTCATAGAAATTTCTTTTCTATAAAATTGAAATAAAAAGAATTATGTGGAATGAAACTAAAGGAACAGTGTTAATATTTTATTTAAAATCGATGAGATGTAATTTATGCATGTCAGTAAAAATGCATGCAAAGATTTAAAAGAAAATGCGACAACGCAACGAGAGGATTAAAGACAAAAGTATGCTTGCAAACCGCAATCTTTTTTAACATATCTCTGAGAATATTTATAAATTTATAGCAGATAATTAATTAATTAACAGGTCGATATATTTTCTTTATCACAAGGTTGTGATCTAGCATAAAACCATTTCATCTGAACACGATTTAGATGTTAAACCGAAAAAGATTTTTGAGTTTTTTATAGTGAAATTAAAATTGTTTAATGTTTAAGAGCGGTAAAGGTCTATGGGGGAATCCTAAACTTTATTATATTGTTTATAATGTATCCAAAGGAGTTTTAATAACAATAATAAAAGAGTTTTTCATAATTTAGGTTCGGTGAATTTCATCGGGGTGTATATGTATACGAAAGGCACGTCAGTTAACTTGACTGACAGTTTTCTGACTCCATTTCATACCAACACACATCGCTCGACTTAAAATGTTCTCGTATATGATTTTTTTAAACTTTTAAAATGTTTTAATACCTTTCAGATTTTATTCTCTTTAAATTATTTTCTAGATACTTTTTTTTTCAAATATTCTTTTCGTATTGCAGCATAACTTTGGAATCGTCAGAAAGTCTCACTCGATCCAACAGTGGTTTTTGTTGTTGTTAAATAACATTAACATTGCTAAGGCGTAATCTTTTCAATTTAATTCCATTAACAGAATTAAGTATTTTCCATTTCCTCTTGCTATTTTCAACTTGTTGTCTTTTAAAGTCAGTTCTTCAAAAATAAACTTCAATTCATAGGCATCAAGATTACAAACTAACCCAAACGCAAATCAACTTAAACTGACCGATCTTTAGGCTGCAGATCTGTTTGAGAATAAATTCCAAGAAATATCATGAAAGATTTCTCGTTGAGTTTGAAAATTGCTTTTGCTTTTGTAGAAGCTCCAGGAACAAGAATGTTATCTTATGTTAACAATAGAGTCCAATCTGCTTCTTCTCTTTGCCTTCAGTGAAGAAATATTGAATGCAAATCTCATCACAAAACATGCAGAATGCAGACGAGAAGAGGGTAAACATAAGATTGCAAAGAGATGACAATAAAAATGCAAATTTCTTTACCGAAAAAAGAAAGAAAGAAGTAAGAAGCAAGTTTTCTGTTCCTTCGTTCACTTATTCTTGTCAACGATGAAATCTCTTTTGTTAATTAGATCAGCTTTCTAATGCTAAACAGAAGAATTTTAAACACAAATTTTTCGCATGCAGAGCAGCAGGAAGAAAATTTAGAAATCTCAATTCGGAGATGGAATGACTTATGGAACTGACAAAAACTCATGTAATTAGAGCCTTTAGTTTAATCAATTAATCTTTTGAGCTGCGGAAACTTCTTTGTTAGCTTTGTCTTAATCCAAAGTCATGAGACAGTGTAAGCAGCAAGATGAACGAATGAATACAGAAAAATTTTTGTGTTTTGAAATTAATTAAAAATCTCATTCGTTTAATTTATGCGTTTTCGAAAAAAAAGGGAGAAAAAAATATGAGAAAGATTTTAGATTATTTTACGTTGTTGAGAAAGAAGTCTCAAGTTCTTTTGATTAGTCAAAACAGTGGAGTGTCTGAAGTGATTCTAATGATGATGCCTTTTAATTTAGTCGCTTGGGAAACACCGACTAGCGACATCGAAAATTCAAGAGATGCTGGATTAACATAAAAAGTCAATTTTATAGAACATATGTATAGTGACTAATTTAAATAATATTTAAAATTGATGAAATAAATTTGATATTAATTCCTTACTTCTTCTGTCTATGTAAAGATTGATTGAGCTTGTGGCGTCGAATTTCAAAATGTAAAAATTGTTTTAAAGGTCAAAAATCATTAAAAAGATTTCTCGGTGGACATGATTAACTTTACAACACTGAAATGATTTTCATTATCGCGATTTTGGAGGTTTTAACTGCACTTGTCCGGTCTTTTGATTTCATTTATCAAATATTTCAGTAAACTGCCGAACAAAAATGAAAGATTTTCTTTCTTTGTTTCTCAATTGATCAAGAGCATTAAAAATTCATCATAATATTCAAATTATAATTATCATTAAAAGGTTTTTTTCCTCTCTATATAGATACTTACAAATCACGAAGCAAGCGGTGAAAAAATTAACATATTCAAATGTGATGCTGCTCGAACAGACAAAAATAATAATCATTAAAGAGCTTTTTTTTTCCTCTTCTTGGCTTGATCATCGTGAAAATGGTAGAGAAGAAAAAAAAATGTTTAATAATGGATGTGGTCAGACTCCAAATGAATTTTACAAAAGCGAAATCGATAAAGCATTTTAAGTTAATTTAATCCTCCAAAAATATCGCCGTATTCGGATGCTCATTATACGCTTTAAATCTTAGAGAAAGCTAACAATAAAACAAATGTTCCAAACAGGTGATAAAACGCTCAAAGTCGATTTGTAGTCATAATAAAATAGTCGAAATAAATTTCGATAATTCAGTCCGAAGTGGTGTCAAAAGAGCACTCAATTGATTATCTTCAGAAATGACATGCAATGTTCGGCTTCTAATTTGCTTTATTGACGTATTCCAATTCGGACTTTGATGATGCTCATGAATGTCATCTTTTGAAACAAAAAGAAACAGAAAAATGTGCCATTAAATTGTCGATAATTTAGTCTTCAACTGATCGAAGAGAGGGAAAGAAAAATAAAAATAAAAAATGAAGAAAAATCTTCAAACGTCAATGAATCTCCTTTCCATTTCCATTATTCATATTTTCTGAGATTTTAGACCGCTCTCAACATTAAAATCAAGCATTTTATATTCATTGGATTGGTTGAAGAATCTCCAAGCATCAACCGTGTGATAGATTGTTGCTATATTGATTTTAAACGAAAAAATAAACTGTAATAAAAATTTTATGGTCAAATGATGAAGATGATGATGCGGATAGCTCGGATGTACCATAAATCTTGCATAAAGCAGATGATTGAAATAGCTTTTCTTCTTCTTTTTTCACTACTTGGAGGACGTGAAGTTTTGACAGTTTTTTATTTTTATTTTTTTATAAGACGCGAAAGCTGTTTATATGATAATCGGGAAGGTAGCGGGTTCAAGTCCCGCCTGAGTAATTTGTATCAATCATAATTTGTTGTAAACTTTTCTCTTTACGATTGTTGAACATTTGTGAGGTTTTTAATTCATGCTGTAAGCGTCGTAAATTAATGTTGAAACACAATTTTTTATTTCTTGATTCTTCTAGTTTCCTTAGAAGATCACAATTGAAAAAAGATATTTCGAATTTCGATTTCAATACTCATCAAGGCATGAATGAAATGTACAAAGCATCTCAATTGAGAGATTTTTCAAAGAATTTATGATGTTGGCATCACAAAAGACTCTCATCGTTCTTTCACGGTGTCGATTTGGCATGACAAGACAATTATCGGTTTTAATACGAAATAATTATGAAATCAATAAATTCATTCATGGAATATAAAAAATTGTTTGCTATGCGGTGTGAATGATGTGCTTCTTTTCACCTTTTCTCTCACTCTTCACAGCTCACAACGCATTTATATTGATTTCTTAATTTCCACCATTTACAACTTAAGTCGAAAAAATGAATTTTTATCTATCATTTAATACGGAACATCATTCGCTTTTTATTCATATTTATGAAACATTTTTTTTCCTTTCTTGTTGTAGGCTTTAGACAGAGTGAATATAATAAAAAATGAAGTTAATTATTTGATCATTTATTTTTGAAGTTTAAATGCTAATGCTTTCTTTCTTCTGTTCTAAGTTTTTAAGAAATCTTCGTAGTCAGTTTATTGTTGACTCGATAAATATCACCACAAAAATGATCCCCCAGTTAATTAAAATAGTTTACGATGATATTTGTTTCAACACCTTATCTTATCGCAAGCGTTTGTCTTTCGTCTTTCCTAGGCTTTCATGAAAAATGTTGTCTAAACATTCTGTGTTAGGCACGATAGCTGCTGTTGTTGCTCTGATCATCATCTGAATGTTAATGTGAAATAATAAAATATAAATTTCGAACGTTAGCAACCCAGGTGGAAGTCAGGGATGACTTCGGCGACAGACTATGTCGTTAAAGTGTCAACATAAACATTCAACTTGATTCATGAAATCCTCTACATCTTTGAGTCTACATTTGTTTCTTTTTTGGAGGTCTCAATAGCGCGTTCACATAATGCTCATCAAACATTTATTTTTCTGTATACTTTTGTGCCTCATTTCCTTCCTGTTTAAGCGACTGAATTAATCATCAATTCGTACAAACCTCACATTAAATAAAAAAATCAGTGATGAGCAAATAATAGCAATAATCAAAACAATGTTTAAGCACCTCATGCTTTTGCAATCCTCCACTGTCGTGACAATATTTATCATTACCAATTTTTATTTGTTTATAACTACACTTGTTTGTTGTTTGCTGATTTTTTTCCTCCCCTTTACTTACCACACGTTGGTCTACATATGAATGAATGATTGTGACAGAAAAACAAAACATTAAAAGCACTTTAACTTTGTTTGAGCTCATTTGATAATTATTACAATTAAATGATAGCATATGGATATTTTAATGTACTCAACGAAATGTTAACAATCGCGATTAAAACGAACGAAACAAGAAAAAAAATGTGAGAGTTTTGTGTGGGTGTGTGTAAGGTACACAAGTTGACAGTGAGATAAATATTTTCATTTTTTTACTGCCTCCACTTTAGGAGAAGCTTCCACAAGTCGATCTCATTTATCAGCTCTGCAATGCGATGTTTATCCAATGAGAACTGATATGAAGGAACACTATTTAACATCAAAACTGCTGTTTGTGATCTATTGCTACTTGAACTTTTTACGACATTAAATTAAATGCAAAGATTCAGGTGGAGACGATGGTAAAAAAAAGAGACCGAAGGCATCTATCTGATGTTTAATTCATGTGTCAAACAGTAGCTGAATATTTATATTTATTAAGCTTGAACCACGAAAAATTATTCTTCATGCTTTTCGTCTTTTTTAGCTGTTTTATTAAGCGCGAGCTTTTATTTTCATTTCATTCATTTCATGACTGTGATAATAATTAAACAAACATCCATAATAATAAATTAACCAACAGCAACAAAAAAAAAGTATTTAACAAATACAGAACTGCTGCAATTATAATTGTTCTAAAGCACTCAACTTGAGCAAACATGTGAAAATGGCTGTTAAATGTTTTTCCTGTGAAAATAAACATAAAAATGATTTTTTGTGGATTTTTTCTGTTGTCTTTTTGGACTCTTTTTTTCTGATATTTATTATTCAATGGATTGTAATAAATCACACCGATATATATTTCACAATTTCAGCTTCGACACGACGACACAGGGAGAAACAAAAAAAAATTCCCATCAGAAATGAAAAGAAATGAAATAAAGCAGCGGCAGAAATGTGTATTGCTTGCTAACTGACATATTAATGTCGAAGACAATACAATTTGTGCTTCTGGAATTCCTAATATTTCATAATTCCTTAGAAGCGCGTTGATAAAGTCGTCCACTTTGTATCTTCATTCATATTTTATGACATTTTTTATTAGAAGTTATTGCAAGTATCGCACAACATCGAACACATTCAATCAGACTCGTCAACCTTCATGAGCAGCACAATTAATATTTCATATTTTAATTTATCCATTTGGGAAATCAGGAAGGTTTGGGAGAATGTTTTTCTCGCACTATTTCCACACATGATTATTTTACTTAAATCTTCCCCAACTGAATATTTTCCAACGAAACTGCCTTTTGTGTAGCAAAAGCTTCGTGATTGAGATTTTTTCTGATTTTGATTTATTACAACGCGCATTTGTTTCGTGGAAATTCATTGCTACGATGTTGGGATGAATGATTCAATAAAACAATTTACGAAAGAGGATGAGAATTGTTTCTAACTTAATTAAGGAATGGATTTATGGAGTTTCTTTCTCCCATGGCCATGCCATGGCTTTAAGAATATCTACTTAAGATTTGAAATTTGTTTTTGAGTTGAGTTCGCCGTCGCTCTCAAACGACCATACTTGTTTAATGTTTAAACTTCACCAAGAGTCTTAATGATTATACAATTTTTACGCTTTGTTTTGCGCCCATTAGGCAGTTTTCTAGCCGCGATTCTTATGTATGAGAAAAATCATCGCATGGGGTAATTAAGAGAAGAAATATTATTTTTCAAAATATAACCGGGCAAGCAATGAGAATTTGTAAAGGAGAATAAGAAGACTGCTCAATGTTTAAGTTATCTACTGCCCGGAGTGCTTCTTGAGGCATGAAATTTCGTAAGAAAAAATTCAATTAAGGTCTTAATTTCTTATCTAACGTTTAACAATCTGAGTTCGTCCCTAAATTTATTCGCAGACTGTGACGAGATTAGTCAACTTTATATTCAACTAGTTTTCATTATTATTCAGTTGCTTTTATAATGCTTTGGATTGATGAACGGTCAAGTTTATGAATTCGAGTTGAAGATATTAAAAAGTTATTAAAAGATTAATGTTGAATTAGTAGCATTAATAAGTTGTTTGCATGTTAATAATCGTCACATTCATCCAATGAAATATTAATAATTAGCTAAAGATCAAAACTTTACAAGCAACACCCATCAGCCTCTTCCTATTTCCTTTCTTTCATTTCACAAAACTTTTATGAAACATCAAAAAATCAGCTAATGGAAAAAAAGTCTTAATGTTGCTGAGAAACAACATTTGAAAATAATTTCTAAAATCACTTTTATTCTATTATCTATCTAAGCATTGAAATGATGGTAGTGTGGATTAAGTTTTTAATATTCTCTTTCATCTAATGGAATTCATTTTAAACTAATTTGCAAACGAACTAAAGCGAATCCACTTCTCATTGAAATCAGCAAAAACATGTTCACAACAACACAAACTAAACTGTCAGATTATGCGGTACGATTTTCACTAAAATTTAAACATTTTATCCATTTTATCGGGTTTTGTGTGTAAATGATGCTAATCCCAATCATCAGTAACTAACTTTTCCTAACTCTGTTGCTGTTTTGTTTCCTTCTGTTCTGGAAAACCTTTTTTTTTGTCTAATTTCATTTCAAAAATCGAAACGGGAGAGTGTAAAAGAATGATTAAGATTGACAGTTTACGAAATTTGAAACATATGCAAACACAGTAGTACTGAAAGTCAAATTCAATGCTGAATCAGCATGTAGACAATGAGACTGAGGCTGATTTAAGTTCACAACCCTATAACATTCCCCTGTCACCCGCTTTATGTTGTTGTTCAGTCTGTGTTTGATTGACTTTTGTGTAACAATTGAAGAGCTTTTGAAATCGACACCTTGTGGAACAATTGCTTACAAACACACGATAATTTCTTGATTGTTTGTTATTTTAAAAATTCATTGAAAAGGAGAGAAAAAAATTTTATTGTTGGAAGTTAAGAGTCGTGCGTTTGATTAAATGAGGGGATGTGTGATGTGAAATATTTTCATTTGATGGGAAAAAATGAAGGAATAAAAAAAAAGAAATGAAAATTGAAAGTGAAAAGCGAATAAATAAATGGGAAAGATTGATCAATTCATCAGGTTAATTAACTGATCACTTTAGATCTAGATCTGAAAGAAATCAAAAGTAGATTTCATCTTTCAATTCTCGAATTAATACCACAGCATGATTCAACCTCAAACGTTATTAATTGATCATCTTCAAAGATGGAAATGTAACATGTTCATTGGACTTTGATGGAGCGGAACGCTCGAAGTGAGATCAAGTCAAAGGCACAGAGCAAGAAACGCAAATTTAAAGAATTAAACAAAGTTCTTTATGGAACATCTTTCGATCATCATGATCTTCATGAAGTGAAATAATAAAACATATGGTGAAGACGATTGAAGTTCATTAATTTTAAATATCTAATACTCACGTGAAAAATATTCTTTTGAAATCATTTTAATTGCTCATTATTCGGATTGATTCTTTTTGAACAATTTGTAAAAGGAAAAATAGAACAAAGAACAAGAAAAATTTCCAGAATTTGATTACGCTTTTGTGGCTTTTAATAATTTGCAAAGTTCTTTGATTAAAACTTTTTCTTTCAAAAATTTCAATTCGGCATAAATATCTGCTTTGAAAAAGAGAATAAGAAGATGGAAGAGAAGAAAGGAAAGATGATTTGAATAAACGATCATGCTGCGAATAACTTGATAATTCATAATTCAAATGCTTCAAAAATCGTGAACTTGTAAATGCATTTAATTTCTTTCATTTTTCATGTGCTGCTTTATTTTGGACTTAAAAAGTGTTTAATTGATCGTTAAATGATTTCAATTTGGCATTTATAGGAAAGATTATCCAACTAGTTGCTACTCCATCATTCCGTCACTCATCGAGATTCTATTAAGTGCTTGACAAAGCGCGCGCCAATTTACTAAATCCCGTTTAACACTCAACATCCGATTGATGGCTGTGTCATTATTAATGATTCACATGTCATGCCATCAAACATGAAAGAGAATGAAAAAACAACACGAAGGGAAATGGATGTTCGTTGGGAAGGTTTACCTTACGACCGTAATCTTAAAAACCAACAAATAACTTTGAGTTGACGGAAAAGAAGTTTTTCTCGCACTCGTTGATAGAGAAAAGTTAATTTTTCATAATTATTTACCATTAATAGACAAATCAAAATATTGACATCATGTAAGTCTATTATTAGTTTGACGTGGGGATAACAGTCAGGCTTCGAGCTTCCGAGTCACTGCCGATCCGCAAACGATGAAGATGAAAAATTGTTTTTTTTCACTCTTGACTTTTTCTTTCAAGAATTTAAGCAAGTCATAGCTCAGACACGGCCCAAACAATGAACACTTTCAACGCCATTTGAATGGAAGGAAATTAATTTTTTGGTGCTTGTTGTGCAGAGCATTGAGATTTAGTTCTTTCTTCTAAACACTCTTTTTTTTTGTTTGACAAACAAACAAACAAACAAGACGTTTTACAAGAATCTTTTTCTATTTAGATTTCTCTTACAATTTCGACCAAACTATCAATTACAAAACAAAGTATCAAGAGAAATGCTAGACATTCATTTATAAAAATATTTATTATTATGATGTGTGGAGAGTCATATTAGATCTTTAGCCATGGTTTGGAAATTGTAGACTCTCGAAATGAGACTCACAACGTGATGTCAAGAAAATAATCATTTTTCATTTCATTAATTACATTTTTTTTTTGCTGTCTCTCTTCCATCTTGTGAAACGATCTTTGGCTGAATGGCAGAATAAAGAACATTGGGGAAGTGTTTTAACTCGCTCATCAGGCGCTTCTGATTTATTATTTATTTTATGTCTACGATGAAAATCTCAGATTGTAACAGAGAAATCTTGAAAAGTCATTCCACTCTTGTATTTATTTATTTATTTAACATGTTTTTATTTTTCAATTAGCAAACTGAGTAGAAAATTAAGTTTTGTGAGATTGTTTTTTGAGTTTGCTTGTTCTGCTGACAACTTATTGCCTATCTTGGATTATCAATCTTTGTTCTTGGACACTGAGAGGAATGAATAGTTGAAATTAATACTTATAAGCAACTTGAACTTTGTTTGAGTCGAACATATCGTAAAGTGATCAAAGGATATAAAGTTATGAGAAGATATCTTCAATAAAAAAGAAATTAATTTTAATTTACGTTCATCAATCAAAACTTTTCCCTCCGTGAACTATTTTATTGGTTTTCATTGAAAGCCTTTAAAGCTCACCTACAGTGTCAACAAAAAGAATCGAAGCACGTTTTGATTTGTGTGTGGGTGGTAAGCGATGACTTTAGATTCATTCATTACAAATTATTTCGTACAGTAATTGACATATCACCACTCGCGTTGACAGCCAACACCATTTTTTATAAAGTGCTTTACAAAGACTTTTATGTTCATGTCGAGAGTGAGACGAAATTTTTGCGATATATTTCACATCGAAATCAAAGCGAAACAAGAAGCCGGAGGGGAAATCATTTTTGTTAGAATCCCTGAATAAAAAGCGATTAATCAAATATTCATAAATCTACTCGACTCACTATTAAGACGGTTCAATGATTCTCCTTTTAACAATTGTTAATATTTTTTCGTTTTCCTCCCTTTTGTATTGTTGCTTCATCAGCGTTCTGATAGATTTGCGATTCCGAAAAAAGACAAGCAAAAAAAGAAAGCAAATCAAAGGACAAAGAAAGATTTAATGTTATACAACAAATTATGCTTTCCGCTCTTAATTAATCTATTTGGAATCTTTCGAGTTGAAACGAGAGACGACGACAATTTTCTACGGATGTCAATGTCTCATGTTGTTTCCATTACTGCTAAACTGGGAGTTATTTTGTTACTCATTCTTCTGTTACCTCAAGCGCTGCTTGCTCTGGAAAGTTATGGGATTTCTTAACCAGTTTCAAACCTAAATAAAGATGACTTTTTCATTGCAATGACTGACATTGACGAATCTAAAATTGCGTGTGATATCTCGAGGCTTTTAAATCTCCCGAGATCTAATATTTTTGATAATCAAAGTGAAATTTCCTCTCCCAAGTCAATGGAACATTTTCATAAATTGTAATTAACTTTCATCTGTTGTTTTACCCCTCCCATTGTCTCGTGCCTGGTGCCATTGAATCCGTGCGACCATGTGGTGATATTCGAAAATCAGTGGAAATTTATTCATTATTTTCTCATTGTTTGCTTCGAATTTTGAGATAAAAAGCAAAGTAAACAACAACAATAACAACAAAAAAAAAACAAAATCAACAAATTTCCCTTGAAACTATAGACGAGTGAATTGTTTGCGACCAACAGGAAAATTGTATTCATCAAGTAAAAAGCATTTTACGCATTCTTTTCAGACACAATTTGATATTTTTTTTGTGGCACTCTCGCTTTAGCTCTCTTCTCTTTTCATTGCACATATTCGTACAGCAATTTTTTTGATTAATGCCGACTGATGTCAACTGATATGTCCTATGGATGTCATACTTGACAATTTGACATTAAATTTAACACATTTACAATGGAAGCAGCGCTTCTCGGGGTAGAAGCTAAACCTTTAATAAAGCGTTTGGTGTGGAAAAAATGAGTTTAGGAGATTTTTTCCTTTGCTTTTGCTGTCTCTTGCTTTGCAGAGATTTCGCTTCGCACATTACAGCGAATTGAAGTCAACGATAAAATTGAAAATTCCGAGAGCTACCGAAATGAAACTTTTGATTAAAATATTTAAATTAAAATACTTTTTCACGCGCACAATGTGTCGGATTTGTTTGATTTAATACGCAAGTCGTATCAAGAGTCAGAGATGCGGAATGGCAGCGAGAAGAATCCTTTTAATTTTCAACAATCCCATGTAAAGCTTCTCACTCCATCGGCTTTGGCTTTTCTCGTGCAGAACACATTCCGAGTGTTCCTATAAAGCAGAAATGTTAAATGAATTTCGTCTTAAATGAATAACATTAAGAGTATTCTTCACTTTCAAAGATGAATGTTAACATCTCTGTCACTACAAATTGAAAAATCTACCGGATTGGAAAATAGGAAAATACTTTCATTTTGACATTTTATCTGCTCCGCCGTTGAGCTTGAATGCGTTGTGCTCCTTTACCTCTACCATCCATTTTAAATCCATCCAATATCATCTCAGAAGCCTTCTGAGCTTCATAGCTCTAAAGATGAAAAATTTGTGGAATTTAACATTTTACTTTTTTTTCTCATTTTAATTTCAAAAAGTTATTTTTATTTTAACTTTTTTGCGAGAACCCTTAACCCAAGAGTGTTCGAGAAGAGATAAATTCTGACAACAGAAAGCATTTTCAGCGGGACACTCTTGGGAAATAAAAGAGACTAAAGCTTCTAAGTAATGAAGAAAGAATCACTTATCAATCCCCGTACGGTCTCTGTTGAGTGGAAGACTTGGCGAGCACACCACGATTGAAACTAATGGAAAAAATATCATTTTTTGATAAATAATTTGTTCAGTTTCAGTCGAAGACTTAACAGGTATTTTTACTTTAAAGTAACTTTTCAAATGAGTGCTACGAAAATGAATAAAAACAGAATCCGCTGAACCCATTTGCAACCAACTTGAGAACACAAATCTTTCTTCATTGCTTCAAGAACCGATTACTGTTCTTGCTGGGATCATTTGTCCGATATACATGTGTAGCTTATAACATATTTTCCATTTAAATGAGATTTACTCCCCTGTGATCATCAAATTAATTTGAATATAACCCAAAAAGTGAAAAAAAAAAAAGTTAAAGCAACGAGTTAAGGCAACTCACAAAGTAAAAATTATTTTTTTGAAGTCGTTTTATTTCTCATCTCCTTCTCCGTTAAATGATTTCTTTTCATTGGAATTCTTTGAAATATTTTTTTCTTTCTTCTTCGCCTGGTTGATCTTCATCATTTATAAAATTATTGTACGCTTTAATCTTCGGCGAGTGTGTTTATCGATATAAGGTTTGTGGGGAGATTCATCGGGGGACTCCATGAGATGATTCGGGATAGAAGTTTATCGAGAATATTGCCTGAGTGTTTAATTTTTTTTTGTTTTCTTCTCGTTTGCGTTTCAAACCGTTTGTCCGTCTCTTCAATCTTTCTGTTGTTTTTTTTTCCTTCTCTTTTTTGAGCTTGTGATGAACTCACAAACGCGGGATAGATTTTTTTTTTACTTTTCGAGTCCCCCCTGTGGCGACTGTGATGCATAAATTCGACCCCTGTTGATACGCCGATCTTCAAAAATTTAAAAGAACTTCAATAATAACAAAAGCTAAAAATCAACTTCGCATTTACTTCTTTTAAAAAGGCAACAATGTACTTTGGTTTGAATCGAAAGTTAAAATTAATTTCTTTGGCTCTTTAGGGCGATCACAAAGTTTGAGCAATTGGCATGAAACGAAACAATAAAGCAACAATTGTGGAAAGAAAGAATTCAAAAGAAATAAGCCATCCATCTCAAGAATCTCTCGTGCAGGTCATGTGAAATGTTATTAAAACGCGATCGTTCTAGTAGAGGGAGAGAGATAATGAATAAGAGAGTGTTGTTGATAATTAAAATGTTTCCAACAACGCCATTTTATCGTCGACATATTGAATGTCAATTCCATCATCTTAAAAGCAGTTTTAAGAGATCAATTGTATGAAAGCAAAAGCAACCCGAAATTAAGTGTAAAGAAATCTGTTAAATTAGACGAGAAAAGAAAACCAGGATAATCGGATTAATGTTTGTTATTCAATTTGTGTGAACTGTGAAGTGAGATGTTCATCTATTGGATGTTCACCTAGCGATATTCTATTGACAGAATCTCAAAGTTATTTCGTAGCATCTTCTCTCACTTCAATTAATGTTTCTCATTAGAATGTTTAAAGCCTGATTATGCATGATTTTCCTTCCCAAAATAAAAAAATAAAGCTTTTTATAATCACAATGAAACTATTCAGCAATGTGAATAAATCGCTGGTATTTAGCACATTAATTTATTAGTGGAAATTCATTTTTCGTATTTTTCTCAATCACTCCATTGTTGAGAGTTTCATGAAAGAGCACTCGATGAAATCTTATTTATCGTTATGAGATTCTTTAAACAAACTAGAAGTTATTGTTATTCCACATAATCAGATTAAAGAAGACTTGACTAATAAGCGAATCAGAAGAGAGAAGAGTTCACAGCAAAATGTGTTTCCATCTCAATTATTTGACTGATTTATTTCACTGTAATGATTTCAATTAACATTGGAATTTTTCCCATGGAGTCCCTCATCAAACCATTCCAACAAAATGCGCATTGTCATAATTCACAATCTCATTCTGGACATTTTGTCTTCTTTGTTGTTTGCCTTTCTGACTTCATCTCTTCTTAAATGAAATCATATATGTGAACATAATTTGTTTGGCTCTTCGTGGCCTCAGACCAGCGATCAGAGCGGTTAGATAAAATTTAATTTACTCTTGCATGAGACTCCAATGAAGCACACACACGGTAAAAGTTATTTTTTACAATAATTACGTTCGACACATTCCAAAAATGCTTTCTTAAGATGTTTTCATGTTGTTCGTCGTTTTCTTATGAAAAATTCTCGCCATAGTTAACAGCAACAAAAAGAGAAGAAATTATGAATTTAAGATACTCATTTGTGTGCTCGCACTCGACGTACTTTCAAGTTACTATTCAAGCATTCGTTCGTTCATCTTCTTCTTTTCTTACCCATGCTAACCAAAGGTTTAAATATGTTCTTGAAGCCACCAACAACAGTTCAGCTTCAAGAAAAGCGATTAACTTTATACGATCATAATGAAAATGAGTGAATTGTTGATGAAGAATTAAATTTCCAAGAAGAAAGAATTATCATTTCTCATAAAGAAATTAAGATGAAAAGACGTCTTCAAATATTTCTCTCTAAAAGAAGAATAGTAGGAATTTATTATTTCTTTTTTTATTCTGTACTGTACAAAAGAAATAACTTACATTCAACTTGTCTGTAGTTGTCATAGCACATATGACGTCATTACACCAATTAGAGTGAGAAATTTTTAATTAAAGGTTGGCTCGAGTAGAGTGAAAATGTTTTCTCGACTTTTCCTGTCAAGATGTTTGCTTGAAAATGTTTTTTCTTTTCTAAATTCGCCAACAAAGTCAAGAAAGTAAATTTTAATATCTCAAGGGATAATTCACAAACCTGGTGCGATGTTTGGGGACATTCTTCCACATTCTCATGTTTAAGTTGAGACTTTTTTCTTGCAGGTATCGTATTGTTGAAAGAGAAGATGGTACATTAATAAATTAAGAATTATGTCGTGCTGAACAACAACATCGCGAGGAAAAAATGTTCAGCAGCTGAAAAGATATGATAAAATTTTGTTTTGTTGAGCCTTCAACAAATTAGGAAAGGGAATTTCACAATCACAAATTGAAGAAGCACAAAATTTACTTTTTTATAAATTTTTAAATCAAGGAAATTTTGTTTTTTTTTAAATATTTTGATTTTGAAGAATATTTACATGTTATAAATGTTGTTAATTGTTTTCACTTCACATTAGAATGTTTAAACACCAAATACAAATAAAAGGTCAAAATATTCAATTTGAATTGAAAATTTCAATTGATATTCGAAACATAAATCGAATTCTTTGTTTATACATACGAATGAATGTCGTGCACATCAAAGCTCAATAACAATAATTAATTTTCCACTTCACCCAGGAATGAGCAAACAAAAAAATACGGAAAATAATATTAATTATGGACTACATTGAAATGCAAATTAACTTTATAATTAACCGAATTTATAAACATTGCATGAATGTCGAATTTACAGACTAAAGCCATGATGTTTGTCATGATTATTCAGTAGATTTTTCTGTGGTTTAAAAATAATGATCTTATTGATCAGCTTACCAGGAGTGGGCTTCAGAATCTGTGGGAAATTTAAGGAGATCCCCTCCCCAACTATATCTCTGTGAGTGGACAGTGATTTTAATCAACAACCAAGCTTTGTCACCATTTCGAATCATTGCAACATTTTTTTTTTTCTTTTCTCACAATTTATGGAAATAAAGTGTCAATGCAATTTGACATAATTTCCAAAGGATAATCCCGCAAATTAAAAAATCCATAATTTTTCTCCTTTATGAAAGGCGATTGGAGCGAAAATAAATTTGCATATTATTTCTTGCTTTTTAACCCTCATCGTCGGCACAAAGCTCTACAACATCGGCTATAATTTTTATTAATGTGACATTTTTCTTGCAACAACAGCAACGAAAAGGCAAGAATCGATCGAATTTATTTAATTTAGCTTCATTTTACATTCGCAACATTGAACAATTTGGGATTGGAAACGTTGAGAAAGAAGAACAGAAGAAATAATTTTTGCGATTGCAGATTTACACTTGCGCAAGAAATTAAAGTTCGCTTGCAATATGGAGAAAAATATTCTTTAACACTAAGTCAGAAAGTACTTAATAGCAATAATTATTTCTTAAAAACTTCAACTCTGCTCGACGATTAACAATGCTAAGTTAAGAAATTATTTACCTGGAATAAATTGATATCAAATGCATTGCAACAGAGTATGGAGAGGGAAAAACGATCGGCGAAAAGCAGTCAACATATTTAATAAAATCATTCCACAGTGGAGAGTGTGCATGTTGCATCAGCATCTTGAAATCTCTTATTTGAATTTTTCTTGCATATTATTTTTACGCATTTACAAAATGTTATTATGCTGATTTCTGTTTTCAATTTTGTCTGATCGCTTCTTACCTTTTTTATGTCTTGTAGTATTTGTTTTCTTGATCTTCTCATAAGACGAAGGGTTAACAAAATTAATTCAATGTTGCTTGGACTTTTTACATATTTTAAAGAATTCTTGTTCTCATTTCATTTCATAATGTTATCAATGTGTTATGATTTACGTATGAATAAATGAGCAAGCCATCATTCGATTGATCACAAGAAATGACTTCTGTAACATCGAAGACTTGGATAATCTTGTAATTGATGTTGAAAGACAGAAAAATTGCGACTTCACATGAAAATTGCAGATTAAATAAATCAGTTCGTTCTGATTAATGTTGCAATGCTGTGCAAATAAATTGAGATTTCACTTTTGAAAACTTACTCAAAAGTTTATGAAATGAAACTTCAGATTTTATTTCTTTTATCGCTTTTATAAACAAGCATTAAAGAATTAAAGTTTCTTCATCTAGCTGACGGTCTTCTGTTACTTGAAAACAAAAGCAGAGGGAAAATAAACAAGACACATAATAATAATAAAATTAATAATATTAATAAAAGGAATTCATTCTATACAAGAGCATTCGAATTCTTTGATAAGATCAGTCGAATAAATAACAAATTAGAATTGATTCTGAAATTTATTTCGAGACTTAAAAGTTAATTAGATTCCACTTTACGATAAACGTTTTTTCGACTCGAAGATATTTCCAAAATTTCAGGTGCTTTCGTGAGTCAAACTGAGGGTGATTTAAAATGTTTTCAAACATCGTTTAAAGGATGCACATTTCAGTCATCAGGATGCTCTTTTTTATTCATATTCTGACAGGAAAATTCTGTCGTCTTTGAGAAGTGAATCCTTTTGACGATTTGGTACACATGTGGCTTTGAAATTAATCCGATTTTCTTTTAATTCGTCTCATTGTTAGAATTTTTGATAATTCCATTTGTTTGCGCTTAAAAATTTCGTTTCTTTATGTTTTGAACTTCGGGGGAGTTAAGGGCAAAGTAAAGAAAGCGAGAAGTCTTCAGGTTTTTGTTTGTTGGATGTCATTGTAAAAAGGCGACATTTGAAAGCGTTTTAATAATTTTATTTTATTTTTTTTAAATAAAAAGCACTTTTCAGGTACACAATTTCTGTCGGCTTTGGAACAATGGACACACAAAAGTTCCTTCTTTGTGATTCTGACATTTCGTTTTTGGTGCAATTTACCTGAATGTACCATTTTTGGTCACACAAAAAAGAGAAAAGCGAAATGAACCCAGATTAGTATTATAATCGGCTAAAGCCTCTAAGGTGTCTCTTCATGTCTTTAATGTCCAAAAATCAAGCGAGAAATTAAAATATAAATCTTTTGTGATTCTTCTTTCGATTAAAATAACTACAAATTTGAGTAAACTTAATTACAATTTTTGAATTCCAAGCCAAGTTTGCAAAAGAAATAATTTTTAATTTCTGCAAAGCAGAAATGATGTCATTTTTATAAAATAAATAAATGAAAATTAAATGAAATTATGAGTTGATATTTTTAAATAAAAGCGTCTTAGTCAATTGAATCTTTTGGAATTTATTAAGCAATTTCTTAAAGGCCATGATGCTTGGTAGGTAGACACAAAATCTCAAGGTGGAAAATGCCAAATTTATTCACAATATGAGAAGCGCAGCTAAAAAATCTCACAATTTATATGATGCACAGTTCAAATCGAGAGATTTTTCCATGGAACTAAGTCGAACTGAATCGAAATATTAAATTGCAATCAATAATATTGCGATGCGCGAAATATTTTTCATATTAATTTTCACAACGCTTAATTTATTGTGCAAAGGATTAAATTAAAATTTATTCTTCTTTCCGCTTCGCTGTTTAAGTCGTCTTGGTCGATGTTTGGGTCTTCGTTACCATTAAAATCAGTGAGTGTTTAACCTTATTTTCATATACCCTCTTCTTTTTGAATATTTTTTGAATATAATATGATAGCGACACGAGTTGATATGAGATCGAGGGATGTAGCCGAAAAGAAATGCAGCGACGCTGGTTGCTTCGATATCTGAATGCTGTTGAAGCTTAAGACTTCAACCAATTTAGGAGATGTTTTGAAAGTAACTCATTTGACCGTTCCTTTATTTGTCAATTCTATTCGGCGTCTTGTTCATATATTTCAACCATGAGATATGAGATTTGTTTATGAAAAATACGAGTCTGATCTTCACTTTTAATTCTTTTTCCTTCTCTGTTAAGTTTCGATCTACCTCGAAGAAAAGTTTTTCAATCCGAAGCGAGAAAAAAATGATACTTTACAAATAAGAATTAAAACTTTAAGTTACGACGTCTTAAATCACCAGCATTTCGATTGAATTATTTGTTTAATGTAGGTAAGAATTGAAGAGAGAATAAAGAAAAAGTTAAAGGAAAATCGTTGTGTAGTTTGAACCTATGGTTTCGAATGTTTTTAAGCCCGCGGATGATTCAGTTAAATTTTTCCTTGTTCGACAAACAAACTTTGTGATTTAAATGCGATCATAAACATGTCTGATGTGCGATATCGCTGAATGTGTGGAAAATGTAGATGATTTGCTTAAGTGGAAGCGAGTTGTGCTTTTCAAAGTGTCTTGTCTGAGATTGTCTGAGACAAGAAATTAAAAAAGAGTTTTTTAAAGCTTAGACAGACTTTCACATCAATTAGTGGATGAATTTCAGTTTGCTGTCTTCGACTATTAGATGGCGAAATTGATATTAATATGATAAATAAAGTTGTGGTTTAAATAGCAGAAAGTTTCTAATTGAATAAATAATATCTTTAGATAAGTTAAAATGGAAAAATTTAAAAGCACAAATGGAGAAAAATATTTAGATAATAAAATTATTTTTCAAAATAAGAGAGATTAAATAATTAAGTGCAATATTCATTAGTAATAACATGGAAAGCAACTGAATTTCATAAATTTTAATCTCAACCTGTCCAAGTGAGTTTCCATAAATTCTTTTTCGTCACATAAAATAAACGTGGAATTAAGAGTCAGGTTTGAGATCATGCACTTTACTGGCGATTGTGCTTTCAAGCTACTTAAAGCAATTTGTTAAACTCAATATGTGGGTTGGCACGTCGAGATAATTAACGTTTCTTTTTTTTTCTCTATAAATAACATTTCAATATATTTCAATTAAATACGGGAGATATTCCAATCTGACTTAGGACATGATGTGAATTAACGACAGTTGCATCATATCGACGTCAAGTCTGAAATTGAGATTTTTATTTTCTTTTTAAAGTGAGAAGAATTGTTAATCGTGAAAGCCGTGAACTTTTGTGTTGAAGCAAATGTTTCTAAAGAATTAGAATCTCAAATCTAATGCGTTAAGACGATAATGTTGTTGAGAAGGGAATCTTAACATTTAAAATTATCCCTTGCTTTCTTCATTTCGGATCTCGGGGGTCTCAAATGATTTGAGACGTGTATGAAACCGTATAATAATCAATTTCTATGAGAAGAGCAAAAGAAAAAATTGAAACCACAAAACCCACATGTTTATAAGTGGCTGCGTTTAAAGGCGAGGAAAATATAAAAATTCTGAAAAGAACTTCAATTAATAAAAATAAAAAGCAAACGAAAATATGAAGAATTTCGAGGAAAATATTTAGAATGTTGCGTGTGAGAAAATAGCTAAAGAATAGTTTTATCAGCTGGAATTAAACGTTTAACTCGAGCTAAAAATTGTTTGTGAAGTCTGACAAGAAGGAGAAAATGTTTTAAATGTTATTTTCAAAAATTCTTTTTCACCCTTGGGGCGCATTCATGAGTTATGTATACGGAAATCTTGTAGAGATCATTATTGAAATTCTATGAACATTACATTCAATCATCCCCATGAAAGACCTAGAAAAATTGTTTTTCAACTCACTAGATGAATGAAATGTGTGTAAATTAAATTCATGATACTTTCTTTCTTCTATTTTTTCATTCTATAAATTTTCAATTTGTTGTTGTTGGGAAATGCGCGCAGGTTGAAGATTTACCATCATTTCCATAAGATTGATTAATAGCTGTTTCAAGCGTTAAACAGGAAAATCCTTAAAGCATCTAATTCCTTTATCCCAAAATTTCATTATCAAAAGAAGAGAAAAAAAGACGAGAAAAGATATCTGAGCCATACAAACGTTAAATAAAATTTCCATAAATAAACTTTTAAATCGCTGTTTAAATAGGAATGTAATTTTGTGTGTCCCTAAAGCATCTTCGCCTTTCCCTCGAAGTGTAAACGTATTTCGAAGGCATTCTGCATTTTGTAAGATATCGTAGGATAATTTTATATGTTGTGTCATGTGATTATTCATAACACTAATAAATATTCAAAGTATGAATTGTGACATCACTGAATAACCCTCAGAAACAACTCAATTCACGAAGGAAGCAAATGAACATTTTTCTGTTCCATTTAACGATTGACGATTGTAAGTGAATTATAAATAGAAAAAGAAATCGTCTCTAAGTAACATATAAATAATATAAAGCTGAACATAAATCATAATTTTCCATTCTTGTAACAGTTTTTTGTGTGTGCACTTCAAAAGACGGATTTCCCTTTCTGCTTGCATGTAGAACGATTTCGGTTCTGTTTTGGTTGACTTCTTATGAAAGCAACACTCATGAAGATCGTCTATTTGAAGGGAATATGGCAAAAATATTTTGCTTCATAATTTGAAGTTGTATATTGCGTTTCAACAGCTTGTGATACCTGTAAAATGTATTATGCAATGTTGTCACACCCATGAACAAAAGACGCATTCGAGCCGCTCTAGAATCAATTTCTGACCTTTTTTTTCATCTTTCTCATCAATACCGATAAATAAATTCAAGTTATGAAGAGAAAAACAAAAACATGAAACATCTTTACGGATATTCTTCTGAGTTTATTTTAAGATGTCAGACTTTGAGATTTGTAAGGGGAGAGAAAACTGAAAACTTAAAAAAAAATCATTTCTAAGAACATCGAGATGGAAACTTTGCATGAGAAAGTTTTTGTTTTTAAGGATTTCATTTCATGGCGATAGATTTTCAGACTAGTCTCTTTTGGGGGATGTTTTGAAGCATTTCTTTCTCCTTAAAATCATTCAAAAAGGAAATGCAGAAGACCACGCGGAAATGGAATCGCAAACGACATCAATGAGATACGATAAATTGTGGAAAGTGTTGGAAAGGATCTCATGTCTTCATAAATCCTTTTAATAAGATGCTCGATGTGTCTGAACAAATGTTTTTGTCACCTCATAAAAGGATTGGAGAATTTCATGCATGAAATGATTTTGAACAAAATATCCTGCGACAACGAAATGTGTGCAAGCAAAAATGAAATGAATAATCTTACGGGAAGCACAAATGTCTTCACTACTCTTAGAACGGAAGGAAAATTTATTGCTTCGACCATAATCGTAAAGATGTCCCCCTCATCTCAAGTCATGGGGGAGGCGAGAAACTTTTCCTATATTTGCAAGTCAAGTGGAACAGAAACGACTAAATTTAGTAACTTGTAAATTTTCGTTAGACAAACTCGATTTGTGGAAATTGTGTCAATATTTTCTTCTTTCTCAAGTAATTTCCGTTTAGAAATAAATTGCGACTTTTACTTCACAGCCATCACTCAGAATTAATAGAGAAACAGAAACAGCAGAAAAAGTGCGGGCAACATCATTATAATGGAGGAGTAAGTTGGAAATACTTTCGTTCAATTAAATTTAATCTCTAATGGACGACAATGCAGTTGGTTGGAAACATATTGACAGTTGTAATGACATTGCATAAAATCTTCTTCAACTCATGCTTTCTTTCTCTATGCCATTGCTGATAAAGCATATTTGTGGCAATAAATTATACATTGCACCTCTATGTACACTAATAAACCCAACCGGGTAATAAACATTTAAAACAAACAACCATAAAAATAATGTTGCTTGTCTTGTAAGCACAGTGTCGAATAGCGAAGCTTAAATTGATAAAAGGGAGTGAGAGTGAAAAGAAAAAGCGCAAAATAATGATATCGAAGTGCAATTTTTATTATTAAATGTCACTATTACACTTGTTTGTGCAATATTCTTATCCATAAATATTTATACATTTTTCACTTCTCATTCTTATGATGAATGAGCTTTCAATGAAATTGCTTTTTTCTCTCCTTCGATATGCACTCGTTTCAGTTGCAATTATCGAAGGTTTTGTGTTGTTTTGTTTTATGAGAGAGAGAGAAATAAGAAGAATTGTTAACTGTAAATCAATTAAATGATCTCTTAAACAGTGACAGATGAAAATTCAGAAGATTTTATTTTTTAAAAAAGATTCAGAGAAGATCAACAAATTTAATGCAACTTTATGATTCTTGAAATATCAGATTTTCTACCCACGCCATTCCAACATATGTTGTAGAAACATGAACATAAGAGAGCACTTCAGCTAATCATAATATTTATTGGCGATACTTATTTTGTTTGTTTTAATACATTTTATGGATCTCTTTATAGCATTATCGTGGATAAAAGACTGGAACTTATAAAGCGCTTCACGATTTGTGTTCCAATGCGCTCTTTCAAATTGAAGAAGTCGAATAATATTTTTGTAGCGCTTTTACAAATCGCGGGCGCGAGAAAATCTCATTATTGTTTGTAGTACACGGCTTTGAAATTACAATATTGTACACACAAACCGTGTGATCAATGGCAAATGATTAAGGGAGAATAAAAGTTTTGTCGTTTAAATTCTCTTTTACTTTTCCTTACTCGCTTTTCGCGTTTTCTTACTTTTTCATTATTATTATTATTTTTGTTATAATTTCGTTATCGTGACGACCAATCGAGTTTAATTAATTTAAATATATATTTCTTTCTTCCTTTTTTGCCATCGTATTTGCAAAAGCAGAACAAAAAAAGTTTTTCGTCTCACGAGTTAAATGAGAAAGAAAAAGAAATTAATAAAAAAAAATTGCGGCGCTTTAAAAAGAGTTGCAAGAAATTAGCGAGCAGAGTATAAAATAAATGAATCGCAAATGCTTATCAAAAGTTTCATGTTAAAGGCAGTTCGATTGTGCAGTCAAGGCGACTCTTTTCTTAGGTAAATGAAATGCAAGATTTTTATTTGTGCCAACTCTCAATTAGAAACAGGAAAGTCTCTCAGATTCTGCCTGCCTCATTTCTGTGAAGGTTTATTTGGGTGGCGGCTGTTGAAAATTTAATAATTTGTATTTAATACAGAATATTATAATTTATCAATTCACTCTTCCTTACTCAACAACGATTGTTTGTTATTGCTGGCGTGAAATAAAAGCGATATAATTCTCTTCCATTCCACATTAATATTTGTTTTACCGATGATTTATAAATGAAAATTTTACAATTTATTACACGAAAGTTGAAAACTCATGTTAATGATGGTGTAAAGTCGTGCGTTTAACATTGAAGATTAAGCATTGAGAGAATCTGATCATCGCCGGAGACGCGGGAATTAAGCTCAATATAAAAGCATAATTTATGAGATCGTTTTAAATTTATTAAATTCCATAATTGACATAATTAATTGTCTCTGTGGCTATCGATGAGCGTGATGCTTCTTCTTCTGCTCCACTTCATGAAGTCTTAGTTTCTTTCGGTTATTTACCATCGGAATGTTCAAAGGAAATTCCACTCTTGTGGCCACTACCAAAGCGTTATATGATTCTCTGATGAATGAGCTTCAATAAACATCAAAACCAAATTTATTCTCATTCTAAAATCTATAAATTTTAAATTCACTCAGAAAATCTAAATACACAATTTTCTCGTTTTCCAAAAACTTTGTGTGTATGTGAATTCAAGTGTGGAGTGGTTGAGAAAAGAAAGATAAATGGCTTTCGCATGGCTCTTTTTTACTGACAAATTTTCCCTCTTTTTATGGTTTATACATCTCAATATTAGATTGCGAATGACATCGATGGATAAACATTGCTTTTGAGGAGCGATTCGAATGCGTACAGTAAAGCTTCCCTGAAGTGCTTTCAACTTGTTCACAATGTCAAATATCTGTCAATAATTTTATAAATTGGACACTTAATGGTCAAAATTAGGTCGCATACTTGATCGGAGGTTAACGTCATCTCAACCCTTTCCATGAAGATCGCGAGAACATGAGTCAAATGATTGTCTATTTGCGTTTACATTATTTTTCTATCCTCAAATGGGATGAAATCTTTCTTTTTTAGCGTCGGAGTTTGAAGCCACAGTAAAAGCAATTCCGGAGCGACGACATGAAGAGAAACATGTACATTTCCTTTTGATTAAATAGATATCAAACAAATAAATATAATGCGGCACGAAAATGAAGGAAAATAAAAAAAAAGTTTCTCTTGCTATGATTTATAACCATTTTGAAAACCATCCCATTTATTTTTCATCCCTTTCAGCAACTGAATTATTCACTCGGCGCTCTACAAGAGGAAAAAAGGCAGCACGAAAATAAAAAAATGTGTACCAAGCATGGATCGGGAAATAAATCATTTCGGCGCAATCAAAAAAATTGGATGTTTGTGAAAATTGTAAAAAAATATGTAAATTTTGTGTAAGTTCTTTTTTTGCGTTAGCATTATTTTTTCGGTTCGCCGGAACATATCGTGTTTCAGTTCTTTAGATTAGAATGTAGTAAAAGGATTCTTGAAAACCCCCCTTCGTTATACTTTTCTCATTGTTTTTCCAGCACGTCTTGTTAAGAAAAAGGATACAATTGAGTGGCGATAAGAAATCCGAGAATTCATTGTTAAGCGAAAGGGTCGATGATAACTGCGATATAAAGTGACATACAATCCAAAACTTTTCCTCTTTTCATACTATAAAATCTAAAATATCTTCAAACATTACACAATCACAAAAGAAGACCAGTTGACGTCATAAAGTACCACAATTATCATCCCAAAAAATCACAAACAACAACAAACCATCTCCTGATGCTCTCTCGACTTTTAATTTTTATGATTATGATTATTTTGACTTTTTTATTGCTATTTATTGTGTATTTATCACGTAATAAAAATTAAAAAACAGTAAATTTTTCTCCATCTCTTTCGAGTGCCTTTTGTTTGACGAGAAAATATTCCTTCTTGAGTAGATCATGTTTATTTGGAATTTTAAAGGAAAATGCGTGTAACGGAGATGAAACAAATGGGATTCTAAAAGATGAGATGCAATAAAAATAATTTATAATGCTCATAGTTTCTTTTTGACTTTTTCATTTCTCCTTGCAATCTTCTTCTTTTCCTTGTTATTCCTTTGTGAAAGGACAAAGAATTTGTAAGGAAAATAAAATTGAGCAGGGAGAGAATTCTTCAAGATTTTTATGCTTCTTTAAACTGCAACAACAAAACAACAAGGAAGAAAGATTGCATCGAAATAGTTAAGTTCTTCTTTTTTCTCATTTCTGAAACATTCGTCACGTTATAGTCGGGAGGGAAGAGAAGGTCATTGTCGCTATCTTGCTCTCACAAACGATTTGATTTATGATCGTTTCATTAAACATCAAAATTATGTTAACAAACCCCTCAAAACCATAAATTGCTGTAAAAGATTCTTATGCATCACTCACTCACACATCGAAAACATTCAATTCAAGCAAAATGCAACGCGCTCCGCAACATCATTTGTCTCTTTCTACAGAAAAAAAACCACGAATGCGAAGAAGAATAGTCGACAACGACATCAGAAAACAACAACACAGCAACATCGGAACATATCATGGATGGATTGATGTAAAATGGAATTTCGAACCGTCAACATACAACGTAAAGCGTTTAGAATGTTTCATCATATAAATTATATTTTTAAGAAGGCAGAGATGAAGAAATTTTTCTATCATGCTTCATGCTTCTTTCATGCTATTATTGTTATGAATTATGTCATGTTGTAAGGGGATGGAAGAAATGATACTTTATGTTCGTTATTACAATTTAATGAAGAAAATATTACATTTGATGTGCGTTCAGAGCTCGGCAGCTTCTCATGATAAAATTTATGAAATTTTTGCTTCTCGTTTCGATTACGAAGATGAAATTTACAACGTTACGAATAGAGCCAATCTTCATTGGAATGGGTGCTAAGTAAAACGCACCTCTTACGCTCATCTACACAAACTTTTCTTTCTTCCTTTTTTTTTCTTTGAGGAAAAGTTAAACATAATTTATGTATTTTATTAAAAATTTATCGTTTCCATTTTAAAAAGGTATTAAAAATTATTAAATATTAATGTATTGCCTTTTATTGCTCTCCATTCTAGCTTCCTAAGGTTTGTACGTTTATCATGCTACGGATAGAAACTTTTTTATTCACATTAGAGTGATTTATTAAAAATTAGCGTGGGCAAAGGTTGCCTCTTACCTGATCGCGAAATGTTGTCGTACTTAGATTAGTTGTTGATGTTTGAGATGAATTAAAATTTAGTAGTAAAGTTTATATTATTAAAGTGGGTAGTTTTAAAGTGAGGTGGAAGTGGGAAATAATTTATAACAATTTCACAAAATATGTAGAGAATTTCAAAATTCCAATTGAAACTATAGTTTATGTATTTCTAATAAAAGTTAGAGAACTTTGAAGAAACTCAAGCTTTTGTTATTGATTATGGAAGAGCTCAATGAAGGAAATCACCCTACATTTGCGTGAATATTTTCTCAAAAAAAGTTCTGTTTCGTATTAGAAAGTTTTGTGCTTAACATTCGAAAAGTTTTCAGTCTTCGCGATATTTCGAGAAACATTCTGCTTTTTCCACCTGAAAAAATATTTGAGTACCGAAAGAAGAAAACTTCGAAGTTGAATGAAAATAATTATTGTAATAAAAATTTATTTCGTTTTCTGTTTTCTCTGAAGTTAATTAAAAGTTTTTTTTTTCTCGTTCTCCCTTTATCTTTATCGTGTGTCGAGAATTGTTGTTGTCGAGTTGAGCGCCGCCATTAAAATATCCCCATTTTGGTTTGTGCAAATCTTGCGTGTAAAAATTATTAATATGCGTCGTTTATGCTAATCAAAAATTCGAGAAAATAATGGAAAAAAAACTCAACTAAATTAAAAGCTCTCGTTCTTTGTAATTTTCCTTTTTTCCGCGTGTTCTCGAACTTGAAACTGGCCCGAGACTATGAACTCATATATTTCATTATATGAAAGTCGTTCCGAGGAGTTAAAGGCTGCTACAGCTTTTATGTTGCCCTTTTTTGTCTTCTCTCTTGTATACTTTGTATGATATACGAGCAAATGTTTTATGTTTTTGGTTTATGAATATGTTGTCTACAAGCCCTTTTCTGCAACACCATTAATATGCATTTTTTTCAATTATCACATCTCGTTACTACCTATTGTGGGAATATATTAAAATCTTGAAACCAAAGAAATTGCTTTTTAATTGTTGATCATGATGATGACGTCGATAAATGAAAGTTAAGATCATTTTAGCGTCGGATTATTTTGAAAAAGAATTTTAATAAATCATTTAGGTACATTATTTAGAAGTTTTTAAAAGAATAAAATCTTTGTTGATTCACATAAATCATACATTTTATGTTCAAACTTTATATTTTCATAAATTTGACACATGACATTTCGTTGCGAAAAATTTTCATTCATTTCAAATCAGAATTCTAATAATTAAAGTTAAAATAGTTCCACACAACATGCTTCTGAAATCAGGTGACAATGTCAAAATATTATCGTTAGCGTTTCACCATAGTCGACAACTAGAACATGAGAACCAACTAAAATTAATTGCATAAATATTTTGCCGACGATAAACATAAAAATCCCATAAAAATGTCTAATATAAATTGTTCAACAACTTTTACTTTTCATCCCCTAACGAGCGTCGAGTAAATACTATCATAGTCATTCGATGTTACAAAACGTTCGAGAGATGTTCGAAAATGTATAATCGGAGAAGTGCGAGAAAACATAGAAAATTCATTTATGCTGCTGCAGCCAACATAAACATCGCCAAAGAAATCTTGCATCTCTTTCTTACGTTACACAAGACGATCCAAACATAAATGTTTTGCGCTGATAATGATGATAAAGTGCTTTTTCGGTTTTGAAAATTCTTGCGGCTAACTGGTCTTGCATGAATTATACAATTGCTTATTCCGTGGATAAAAAGAAGCATAAAAAGTCATTCATATGAATAAAAATTTACATGTCTGTTCTTAGTTCTTATCATGCTGGAGCAAGAGTCTTTACTTTTTTTTTTGTTCTCCATTCCCTTCATCTGCGCGTGGAATCAAGATTGAAGTTCTGCAACAACAAAGCGAAGTCGTCATTGCAACAACTTGCGAAAAGTGCAACAAGACATTTTTTTTCTTCTCGTTTCTGCGTTCGCAAAAATCTGACAACGAAAGGCGAAGAAGAAGAACGACATTACAGAGAAATCATCATCTTGCGCACACACATGACAAAAACACGTCCAGTGCCAGGTAGCATCACCATCCATCTCTTTTCATGAATCCTAAGAAATGCCATTTATTATAAAACTTTTCTATGAATGAACGTGATAAAGTGTTGGTGAGTTGTCAATGTGTGTTTGAAAACATCCGAAACACGACCACATTGACAAAAATGTTGCCGGGAGTGAAACAGCAGTGGAATATTTTATTTGCTTGAAAAATGTTATTCTTCATTTACACAACGTCGTTCAAACGTTCGAAAGTTGAAGCGACGCGCGTAAAACATTCGAACAGAACAACCATCAACACAAGTAAAAAAGCTTCAAGCATACGCTCGAGACATGGCAATAAGGGAGAAGAGTAGAGAAAGAAAGAAAAAAAATAGGTGGAATCATCGAAAAATAACGAATGAATGTTTCAGCAAAAGGGGGCGTCGCCCATAATACATTTTCATAGTAGTTTGTGCTTGATAAATGTTGATTGACAGAACACTCAGTAAAAATTTGCCTTTGAATCGCGTACGACGTATTTTTAACGACGTCGTTTATACTGAAAATCATAACAATATATTTTTTTTATTATACATCTCTCGCGAGCCACGGAGTTTTTTATTCGATCTACCTTTTAATTTCTCCTGTTTTATCAGTTTTATTTTTGGGAACGATAAAAGAGAATAATAAGGAAGTATTCATGGAAATTACATTTTTTTGATTTTTCGTGTTCTCGTCTGTGGATGAAATTGTGTTGCACAAAAAGGATATACGATAAGAAATCATTTTCGGTTTTTTAATATCGAGCTCAAGAAAAGCAAGAAAAGTCTCATTCTTCCGGCGATCTATTGGGTGAGACCGAATCGTAGTATTTACTGCCTGGTGAAAAATTACTTTTCGATCAACACAACTTCAAGAAAAGAATATTAAGGAAGAATAGCAAAAAAAAAGTTGCACCATCATTCATAATCCTTTTGGTGGTGAAAGGAGCTGGGACATTGTAAAGTGCTACGAAGAAAATGGATCGAGTTGCAATTATTTTATCATAGCGCGCCAAATAATTGTCATCGGATCCTTTAACCATCCACAACGCATACAAATGTATACAAGAATTAAAATTATTTAAGTGATACGCAAAGAAAGAAAATTAAAGAAAAAAATAAAATAAAATAAAAATTATACGAGAAAAGGAAAATTTTTGGTGATAACAAGAAAATATTTTTGCTGAAAGAAATAATTAAATATTAGTGACATGAACAAACTCAAGACTTAGGTTTTTATGTTGTGCAAAATAAAAGATTTAATCACAATTTGATAATACATGTTGTATACGGTATTCGCGCGAAATAAAATTAAAGAATTCTAATATAAAGCTGAAAATTAAATTTCAAGTTAATTAGTACATCACGATGTTCAACGGGAAGTATGAAATATCCGTGATATCATAAAAAGATTTTTGTAATCAACCACTGCATGCATTCAAAGACACTATCGAAAAACGGAGTTCGCTTCTCGTTTCGAGTGTTTTTTTTGAGGAGTGCACAGCTGATTGCAGAAAATTAATTACACAAAGTGGTTACACGTTACATTCGCGGAACGATATTTTCTCGCTTTTCAATAGACACAAAAAAGTAACATTTAATTAAATACGAGAAGACGGGAATGAATTAAAAGGTGTGTGTTAATTGTGTGATTACAACAATAGCTCGACGAGGATTTAATTTACATTTCGCATAAAATTCTCCAACTGATAGCGCTTGAGCTTTACATGGTGATTTATGCAAATTCATTTGTCATCATCATAGAAGAAAAATTACAATTTTTGTGTGTGTCGGTCAAGTGCAAAAATATAATTAATTGAGTTGAGAGAAGAGTAGCTGCCACACAGTAAAAAGAATAAAAAAAATTACTAGCGAGTGATTCAATTAATAAAAAGCAGCTCAGCAGAAAATCTTTTATCACCGCAAGCAGTGAAATTCTTATAAAGTGGCCACAGACTTTGCCGCTCCCCGAGCAGAAATGGCTCAACCAAGGGTAGGTTTCCTGACTTTTAATTCACTTAAAATGACGTTCGAGAGTGTTTTGATGAGTTTTTTTTACTTTTTTTTTGAGTAAGAACAAACAGTGACAAAAATATTTACTTCCTAATTTCTTTTTTAATTAATGATATCAAACGTGAGATTCAGTGCGTGTCGTCCATCATGATCCACCCGAAATTAAAAAAATACATCATAACGAGAGCGAAATGATTAATTATAGTGCGTTTCAGTTTAGCGACGGATTTTTAGTTTCTATTTTGTTGTTTTTTTTTCGTCTTTTCTCGATGTGTAGCGAGCATTCGAGTTTCTTGTACAAGTTCTCAGCTTGGTAATTTATGACGGAAATAAATTAATTTTTTTTCATGATCGTGAAGTAAATCAAAGAATTTTTTTAAGAATTATTTCGAAATGATTTTGTACTCGGGATATGATTTTGTCTTCCTCATTAGAACTTCCATTAACAAAAATTCAATTTACTGAAAGTAAAAGTAAATATTTTTGATGAAAGATACAAAACTTACTTGACAAAGCAGATGATTTTTTGCTGTCGTGAAGCTGTGATAAATTAATAATTAATATGGTGTGACTACTTAAAACATTTTAGACACACAAGTTAAAGCTTCTCCATTTCGGTTTCTCACTTTAAGTCATTCTCATTGATCCACTTAGATTCGATTAAATTTCATTTCGATAATTTCAATAAATTTTCAATCTCGCGGAAAATTGCCGAAGCACTTTAAAAACCGCATCGAAATAAATATGAAAATTTTCTAGACGATCAAAAATATTTAATATTGTTGGTCGATTATTTACATTCAAGACAGAAATAAAATCATTGCCAAGAGTATTATTTCATACTTCTTTCGTTCTTTTTTATACTTTTTCTTTAATTTTTGTATGGAAAATCATGGGAAAGGTTTTAAAGGAAAAAAGCATTAGTTGAGTGCTGAAGAAAGGCATGCGCGTATATGTCAAAAAATAGGAATACAAAAATTACTCGAAAAAAAATAATATAATAAAAAAGACCATCAATCAATTCCAGCCATTTTGAATTTAAGAGAAGAGAAAAAAAATGTGCCAGGCAACGACGACGAAGAGAATCATGTGAATGTATCTAAAAAATAATGTTTGTTATGGTCCCCGAGATATGTCGAAAGAATGTTCTGTCTATGAAATGTTGTGTAGAGATGAACAACGACGCTTGAAGCCCATGAGATATCGACACCAAGCGACCCCGAAAAACATGAAAACTAAAAAACAAAAAAACTACTATCGAAGCTCATGAACAGGGAGAAGAAGATAAATCTCGATCTCTTTAGAGACGTCGTTCAATAATAATATTTAAGAAAAGAAATAAAGCGCGTCGCTACGAGTGGAGCTCACACATTAAACACCATTCTAAATATACGTTTAGAGAAAAACAACAACAGCCCGAACTCACTACATTTTGAACACATTGTACAAGCAAGACGAAAATGAACAAAAATTAGAAGATTTAAATTTAGTGTGCCCAGCTCTCGATCAAATGAAATGATTTTCATTTTTTTTCGTCTTATTTCATTTCATTTCTCGCACGTTCACTGTTAGAAAAATGATGTCAGGTTCGGTAATCGGGTTAAATTCATGAGATACTTTGGTGACATAAAATAAATTATACCGAAGAAAGATTCTTACAAGTTTCGATGAAATTTTCAACAGTTCTTGTTATTATTTTAATGAAAAGTGTCAAGTTGTGTTGTTGGAAAATTGAGGAAATTCTCAAGATAAATAATTTTTTTCCTAAGCAAAAATATTTCGAGACACAGAAGAAAACTTAGAGATAAAAATAAGAAGATCACACAAATTAGGAATCAGGCATGTAGACACAAATGCCGATGCCGAGAAATTGTTTAAATTAAACCGTGCATACACGCGGGGTGACTTCATTTGTCAAACTTATCTAAAATGTGTTCTCATGTGAATTGGAAATTGTTTGGTCGCTTTAAAGTTTGATCATGTTTGCTTCCAGTACTTAAATAGATGAATCTATGAGACCTCGCATTACCCCCCGAACAAAATTGAGAAAGAAATCTCATATATCATCCACGGCCTAGTGAATCCTAAAAGATTCCATTCTAAAGTTTTGTGCTTGCTTCAAATTCTTCTCTTTTCGTCTTTTTGGATGAAATCCATTATATTTCTCCATTCTCTTTCTTTAACATACACCAAATGAAGAAAAGAAATCTTCTCTATATATAAAGTTTTGCTTATTTTTGTCTTTTGCCAAAGAGTGAAGACTCAAAAGAAAGAGAAAGAAAAAAACTATTTTGTTGTTGAAGAACAATGAAGACACAAAAAAGGATTTGCTGGATGTTCATTTGAATAATTTCCGAGATTCTTTTCTTCTTAGTTTCGTCTGAAAGATTTGAAAATTGTTCCTTCAGCCTCATGATAATTTTATGTTATAATTAAATATCCTGTGTATTGTGATGGTGAAATAAATATGTAAAAAGTTTTCCGTTGCCATCCCTCGTTTTCCCTTTTTTTATTTCCTAAAACTTTTTAAGTGTTCTAAATCTTGCTGCAAAATCTTAAGCTCCGTCGGCTTTGGTCAATCAACTCATAAATTGACCACTCAATATTAATCCGGAAATTTAAATAAAATCGCTTAATTTTATTCCTTCTCCGTCGATACCTTCGATTGATTCATTCACGTGGCCAACATTAATAAAAAAAAAAGAATAAAATTAAACACATCGCAGAAATGTTTCAGTGTCAAGCCACTATAAAGTATCACACAAAACACGATGAACAACATCAGTAAAAGAATATACGACTGTTCGTGACATATTCAAGAGCGTAAAAATTCAGACCCGGTGAAAAATTTCGCACTTTAATATCAAATAAAAATGCAGAATAGTGAGAGAAAAAAAATATCATCAGATATATCTAAATATATAAAAATATTAATTGCACTCCGGGCGTTAAAACGACACCATTGATAAACCGGGAAGAGAAATTCGTATCATTAAATTTTTGATTTTTATGTCTGTGCCCAAAACATAATGAATTCAGTTATAGACCATGAATGCTTTAGTTAATTTTTTATTGTGTAAATGGTTCGACTAAGCAACGTGCTGAAACAAATTTAGAATTTCGTGTTTCATGAATGAATACTTAAATGCACGAGAAATATAAAAAATTATGTATGTAGAAAAAAATGTTATTGCATAATTTTTAATGCTCGATAAAGGGAATTTTAAATATGTCGCCCCTCAGACAATGACGCAAATCACTGAATTAAATTTACTCAAAACAACATCATCGCAAATGGAAAACAAAAAATATTTCTTAAAATATTTTTTTCTGTTTAAATTTTTAATCCTTTTAACTTCTTTTCTTTCTCGTGATGAATTTATAAGCAGACAGAAATGTTTAAGAGCAGTTTATTTTGATTCGATCGAACAACAACAGTAATTAAATTAAAATAAATTTCAGAAAAAAGCTTCATTTTTTTGCAAGAGTTTCTTTAATGTCCGCGTAATGAAAACTTCGGAATTATTTTACGACTTTTTTTTTTGTTGTATTTTTAGCATCGACGATTTTTATTTTATTTTTGTGTTGAAGAAATATTTAAACATAATTTGAACTTACAAAAAAAGTATTTGAATAAACTGACTAAGATTCCTCAAAATATTTCAAAGTTGATCTGTCAATAGAAATATTTTTTAAAAATGAAAGAAATTAAACATTTTTACAAAGCGAGTAGAAGTCTTTTAACCTGATTTCATTATTTTTCGAGAGCAGACGGGTTAAGTAGAAAGAGAACATCATCTAACAAGAAAATGAACTAAACAAGAATTGATCGCCAGATATTAGCCGAAAATCTATTAGCGATTGAAAACATTTAAAAGCACGAATAAGAAACTCGTTTTGAGACTATGTTAAGCAAGCGTCCATTGAAGTAAGTGAAACAGGAAAATAAATATCAGCGTCATCATTACCCAGACACTTGCTTTAAAGCGCGAAGTGAAGCAGGAGAAATGAAAGTAAAATAATAATAATAAATAAAATTTATTTTCTCATAAGACGAGACTAATAAACTTGTCACCAAATATATTCATCGAATTGTTGTGTGCTTTGTGCGACGAATATAAAAACAACGAAACACAGCACCAAGCAAAGAAGACAAGATGAAAGAGAATTGGGAACGGGAATGTGGAGTAATTAAGGTATAATAATATTTGAGTTCGCGCTGTCGTCTTTCCAACCGGCATGGAAATTTATGAAATGATGTAAAGCGACCATTTTGGTATAAATAGCAAATTATTGCTCATTCTGTGCTTGATTGCCTCGTCGCGTTGAAGTTCTGTGAACTATGTCGAATTGACGAAATCATTTACTCGTCGTCGTCGTCTTCTCTCTTCGTCTCGAGGCTTAACAGGCGTACAACTCATTAGGAAGAATTAAAGGAATTTTTATTCAAGAAATGAAATGACAAGAAAAAAATTGGATTTCTTGAGTCAGAAAAACGCGACAGTTCGACGGAGACCAAAACGAAACAACAGAAAAAAATTAGGTGCGTCCATCGGATCATTTCTGGTTTCTTCTTTTATTAAAGTCGGGAGGGAAAAAATATAAATAAATTTTTTTCTTTCGAAAATGGTTGAATAACAAACGAAAAAAAAAAGATCTTAAAATGTCGATAAAATATTTAAATTATGAAGATTTTCTTTCTTAATATTTTCCCAGCTTAACGTCGTTTGAGCGACAGCAGCGAAAAAAAAACTTTTTTTTGTTTAAAAAAAGTTAGCCTGAGATTTTTTACCTTGTCCAGCTCTTGAATTTAATTAATTTAATTAGTGTCGAGTTATAGGAGTGATTGTGAAGAGTCAACGCAAATCTTGGCCGAAAATCTCTTTTGGAAAAAATTGAAGAATTATAATGGGTCATTCTTAAGCCATTTACAAAAAAAAAAAGAAAGAAAGAAATAGCGAGCTTTCCACCAGCGTATCTGCGATCTTAGTTCGTTGTCGTTTTTCGCTGCTTTATTTCTCTTCTTCTGAGTACGATTGTTGTTTTTTGTGTGACTGTTGTCCGATTACAATCTCACGATATGAAGGATTATAATCATTAAATGTCTTCTACACACCATGAGAACTTCCATTGTGATTCTAAGAAGCAAGCATCGCCCTTTTGTGAGATGTGAAATGTCGCATTCCATACCGAAAGATTACTGAATCCTTTTCACACATTCCATCCTCTCATGAATTGCCTTTGAGATCATTTCTCGACAGCAACACACGAAATACAAAATTCGAGTTAATACCACTTGTCAACAGAATTTTAAACTAAATGTTTTTGTCCATCATCTTGCAATGAATTCTTTTTACTTTTCTTCCCGTTCGTATGTTTTTTTTTGCCTAAGTCTTAATATTAAAACAAATGTGTCGAGTAAGACGCATTTGCCGATGAAACCTTTAACTTTGACTCTTTCGTATGTTGCTTCATCGCGTATCATTTTACGTTTTCAGCGATTTTTTCATCGCATTTAAAAGTTTTTATTTCGCAAAGTGTTAAAGAAATGTCTTTAGAGGAGAAGAAACAAAAAAGATGACGATTTAAGAAGATGAAGTCGAATCGAATTATTTTTTTAATGAAACTAACGAATTGTAGAACTGCAAACATGTTGAAACACTTCGAAAACAGTGGTAATCGATGATTTCTTATTGTCATGTCTGCAATTTACGCGACGAATCTCAAGCAATGTTTACGAAGTGCGATGTACGAGAGAAGAGAGAAAAGAAATAAAAAAGCATTTTAAAATAGCATAAAAATCATGAAATTGAACCTCAAGAATAAAAATAAAAATTGAAAATTCAAAACACCCGAAAAGTGCCCGCGAAGTCGTTTCATTGCGTATTCAAAGCGTGTAGAAGTTGTTTTAAAGCAAACGCGAATGAGATAAAATTTAGAGCGGAGATAAAGACAGTAAAATTGATTTTCATTTCAATAGGGGAGACAAAGTTGAAGAACCAAAAGAATTTACAACAATTGATCAAGAAACGTGAATAAACGACTTTAGCTGTTTATAGCTTATTGACGGGATTTACCTAATTCAATGAGTTATGATTTTGAACTTTATGTGTCTTAATATGATTGATGATATAATATAAACGTTTCACATGGAACTGACAACAACAACAAGAAATAATAAAGAGAATGAAATGAAAATCGTAATGATCGAGTGTGGATAGGCAGGCAACAAATGTAAAAAAAAAGAATAACAATATTATGTTTCTATTTGTGAATGCAATTAAAGTCAGCTGTGATCAGCTCCAACACAGAAAAAAAGCAACTTATCGTCTTTAAGCAAGCATCACAGTAAAGTTTCTGTAAAGCAGAAGGAATTTCAATAGAACAATGAATGAAATAAATTGCGTAGATATCTGAAGTCATGTAGTGTTGAGCTTGACATTGTAACGAAGTTCAACTGTACATAGCTGAAGCTTGTTCATGAACCTTAGCTGTAATTAAAACTACATTGCCATTGATTAAAATACTAATTTAAAGTTTCGTTTTCTCTCTCTTTAAAATTGTTACGAACATGAGCTAATGAAGAATATCATTCAAAGTCCACAAGTGAGTGGTCGCAACCAACTTACATAAATACGTAGATTGAAGAACACGATTTTCAGCTGGCGAACAAAAGCACCCGATAGAATTATATTCAAAAAAAAAACTTTATTAAAGAAGCTTGTAAAGAATGAACGAAACTTGTTTTTTTTCTTTAACTTCTCCGTTGGTGATTTGTTGTCTTCGGGTGTACCAGCAAAAAAAAAGAAAAAACAATTTAATAAACGGCTCAAAACGTTTAAATTTGATATTTTTTAGACTTGAAATTTGTGAATCTAAAATTAAGTTTCCATAATTGAAAATCGATGCCTAGCAATGGTTAGATGAAGTGTGGCAACAGTGCATCATCGCATTAGACGAAACGAGAATGAATCGTGTAAAATTCTTCTGATACAGAATTTAAGTCTATTGTAGAATGAGAAAAGCAAAAGGGGAAAAATCGAGAGACGAGAGATCTTTAAAGAAGCAAAAAATCCCTGAGTCATTTGACAGAATAAGAGACTTTGACGTTGCGGCCTTTTCGAGGCTTGCTGAACATTTAAATAACCGGCTTAGTAATATTTTGGGTCCGATTTAAAGCCTCATAATGCAATCTCTCTGAAATTTTAACTGTGCATGAGGATTGCCCGATGCAAACATAGCTCATTAAAATGCGTTAAACTGAAGTTGCGCTTGTGAACACTCCAGAGAAGATTCTTCAAACCAACTTACCTTGAATACGATTTGTGCTTGAATTTTATATATGAAATGTGATTCAAGAGAATTATTCATTAGCAAACGAGTTTGTTTGCAATTCTTTCTTCTCTGAATTAACACAACACGAGCTTCATTGCTAGTTGCATTAAGAAATTCACATCTCGGCATTGGAAATCGGCGGATATTTTGGATTAAGCAAAAAAAAATCGATTTCGAGGATCACGAACGCTAGCACATTTTTGTAAATGACTTTTTAAGACGACAACCTATTGAATTCATTCATTGGCTTGAGTGTTATCGAAACATCGTCGAGAAAAGGAAAAAATATTTGAATAAATCTCTCGTCAAAAGATATTTTACATTATTATTGTTATTGCATGTTACTCAATAGCTTAAGCCGCTATGGAAAGACTATTGAGGATAACAGTTTACGAATGAACAACGAAACGTCATTTGTTAAAATGGAAATTACAATTCTTCCTCAATGCTTTAAAAGCAATAATTAAGCTTAGCTTCGTTGATGTTTCTCTAAACAATATTTCGATAGTCAAAAGAAACTTTACGGTAACATTGTTAATTATTCGCATTCGAAAAGAAAAATGAAGCGACTTGGACTGATAAATTATTTTCATTAATAAGTCATTCGACGATTCACATTTGCAGCAACCAAAAAAAGCATTAAAAACGATCACTTAGCAGACAATATGACTCGATCTCTCTCTGTTCCTCTTTTTTCCATCATGCAACATCTTAATTGGTTGCAGAATAAACAACACACTCGCGATAGTTTCCATTAATTGATGAGATAATGAATGAGAAAAAAACAGCAACGCATAATAAAAAATTTTATTAACTGGTTTTTAATTTACGCACTCGACAATGTCTCGCGAGTTGAAGGAAGAATTTGAATCAAGATCAGTTGTGGAAACTTGTTGCTTGTCAATCGACACACCATGAGATGTCTGCATGAGTGAATTAATCCGCATCGTTATCGCTTGATCATTTCTTATGCTTCTCAATTCTGCAAATGCACAAAACACTCTCGACACGACTGATGATCTTTGAAAGCATTTTATTCGCCTAACGAAGTACTATAAATTGTTTTTCTTAATCTTTTCTGTAAATAGTATGATGACGGCTTACATGGCTACATGGATGCCAGTGCCGCAGCAATGTACGATCCACATTCCGGACATCGACCCGGTCTTCCGGGCTTACCACCACATCACTCACCACATATGAATCATGCTGCTGCCGCTGGTATGCACGGTTATCATGGAACACCTAGTCATGTATCACAAGCAACAAATCATATGGGTGCTGTTCAACCAGACAAACGTGATAAAGAAGCTATTTATGGGTAAGCATAATCATAATCATAAACATAAGCGCACTAATTTGAGTACCAACGATCAAACATCATCATCAATGTATCAATTTTTGTTTTTATTTGCAACTAAATTAAATTAAATGAAATTGAATGAAAGTTTCAATCCCGAGGGAATCAATTAAGAAAAAAAAACATTGCCAAACACCATAATCATCAAATTAGAAGGCTTCTGTTGATCACACAAGAGAATAAGAACAACTAACAGTTGACCGAATGCCCACTTAATTGTTGAGTAGCGCACAAGATCTTTATAATCATATTATCCATCGTGGTCATCATCATCATCACCACATCTTTTTATGGTCACGAGAAGGCAACAAGCAAACAAGAAAACGATCGTAAAAAAGTGTTATGAAGAAAATGGTCACTTCCTATGCAATTATGAGTCGTTGATTGGGACCGCAAGAAATGGTTCCGTGTTTATTTGTTGTTTGATCAAAATCGAACAAATGATGATCATTAAACATTAGGGGATCAAGACATTGAGAATTGGATATTAAAAAAATCCACGTTAATTATAGATCACATTAATTCGTTAAGTTTGAGGGCAGTTTTTGTGTTTTTGTTTCCTAAGCCTCATCATCAACAAAAATTAATTGAAACATTTAAAAGGCCATAAATTATTCGACACATCACATTTAAGTGAAAACTATAATTTCTCTAGACGTTTCAACGATGTGCATCATCTTTAAATTGCGAGGGTTGTTCTCTCACCTTTAATAACATGTTACAAGACGAGAAAGGCAGAAAAAAATGTTTAATAAACAATTTCAGCTTATTTAAATGAAGCGTCTTTTGTTTGCTTTCTGCTTTTGTGAGAGTTGCAACAACATCTGTCGTCATATGCTTGTCGAAATGAATTTATGAATGTACATTGCTCAAAAGGTGAAGGAGAAGAAGGCTTTGGATAGAATGAGACCAACGCCAACCATTTCTTTCGCATATAAGAGAAATTAGGTCATAAAATATTTATTAGAACAAAAAAAGATATCGAAGAAATTTGTTAAAGACTTGGAAGGGTGCACAAAATTTCTAGAGAATTTAATTTCGATAGATAAAATGTTATTCTTGTTAAAAGGATAATTTTTTATTGTCGATCTTTCCCTCAAGTTTTTTAAAACATTCCGTTGTTATCAAGTGCATGAAAAGGTAATAAAAAATTAACTGCAAAAGGTGTTTTTGTCGATGGACGAGGCAGAAAACAGTTTGATATAGTTTTTTAACGTCATGTTGCTTGTCGGTGACTACAATTTTATTTTATATTTTGATATATTTTTTTCTCTCTTCCTTTTGAACCTTCTTAAAGAAGATTTTATCAAAACGAAATAAAAGTTAAAAACAATCCCAAAGAAAGAGAGAAAAAAAATAAATAAAATTATTTAAGTAACAACAGTTTCTTGTCGGTTTCGGTTCCATTTCTTGCTTTCGCAGTGCAATAATAACACGCGAGTTAAAAAAAGTCATTTGAGCGAGCGAATGACAAGTTTACAACAGTTTTGATCGTTAAACTTGAAGCGATTATATTGAAGAAGCCTCCAATGATATCGTCTATTGAGAAGGAGAAAAGCTACAAGGGACAGGTCAGTTCTATTGTTCTTCTGTCTAAGACATTAGTTAAGAACGAAGGTCACCTGTCATCTTTTATCAATCGATTCTGACTTTGTTGTGATGTTTTTGTAGTCTTAGCATGACGGCGTCGAGAGATATCGATTTAAAACCGAAATCCTTCAAGACTGTCAAGTGAATAACCCCACTTGATGAAGATGAATGTGCGATAAGATGTTGCTGATGGAGGAGAGAAATGGGTACGAGACGTCGAGGAGCAAACAATAAGCCGAGACTTTAAAGATTCTTCGCCTTTTATTTCTTTCCTTCAATTTTTCAAAAATTACGAAGGAAATATTTGTAAGCGAAAGTTTATCACTCAGCTGTGATCGGAACTTTTGTCATTCCACGAACTCGCAAAACATTTTCATCGAAATGAATCAATAAAAGTTATTTGTTGCCACTTGAACTGATCAATCAAAGAACTTTTTTTACATCGAACACTCGAACAAGGAAAAGAAACTCAAATTCATTATAAATTGACATAAAGTCTGATAATCAGACGTTGAATGAATTGATTCATTCACTTGAATAATGCATTGAACATTGCGATGTTGCATAAATAGTGGAAAATTGCGATAAGTTTCACTTGCAATGCAGGAAGTTTAACAAAAATTTCTTCCTTTAACTAGCATATGCATGTGGATCGTTGCGCTCTTTAAAAAGTGAATTTAAGTCACAGAAAATCTCTGCTGAATATTTACGAACTACCATAAATTAGCCACATCGAATGTGGTTCAAGTTCAACATCCAAATCTGCACCGAACACAAACCAACCGAGCAATAAATTTTCAGACTAGCAAGCAAATTGCATGGCAAATTTTTATCAATAGCTCGTGGAAGAAAACAAAAAAGAAATTAAATATTCATTCATAAAATTGCAATTTTAATTGTGCAAAGAGCGAAAAGAATCGCGTTTCGTGCATGATTTTTATTTTACGAATTGTAATGAAAACGTTCTAGAGAATTAAATTCAGTAGCTTGACGTCGACATGAAGTCATTGAGTGAAGCATTGCAGATGCAAAAGCTCACAAAACTTTGTCTAGAATGACGACGATGATGACAGTCTTCAAATATTTAAAAAACTTTTTTCCTCCCTCATCATGTCGCGTATTTTAATTTTTTCTGTTTATTTTCTTTGGCCATAAATATCATCGAATAAATCTAATTATTACCGTGTTGTTGTTGGAGATCACTCATCGAAGTCGTAAAGAGATTTTTTTTTTGTTGATGGTAAATGAGACACTTCGAATGATGTGCAAAAATCATTTAACTGACACTAGCTTAACACATTTTGAGGATGTCTCTAAACAAACAGCTTCTTCACTTACCGTGCTATTTCAGTTGTTCCGTTATGGGTATTTGTCGCATTCAGCTTACAGAAAAGCGTGTAACGAAACTTTAATTAAACAACACATGTCATTAACTTACATAAGTTTGATGAAAAATTTTCTTGTTCTCAAGGCTTAGTTTGAATAAAACAAATAAAGAAAGAAGCTTTTAATATAAATTACCAGTGGAGATGCCCTTGGGAGTCAATATAGTAGCACGACGAGTGGGATGAAATTTTCCTCTTAAAATATTCAGAGAAATTGAAAATTCTGTGTTACAAACAAACTTTGATAATTTTCCAATCTTTTCTGTAACATGCACACACACGCGAAATGTATTTAGAAAGCAACAACAGCGACGAACGGCATCACAAAAACATTAAATAAGATTTTTAAACTCAAAGAACTGGTTCTCGTTCGAATAAGAAAAGGAGAAATAATAAATTAAAGATTTTCTTCTCTTATTTCGTTTCAAAAAATATGTTTAAAAAGAAAGGGAAAAAAGTAGAAAACTTCTTTCACGAAAAGAAATATCTAAAGCAAGAGAAAAAGCCACAGAAATATTATTAACAAAAATAATAAATTAGATATCGGAGATGAACGAAAGGCAAGAATTTCATTCTGGTCGTTTGTTTTAACGTCGATCGCGTTCCGCGAGAAATTTTCTTTCTTTATAATCTCAAACTTTGATATTTTTGAAAGAGAAACGACGGCAAAGTTTTTTCTTTACTTAATTCAATGTTTTTTTTATTTGTGATGAAGTATCGCAAGCATCCTTTGGCTGCTTTTATGGAATTATCATTTATATGGTCAAATTAACAAAATTTGAACATAAAATGTTATCAAATGTTTCATTCATTTAGCGCAACAGACGAGAAGCTTTTTTGTTTATTCAATGACCATTTTGAGTTTAATGCAATTACAATCTGAAAGCGCTTCCCGATTGGAAGCTGAAACGAAATTTTGTTGTAAATATGAAATCGACATGAAAGAACAAAAAATATTTAGCAAAGAAGAAGAATCAAAAAGCTAACGCAATTTACTGTTGTGCAAGAAAGTCAATATATGTTCAACGACCTGAGAAGCTTTCGCAACTCACTCAACTCCAGACATCGTCAGTATTGTTCAACTTCTCTTCTAAGAAACCAATTTGTGTTTAACGCTTTTGGAAAGCGAATTTAATTCGATATGCCTTGTCGCAAATCGTAATTACGCAAAATTTGCCAACGTTACAAAACCCACAAGGCACTAAGTAGCAGCATGCAAGCTTGCTAAGAAGTTTTGCAATGATCTTATTGATAACTTTGATATGATCTTGAGGTCGAGATGATCACAGTGATAAGTCAAAAAATGTTTCCATTCCACGTGTGTATACTCAGCTGATATACTTAACTGGTTCTGCAGCCTCACCAACACGATCTAAACTTTTTTATTTCAATAGAATTGGAATAATTTGAACAGCACTCGCGTTGAAGTTGAAGTTTCAATCTAAATATTTATAAATTTGTTATTCAACCGCGAACGATTCTTGTAAAGACATAAAAAGTCTCTCATGTCATGCACTACGATCACGAAGAGTTGAATCAATTTAAAACATTTATGACTAATTTCTTAATTAAAATCATCTTTAAGATTTCAGATTCACTTTCTATCGAAGACATGCCAAAAAAAAGAATTAAAGAACTCTTTCGGACGTAAGCGACATGAAGGAAAAATTCTTCATCATTTCGATGTTTATTTTAAACTCTACATCAAGATTTCTTTTCCCTTCCTTCACTGTTTTCTTAACGGCGTCATCCACTCGGCGTTGTTTTCATTTACGATACGAGAAAGATGAAAAAAAAAGATCTGAACACGACATCGCCAAACAACATGACAAAATAAATTTGGGAAAACTTTTTTTTACTGCTCATTTATTTATTAAAAAATCATCAACAACACAATTTCAATTTTACTCTCAGGGGGGACAGAAAAGAGACAAAATAAAATGGACCAGTCAGCAAACGTCCATGAATTATACACAATTTAATTTGTTTGTGTGGAATTTTCAATTTTCCGAGGAATTTAAGGGAAAATGGAAAACGGGAAACATGTGAGCTCGACGACACAGAAAAGACCGACTGATGTCGAATGACACAGCATAAAATTAAATATTGTGCAATAATTCATCAATGATATTCAAAAATTCATAGAATTTCATATTTCAATGCCGGCATAAATTTGCGATATTCATGATCGTTCTTTGTTGTGCCTAACTCGAAAGAGTCTTTGGACGAGATATTCAGCATATCATTTTTATTTTATTTTTCTTTCTTCTTTATAAAATTCTTTTTTTTTCTGCCGAGGTTAGAAAATATATGTATTTATGTAAACAAGAAGTAGAAGTATGTTGAGATGATTTCATATACATATCAAGGTTTTACATGCGCTTGAATAACAAATTCTCTCTCGTACACATCATCAGCGCTCATAAAAAGAAGGAATCTAGTCTTTGTTGACTTAGACAGCAGCTACCGATCTGATATCGAGCTTCAACGTCGAGAATCTTTACTCAGCCTCGCTGCTTTTTTACGACACGATCTGAATTTTTGTGTGTCAATATTGTCACAAACATTCAAGCGAAGGCAATAAAACTCTGACTGAGAGTTTCAGTTTCTTCCATTAAACGAATATTTGAAGAGCGATAAGTGAGAGTTGGGGGAATGTAACGATAACTCTTTTTATTTGTCGTTTCTTCGACGTCACGAATTAAAACCCATTGAATTGGAGCTTCGTTTTCAACGCAATCATTCATGAAAATGACCTTTAAGGTTTACTTTATGAATGAAATATCCAAATCGAAAGAAAGTTCTAACCAAATGACGAGTTCAATGTGCGCTAAGAAAGTGCGTAGGAAAGAATGAAATATTTCTTGTTTACTAGTCGTTGTCACTTTTGGACGAACGACAGATAGGAGAAGGAAACAAAGTTTTACGTTTGCCGTAAATAGACAAGCAATTGTCTGAATTAATCTCTCGTAACTTAATAGCCTATCCAATATATGATGATGATTGATTTCAATTTAAATTTGTGCGCTTACATTTTAAAAATCTCATTGTTTTCTATTGAATGATATCGAATAGCGAATGATGTGACGTGACTAAGTCATGTAAGCACGTGAAATGACTTCATGAAGTGTTTTGCACTTTGAGAAACATTTTAATGACTCACTTGTCGTTGTTCCTTTTTTATCATGGAATTCTTTTTCATTTAATTGCAGACATCCACTCTTTCCACTATTGGCATTAATATTCGAGAAATGTGAACTCGCGACATGTACACCCCGCGAGCCAGGCGTTGCCGGTGGCGACGTATGCTCATCAGATTCCTTCAGCGAAGATGTTGCCGTTTTCAGCAAACAGGTAAGAGTTTTACAACTTTTTCCACTCATAAACTTGCGACGGAATTTAAATAGTCTTTCTTGTAAGCTTGAAGTGTTGTGCAGCTCAATCGATAACAAAAACAAGAAGCAAGCGACGATATTCATTGAACATGTTTCTTAACAAAATAATAAAAAAATTCTTATCGATAAGTCCGCAAAAAAAAAAGAGAAATACCAACAAGAAAGCAAATATCAATCGTTTTGTAATTTGATTTCGTGTAATATTTTGATGTTCACTTATCTAGTTAAAAATAAAAACGAAAATTCTTTCATTTCTAGTAATCAGTCCACAGCAAGTCTGGTAGCATTGCGTAGTGACAAAAACATTAAATTTTCACGTTAGATATTTCTCTTACTTATCTGACATTAATGGAATATAAAAATGTTTGTAATTTGTCGTGTTACGGTGGGGAAATCATAATAATAATAAAAAAAAGAGTTCTTGAAACGCTTTCTGATAAGATTTCGATTTGAATCAAGTATCAAGTGACGCTTTTAAGGTAGCCAAAAAACTTCAAGTGCGTAATAAATTAAAAAGAAATAATTTGCAATGAAAATTGATTTCCTTGAACTGTTCATGATCAATTGAATTTGAATTTCTACCATTTTATAGTGCAATGAACGACAAATCGAACTATCTCGTAGCAAACTTGATCTCCTGCAGATGTTGCTTTCATTTGGGTTGTTAATATCAATTTATATTGTCAGCATGTGGCGTAAACCCCTTTTACTGCTGCTGTTGATGCTGATATTCTAGTTCGCATACGAAAAAACTTTCTGCATTATCATTGCCACATCTTACTCACTTTTCACCCTTCTTCTTGTATGTTCTCACAAGTTAAATTATGTTACGAAGACGAATGTCGAATTGAGCAACAACTGACACCATTATTAGTCGATGCGATTCAGTTACTCTTTAAAACACGAGCAAGTCAGGGAGTGGGGAAAAAAGTATGATTAATTAATGATTCTTAAGCCTATTATCGCTCATTTTTTCGATCCCAACAAGTTGCTTTGGAAAACTTTTGTTGTTATATTTTCAGAGGCCCCTAATCGATCAAATTAAATGTGACATGTATTTTATAGAACTATGAAAAGTTTCTTTTTATTCTCAACAGTGAAATGGCTTTTCATATCGCACCATGTCATTGCATTTATAGAATTTCTCATTCTTATTAAAAATATAAATTTAAGTGAGACAAACAGGGGCGTAGAAGTGCCGTCAATGATGTCATTGATAATATCGTAAATCAAATTGGAAGAGAACCTTGACCCTTTCCATTTAAACAGCAGCAACGACACTGCACCCTGTTCAAATAAGCTAGAAAGTCAAATAAATACTTAGACATAAAAAAATGTTATGATGTTTGGGAGACATGAGTTCTACGATGAATTTGTTGACACAAATATGTATGCAATAGTTAGATGGGCTGTTTAGATCGTAATATCTATTTTGGAAGGTTTTTCAGCTGATAAAAAGCGAAGAAACGCTGAACATTCGAACTTGGTTGTTTGAGTTGTTATCGGTTTGTATCTTATCAGAATGTATCATTTTTATATGGTTTTTTTGATGTTTCACTCTCGGTTAGTCGCAAACGACGATTATTATTTGATAATTGTAATTACCTTCCGAAAAAAAGCATTTATTTTACGATTTCAAATGAAACATAATTTCGGTGAGTGTTGCCAGCTTGTCTCTCATACTTTTTGCTTCTCGTCATCATTACTGGCATTTCCTGGCACCGAAAGTGACATTCAATCTTTTCACTCATTTGAGGCGTTGCGGAACCGTCCGTAATGTTCTTTTCTGGAAGGCGGTGATGACTTTTGTCGAACGGAATGTTGTTCATAAGAAAAAAAGATTTTTTTGGAAACCAACATTAAGTAAGAAGTTCTTAGGAAAAAAACACTAAAATCCAATTACAGTGAAGACTCTTTGACGATGACAATAAAACGCTACTGTCTCGAATCGAGACTTCCAGTCATGAACACTGTTGAATATCACTGTGCTGCGCAATCCAAAAAAAAAACGCGGGGAGGATGAAAAAATAAATAAACAAGCGCAGCATCAACGAAAACTTTCTTCTAAATTTAGATAAGAACAGTCTTCTTTCTTCTGACTTATTTTTTTCTTCTTTTATGCCTTTTCTTAAAATAAACTCTTGATGTCATCACAATAATTTTCATGAGTGTCGGTTTTAATGTGGCTTTTTATAAAGGAGCGACACGACGATGTGTAGAAACGAAATGATCATTTCTTTTTTCATTAGAGACAACACCACACATTCCCTTGATGATCAGTTTGTGAAAGGCAAGATATTGTTCGGATTTCAGTCTTTCGTAGAGGGGGGAAGCTGCGATGAAAATGAATGATTTCATTATGGTCGGTCGACGAGTAGTGAAAGAATTATTTTTATGAATAAGTGCAGTTGAAGCCGTTCGTCATGGGTAAAAAGCGTCAAGCGCATTATCCATGTTTTAATTAACGCGAAACGAAAAGAAAAATGAACAAAATAAAACATTCCAGAAGTTCTTCTTCTTCCCTCAAAAATTATGCTAATAATAAATGTTTTATGATGTTTATATATTTGTGTTTTAACAAAATAAAACTTTTAAAGGTTGCAAAGAACAAAATCTTTTTTTAATATGTACAAAATATTTTTTTACGACTTCACGACTTTACGATCCGCAGACGGTTCTTTGCCGTAAAAAAGAAGAATTCTTTAATATTTTCTATTCGCGCGACTAAGACGCTTGTTGTAGAACGGACAATCACAGACATATCCATCCAATTTTATCATGTGCTGGCACTTAAAATTCTTCTAGTAACATCCGCCTTAACGAGCAGCTAAACAAGTAATTAAAAGCAGCAAGTCATATTCAATTATTTTCCTCAGTTTATCATTGACATTCGTGCTGGCATTAGCGCTTTTGACTCTTCTTAGTCTCTTTTTTCTTACTTACGCACTCACCCATCAAGTGTTGAAAAATATTCATTAAGGAACAAGCGAAAGAATCGTCAAGGCTTGTTAGGAATTGAAATTTTATTATCGCGACTCTTTGCATTCGCAATATTTTTATGTCGTTAAAAATGAAAATATTTTTGATGATTTTTTAATTCTTCTTTTTTTTCCTCATTCTTTCGTCTTCATTATGCTGCAGTTTAATGGTCTTACGGCTTTATCCTTAGGAATGTCCGTGAAGTAACAAAAAAAAATCTCGTTAATAAACCGAAGAACATTGTTTACAGTAAGAAAAATGTGCCTGACCAGATGATTCAAGCTGAGAAGAAATCTCATACAGTGCTCGACTTTTTATGACTTCTTAAAGAAAACAGTCGTAAAACGTTTTTATATGAGCGAGTAAGATTTTCTTCAGGGATCTCACATCGAAATCTTTTATCATCATGAGCTGTATCTTTATTACACTTGAAGTGAATGAAAAGAGGCATTGGTTAGAAGAACTTAATAGAATCTCGTTCATAAAAATAAGCGTGAAATTATTTTTCTTTCTAACTTAAACTAAACACGTCGTTTTCAATTCAAACGATGCAATGACATCTGATAACATTTGTTATCTAAGTCGAAACTTCCTGCCTTTCTACTCAACTTTACTTTCAACCTTTGAACGACTCAGACGTTCGGAAGTGATTCATGCAACAAAGATTTACATTCTTTTGCTACCAAAAGGCAATTAAACGTCATAAAAAGTGTTCATTGTCATGATCCCGACAACTAACTCGAATACCGGAATTCTTTTTTTCACACATTAAATTTTTGAAATGCCATCAAATAATCATAACAATCAAACTTTCAAGAGCCGAAACTATCTGTGGCGATGAATCAACAAAATATTTTTTCGTTTTCCTTGTCGATTGTCATTACTTCATGCGAATGTAAATATAAATAATAAAAAAAGCAACAACTAATAAAATATCGATTCAATTTTTACGATAGTTGATGTGCATGAAAAGGCAATTGATTGAAATTTTTATCACTTATCGAAGTGATTACATAAAAATAAGACTATAACAACAGCAAATGGAAAAATTAATATTCGGGAAAAATACTTTTTTATGGTCGAGATCGCGATTGAGTTTTTGGAGATTGTTGACAGTTGAATGTCTATTAAATTTTAATAGTTTCTCATCATAATTAAAAGATCATTCATTGCATGAGGTAATTAGTGACAGTTATAAGATTATATCAAGTAATGATCACTTGAAAAGAAATTTCAATTAAATGGGGAGGAAGTCTCACTGTACATTGCCCACCCGGTGAATTTCACATATTTTCCGCGTGCTTATTGTCTTTTTTTAGTGTTAATTCATAGCATGCGGAAATTTATGGGAATGTGAATCGATTTAATATTCTTCAGGTGTTTTAATAAACAAATGTTTTAATGATGGTATAAATGATTTTAGTTACACAACCATTGCAAACATCAACAAAAGCTTGAACAAAAGTATGATTAATCTTCCGCACACACAAAAATCACGTCTGCATTTATGTCGTCTTGTTATTTTTAGCATAAATAAGATGCAAAAAAAAAGAAAGAATTAATTTCGGAATGAAGACGAGAAATTTTTATGAATAAAACTCACAAGTTTTCAGTGCTATTAAATGTAAATCATTATGATGTTTCTCGCCATGGCACATTCTAATGCTTAGTATTATAAATAACGTAGCATCAACAACCATGCAGATAAATTGCATTAGAAGCCATGATGGGTGTAAAAATGTTAAATTGACTCTGCTTAAATTGACTGCAAACACTGCCACTTTAAAGAATAAAAATTAAATTTATTTTTCGTATGCTGCATCACTCTTCAAAAACAAAAAAAAGAATTCTCATTTAGCATTTCATAAATTAATGAAACGGCAAAAGAATTTTTATGATTCTTGTCTTCAGGATAATTTTTCTCTTTATTTCTATAGTTTTTCCTTTCTTCAACATCTCATGAAATAAAGAATTGTATCATGTTGTGTGTTTATACAGCAATGGCAATGATCTTTCTTGCTTGCGTCACATTATGGCGCATTAAACAAAACAACAAAAAAATGTCAAAAGACCTGACGGCTGGTCTGACGACATGCAAGTACCGTAAAATTTTATGCAGCGACTTTCAATTTCAAATTGTTTTTATTTTCATTTGAAAATTGTTGAAAAAGTTGTCACAGAGAAAGAATTGCATGCAGAAAACTGTCAAATTGTCAATAGTTAGTTCAAATCTGTGTAAATGTTTGCTGCGGGTTGAGGATTTAAAATATTCACGCAGCATGTTGTTAGTTCTATAGTTGAGGATGACACTACGATAATTAATTTCAATTGAATGGTGTTAATTGATTGTGATATCGTTTAATTCATTTATGAGTTGTGACTTTGTGAGACGTGTTCTCTTTATAGCCACGACATTGATTTGATGTGTCAATGTAATAATCCCCTGCCCGAAACACAATTTAAATGTTGCTTTATATTCAAACATAAAATATCAAAAAGAAAAAGAAGAATTTCCAATGAAACGAGATTCCTTTTTATTTTATTTCGGATGAATCTCATTGGGATCTGATGCTGATGTTTGAAATGCCAGATGTTGAAACGAATATGTTTTCATTTGATATCGTTTCTCGCTTTTGCTTTGCACCATCAAAACGATGTGGTTTCAAGAACGAAAAGATTTGAGAAAAAGAGTATTAAAAACGCTTATTCAGAAGAAATCTCTATAATTTAATATAATTAAGGCTTTGCTCACAAGAATGGGATGAGAATTACTTAGAGCCAATAATTATAAAATTAAATGTAATGAAAATCTTAAAATTGAAGAAACGAAATCAAAAACCCAAAACGTTTTGTGCTTTGTTTGATTTATGGTGTTTGAAAGTCGTTAAATTTATTGTTGCTCGCGATATGACTCAATGGCTACCCCAAAGAATTTCTTCAGTCAACATCAAGTCTTAAATCATTCACTTCTTTATGTCTATAATCGAACTAGTTGATTGATTGCACAAAATTAAAAGTGCAACAGCGGCAGATCAAAATGCTAATCACGAAATTGAATTTGCTATGAAAGACAGAATTAAATGCACGAACTTTGTTTAGTTTCATGCTGTGCAGAACCACATAACTGCGCATTTTGTTGCAGTACTCTCCCTTCTTTCATTTCACTGCCATTGCACGTAAAGACCTACAAGAGTTTTTTTTACACGCGACTCGATGTTAGAAGCAAAAATTGCATTGTTGTTCCTTTGCCAGTGCTTTACTTTGGGTGAAAACAAGCAATTTCTGATCAACACAAAGCCTCAAGAAATGAAATTGTCGAACGAGACGAGTCAAAATACAATCAAAACTTTTCTGCTTATTTTCCCATTTCTTTTTCATTCTTCCTGAATGAAACTAAAATAAAAATAATTATAATGCTCTCAAAGACATTTAAGGAAAAGATTTCATTGCTTAAAGGGAAGAACGAGCAAGAAAAAGAAGAAGAAGGAAAGAAAAATAAGTAAAAGGGATTTAAGGGCAATTCAAATGGTAAAGGGATTTAGAGAAACAAATAATGGGTATTCTTAACTACAGTCAATGCCAGAGCATATAAGTAGAAGAAAAATTATTTAATTTTTGAAAGAAGGCAGAAAGAAGACGACGATTGTGTGTTGAATTGTACAAAAAAAAGAGAAAGAATGATCGAGTCCCCTGTTGAGTCGAAATGTCTACCTGCTTGCGCAGCTAGGGTTCGCTTATGTTGTCTTCGTTAAGCCTAAAATTCCCCTTTTCATGAGAAGACAGCGAACTTAACACAAGGACATTGGAAGACATTAAACATTCCTTTCAGTGAATGTGTAAAAATTTCATGAGATAGTTTTGTAATTTTTCAATGATCTTGTTATGATCATGTTTGAGGAAAAGCGTCGATAAACTGTCAAATAAATCTTCTTGGTAATAAATTGTTGAATAAAAGAACAATTTATTGCCAACTTGAACTTTAATTCCACGTATGAATATTTATTAAATTTCATTTAAATAATTTTTGTTCGCCATTTTCCAATTTCAATACGGAAATGAATTTTTTTACTTCATGTGATGGAAGTAAACGAGACATGGAAAAACTTCCTTTCAATATAAGTTTATTTTAAAAATAAATAAAAAGATTTTAAAGTGAAATGATGAATGTAATGAATGCTTTACTTCTCCAGAATGAAAATTATTTAACTTGCGAGATGTGTGTAGGTTATCACAATGTTGCTGCCTTGCTTGCAGACGCACTCAGTGCCAGTATGAGTGTAGTGTCTTAAAATTACCTATTTGTTGACAGAAATATATTCATGCTCGATGATAGATGCTTTCCTTATACATTTTTCACATCATTTCTGGTTTTATTTCAAAAAGATGGCAGGCAGACTCAAACTGCATGTGGAAAGAGAAATGAGACATTCAAAAAAAAACTTTTCTTAGGTCATTGAATGTTGTCGATTCCGGCACTGGAAAAACTTTAAGTAATATAAGAAAGAGAAGAAGAAAAACGTTAATTAGACAAACGTAAACAATTTTTTCTTTCCCTTTACTTCACCACGTGCTTTCCATGAAAAACTGTTTACATGACATGAATGTAGAGAAAAAATGGAAAATCATCTTGGGTCGTCGACGTCATGATAATTGCCTTGTAATTCTATGGAATCGATGGGGATGCCTTGGAAAAGCTTCACAACTTCTTCACTTTTTTTTCTCCCACAATCTTTAAGACGAAAACGAAACTTGTATAAAAACGTTAACAGAAAATATTTCACAAACATGGCGCCGCTCGATTCACGCGGGTATCATGGCATGACGATATGTAAATGGAAATTTAATATTTTTTTGTTTAAAATTCACTGTTTTCAATATCAGATTCTGGTTCATTCGTTGTCTTGCCAAACGCAAAACCCATCACAACTGGAATGTTTAATAATTGTTGGCTCCACGTTACGGCATATGTTTCTTTGTTTACAAGATTCACAAACACACACACATATGCATTGATTTAATATTTCTATTAAAAAATAGAACCTGAGCACTTCTCTCATCTTCAGACTTTCATTGCAGTCAGAATTTAAATAAACTGAAAAAAGGTTTTTCAATGCGGAAAAATCAAAATGAATTCTTCTTGTTCTCCTTTCTTAACCTTCTCTGATTCTGTGATTTATGAACCTTATTTTTGACATGCTATCATCTATCAGTCAAATACATTTCACGATATCTCTTTATCGATTGCAAAAGAGTCTTTTCCGTCTTTCTTTTCGCGATATGCGGTTAGATAAAACAAAATCTATAATCCGTGATAAAGTCTTGTCGATAGAACATTGACACGAAAAAATGACAAGTAATTTCCCAAAAACCAAAAAGAAGAGAGAAAAGTTGAAAGAGCTCAAAAACATAAACTGCGGTTAAACGTCTAAATATACTTTCAGTTAAAATGTTTTTCAATTCAGAATTCAGAGTGGAGCGCCCACCGAAAGTGAACAACGAAAAAATGTTTATGGCAATAAATGCTCGTAACATGCAATGTTGCGTTTTTATCAGCTTTAGCTTCTCAACTCACGACTAAGAGTGGAAAGGAGAGAACACATAAAATGTTTATCATGCTTCGAAGCTAAACATAAAAATAAATTATAAACGAAAAATTATTTTGAAGCTAAAGGTAAACTTCTAAAGGTTTCAATCGGAGCTAGAATGATGTGAAAGTTCATTTCAATTGTTCTCGTGGTTTGATGCTTGCTAAAATGATAATCAATTAATAAAAAGTGACAACCGATGTGAGTTGCAATATAAAGACATAAAATGGAAGAAAGAGAAATACAAGAATTTTGATTGAAAAAAAATTAAAAAAAGCGATGATCAAGAATGCAACAATAAAATTTTTTTTATAAGAAAAAAAATTCTTCAAAGTTGTGATGAAAATTTTTCACTGAAAACGAGCCATGATTATAAATTAATAACTCATCAACGAAATAATTTAACGAGACGATGACTGACGAACTGATACAGATCTGAATTTAATGCAAAAGAAGAATCAAAGTCACACAAATGTCAAGATTGGAATGGTGAACGACACGTAATTATTCGGCTCTTTATTTGAATTTTATTGAGACTTTTGTTTTTGCTTGCTTGTTTGTTTATTTCTTCTCTCCATGATCATCAATTTCTGAAAACAAGACAAATGAGAAAGACAATTGAGTTTGAAAAATTAAGAATTATAGATATGACATCAGAGAGTTGTCGGCTGATATCAAGTTTCATTTCATAAAATGCATTTTTCGTGTTGTTCTTTTTTTGTGATGCGGTTGTTGCTGTTACTTTGGTATTTCTTCTCCCTCTTTTTGCTTCATAACTCTGAAAAACGAGTTCATGATATTGATGACTAAATAAAGACAATAACATTTTTGCATTGTGCATAAATAAATGCATATGCGTGTTGCATATCAAGCACTGAAGTCACTCACATCTGGCAATCTAGTTTATATTGAAACCATTTCTTGTTTCTGATCATTCTAATTGATTAGATTTCTCTTTATCTTTAAAACTTAATTAAGACTTTCAAATTGAATAATTCAAAGGTGATGGAAGGAATTTTCCAGAAAAACAAAAACTTTTATGAATCAATTAGTTTACTATAAACTCATTTTACTCCCTTTTTCGCATATTATGTGTCTGCCTTCAAAAATATAATATAAAAAAGGCAAAAACATAAACAAAAATACCAACAAGAGGACGCAACCAAAAAATTAATGAGACCGATGAAGAATGTTTTGCCATAAATTTTCAAGCGTTTTCTTCTTGATGTTATTCTTGTTTTTTCTGCGACACAATTTTCATATTTTCCCTTCTTCTTGTCTATATTTACACACATTTCAAACCGCTCATGCTCAATCTGAAACTTGATACTTGCACTTCAATGATATTTATCATTTAATCTTCCTTGAAGGAGTGACAGAGAGCGAGAGATTGAAGGAGAAAGAGAAACAAGTGTTTAATGTAGGCTTCGGTGAAAAGAACGCATCATAAATTCAGTTTTACTTCGCTTCATGCAAAATGATTTATTAATTGTGAAGTGTAGAATGCGCCTCACGAAGCGAGAAAGAAAGGATTAAAAAAACTTAACTTAAAGTCAAGAGCGAGGAGTATGAATGACTTAAATTATTTATTAACATATGGATTATTTCATTTGAATTATGATGTGTGTAATTAAAATATTACGAGAAAGTATCATAACATTCGCAGTTTTTTTGTGACGAAACAAAGTAAATAGACAGAAATTAAATCTTTAATTTGTTATCATAACTTATGAGTTTATGTTGATTGATTTAAGGAGTTCTCTGTTCAGCACATGTTGAGAGTTTTGCAACTTCTTCTTCCTTATAACTTTCCTTTGTTAATCTGAAGGTTGCCTTCATCTCTCTCTCTCGTTTTACAAGGGTAGTAGGTAGTCAGCCTAATGACTTAACAAACCCTCAAATATTCAACTAAAGTTATAAAACTCAACAAAATTATTGTTTTGACTTCCGAGAAAAAGTTCTTTTCTTCTTCTTTCAATGACACATCTTAACAAATATGATTTTAACACCAAAACACAAACATAAAAATCTTCCATTTAAAAGGAAAAATAAAAATATCCATGAAAGTGAATCGTGATATTGAGATTGTTGATCCTGATGGTATGCGCGAGATGCTGGTATCGTGATTGGACGATATAAAGGCAAATCAATCAAGATAAATTTTATCATCTCTGTCAATTGAAGTCTTCCATCATAAATCATGCGCTCAAATATAAAGTGAGAGAAGTGGGGAAGGGAAAAAAATTGAATAACAAAATTCACGATGGTGCATTCGACTGCGTCTCCATGCTGATTGAGATGTGCTTCTTTTATTGTTTTATAACTGATTTCGTTCCACACAACAACAAACGAACACGTAGAACCATAAATTTCATCTGATTTTCTTATTTTCATAACTCACTGAGTGAACTCTTGAAAAGCAAGCAAGTAACTCTCGACCTGAATATGTCAAAAGCCCTTCTTCAATTCCCATTTTTATAAATCTCAGAATTGTTTAAACTTTAAAGTAACATCACTCAACTCTCTACCTCGCATTATTGGCTGTTTAATGTTTGTCGTTGAAGTATTTATTTATTCTAATTTCCATCTCGTCTTCCAGTCTTACACATCACAAATAACCTCTTTAAACGCAGTCAAATCAATCTTTGTTAGCTCACACTTTCAAGGTTATTGGTTTGAGCTTGAACATTTCAAATACTTGTTGAAGATGGATTTGAAAGAATTAAATCTTGAAGGCAAAAAATTTTCATTTTCTGGAATTAATTTGTTTCAAATTTGTCTAGAAAAGTGGCCTTAAAATTCCCCTCACAAATTCAAACTAAAATTCTTTACTGTTTGTATATCTTTAAATTAATATATGACTATCAATAAAACCATAAAAATAAGTAACTGAACCATGTTTACCTTAACAAGAAATCACAACAAAAACACTTTTGGTGGGTGCTGTAAAGTTAGTACGAGTCAAACGAGTGAGTTTATTCGATGAAGAATCTTCCATGATTTGGATAAAGACAATAAAATGTTTAAGGTTTATGTTCATGGCAATTCACACATTTAACTGTTTTGTTAAGGATCTGAATGATAGAGAAAGATAGATAAAGAGAGTGAGTGAGGTGTATTGTAAACAAAATCAAGAGTTAATAGATTTATTATTCAAGAGATTTTTAAAAGGCTATTAAGTTTGACTTCAACTATGATCTTCTGACTCATCTTGAACTTTCAAATGATCATCATGAAGACACAAAAGCAAGCAGTTGAAATCATTAGAAAGGAGAGAAAGAAAGAAAAAATTTCAAAGAGTCATTTCTCATTCTGTCAAAAATTTCGAATACATAATGATAACGTGTTGGAGGCTCAAAGCGTTTTCATCGAACGAGAACCTTTAAAGTAATCAAGAAGATGAAGATCGAAAAACAACAGCAATTAGTGGAACGTTCTAAAAATATTATATTACGAGAATGAAATGCTCTCGCATTAGTTGGAGACGTTGCAGAGAATGCTTTAATGGAGCAGTGAAAATAATGAACCATTAGCATGTTGAACCCCTTTTTTCTTCCATCTTAATATTCACCAGCCGATTACTTTCTATAACCGCAAAGGTCGTTCGCTTGATAATTACAGAGCTGCGCTTAAATGCGAGCATTTTCTAAAGTAAAGGCTTTGTGTGTTTAGCCACGTGTTTAAATTATATGTTTGAACGAATAGAATCGAATCAAATCGAGTTGAATTGAAAGTAACTTGCTGTAGAATCGATGAATGATTATCTCATACTTAGACCAGATTTGTCTTAGATTTGAGATGCGAAATAAAAAATAAATTCTAAAAATAAATGAATGACATATCGCCACACCATTTGTTGGGCATTTTAAAAACGTTAGCAAAATTCTCACGATCCAGTAGGTGTTTTGATGTGGTTTTGCTCAGAGTCACACATAGTCATTAATAAGATATAAAGCAGATTTTGAAATTTCTTGTGTCTTTTGAACATTGAGAAACTTTTGAAGTGTCTTGATCTGGTGGCGTATGAAAAATTCACAAAAATTAATCACACTGGATGAAGGTGATACGCGACACAAACATCACAGACATTGTCGATTTATTTCAAGCGAAGCTTTGCGTTTTAACTTCCAACATCATCATAGAATTTTGCTTTGACGAAAGCATTGACATATCCAATCGCAGTCACTTACTTAATGACACTGATGGTTGACTTTTTCGTTGTGGTAGAGAAAAGAAGAAGGAAGGAAAAGTAAACAACAATAAAAAGCAATTTTTATGGACCGCTTGGTTAATGGTGTTTAGTGGAATGAGACACCTATTTTCATTATTATTCATATGCAAATAAAGACGACGCAAACAATAAATTCTCTCGTTTATATTTCGGACACAACGCGCACATACACAACACTGACCTAAGCCACGTTACGAACAGAATCATTTGTTGGTTTATCTCTTTTTTTTATCCATCATGATCGTAGTGACTTTGCTTGGGCTATGAGTTCCCATTGATGTTTTCCTATTATTCTCCCATCATTAATTCTGAATTTTTCATCTCTGGGTGCTTGGCTTAAAAAATAAATAAAATCCAACATTAAATGATGGATTAAAAATGATTTATAAGACGTTGGAGCGATGTAAGTTCTTTTATTTCGCGGTGAAGCGAGCGATGGAGAAGAAGAAGGACACATGGAATGGTTTGCAATTATCCACATGGATTTTTACTCGTACGCTTGACCACATGCTGATCATATCGTATTTATATGAGAGTCTTTTGAGGCATGCGCTGCACAACCATCACACATATCCATGTCATAAAAGACTATTTAATTGCTAATTAAATCTTTACCCGCACAATGACTACTTTTACTTATTTGGTAACATATTTCATTTATTCTTTTTTTTTTTGCTTACAGATACGCCAAGAGAAACCTTATTATGTAGCAGATCCCGAAGTCGATTCACTAGTAAGTGTTCAGATTTGTGTTTTAATTTTTATTATTGATGATTGAATATAAATATGTATGAGTAAGAAATTGAAATGAATGCCAATGGCGTTAACGTCATGTAAGCCATCATAACATTTTTTTTTTGTAACAAAACTTTAATAACGTTTTTGAAAACTTAATTTATTTATTAACTTGTTGATATTGTAAATGACAACAAATCAAATCCTCGTCATATTCAAATGCCAGTCTCATTCGTGTGCCAAAATCATGAATGACATTTTATTTGTTTTTCATTTGAGATTTCAATTAAGTCGAGAAGTTGAAATAAACATTTTTCTTGCAATTTCCTTTCGTTTCTTCGAGTTAAATTAAACATGTTCATATTTATTTCTATTAAACAACATCAAAATAGAATGCCATGTTCAACACCTCCCAGTCTTGTTTTGTATGTTGTTCTTCTGACGTCTTTCCTGTCGATAGTTTCACAAAAAAAGAATTTTTTTTCATTTACGTTTTGGCAAGTCATAAATCAATGCTGAAGTGACCAAAGATCTGTTGTTCTTGCGTAAATTAAAGATAAAAAGAAGAAGAATCAAAATTACGTTAAACGAAAGAAATAAATAATCTTAAGTCACTTGACAAATTTAATTCTTTTAAGCCACAGTTGGTTGGCAAAACAAGATTTTCTTTACGCAACGAAAAACATCGCTGACAAGGGATGACAACGCATATCGTTAATTGATTTAGAAATGAAATGTTAATTATCAAACAACAGTTAAGCCGTTATGAATTTTAAAATGATTTTGACTTAAATTAATATTCGACATGTCAGCAGTGGAAATATTTTAATTAACTGTGTGATGAATTGCGAAGCGATTTCTCAATTTCAGTCTCGCGCGAGATGCTAAATTGTTACAACATGCAGATGGAAGTAAAAAATGAGCGTCGAATGATCGAGCAAAGAAGTTATTTCGCTTCGTGTAATGATTTATCATGTAAGAAACGTTATATTTCTTGCGCTTCATGAAAAGCCTTTCTGTCTGATGATCATACATATAATAAAATAAAAAAAACCTCTCCGGTGGAACATACAACACCAGATGAACCACCCACATGGCCGATAATGCCGTTTTCTCCTTTCCTCGTTTACCTTATTTTTATTTTATTGTGAAACTTTACATATGTACACGTAACATGCTAATATTGTGTACCTCGATAATCATGATGAGATTATAAAAATGAAGAAACAACAGCGTGGCGATTCATGGCGCTGGCTGGCTTTTAATATTGCGTGCTTTTCATAATGACTTTGATGGATTGGAATTAATGCACTTGGTGTTCTTTCTAAGTCCTTTCATGATGATTAAATGTTTTCTTTTATTAAATTATGTAATTTTCTCTTTGCAGATGGTACAAGCAATTCAAGTACTTCGGTTTCATCTCTTAGAGCTGGAAAAGGTAAGTGATAACGAATGATTTCAATGCGCGAATAATCAAGAACATTGTGAGCATCAAACGACTTAAGTTTTTAAACATATTTATATAATTCCTTTCGCGCATTCCACAATTAATCATTTCTCGAGATGTTGTTGCTAAGGCGATGAAGGAATAAATAAAAAAATTAAAAAATATATGAAAAAGCAAAAGACACAAATGACTGCACACACCAGCGACTTACAGCCAGCGTGCTGCGATATCCAAGTTTCGTTCTTCCTTTCTCGAGTCTCGATGAATTTAATTTGCATTCGAAATTAGGATGGGCAGTCAGTGAGTAAAACAGATTCAGCATGAATTTTATGAGTTCAGAATATTGCTGTTCCGTGTATGAGAAGAAAATAATTAAAAGAAATTACCATAATTGCTACAAATTTGTGCACTAATCACCTCAAGGCACAAAGAGAGAGAGAAATTCAGAAATTCTTCTTGTGAAATGACCGCGAAACTTTTCTTATTCAATGGATTTGCGCTTTTGTAGAGGAATCATTAGAAAGACGGAATCTAGCATTGAAGCCGCGTTCTTTAACTCAAGATTACGATGTAAAGAAGAAACTTAATTAATTTGGAATTTATTGCGCTTATTTGACTTTGTTTCAACTCATTATTATTGTATCTTCAAATAAGTTCTTTCTTTCTTTCGTTTTTTGTTCATTTCTCGGTGGAAACTCTTCGCCATTATTCGGGGTTGGAAGGAAGGAAAAAAAAAAGTAGAAGATTTCAGATAAGCATACAGCGCACAATGAAATTTCAGTTCAGGTTGAAATTAAAATGATAATTACATAATCAAACAGCGTATCGGCGAGTCTTACGAATTGTAATGAAATAATCATAAATATTCAGCTTAGATCTGAGATATTCATGTCCAAGAGTCCAATGAAAGTCGAAGAACCTTCCACTTCCATGGAGTTATGTACGTTGGTTCTTGTTTTTCCTTCATTTTCTTGTGGCAACAATTAGCATGTGATATGAAACATCATAAAATGAAGCACAACAAAAGGTGTATTCGACGACTAACTCATTGTTCCCATCGCATCGCCCTAGTCATTCATTCGAGCACCTTTCATGGAAGGGAAATCAGAGAGAACTTTCCTACGCAAAAAAAAAAGTTACTCGTAAGAATTATGAGACAAACGACAAAGATAAAAGCAATTGGAAACAAAAGACAAAAGAAGACGAGAACGAACTGTTTCGTTTCGTTTCATTATAAATATTTTATTCAAATTAAGGTGTTATTGTTGTCAAAACTGCAATTTTCACAATGAATTTCAGGCCCGCTCTTTGTCTCCTTTCAAGCTCTTGCATTGAAAAGGAATTCAGGGCCTTTTCAGAAAGAAAAAGAAATATAAAAAAAGAATTGCCTTTTTCAGTGGAGCGATTTAATGAAAAACCTGTTTCGATTTCGATTTCTTTTATGTCGGAAGGCAAATTTATTTTGTTTTCTCACAGTTCGCACAGATCGACCCCGGCAAAATATATTTAGTCATGTAGGAAAAATAAAATAACAGACGAGCGAAAGAAAAATGTGTAATAAAATTTAATGCTTTCAAATCGGCCATTACGGATATTTTGCCATGTTTTTCAGTTTTCACCTCTCAGTTCTCTTTTGTGATGTGATGTGCAATGTTACCGAAGCAGAAAAAACATTTTTCTTTTCGAAAACGAGTTCGAAATCATTTCTTTTTTTTTCATCAAGTTGTTAAAAATATTATTAATACATTTTTAATTTGTTGGGTTGGAAGTGTAATAAATTTTACACTGGTCGAGAACAGTTAGATTAATGGATGTTTTCAATTAGTCAGACTTGCCTTTCATTTCTGATTTTCAATGTCATCAACTACTCAAATCAATTGTTAGAAAAGTTGCATCAACCACACCAAAGTTTGTTGTCGTCGTGAACTGAAAGATCGAAAGATAATTTTATGTTTTATATTTTCTTCATGTTAATCTTCTCATTCGTCGTCTGTGATAATGTCGATGCCCAAAAATTGTGTATTATGATGCTTATTAGCATATTCCTGCTTATTTTCAGTTCTTGATTTTATTTTCGCCAATAGCACAAAAATTTAAAAGCAAAAAAAAAAAAAAACGATGAATAAAAATGATGGTTGCTCAACGTTCTTCTGTTGATTATGTTTATCTTCTTTTTCTTAACTTCTTCGGGAAGGCATAATGATGAACTTGTTTCTTGTTTCTCGATCCCCTTTGTGTTTTATGTATTTTCAATATGGATGAGTTTGTTGTTTTGTTTCTTATTTATTTCTCCATCATCATCATAATCCATTCCAGTACGTTCCACAGGAACATTCGTTACTTTTATTTTTTCAATTCGTCATGCTTCACATTAAGCCTCCCCAAAAATTGCTGCTTTGTGTATTCATATCTTCGCTGAATAAACTTTTAGATTGGGTAGGCAAAAAAACGAAATAAGCAGCTAACATCAGAAACATGATGTTATCTCATTAAAAATCTCTTCATGGACTTCTAAATATATTAATGCAGCTCCGTGGTTGTCGGTCGACATGAGTAAGTGAGAGAAGTCGAAAAAGCATTCATCGCGGATATTCTGAAGGTCAGCACTCAGCAGTAACGCGGCATGCAGAAAACTGAAATTTATGTATAAATATGTTAATTCTTCAGAAGTTGAAAAATGCTTCTTGCATTTGTGATTTCTTCTTTTAGAAAAAAAAAAGCAAAAACGAACTCTTTGACCAACTCAACTTGTTCACAATTCTCCAATCGCCTTTCACAATCGCTTGATTAATGTCTAAATGATAGAATTTAAATTGAATTAAGATGCAATATTTTATAATTTCACGAACTCTGCTTGGTTATACTCAGTCGACTTGTTTTGAAAACTCATAATTTATGACATTTTAACGATTTCTGTTATGAGAGCTGTGCTTGTGCTGTCTGCCCATTTTTAGATTCTTCCCGTCTGATAAAATCTTCATCGGCACGAGAAGACAAAACGAGGAACACGAGATCATGTAATTAATTAATTTAAATTGATATCAAGTTCAATTTCAAAGTCGCTTGTTTAAAAATACTGTTCTGAGTTCTATTCTAAGCTTGGTAACAAAGCTACGAAATTAAACTTTTCACTCGATTCTCGTTTCTCGATTCGCAAAGCAAGTAAAAGAATAGAAAAATATTTTTCATTGCTACGTTAATTTGACCTCAAAGCACAAAACGACAAAGTGGGAAATTCATTTAACAGGAAAATATTTTTTCCAACCCTAATTTTAGAAGCAGACAAATGGAATTTCCGTTTGCTAAAATGAAATTTTGCATTTTTTATTCTACCCCGATGACTGTGTGCTAAAATATGCAATCAAAATGAAAAGATTTTTGTTTCGTGTGCTTGTTTAACAACAAGAATAAAACCAATTTTTAATTTACTATTTTTATCAATTAGCTGAATTTTCATACTTTTTTTCCTTTTGTCGTCTGCGCCACTCCCATGCTGCCTTAGTGCAATTAAGTCCCTCGATAATATGCAAAACAGAAATAAAAAAACATATAAAAATGTTTCCTTAATTTTGACTGCAACTAAATTGCAAGACTTTAATCAAAGAAAATGTTTGCAAGGTTGACCAGGTGACGGGACTTTCCCAGGTTCCCTTCATTCCCATTCTCAAACTGCAATCTAAAGTAGTTAGAATCTCACGAAAAAGCATTTACTTGGGAATTAAAAGCAATTTATAACGCCAACAATTTCAACTTTAAATATCTTGATTTCGATTTAAAATCTACTGAACATAAAAGCAACTTTTAGTCTGTAATCTTCTCTCTTGAATGCATCAGCATTTTTTATTCTTCTTTTCTCCAAAACCCGATCATCATCATCATCATAATGTTTGAAAGAAGATTGGGGCGAAGAATCGGCAAAAGGTGCATTTTCTGTTTCATGGAATGAAGAAAAAGAAAAATTGTAATATGCAAATCAATCGCTTGACCGTTGAAAATTATTGTGAAGATAAAAAAGAAAAAGAACTGAAAGTTATTTATTCTGTGCAGAAGAAAATGAAGCAAAACTTAACGCAAAATTATGGAAATTCGTGCCAACATGGTGGCGATGTCTGCTTGTGTTCTTCATCACCTTGAAAATGGTTTCGTAGACATTTCGAAGGTAATGCCAATTTCTAGGCAATCGTCATGGCACATGCAACGATCGTTTTCCATCAAACACACGAAATGTTAGATGTGAAAAGCTTCATCGCATAAATTATTTCTAAAATTAAAAGAAAACCTTCGCAAAACGTTTTTTATTTGTTATTTCTCACAATCAACTCGTATGATGAGAAATTATAAATTTATTTGCGATGAGTGGCATTTGTCACATAAATTTCAGGATGCAAACATGCTTTGCACGATATTTTGTAGAGTCATACAAAGAAATAAACAGTGAAGCGATGGATTGAAACAAACACAATTTTATTTCAAATTGAGTTCAATGAAACACGCAATTTTCCACCATATTGATATAATGCATTTTCGATATTTATTATTCACTTCCCTTTCCATGAAGACAAATGGCGAGCTTTACAATTATTTTAATAACAACGTTGTTCAATTTGATGGTTCACGTTCGCCATTTCTGTTTGTTTTAGAACGAGTTGCTTATCGTGTCAACGTCAGGTGTATAAAGTTCCATCATTAAACATTAAACTGCTCAAATTTTAATAGTTTCTAAGTATTTATTCGAGAAACTATGTTGTTAAACAAATCTCATCAGTCTTTCTTTTCTTCCACAACATTAAATTATAATCCTTGAAAGTATTTTCTTCAAGATTTGTGGTTAGCATTTGATATCATCTGTTTGCAGTTAATAATACATTTGCACATGTAAGAACATTTTGCCTTCGTTTTCAACGAAAATTAATACTTTTTGAAAGTCGGTATGTGCTGTGCTTCTCAAACGATTGCCAGATAATAAGTTCAACACGTTCATGATTCATTAGTTTGCCAGCAATGGCAACACAGTTCACTTGTGCGATTCTTGAGAACATATGGGAAGACGAAATATTTGGTGCTTCAGACAAAAAGCATATTTTCGTGAACAGAAATATCAAAGATGTTCGTAACATTGTGTCGTGTTTTTGTGTCTTTGTTTTGCGAGGGTTAAGATTTCTTTTCTTTACGCTTTTCACCAGTTCTGTCGGTCGTCTCCAGAGCTTCTCAATGACAGGCATAGGACATTCAAAGCTAAATGGATTTATTGTCAATATTCGAACGAGACAAGTAAGAATGCTTTGAACAGCACACGAGAGATTTCTCGGTCTTTTTCTCAACTCTCGAAAAGAATTTGATGATCATTGAAAAGATCAAATATCGAGCTTGTTGTTCCTTCTCCGTCCACACACTCGCGATAGGCATAATGAAGTTTCCGAGAAACAAAAAACAGAAAAATATCCATCTTAAGCCTCTCGAAATAAAGAAAGACAGCAAGAAAAATAAACAACCGAAAAAAAGAAAGAAAAAATTGTTTCTTTGTTAAAGTTTTCACTGGCCATTTGCCCATCGCATTCGAGTGTGGAATTGAAGACAAGAAATAAAAAAGTAAGAAAAATTCCTTCGATCATTTAAAAGATTATTGTTGGCCGTTTTTTTGTGTGTAGTCAGTGAACAGAAAGCAGCGAAAGAAATGAGATCGCGGATCTTCTTTCTTGTTTGGCTTTAGCATATTTCATAGAAATTTGTCTTCTTCTTTCATCAAAGAGATTTTCAAATTATTCTCGACTATCGTAACATGCAAATGTGAAGTGAAAAAGAACAGACTGATAACGTTGAGAATCAAACAAGTGTCTACACAACCTCATTTGCCTTAAAAGACAATTTTAAGCATATAATAGATTGATTCAAATTTCAGTTTGACAAAACAACAGTTTTTCCTTTGCTTCCCGAAAATAAATTTGCATGGAAATTGGCAGCGAAAATTATGCTGATAATTTATGCAACAATCGAGCCCACGGGCTAATAAAAATTCCTATTTGCATATAGAATGTCGTTCTTGATTTTTTAATTTGATATCTTTCTTCTCCGATGTGGAGATAATTGCCCCCAAAAATAAATGTCGACGAAATCAACTTGCGGAATAATCAATGAGCGAGCTTGATTTTCTCATGAAATGTCGTCGAATGGAGGAATATCTTCATTCCTCTAAGGCATGTTAACAGAATGTTGCATAATGATATTGTCTCATGCTTTCTGTGCGTAGGTTTATTATCATAGCAATATATACGCATTATTAACATACAACGAGAAATAAGATATAAAATCGCGACATATTATCATTGAAATTGCAAACGAATTGAGAATTCAATCGATTCTATACACAGTTACTTGCATGCATGTTGTTTATGAATTTATGCTGAAGGAAATAACAACATAAGTTTTGATTCCAACATCGATTCTTATATGTGAAGTTCACATGAAAACTCCAGTTTCATAAATTTCCTTTCACCATTCTTGTTCACTGCACAAGCAAATATTAAAATGTTTCGTCTTATCTCGACGACGTAGAATTTTTTTTTTCTTCTCAATCGATTCCATTTCATTTTGCATTTATTACAATTCACTTCCTTCGTTTTCTGTTCGACATGCATTTATGAGCGTTTACATGTGATCTTGTAACAAATTGCATTTACTTAGCAGAAAACTAACAACTGTTGTTGTCGATGAAAATTCCTTTCTGATTGTATAAAGAAAAAACTTTTAATGATTTTATTATTTGAGAAATTAGGAATTGTAAAAACCGGCAGCAGCAACAGTTTGATGGTGAAAGCAATATATTTTAAGAGCTTTAAAATAATTATCATAAACATGGCAATGGCCATGAAGTAAGAAAATGAATGATTCAAAGTCATCAGATTGAAGATATACAAGTTCGGGAGTGTCGTAAAATAACATAACATTTAACTTTACATATCAAAAGTATTTTCATTATTATTTTCGGTGAAATTTTAGCCTTTAACGACCTATTCGGAGAGTCGCACGGAAATTAAGGTAACAAAACGAAATGACCACGAGAAATCCGCAAATGATTTATTGTCTCGCGCGCCATAATCACATTTTGATTCACCAATGAATCTTAAAGCGAAACCGTTTTGTTGTCGTTTTCTCATCGAGTTGTTGTTTGTCTCAAACATAAAAGCATGTGAGAAAAGAAGGAAGAATTAAATTTATTGCAATCTCTCCTTAAATTAATTATGGCATTTTAATTTACTTCACTTCTCTTCTCGTTGTTGTCTTCCTTAAGTTGTCTCAATTGTTGGAGTTACTTTGCATACGATTAAAAGAACATGCGAGAAATTTAATTAATTTATTTCGATCATAAATCCATCGACTTCTGGAGAAAAGATTTTTTCTTCTTCTTTTATTATATAAATGTATGTTGTTGAATGATCGAGGGTTGGAATATGAAGACAGTTACGACAGCCATAAATCTATCGAGTTGACAAAATAATAGTTTAACTTTGAATAAGAAACTAACTTCCAACATTCAAGAATCAATAACAAACATCATAATAATAAATAAATAAATAAATTTATCTATGAAAACTTAATCAAAACATTCCAAAGACACTCAAGCCATAATAAAAAAAATAAAAAACGTCACACACGATACTTAAAGTTTTGTGTTTGTTTGAAACTTCAAATTGATTGATTAGCGATTTATGAAGTCGTTGACGTGGCACGCATCAAACATCCAATGAAAGAGAATATGGCGCGAAAAGGAGATTCCCAACGACGTGCTTTTTATTTGCAATCGTATATCAAATTGGTTGGATTATTAATTTAATTTATAACTCATCGTAATACTCACAAGCTGACATAACAATAAAAAGTCTTTTTTTATTTATATATTGTCGTTTCGTGATGCTCACATGCTCTACAACAGCTAATAAATTTCTAACTGCTCTGCTAACAACACAACATCATAATTTCAAATTTTTATCTTTTCTTTTCTTCTTTTCTTTCTCTTTGCAGGTTCATGAATTATGTGACAATTTCTGTCATCGATACATTTCATGTTTAAAGGGTAAAATGCCAATAGATTTAGTGATTGACGAACGGGACACCACCAAACCACCAGAACTCGGCGGTGCAAATGGAGAGGGTCGAAGTAATGCTGATTCGACATCGCATACCGATGGAGCAAGCACACCAGACGTTGTGAGTACCCCCTTCGCGGGAGCACATGGTCCAATCTTGGCGAGCTACAATGCGGTGGTGCACCCATGTTCGTAGTACACTACATATGACCTTCTTGCAAAAACGAAGCGGGTGCTCACAATGCCCTGGGAAAATGGCCAGAACTTCGCTTGAAACACGCGCTGAATTAAATTAAAAAAAAGAAAAAAATCTAAAAAATAATAATTTTTAATTGAAAAATGCTTAAAAATAATAGAAAAAAAAATCTGCTAAAAGTATCTAAAAAATGATTGATGAGGAAAAGAATGAAATTTATGTGAGTAAATGAATCGAAAGACGATCTACAATTGTGACACGCACCAGCTTTTTAAACCACTCGTCCTCAATCAAAACGACATAACAGCACCAATAAGAAGAAGAATTATAATGAAACATTGGACGCAAGATTGAATGTATTTGCTCCCCATGTTCCACCCAACGACTAATAAACCGTCTGGATAGATTTTTGCTAACATTAATGGCAGCAAAGAGGGAATGAAATGGATATGAAAAAATATAAATACACATATAGAGCCATCGATAAAAACACAACGACGAGCTCATAAATTTGACGGCTTAACTGCTTTGACGAGAGAGTACGATCAGCAGCAGCAGCAATAGTAATATTAGTGGCATCCGAGGGAAAAATGGAACAGATTATGTTCATTAAAATCGGATTAAATGGAGACGGATTGACAAAGGACAAACGTGCGTGTCACAACTGCATTGATCTCCGTAACTTTCACGAAGTCAATAAATTTCGTTCGCAAATATCCATCAAACAAAGTAAATATGAAAAATAATTTACAAATGAAAAACAAACAAACAAAAAAAAAAGAATCATTCAAAAACATTTTGGTTTTTTTGTATTGGAGAATAAGAATACAAAAAAAAGTTAATAACGAGATGAAGATTAAGCAACAAGAATATACGTAATTAATTTTAAGGACAAAAAAAAGAAATAAGCAAGCAAATTATTTACAAACTGAAAGAAATGGTGATGATAAGAGACACAAGAGATGAAACTTCGTTTTTGCAAGAAGCCCATATAGCTCGCCGAGTGTAAGACACATTTGCGCAAGGTTTGACAATTAACATTCCACGATGTGAGTTTTATTGATTTGGATAGCACATGACGTCGAAAGATGTCGTAACTAAACTGAATTATGAAAAAGAATATGGAAAAGGTATCATTGCAATCACTTTTATTTATTTTATAATGATTTTTATGTCAAAAAGATTTCATTCTTCTTCTAAACCAAAAAAAGAATCTTTAAAATTTCTATCGAAAGTTCCAAAAATTTTCCAATTTAAGTTTAGTTACGTACATAACCCTTTGATGTTTTATACCAAATCATTGGCTCATTTGTCGTTAATCTGAATGTTTGTTGTCGAACTTTCTCGCATTTGCATGTATAAATGTAATTTTTATTATTTTAATTTTCATTCTATTTTGACTATGAAACTTGAATCATATTTATGCGAATAATTCCTTGTTCCCTTCGATGTCTCCCATTTTCGTTTCTATGCTACAAATGATTCGTTCTCATTCGTTCCCCTTTTTCTTAAACATAAGAATGATTGACGTATTCTTATTAATTAACGTAATGAAGCAAAACATGAAAGTATTTGCTATATTGAGAAATTAATCCATGAATATAATATTTATAGATTTTAATACAAGAAAACTTTATCCAAATAACAAATAACTAGCGAATCTCTGAAGAGAAAATCATTTGAGTGAAGAAATTAAAAGAATAATGTGCAATCATCTTTGCATAAGTCTTTCAACTTCATTTCTATGTCTTCATTCTCTTCCAAAAAAAAAAGAAAGAAAGAAAAATAAAAAGAAGCTTTTAGTTCGCAAAAATGTGAAGACGATAAGCGTCTTAATAAACGATATACGTAAATTCAAAATGACTGATATTCATTGATTTAATGGCGCGTTAATAGCGAGATCGACATGTTTGATTTCGACTCTTTTAGTTTTTATTTCTTCTCTAATTCACGTCCATACATGGAGTATACGAAAACAATTAAACGTGAAGCTTTTATTACATTTTTTTTCTTAAGTTGTTTTCATGACGTCATAGAAAATACGACTTAAAGGCAAATTCGAGTGTTCTCCTTACCAGTATACGTAACGTGAACAGAAGAAACTTTGTGTTTTGTTAAGTTACTAACCCTCTGCTCTATTAACGTGACACGTTCGTGACTAATGTTTTTTGATTATAAGGCCAGTATACGATTTGACAAACTTTCCAGTTAACGTTTTTAATTCTCTTTTGTTACTCGATTTTCATTTCGTTTCAATTTATAGTTGAAAATCAAAACACAAAAAGTAAAAGAAAATTAATTAAAAATTAGTTTATGTTTGTTTGCATTTTAAAGCGCGATTGATGATAGAATCGGCGAGAAATTAAAAGAAATTTAAAAGATAAAAAAACGTAGAAACGTAACAATAAATTTGCTTTGCTAGTTTTCGTTTCAATCACTTTTTCCCATCAAACGGAAACAAATTTTGAAGCGAAAGGAGATCGTAAGTTCAAATTGAGAAGTATACGAAAAAAAAACACATAAGAAAACAAATAAGATGCGTAACTTTAAGATTTATATATATTTTTAATAAACAACATTTGAATGCAGTAAGTTAGTAGCTATCCTAAAATTTAAAACTATGATGACATTCAATAACGTGAGCGTCAACAACGAACACTTAACTTAGAAGACAAATCCACTCTGCTGCAAACTCTGCATGCATTCGAAGTTAAATCTCTTAAGTCACAACTGTTGACGACACGTAACATACAAAGCTATATGGGCATTTAAACTAAAAAAAATATTTGCTAATAAACATTTAATAAAAATAATTTTCTTCCTCGTGTATATTTTTTACAAAATGTGAAAATTTGCTAAATAAATGAAAAATTGATTAAGTAAAATTATACCATTAATTATTATACATCAGAATTAAAGGATAAAAGAAACCTTTTTCGTTTTTCTTGTGATTTGGTTATGATTCTCTCTCATAAATGTCGCTTCTTTGATGTAAATATGAAAAGAAAACTTTTTTTTTCACAACAAAGTTCATGCAAATAATAAAATTAAATAACGAAGAATGTTGGAGCAAGAACTCTTTAATTCATTGACACATAACGTTAGCTTTTGTAAGAAAAGTGGAAAATGAAAAGCAAGAGAAAAAATTAAATCAATTTTCTTTCTTATTCTTCATCCTATGCAATCTCTTGTGAAAGTGAAGAATCCAATCAATAAGAGTTTAGCATTCAATAGTTTCCGAAGATAAATTTTAAAATATAAAATCTGCAAAATATTGATAAAATATTGTATGTACATGTACAGTATTAAAAAGAGTGGAAAGTTCTTCGATCTTTCTAAGCAAAATAAGAAAAGAGAAAAGAAACTTAGTTAAGTTATTACAAACTTACTCACATAAATCAACCTCCTCCTCTCCCCCCAAACCAACAGCAAAACTTTATTGACTTTTCCTCCATTTCATTCCGAAAGTAAACAATTTTTTTTCTCTCCATGCTTTTGCAAGTTTCTCATTTTATTTCTTGGAAAAGAAAAGAAAAATAATTTTCATTTTCATGTAAAATATATAAAGTGAAGTGAATAACAAATTGTAAATTAAAAAAAGCAAAAAAATGTGGAAAGGAAACAAATTTAGCATAAAATTTAAAATACTATATTTTATCAATATGTAATTAAGAGTTCATTTTCACCACAATTTTCTAGTTTTTACGCGAAAAAAGGTTATTAAGGCAAATATCTAAGTTGCATAAGCAACATTTTTTATATTTTCTTGTGTTCTGTTCATACAACGATCACAGAAAAGTGAAGAGAAAAGTAACATTTTAGTTAAAAATTGTTTCATCAATTTATGTTTCGTCTTTATTCGTTCTTTCGATTATATTTAGCATATAAATGAATTTCTACCCAAAATCACAAACTCTTTAAATTATGAAAAAGAAAACGATGATAAGAAAATGAAAAGAAAAGTAAGAAAAGAAAAAAAAATGAAATTATGGACAAATGTGGTCGATCGTGCGGTCATTAGCATGATCGCTGAAATTTATTATTATTATTTTTTAAACAAAAAAAAATAAATGTTTTGTTGTTAAAAATTATAAAATTATATTCCTTTTTCCTTTTTTAATTTAAGACAAACTTTTTCAGAGGTCGCTAAACTCATAACTTTGATAAAGTTCAATTCATTTCATTGAAAGCTGACGCGATAAATGTAAATAACTTTAAAGGGTTAATTAGGCATTTAAGTAAATCTCCATGCCTTCAGAATTATGCTTCATTTTTGTGTCACGTACATGCTTAGTCCCTAATAAAGAAGAAAATATCAAACGTCGAGTGAATTTGTAATGAAGGCAAAAGCAGCAGTAACAGCAGAAGCAAAGCAATCACCCTACGCCCTTTTCTTGCCTTCACTTTTCTCTTTTGCTTTTCTCACATTGAAAAGATCACGTAAGATTTCTTTATTTATTTATGACACCCACGATAATATTAAATTTTCATAAAACAATTTTCATAATACACATAATTTTTCAATTTTCTAAATTCCCATTTGGCTAATGCCTGAGAGGGAGCGAACGAAATCGGTGGAGGAAGAAATTTCTTTCCTTTATTTGCTGTTCATTCTGGGTCGCTCCCGATATCACACTTTCCCTTCTCGTCCCGCGATTTTCCATTTTGCACATATAGCTCCCAGGGTTATTTAAAAAAAGTAAACAGAAACGTTCTTCACTTCAAAATCGAGGGGTGCAAACGACGAATTATCACAAAAGCCAACCACAACAAAAGGCGCTGAAGTTCTCGCTAAGGGAAAGAACGAACACGTACCCTGGTTGGAAGTTTCACATTTGAAAACTCAGATCTTGCATTGACGATAGAGCTAATTTTAGAATAATTTTAAATTACACAACAGCGGCAAACAACACACAGCATAAGCATGAGATGTAAATTCATTCTTCAATGGATTGTCGCAGCAGAAAAAGTCGTTTTCTTGTTTGAAATCTGCTGACACCCTCTAATTTTCTCTCTTCTGTTCTATTGTTTGAATGTTTTCTGGCACGCGCAATTTTTCCATCATCAAGCACCGATTTACGGTTCACGAGTGCATTGTGGACAAGGACAAAAGGCAAAGAGAGTTGGACGAATGCCATAAAAGTCTGTTTGTGATTAGAATGTTAGACAATAATTGTTATTAAATATTATTTAATGTTTGTGCTTGATGGGAAAGAAACACTTTGAAAAAGTCTTTGATAATTGCCTGAAACTATTTTTCTTTGCCTTCCGCGAATTAAATCATTCCCAAAGAATTTTAATCACTTGCATATTTTCATCGTCATCGACTTAAACGTAAACAAAAAAAATTTGATGCTCAAACATAATTCATCCAACTAGAAATTGATTGCTTTGCCTGAAGCTACAAAATCATTTTCTTCACTGACTTTATCAATAAAAATTATCCGCTCTCATCTCTTTTGACTGCTCACAATTAAATTATCAGCTTGGTGAACGTTTTTTATTCGGTTTATGGATTTCCTACCACCATCCACCACCACTCCTACTTCGGTCACGCAATTCATTGGACACTGCTAACTTTAATAGTAATGTAGGGTGAAACTTTTTTATTGGACTAAAGATTTGAGTTAAAACTATAAAATAAAATAAAAATCGCCCCAAAAATGCAAATGAACCGTATGCCATATTGCTGAGATCATGGAAAAGTTTCAAACATGGCTGTCGAATTTCTAATGAATTTGATCGATAGAATTGAGTTGTGAATGATTAAATTCTTCGTCTGACTTCTCCCTTCCGCATTAATGCACACCGACCTTTCAATAAATACCATTCTTATGCAATAAAATTAATTGTTTCCATACATTATTACCAAACATTGTTTGCAAATGGATTTTCTTATGCTATTAGATCGGCTTTCCTTTCACTGCTATCCTGGGAGATGCTTTTTTGCAACCCTCAACGATATGTTCGACGTTTTTGCTCGCTCAGGGATTCCTTTCATTCTGTTTCTCTTCTCCAGAATTCTTTCAAGCTTATCCCATCTTAAATGCCCTGATAAATACCAACACAATATGATTCACCCGTGGATGGAAGAAAAAGCAAATAAATCACAGCTTGAAATGGAGATTTAATAAAAATAGCTCCGTGCTATCTCACATGAAAAGATGCGTGTTTTGTTTCTTGCGTATTAGAGAAAGAACACGAAAAGTTGTTTATCTTTACACGAAAGAAACTTAGATGGTCCAACTTTTTTTATTTAAGCTGGTAAAAGTTACACGAATTGGTCGACTATAAGAAATTCATTCGTTTAACGGTGGATGAACGAAACAATCTTGATAACTACTTACGCAAAAATTTATCGAATGTTTTGACTTACTTTCATCGACCATGATCGTTTTCACATAAAATTCTTTTCTATAACAAGTAGAACAAGCATTAATGGTCGTGGATTGATATCAGAAGTCGTACACATAAGTAAATATTTGCTTCGCATTTTTCTCGATTAATCTGAGGGTGAAAAAGATTCTTGCGTAATTTCCCTCGTCCATAATTTTCATTTCTTTCTAATATAACTCGAGACTGGGATTTAATTTCTCTTCTCTCATCCCTTCGTGCATTTCGAGGATGTTGACTGGTAATTGGCATCAATTTAATGTTCTCGCGCGGACTATTCTAGTTTCCTTTTTCACCGAAGGTTGGGTGAGAAAGCAGACGCATTTCTGACGTGCAAACATCCCCCGAACCACCACAAAACTAGCAACAAAAATAGAAAAAATCCACTCAGTGATGGTTTCATGTTTCATCATCTCCGGGAGTGAAATTTCGTGTTGAATATCTCAGGAATAACAAAGAATATTTCGATGGAAAATGTCTTAATGTACATTCGAATGGGTGTTTGGAATTATGATGATTATTATTAATAAAAATACATTACGTAGATACTTGCTGAAGGGACGGTGAAGATATTTCTGAGCTTCTGCTGTTGATTAGGTTCTTTACTAGGATTTTCTCTCTGCCTTTTTTCACGAAAGAATTTTTTTTGCTGTTCCTTTATGAAGGGAGACTTTGTTAAACGAAGAGTCGAAATGAAATCCCTCGCTAAAGTAAACAATAAATGCTTAAGAAGATTTAATGAAATTATTGAATGTTTTCACGTAATTACAGTCAAATAGTGAAAGTGACTAAGTAGCTCTAATGATCACTCATTTTTCACTTTCTACTTTGGCATTTGTGTGCTTAGAATTTGAGGATTACGATTTCAATTTCTCTAAGGAGTTTGTCTTTGCAATTGCATGCATTCAACTCGCGTCATTAGATCACCCTCACCATTTTACCGTCTCAAATTTCATGAAGAACGTGAAAAAGAGAAAAATATTTTGTCATTGGAAAATTTAGATATTTCAAACACAGACACTCTGCGTGTCACGTGCAGTGGATGAAGTCGAGTCAGCTGTATCTGTCAAAAATTGCAATTATGATGATATTTGATCAGTAAAGTTTCAAATAATGTGGGTCAGAAAGGAATATCAAGCCACTTTAAAGCTTTGTAATCCATTCGGTGAAAGGAGAAAAAGGATAAAACCGAAGCCAATTGATATCAGGATATTGGATACGATCTCCCATATCCATAATCGAGTCAGTTTCTTTTTCTATCGCCCTTTGATGTCCGTGAGGGAATTTATGTCCGTAAATATTATATTCTCGATGTGAGAATTTTATGAGCACATCACCGAGAATTTAATCTTTTTAAGGGGAAAAATTAAAGAAGAAAAAAAATATTCTGTAAAATAACATGAAATGGAACACCCACCGGCATAACTCTTCATTGTGTTATTTCATTTAACTATTTTTATGACAATTTCTGTTCTGTGAAACAAGTTTAGAATAAAAGAGAGATGAAGCGTCGTCCATCGTAAACCTTTTTATAGATAATTTTACAGGTTGTTGTTTGGGCTTGGATTAGAATCACAAATTGTCCATTTAAAGTCACGCTATCAAAGAATCTTATTTCATTCTTTTTGAATTCGATTTCTTCTTCATTTCGGTGCTTTCTTTGAAAGGCTATTCAGAGCTATCGTGTGATAGTGACATTAAGAGACTGAGAGAGATTTAAATAAATACAAATATGGTTGTAGACAAGCCTCGAACGTGAAATGTTCATTTACGAAGATTTCTTTCTTCTGATAAGAATATTCAAACAATCAGATTCCTGGGAAAAGAATCGTCTTAAGATTGCTTCTTTTTTTATTTTCAATTTTTTTTGTCGTTCATACAAAGACAGAGAACTGCAGGTACAAAGTCAAAAGATCGATGGGCTCAAAGATAAATCAGCTTTGAGTTAAAAATTTCCCTCTTTTTGTTGAGTTGATCGATGTCTTTGAAGCAACTGTGACGAATTGTTATCGTTGTACCAAAAAAAGTCAAAACATTCTGCAAAAGATCTTCTTCAAATCGTGTCACATGGAAAGCAGAAGATTTTAAGTCGAAAAAAAATTAATTTAAGAATGATGTCGTCGTTTGGGGTAGAAAACTTGAACATGGAAAGTTGTTTACGTATTTTTATCGACAGAAATTTCACTCTCTAGAGACAAAAAAAAAGAAGTTGAAATAGAAGATGAGCAACGAGAAAGAAATCGTCACAGCGGGAGTTTTCATTAGAGCTGTTTTCGAAGACATTTTTATGAGACTAAGTAACTTCAAGGTTGGTGGAAGCAGATTCACTAGCTGAAGATTTTCTCATCTGGTAATACGTCAAACAAAATATAAAAATTCTATTCATTTAAATTTTTGTTTCATTTTTATGTTCTCATTCTCATCTCGTATGGTCCCAAAATGAAAATATTAAATTTTTTGATCTTATAAAATATAAAAGAAAAAAAAATATGAGAAGAGAATCAAGCTAAGCTGCTTATAAAAATATGATTTATTTGCTTCGTCGAAAATAAAGAATGAAAAGAGAAGAAAGAAGAAGGAAAAAATATATTAAATATTTTTACACAGATCTCGTTCTTTATTTTGGGTTCTTTGGAACTGCGATCACTTTTTATCCTTTTATATTAATTTGGAGTCTTTTAAATATTTCTCGATAATGTTAATCGTTGAGTTTGTCAGTAACAATTCAATTGGGATACATCTTCTATTTGAAACGGGGAATCATTCTAGTTAGTGAATATCAATCCTATAAAGAAGACAAGAACATGTGAGGTTTATAGGTTGATGAATCAAAATATAGAAATCAAAAGAAGATTAACAACAAACATGGAATAAAAGAAAAGAAAAATTCTAGGAATCGGTCAAATTTAAAATTGTGTATCAGTTTCATGGACTATTGAGATCATCTGCGAGACATTTCATTATTCAGATAACGAGTTTATTATCCAAATGTTGAAAACTCTTCGTTAAGCGACATTTTACGACTTTAACGAAATAAAATTTTGATGCTAAAAATATCATGAAGCATGAAAAGACAAGAAACAAAGAAAACTCATCATTTTGAAGCTGTCTATTTTTGATAAGACGACAGCGAGTTTAAAACACGATTCAAAAACATGACGACATGCTATTTAAAGCAACGAAATTTTATTTATTTTTTTTTCTCTTTCACTTACAAACTGCAACTGCTTTTTGGCTATCACTATAACTCTTCGTTCGACACGACACTAGAAGATGTCGACGCATATAAAATGTAAATGAAGCGATTTTTTGTTTTCAGTTGAAGTCAAATTTGTCTCAGTGCCAATAAGCTTCACACTCGATGTGAATTTTGAGAGATGCGCGTTGTGCGGTTTTTCTTTTTATTTTCTTTTACTTCTTCTCCCCTTTTAAGAATGTTTAATTAACCTTTTATTTATAGTTGTTTGTTCGTCATCATCTGACATGAAACATCTACTCGCACACTCTCTTCAAATGTGTGCATTTTAATCTTTTATTCGACACTTTTTTCTTTATTTTTTTGTGACTTGAAAAACATCATTTGAGCATTTGAGTGAACAGTTGTCGACTAATTTTTATTTTTATTTAAAACCTTCAAGCATGTCGATTCAGTGTCTTACGTAAGAACACAGCTTTTGTTACTTTGTGGCTTTTTGCTGGAAATAAGTTGAGAATTAATCTTGTTTACACCTCAAATGCTCTTTTGTCTGCTCTTAGATTGCTTACGAGCTTGGCTTTCGGACTTCGTTTCATGGGCGCACATGAATACACTCGCCAAATTCATAATTGCCTTTGGCTTCGCTGCTTGCGGTTTTTCTGTTGAAATGATAAATACAAAGATTTCTTCAGCATCAGAAACCGCGTCGTAATGACTCGATACAGCAAAGAGTACGAAACCAAAAGCTATAAAAATTGATTTGTTTTATGGTCGATGAGTTAAAAGCGACAATCATAAAAAGAATCCTTTTTGCAAAAAATAAGAAAGAAAACATTTCCGAATTCATCGCTGTTCTCGCCATGCGGAAGGCGTTTCTAATTTGAAATTGGCAACGGGCTTTATCGCTTTTCCTTCTTTTTTCGGTTGAGGGGGCGCAGATGGAAAAAGTTTTATGGATTTTCTTTCTTTACTCTTTACTTTTTTTTCTGTATTATTTAGCACTTTTTTATGTTCAATGTAAATGAGAACATCAAACGCGGTAACTCTTTAAAGTTTTAAAATTGCATTGCAACGAAATGATTTGAAGGAAGAGAAAGTTTAATGAACTTGAGATGAAAATTTTCCACACTTCACAGATAAAACTTTGACAATATTTAACTTAACTGCATGGCAATCATAAAGCCATTAAACTATTTTTCATATCCAAATTGCTGGAATTACAGAGACATCCTGATGATATAAAACTTTCTTCTTTCTTTTTCTATATTTTCAACGTCGAAAGGATCTTTCATCGTCTTTCTAACAGCCGTAAGATTATCGCTATCTTAAAGGAAATAAATCCTTCGGTGTCGCATTTAAAATGAATAATAGACGTAACGGGGATCCCCTTACAGACATTTTCCGGCTGTTGGTTGATGAGAAACAGAAATCGATTCCTTTACTTCAATGTTATATTTAAATATCTAAATAAACGACATGCAAGGACGATACAGTTGTGAAGAGAGAGAAAAGAAATCCATAAATAAATTTCACATTCATCTTTTCATTCATTCTCTTATCGCGCGACATTCTGGTAATTAAATTTGTCCTACTTGATTTATGACGATGATTGGAAGGAGTGGTGTGGTGTCTTGTAGTCTCATTTTCTATCTTCATTCTCGATGAAACGACGATGAAGACGCTAAATGAAAAACTGCGACCGTGACTGCGTTTCGAAAGTTGTTCTTGTTGCTGTTGTTGTCGCTTTCCCTTGTTTGAATAAACTTGACGCTGCATTTATAATTGAGCATTGAGGGAAACATTTCCTGATACACCGCAACAACATCCCAAAAGAGAGAAACAACGGTCCCTGTTCTGTTCACTGAACTGTTATTTCATTCGTTCAATTCCCTCAGTCATTTTTAATTTAATACATCAAACATCACATCCCAAAAGGAGAGAAAGTTGAAATAGAAAATCTTTTAGACGGAAAATTGTTTTTCGCGCAAAATTACTGACAAAGAATTTTTATTACTTTTCCCATCGCTTCTCGTTCTTGTGTTGGTTGTGCAACAAGGATATGAGTGGAGAAATGGTGGATGGAAGAATGCCTCGAATTTCTTAAAAGGAAAACATTTTTCCATCGCTTGAAGTGGGAAGAATTCTTTCGTCTTCTGCCATTGCTATCTTCAACATTTTCTACTTCCAAACCTCCTCAAAACAGTCGAAGGATGGAACAGAAAAATAAAAGGAAAATATTTTCCTCTTTCTCTTCAAAACTGTAAGACAAGAAAACGCGAAAGGAAAAGAAAACAGCAGCAAACTCTTGGGGAATTTAAAATGATTAAAATTCTATGCTTGAAGAGATAAAATAAATAATTTATATTAAATGTAAAATTAAATTTCTTGAATTTTTCTTCGTTGCTGTTTCTCATCTCCCTCGGTGCTTTATGGTAATCATTTTAAGTATTTAGCTGTGCTAAAAGAGATGGAGTTGATGTGAAATGCTTTTTCTTGTATTCATGGCGTTAAACTGACAGTTAACTGGTGTTCACCATCAGTTGAGATCGAATCGTGAAGCTTCTGGGAAGAAATTGAACGTACAAAGTCGCATTAGTATTCAAACATGAATTTACAAATAAATTTCAAGTCTTCATTAAAAACTTCACTTGACCATCTTTTAACGGAGATTTTAAAGCTTTTTCATTGTAATCAAAAGATTATAACATAATTTAAGGTTTACGATTTATTGCATCAACCACGAAATTGCTTCATAATTCTTAATTGCTAAAGCATATTTTTTACATATTAAAATCATCATTATAAAAAGTGCATCCACACAAAATATTCAACAGAAAAAAAAGACAATTTTGTGTCCAACTATGAGGCTGCTAAATCAATTAAAATTGTGTTTAATATTCAAGTAATTTTTTTTTTTCGTTTTAAATCAGCATCATGATGGAAACAAATTAAATTTGACGCCATTTTATCCCCGCCTACGTCCACATTAAAACTCATTAAAATCGCTTAATGATAAATTAAAATTCTGTTGCAGGGAACAAAAAAAAAGTTCTGTTGCTCGTTTAGCTGTCGGTTTTATTACAGAGGCATAAATCAACAAATTGGTAAAATATTGTTTAAACATTCATTTGACTTTAATGCTTACGTTGTTCACTTTTTTTTGTGGGTGACTGGGAAGTAGCACAAGAAATCCTTTGAAAGGCGGAGAAAATCTGTTTAATTCTTGAATTGAAAATGTATGTTTTGCATAATTTCCTTAACAGACATTTACATACAAGGGCTGAGATTATGTTCAACGATATCAAACATTAATGTTCTTCTGTTTGAGGAAACATTTCATTCCTTGTTTTTGAGTAAATAAAGAGCGAAGAAATTGAAATCAAATTAGAACACGAATGGTGGGGGGATTTGGTGGAGTTAGGCAAGGAAGGGTTCAGATGTGTTTGAATTCATTCAACGTCGAGAAAACTTCAAAATTAAATATTCAAAATGTTATTCGCTTCTTTGCGCTACTCGCTTTTATCATGTTATCATGCCACGACTTAAACGAATAAACTTCACCATTTTATGATGTTTTTAATTCCATTTAACTCATATAAACTCATGTTGTGCTACTGTTCTCAAACCATAAGAAAGAAGGAATTTAAAAATTCAAAATGAAAGGGTGAATGCAGCAACCCTTTTGCCGTATTACAATTTTTCTTTATATTATAATTTGTTACTTTTGCCTGTTCGTTTAATTTTTTTTCTCTGTAGCTTGTTATGTTTCGCGTGTTTTTAAGCAAAGAAAAGTTTTTAAAAATAACTCGCTAAGGGCTTTCTTTTTGTTCAGCTCATAATTTCGATCGTAAAATGAATGGAAATATGGCTGGGAACATGTTGTCTCAGTTTATTCAGCTGTCAGTGTCCAAAACCACTGAGCTAAGCTCAAATTGTAAACTTATCAATTTATTGTTCAACTGTATTAAAAATTGCTACAATTTATGACGCCTACGCATTCCAAATACAGAAACTTTCTAATGAGATGAGGTTCAAAAGTTCATTTTGACAACAGATTTCCGATATCATTTACAGCACATATCAGACAATGTTCTCATTTCTTAAATACAAAATACAAAAGCTGTTAAAACGAACAAAAAAAAATGTCAGACACTTTAAGTCCAGAAGGCAAGATAACTTAATTAACCCAAAAGACTTCTGTCCCAAGCATCTATGCATGCATAATTTCAATACCATTTTAATTTGAAAATAAATCCAATTTTATGGTGCTTTGCTTTCGCTTTTTCGGAAAATACTTCTCGATGGACATTTTTATTTATTTTTATTGTCTGTAAATTGTGGTCATCATCAAGAGTCCGAACATAAATAACTCTTGCTTAATAGTCAATAGCCCATGCGAAATCCTATCTTATAATTAAATGGATTGCAAGAGATTCTAACTTCTAAATAAATATTCATTTACGTGATGTTACGTGTGTAATTGTCCCTGTAAACGGATCATTTCGCTCATGCCCTTCTCAACTTTATCAGCCTTTCACCACCACCCATGAATATATGGAATGTATTAATATGATAATTACAAATCCATCATCCTGAATGCCATCAGCACCAGGCTTAATGAAGGATTTCAATGCTTTTTATCGTCGCTCATAATGTGAAATCTATGAATAATTTTCATCTCATATTTCCCTTCTTTTGTTATTGCTTCGACGAACGACGAAATCCCCGACAAAAGTAAACATCAGACAATGTGCTTCAATGTTTATTAATTCTTCGCCCTTCACTCTCTCTCTCACGCTTTTCCTCGATTGCTACTGTTTCCGAATGAATATTTGAGCTTTAAAAAGCAATGCTGAAAAATTCATTATGTTTTCATATCACATGGTAATTACTCTTTATCGATCGCCTTCGCACCCAAAATAATAACAGCGAAGTGTATTGAAAATTAAAATTTCATGTTTGTTGTTTTTGTTCATTTCACCCTACAGTGAAGACTTTGTGAAAGTTGTACGGGAGGTTAAAGGGGTTGAGTTGAGTTCTGTAAAGTAAAAAAAGGGTGCGTGAGTGTACTTTAAGCCGTTTAAAAAATCAAAACACAAAGCAAACAAATCAGAAAGAAATGAAATTTAAATATAGTGTAATGTGATGGGAATTGGTTTGCAAATATTTGTCAGTAAGTTGCACATTGAACTTCACAACAGCAATTCATTGCCCAATAATATCCTCAAATTCTCAAATATTCGAAGTGAATTTTAATTGTAGAGATGATTTTATTCTTTCTCAACTAATGGGATTAAAATTAGGGTTTGGAAAATGCTGCTTTCTCTGTGGAACATTTTTAAACATAGCCAAAAGGCGAGCATGAAATCTTTTTTGATTATGTTGTTTATGACTGTAGAAAAATAAGAAAGGATTTTAGATTTGTTTTTAATTCTCAATCCCGTTGCTTTAACATTGCCCCGAAGGTCTCATTTAAGGACATTCCATCGCAGTGCGATTGCTTGTTTACATCCCTTCCAGCCAAGCAAGCAAGTAAGCATAACAATGGAGATTAATTTGTTTGCTTGTTGGTTCAGTAGAATTGAAGGATTAAATTTTCCTTTTTGAATGCGAATGAAAGGAATCAAAAGTGGGTAAATAAATAAGTTTCCGTATGTACTGCAATATCAATCAGAGATTTGATTTTTGTGCATTGAGCTTGTTATTGTTGTGTGGGAATTGTGGATGAAGTTTAAGTAGAAGTTGAGGGTCGAAAGACAGCAAACATAAGCGTTGATCAGAGGTAATAACGTTTCTCTGAAGTAAATACTAATAACAATGAAAAGCAATCTAATTTTCCACCGTATTTACCTCATTGTTTCCGTATCGACTGAGATGAGAGCCGTGTGTGTATGCACAGCGTATTGCTCATGAAAAGCTCCAAGAAATAATCGAAAGGGCTGAGAGAAACACGTGTTTTATGAACCCCCAAATTTCCGGAACAGCGATGAGAAAGAATAGAAAAGTTTTTCTTTTTTCCTTTCCTCAAGACATACAGTGAAAAGACTTAATAGAAAGCTGTAAAATACTGAAACGAAAGTCAACTGTAATCTAGGAATTTTCTCAATTCAATTCGCTTCCTTTTCCCTCACAATGCGGGGTTATATTCGATAAGAAAATTGGCTGTATGTCATAATATTATTTGCAATGTGGATACGGATTATGATTTTCCATAATGGTTTTCAATGCTTTCTCACAACCAGAAGTCGTTTACGTATGATAAGATTTTCCTTTTAACAAGAAAGGAAGAAAACAAGAAATGCGAGGGTTGCATAGAATAAAAAGATTTTTTCGAATGGAAGGAAGAAGGAAATGTTTATGGTTTCGGTTTGATGATGATTGAAAGGAAAAGAAAAGCAAAATATAAATTTTCACGAGTCGTAAATTTCCATGAAGTCTAAATATAAATATACGAAGTATGCAACAATTATTGACTAATATAGTCAAGCGAACAATTGATAAGGAAAGCGTACAATTAAGTCACCTTGTCTCGCGATAACAGCTCACAACGCTGTGTAATGTTTCTCTCAACATTTCGCGTACTATCACAATCATGTGATTAGATTAATTTAATTTGATAATGATATTAAAATCCCATCGATCATTACCGAAATGAGTGTAATTAATTGATTCATTTTTTCGTTCTTCTCCTATTTCATTGCTTTTCGGCCCCGATCGGCGGTCGCAAATTGTTTTAATCGCACTTTTCGGATCTCTCTTCGGATTTTGTGAGTTTGTTTGTTAATCATTTGCTTACGATTGTGAATGGGAATTTTTTTTTCTGTTTGGTGCTGATAAGTTCTTTTCCCTCGAACCGATTAATTAATGCCCAGTCCGAAGTTTTGGAATTGTTTAAATTGTGTGATAAGCAAACGAAAACTAGTTCTCAGCTCTAATTATAAACAAGTTTCAGTTATCTCTTTTTTCTGATATTTGTCTTCAGGCTCTCATTGGATGTTTCGACATCGTGTGATGTTATTTTCCTCAACAATTGTCTGTTCAGAATAGAAACGAACAACTTTACGTTACAAAACATAGATTGCACAATGTAATCGACATTGTCTTCTGGCCTAACACATAAAAGCGATTTTGGCATGACAACTACTAGTTTTACGTTTAAACCTTTTGAACTTTCTTCGATTATTTGCATAACATTCGTATGTGAATATTCATTGTAAGCTGAAATGTTCAATGCTATGAGTGGGTGTAACAAAAACATTAATTCCTTTACGTTACTGAATAATAAAGCTTTTGAATCACCCGATAATCACCAAACCAAAGACACAATTGCAGGTTCATCCATGAAATGGAATATCAGAGATGCCAATGTTGTAGGGCGCGTTACCGATTCATTAAATGTATGCAAAGCAGATATTGCGCCAAGTGTAGACTCACAAAGATATTCCATTGAAAAGCAAATTGGCAAAATAACGAATAAGAACGAAATGTGGAAAAAAAAGTATAAAATGTAATGCCAATAAAACACAAAACCTCGAGACCAATAGAGAAAAAAAGAAGACCGAAAAGACCAAAAGCCGAGACTTAAGTCAAGAAGAAGAACAAAACCAATGTTGAGTTGAAAGAAAAAAAATTAATATATGAAACCACAGTAGCATAAGTGCTTGTCAGAAGAATGTTGTAAAAACGTCACATTATAATTTATGCTTTATTATAAAGTTTTGTGCTGTTTGTAGTTCGCTTGGTTGTTGCTCTCGTTCACTCGTTCTGTCGTTCGGGTTCACACACAACCGGTGTTGACGGAAAATAATAATAATAATCAGAATTAATATTAAACATCATTGAGAAAGCCCTTTTGTTGATCATTTTTCTGGAGGCTTCTTCCCAGTATTAAAAAAATATGGGAAAATTAAGTGGAAAGCTATAAAAGCGAAGACATTTTAATTTTTTTTCCTTCCTCGTGCAGAATTCGAATTTGATATTTTATCGTTCTCTGGCAATATTGTTTGAACGTTCAAGGGATTACTGGAAAGGTTTTCGTTACGCTTCAAAATATTTCCTTCACTTTTAAAGAATGAACGGCCTAATGAACGGTGTCGAGCGATGAGAAGAAAGAAGTTTATGATGTAGAACCAATCTGAGATGAATAACAGTGAAGAAAAAGTCCTTAAATATTTCTTACTTACTTTAGTTGTAAGTTTTGAAGTGTTTGAAGAACTGAAATCAACTAATTTCTATTGATGCTCGCCTCGTCTCTAAAGATTCAAATTGAATTCAAACAATACGAAACAAATTTGTTTCTTGTCTCACTCATGTCGCTTAATGCTGTCTGCCATCTTTAAGAAGTTTTCAAACGCTCTGTGGATTTACAGTAACATTGATCTCATTGGGATCACATCATACAGGAAACATCAGCAAAGTTATTGCGAAGGGTAACTTTATCCCATGATGTTGTCTATAGCGTCCCACTGGGAATCACATGAAAGTCAATTGTCCGATAGACAATTTTTCGTTTTCAAATAAAAAAAACCCAAACACTTTTTGTCCCTGTTTTGTCGAGTTTAAAAAAAAATACGAAAAACTTTGCAAATTTGAACAACAGAAATGGGACGTAAAAAGGGCAATGTGAGTAAAGTGAAAGCAGCATGAGCGTTTGTGGATCCTATTATGCTTTGCTTGCTTTTTTTCATGAAATTCTGTGCTGCAGGCAGAAAAATAAAAATCTAAACGAGAGTTTTCGAGGCCCTTTTTAATGCCTTGGAAGTTTTAACTGAAAATAAAAATAAAATAACAATTAGGGGTTTGCAGAAATTGACTGTAAGTGATGTTGTTTGCGCAACGATAAAAGAAATTTTTTAAAGACCTTCTAGTTGTCGATTCTATATCAAACGCCCTCACCAAACAAACGCTCATTTAATGTTCAGAATTTTTTTTCCTTGATAAAAAAACCTTCAATTTAAATCTCGAAACGCTTTCGATCAGATTCAGTGGAGAGATTAAATTAATCTTTGATTTGACAGTTAAGCACGTTGACTTTGCCCATTTAAGTTGCTTTTTATAGCTGGTGAAGGATTAAAGGGAAATCTTAGTCAAAGCTTTAATGATGGGGCTTAAAGTTGAGTTGTAAATTATCTGATAAAATAAAAAGTATTTAAGTTTATAAATTTGATCCGTACTAGTTATGAAGTGATCAATGTTTTCCTCTACAAAAATCGAAAATCTTATCAGACGTCTTCAAATAATCAAATAAAAAGTCAATTTTCCTATTCATCAATATTTTCTCCGTTTCGCTGAGCAAACTGAATGCGAATTTATTACTTAACAATGAAGGTCGCTTTTATCTCTTCCACTTTCAAGTTCACTTCATTAATTTGAATTTTGAATGTGATGTCTTTCTTGTAGCGTCTTTTTTTTCCTTTTCTGATATGACACGACAAACAATCACAAAAAGCAATTTTTCGGCCACAAAACAACAGTCAAACAACTGAAAGAATATAAAAAAATTGAATAATATTGATATGGAAACGTCGAAAAAATTATTTACATAATAAATCAATTTGTAAAGTTGAAATACCAGCTTTGGTGTGGTGTGCTTATGGCAAAAATTGTTGACTGATATCAACTCAAAAATTGCATATTTTAAACAGTTACCCACTGAAAGAAAATTTGAATAAAATTTTCATCATACATACATAGAATTTTTATCATGTTTCAAACTTAACGACTTTGTCTTGTAAATTTGTTGGTTTGTAACGAAAATAATTAATCAATTTGAGTGACAAAAGCGGATGTCAATTGACCAAGATATGAGTAGCAGCAATGTGCGTGCAATCAATTGATGGCGAATCATCTTCGCCCTTCTACTACTCATCGAAATAAAACTCTCGTCACTTGCAACAAAGCAGAAGTGTAATTGAATCAATTTGCACACATTCATCAAACATTTTCCACTCAACTTCTTTATATTCACTCCACTTTTGAGAATCGTTGAAGCCCATAGGACATTAATCTGATTAATAATTCATAAATAATATTCACCAGATATTACCCCAGAGCTGCTGTAATCTCATTTGGTATGTAACCAGGCACAAAGTGTTTTTAAATGTTAGCATTCATTCATTCTCTTGAGATTCCCCCACGAGATGTTTGCAATTGAATAATTTTAAAATGCTGCTGATGGTTTTCTCTGAGAAAAAACAAAAACGTAAGTGAAAAGGGTTGGAATGGAAAGTTAAAAGCAAAAGCATCGTCAATGGGTTAAATTCAATTGCAGATTATAAATTTTTAAAGTTAATAGTAGCGAGGGATGCATTTTCCTTTTGATGCTGAAACAGTTAAATGTCCAACGAACGGTCGAGAACTGCTTGATAAGGAATTCAATTCAGGTCTTCTCGTAGTGCTTAAGCGCACACAAATTTCAACATCATCATCATAAAGTCACTTTTATGGACTTATGGGAATTGCATTGCAATCAAGAGATACTTTATGGCGTGTATACCATTACAACCCGTAACGTAATAAATGATTCAAGTGTTTCCTCTTGGTCTCGTCACTTGCTGTGAATTTTATTTCGACGACGAGAAAATCAAATTTTCTTCAATTTGTTTGGTAATTGTTGGTATGTGAATATTTTACACAATCTTCAGAGCACTCGACTAACATCCAAGGCATCGAAAACCGGAAAAAGGGACGTTTTTTGCTTCTTAATGTTACAGTCTTCAAGTATACTTCTCGGTCTCCTTTTACTACTGCTTTTGATTCAATTACATTTGGATTGTGGTTGAAGTGAAGTTTTATTGAATTATTCTGAAATGTGAAATAGTCAGGGAAAATTCAATTTGTGGTAGTTTTTGAGATCGGAAAATGTTGGAATCCCAGGTTGAAAGAATTTCATTTTTCTTTTCTCATAAATTGCTTGATCATTAAATAAACTTTTAATGATATTAAGAACTATTGTTAACTTTAACAACTCTGAGTTTAATGTTCGAGAATTTTCATCATAAAATTTCTTCTTTTCTTGCTGGGAATCGATAAGAAAGTCAGTTGTCTTGACTTCACTCAGAATCTCTTAATTTCCTTTCCTTTATATCTTTGAGAAACAAATAGAAATCAGTTAAAGAACAAAAAATTTATTGGAGCGGATGTTGTAACATCAAGATAAAAAATTTAATCAAAAGAACATCATTTTACAATCAGCAAGTCAGAAAGAAAGAGAAAAGAATTCTTGCGCCCTTTTTTTCTTGCTTGAGGATGCTCATGATCGCGGTTCTTTGTCTACTACTGTCGACATTCATTCATTTCGTTCACTCTGCTCGTTCAACGTTCACAATCTTCAACAAAAATCGAATTTAATGCAAATGATCTATACTTCAGCAATACTTACTCCATCTCTTATTCTCCACCATTCCTTTTGCAATTATTTAAATTAAATTGTAATTGTTTTCCTCTCAATGCCGTACGTAGCTTCGTTGGTTAGATTGGATGTTGTTGTACATTCGCCGCGCTTATTCAAATTGAATTCGAGCGGAATAAAAGACGGAGAGAGACAAAAAAAAGTTATAAGAACGTTTGGATAAGAATACGATGAAGAATTTACAATTCTTTTTCAAAATATCTTTTTGCTTGCTGCCTCCTTTCAAGTGAAATAATCCAAGCAGACATTTTTCTTACATTTTAATACATATTCATTAAAAAAATATGTATTTAAATATTATTTCAATGAGTCAGGGTTGTCGGAAAGGTTGAGATGTTGCTTTGTCGATTGGATCTTGCTTCACTTGTTCACTGACCTGCAATATGTTAATCTGACCACTTCGACATGGCGCACACAACCTGAAATGGAATGAACGTACATACGACTTAATTTATATATCGAAATATTTTTAATTAGTGAAACGAAATGAAAAAGGCAAAGGAGTGGAAGGAAAGTTTGTGAGATATTTAATTGAAATCAAAGACGAGCGAAATGAAATAATTGAGAGAAAGACAAAGACGGGAAAGATCTCTGACCGTGTTCAGTTAAGACCTAAGCTTAGCGCAAAGACCTAATTATTATGCACAAGCCAGGAGTTGGTGAATGATCATCAGTTGGCGAAGTTCACGCTGTTGCTTTTTTAACTTTGCAATGTTAAATAGCAAGCAGATGGAAGATTAAGATTTTTATGGTTTGGGAAGCATCACAAAACAATGAGATTCTTGGTATGATAGCAAAATGAATTCATCTTGTTTTAATTTTATTTCTTCTACTGTCGATGCCACGCAACAATTCATTCACAGAAGAGTTTTCCTTAACATTTCGTTGTCGTCATTGAAGAACTATGCATTAAGACATTTTCAGCTTCTCATCCTCTAGAGGGTTAAAAACAACAACTAACATCCATGAGACATTTGGTGTTTAATTAGAAAAATATGTTATTTTAATATTCATAAATGGATTTTGAATATGTTCATCTTGAAACATCCGCTGTCACTCAAAAAAAAGAAAATTCTGAATCGACTTTAAGCAACAAAAAAAAAAAAATTCGGAGGAACAGTTTAGTTTCTACATTTTGTTATTTTGTCTTCGACCGTTTACAAATGCAAGCCTTCGCGTTGTGAACTTTTTTTTTTGAGTTTTTGTCAACATCTGGAAATTTATCGAACAACAAAAATGTTAAAGACTTCTTAAGAATATAACGCACGAGACTTGTTGAGAACTTTCTAATTTTCATGCATTGTATTTTTAGAGACACATTAGTTATGAACAAATGCATTCAAAAAGATTCAATTAACAATTGCAGCTCATTTATTTAGTTTTTGCCCGGGTGAATTATTGTTCCCCTATGAATTCCATAACCGTACACGAAACTTCACTTACTCATCACTTGAAAAGTGCATTAGAGATCAGTGAGCAGGAAATTTCATGGGAAAACCTTCAAAATATTATTTTCTCTCGCCTAAATCTAATCACTGAAATATTCATTTGTCGAAGGTTTAATTTAGCTTCCTGAAAGTAAACAGACTTAGTAAATATTCGAGCAAACAACCTCACCTTCTCTTTCACTAGAATTTGTACAAGTTCTCTATTTGCTTTCGACCCGAAATATTTTTTTTTATAAAAAAGTAAAAGTAAAATTACAGAAAACAAATAAGTCGTCAAATGAATGGAAAACGTGTGTGAATATTTGCTTTAAGGGCTTAATTTATTCAATACCTTTCCTTCCTTTTCAAAGGGACTTTATTAATAAGTTTTCTCCGCTGTCACATTTCGGAATCATTCAAGTGTTAAAAATCGACAAATAAAAATTGTTTTATAAACAAGGATTTCGGTTTTGATATGAAAAGTTCATTGTACGGTAGAAATAGCGCCGAAAATCGTCAGTAAATTGAAATGTTTATGTCTTGACGCAACATAAGTTGCAATGTTATTATCGCATTCTTTTTGACAGCTGCATCAATTGAATCTCTCGAATCATTAACAAATGCCAAAAGAAATCAAATGAATACGAAATGTTACCGTAAGAAGAGACAAATGTGAATTGCTAATTATAAACTGGAGGAAGAATCAAAACGAAGCAACAAACGCTTCATTGAGCTGAGTGGAGGCAGAAGAAAACGAAGAAATCTTAATAATTACAAGAAATCACCAAAAGGGGAAAAGACGAGAAACGATTTTAAGCAAATGATACTGGAATGAAATAATAATGAGTTTTTGTTTTCTCGAGCGTCTTAAGCTTGCTTGCTTGCTGCTTATTAATATGCAGACATATGCTTTGAAGGTCGATGAATTTTTTCATTTGAAGATTGAGGATTAATAAAGGTCATCGACAAACATTTCATTTCATTTCATTATAAAAATTTGAACTGCTTTTAGAATCGTTAGCGTGGTGGTGCGTTAAGGTGATGAGAAAAGTCGATGATGAAAGATTTAATTCATGGAATTATGAGTCACATCGCATCTTAACAACGATTACTGACTAACATATAAATAGTCATAACTTCTTTAGTAACATCGTTTATGGAAAAGTTTATGTCATTAGCGCCCCAAAAAAGCAAAGTCAAATCAATTATTTATGGACGCACAAATAATTCTGCTTTATTTGATTTCTCTTTCGTTCTCTGCAAACTAAATCAATCTTTCATGTTGAGAGTCGCCAAAGAAATTCCCGAATTTATAGCTACGCTCTGTAGCTGAGAAAACTTTTTTTTGTTTATTTAAAGATTACTTTATGGAGCATCATAAAGATGAGTTAATGTCATGAAGCTGAGCCTAAGCTCTGTGAATTGTCAAAGTTTTGCTCGTATGTAGCAATCAATTGGAATTGTAGCTTTAAATTGATTGCCTTTATAATCGGAAAAATCCTCTCAAGTTCAGCAAGAAAATGTCAACGAACTAAAACTTGAATAACAAAAGTTTTAATTTCATGGAAAAAACTTTCTTTTATTAAATCTACAACGCGTGCTTTATCATTAGCAATCTCGTTCATCTAAGTCTAATATTCAGATGAAATGATGATTATGCAATGGAATTTCTTTTCGTTTTCTAAAGAGAATTCTTTTCTAATTCTTATTGGATTCAATTGGATTTTCTAATGCCGAAGCTGTTTAATGAGCCTCGATTCTCGATTCGAATGATTGACCCACAATTACGGATTTTGATGTTTTCTAATGACCCGTAACTCTCCCGTTCTCTGTTCTGTATCATTTCATTAAAAGGTGCTTTGCCTTTCCTACACGACCGTGATGAGGTATAAAGAGATTCTCTTCAAATGATATGTAATTTAACTAATTTCATTAATAACATAGCAATTTGAAATAATTTGTCTTATTTCGGTGTGTATATCATCGAAGCGATGAATAATAAATCGCCGCTTTAACACATCTTCCAAAGCATTATTGGATTTGTGGATATCGTGACGACATTTAAGTCCCAAAAACTATTAAATTTTGTCGTTAAATAAATAATTAGCTTTGAAATTCTTGGATAATTCTTAAGTCCCCAGGAAAAAGCAGAAAAAGCCATTAAAAGTGAAGATTGCTTCTTTAAATGACTGAAATAATATTAACTCGATTAAGATGATTTATGAGTCCGATCCTCGTAATTATGTGCGTAACGCGAGCTTCGCTTCACTGCCTGTGCAATTTAATTTCAATTTCCGAATAAAATGATTCAATTATCCGAAACGAGACATTAGAAGGAGATGAACAGAGAAATGTTGTTAAAGAAGAATCGTTTGTCGAACTCGAGTGGTAAATCTGAAGAGCTCTCAAGTCAAGCACCAGAAGAAGAATTCAGATGAAGATTAGGGAAATCACGAGAGCTGATCTTGTGTTTTATGCTCGAATTACAATTCGAGTGTACTTCAATAATTGTTGAGTGCGTCTTTCGATTGAAGAGAAATTCTTTTCTAAAATTAGAAGTAATGCATGGAAAGTGCATTGAAACTTTTTCCTTAAAAAAAAATCATAAAATATATGAACGATCATAAAAACGTCTTTGGGATGAGAAAGAAACGTCATGGATTGTCTTCAACGATCATTAAGCATTTGCATGTGCGAGAAAATTATCGGAGGATGAATGTAGCACGGATCGGTGACTCAGAAGGGCACATCGCAATTTTTCAGGCTGCCGTAGCACACAAATTTCAGGTCTTTTAACGAAAGAGAAAACAAAAATTGTTTTATGATCCATTTTTACGATGTGCCACCAACATCGTGAATGAACTGCATGGTTCTGCTCTTCTTCCCTCTCTCTCTCTTGCAATATCGACAATCATAAGTCATTTCACTGCCAGGAACGAAACGAAGATTGAGAATATCGTCACACAACAGCTCATGTTGCAAGTTTAGCTTCTAAGATTCATTTTAACGGCCTTCCATTTCTTGATGAGATTTTGTCGACGTTTTAAGACACAAACAGTAATAATTATTATTCTTTTACAACCGAAAACGATTCTTCATTCCATAAGAGAGATTTTAAATGCGATGTAATACTAAACTGCATCGTAAAAGAACGTTATGCATGCGTTTACCAAGAATAGAGAAGTAATGAAGAGTCGCGACTATATTATGAACGATTATGACTTTATGACGAACGGGATTATAAGTAAAGGCAGTAAAATCTTTTTTTTATTTAACTACGAAGAAAATTATTAGTTTTCTGCTATTTTTGTTAAGCGTCTCAACGACGAGATGGGAGTGAAATGTTCCCAACATTGTTGCGTTCAGCTGATGTCACTCGACATCGCCTTTTAAAGATGATTTGAAGTTGCAACAAAGTTTACTTTCTTGCTCTTCACTTCAAGAAGATAATCTTGCCTCAATGATCATGTTAATAATCGTTAAAGACATCATAAATAATGAGAGAAAATTGATGGAATTTTATGTTTATTGTTATTAACATTTCAATGGAATATCGCAATGCGTTTGTAAGTGGATTGATCATTTGATTCCATCCAAATGTCTTTGAATATTTCCACTTTTTCTCTCTTCCATATTATTTCCATACATTGTTAATAATTGATCTGAATTGTTTATTTTTCACTTCATAAAAATTAAGTCGTAAAGCTCTCCGAACTTGTTTCGATTTTCGAATGTTTTGAATGCTTTAAAGAAAGAAAAAAAGCGAATCCGTGAATCGTTAAACTGACTTTTTTTCCCTCAGTTTTTATGATGAAAACTTTTTTAACTTCAATTATTTTCACCATTAAATTGAAAACAAAAAAGTGCTTAGAATCTTAATTACATCGCTCAAAAAAGGTTTTCCAATGTGAATTTTTATGTGTTCGGTTTGAAGCTTTCAAATTCATGCAAAAAACCATCTGATTATGTTTACATTTCGCTACAAAGCTTTCATTGCAATGCATTGCTAATAATAAGTGTCGTTAAACAGCATTTTACTTGTCAACAAATAATTTTGAATAATTTTGTCAATTTGAAGCTACTATTGAAATAATTTCAACAATGATTCAAATAGAAAATTGATTAATGAATGTACATTTTCCTAATTCGTTCATTAGAACGTGCCTCTAGTTTCAAAGCGAAAGCGATAAAAATAGAAATTTGATTTCAATCAATGACCAGCCAACTAAACAATTTTTTTCCAAGCCAAGCTAATGGCAAACAAAAGAAAGCAAAAACGAAAAAAGCGAACAACTTTTTTAATGTTTCTTCGCATCCAGATCAACTTTAGTTAAACACATGATCATTATGGCGATGGTCGATAACCCATTTACAATTAAATACATTTTTTTATGTTTTCCCATTCGAAATGGATTCCAATTGCGAAGCCAAAACAATAATAAAATATTTTTTTCTTCTTCCCTCATCTCAACAACAACTTCAACTACTTTGTGAGTTTTTTTTAATAGTTTTCGGATTTTAATGGCTCTTTATAATAACAACTTCAATGATGGCTATAAATGGCTATCGACATTGTTGGCGTAAGCCAAAGTGCTCAATATTATTGAATTCACTTCTTGCTTCTTATCAATTGGCTCGTTCTTCTCGTTTGCTTATCGGATTATCAGTCACAAGAATTAGCTTCAAATTGATCGACATTTAAGAAACAATAAAGAAAAGTAGAAAAAGTTGCATTAAAAAGCTTCAACCGATTAACTTCTCTTCTTTCATGATGAAGCTATTACATTGAACTTATTTATTTAAATCCGGATTCAAAGCAATGACCTTAGGCGATTGTCCGAGAATTCTTTTCATTTAAATCGCATCAAAATATATGCAAAATGCACATTTCGTGTCTTGTGAAGAATTTTAAACATTTTGAACATTCTTTCAAAAGAAACAAAAAAAAAGCTCAAATTGCTATTCATGACCATCGCCGAAAAAAAATGTACGATGCTCGCAAATGACCACAAAATGAAACTTAGGGTGGCAGAAAAAGTTTGTTGATTCAAAGCACATCGAAGCAGAGTATTTAATTCTTTCTTTATCGTCATCGCCAAAAGTCCAGTTTCGATTTCAAAAGAAGTTTTTTTATTTTATGTTATCAACGTCTACGGTCGGATCATGATTCTGTAGAATTAATTGACAATAAGAACCTAGAGTTGTTACTTATCACACTCAAGCAAATCTTTTCAAGTTTCATGTCAAGACTGTCAGTTTTATAGATTAATTTATTGCGAAGCGAGACTTTAATCTTTTATTTTATTTTATCTTTACAGAGACCACCAAGTTCTTCACTTTCTTACGGAGGTGCAATGAATGATGATGTAAGATCTCCGGGCTCAGGAAGTACACCTGGCCCACTCTCAGCACAACCACCTCCTGGCTTAGGCGACCCCGATCCTGGTAAGTCAACAAATTTATTATTCTTCGTGAACCAATCAATTAAGCCAGCGATCTGTGAATGATTTGAGTTGCATTTGATGCTTCACGCTTCGAGGATTTTCATTCTGATTTTAACTTTCAAAAGATGATTGAAATAAAGTTCAATGATTAATTAAATATATAATAAGCAGTTCGTTGTTATCAGCTTTTAAAACTCGATTAATATTCGAATGTGGCGAGAAATTATTTCAACTCGTTTTATGTCCACAATTTGTTAATAATTTTTATTTCTTCTTTGATACTTAGCTAAATATGCAATCACGCACTTTTTTGACTTATCAGTTGTAAAGCAATCAAAAGGGAAGCGAAAAGCTTTAATTTCCAATGTTTATAAAGTTTTATGATCCAATTCTGACCCACAAAAGCGTCCGTGAAATTTATAAACAAGATCAAGTGGTGCACAATTAAGTAGCAACATAATTTATGTTCAGTTCAGAATTTTCGGCTACGATTGATTTATTTACTTTCCCACACTGCGTGTTTCTATTACTTAAAAAATTCCTTGAAAACTGTTCCACCGTATAAAACAACCCGAAATTAATATGTTAAACACATTGCCACTCGAACAGAAAGAAACAATAATTAAAAATAAATTTCACTACGACTTCTTATCTTTAACAGATTGTAGATAATTTGTAAGACGACGGTTCCGATATTTTAGTATTCCTTCATAGATGTAGCCCATAAAAGTCAAACAAAATTGCTTCATCAAGAGCAGCTACAAAGTAACAACACCAAACAAACAATAAAAGTATAACAAATAATTTATTGTATTCAGATTAAAGCAATTTAATAGTTGTAAAAGTCGCATTTAATAACATTTTGATATGCCTACTGGGTGAGCTGTAAGCTTAAGTTTCACAAGTTCGACGATGCTTTTACTTGAAATGTGCGCTTAAGTCCCAGCGGCAATTGATTTATTGTCAGAGTAAATAAATAAACAGCGCCGCCGTCGCGAGAACACAAACAACTTAATCTAAATTCGCACAGACGACGACAATTAATTCTGATTGCGTTTGATTCTCAAAATTGTGAACGCGAGAAACTATTAAAAAGTCATGAGATTTTATGTTGATTTAGCTTTTGCGTACATGTTTGGAATTTTGATGAAAGAATTAAACTTTAAAATGATCTTTTCATTATTCTTTTGATTGAGAAATCTTGACGACAAGGACTTTTAGAGGTAGATTAGACTTTTAAAGAGATATCCAGAGATTGTGCAATGAGTGTCAAGGAAATGTTAAATGAAACCAGAACTAAACTTAATTTAGTCCATAAAAAGTGAAACTAGTTGAATAAATTTGAATTCTGAATTAGATGACGACGACAATAATAACCTACGACAATCTCAAAGGAGAACACACAAAAAAATGGTTTCGATTTCATGAAAAACAAATAGTTTCGTTCGTGGACATCTCAAATGACTTTAATTATTTTAAATGTTTTTCAAAAATTATCAAACAAACATTTGACATTCGACACTTTGCTTCTCCACGGTTTTTTTCGTTTTCTTGTTTTTGATTTGAGTATTTTCGATTCAACAAAGAGACAAGTTTTCTGTTTGTGTGCGCTTGACCAGACCATTTACGTTCGTAGTCATTCCGAGTGATTAATAAATTTGTTCGCTAACGATTCGTAATGGTTTTTATGTGACTTTTATTTGAAGTTCGTGACATCTTAGAATATTTCATAAGTCGTCAAAAACATGTCTGATGTTCGAGTTCAGATTTCAATTTGAATTTTTAATTTTCAAACGCTTGTAAAATATTTTCCAACGTCGATAACAGTAAAATCATTGATAATAGAAGATTTTGGTCGGGCTTAAAATATAAATAAAATAATTTAATTGCCTCGTTACGATAATTGCGCCATTAAACGTTCACCATTCAAAAGCTTGAATCTCCCACTCTGTCATTGCCAAAAGATTATTTGCAGAAGCACTTTTTGACCTTTCTCTTGCGCAATTTGAATTAAATTGATAATTTTCTTTCTTGCACTTAGTCTCATTTCGATATTTATCGCTTGTCGCCACAATTTCTTTAATTTTTTAATGCAAAATCTTACTTTGTGGAGTATAATTTGACCAAAGTTTCTGAGTTCACAAAATCATAAAAAAAAGAGTTGCATAAACTGATAATTATTTAGTCATAAATTAAATTTACATTAATTATTTGTCTGCTTCATATAATTGTTATTGATCAATAAATTCCAATAATTATTGTTGTTGTGAAGATCAGTTCATATTTTGGGATATTTGTGAGCACTACAGATATTAATTATCCGACATGACCTCACATTTGTAATCACCCCAATTCAACATTTATTAAAAATTATCATTTTAATGAGCGAATGTTTTTTTTTAACATTTTTGAATCACAAACTTTTTGTTTTGTTGCTTTTGCTTTTTTTTTTTGGTAATTCAGTCTCGTCGTATTATCAGTTGAAACGTGAATACAATTATTTAATATAAAAGAAAATAATTAAATAAATTTATTTTATTACTAAAATATGCAGAAACAAACGGTAATGAGATACAATGTAAAAGTTGAATGTTCATGTTAATGAAAATTGAAGTTTTGATGAGAATTGTTCTAAAAGTTTCATGCAAAACAGATAAAAAATTTAACTTCAATCCAAATTCCAGAATCGAATGATAAATAAATCAAATCAAAACATAAAAAGTAATCCAAGTGAATGTAAGATTATTCCCAAACTCTCAAATGTGCCATTTCTGGTTGTGATTTGATTCCAGAGATTTTTGATAGAATTTTTATGTTGATTTGAAGTGAATGGCGAAGTGCATCATAAAACCGACGAAAGTGTTTTGTTAAATAAATATATTCAACATTCGACATTTTCCATAATGTTCACATTTCAATTTGTGAGTGTTGGAATAAGAGCGGAGATGCCTATAAAAGGCGCCATCAAATTCAGCCCAAAGGTGTAATCTCTGTGTAATTTTTACAGTCGACAATGCCATTTTGCCGTCTTCCAACAACCCTTCACACGCATTTTTGCCACACACATCAAGCATATAAAGCGTAAAGAAATGGAAAAAGGAGAAAAGATTTTCCCCGTGAATAATCCGAAGAAAGAAGGAAAAAAATAAGAAATTACTTTTATTCTGGGAAAAGAATTGTGTTGGGGTTGTCAGATGGTTCTTTACGTTTTTTTCGGGTTGAATTGAATGGAAAATGCCTGATAACCCATCAACAGTGAGAGAATGAATTCCCTTGCCGTTAACCTACAATTTTCTGCAATATTCTTATCGTACTTTTCAAAACGAACGCTACATAATGTAAATGTAAAATATAATAGAAAAATGAAGTGAAGAGGAAAGAAAAAATAAAATTTTCCTCCTTATCTACGTTCCTGTTTTTCCTTTTATTCTTCTTTTTCTCTTTTATTTTTCTTCTTTTGAATTCGGGTTAAGGTAGAAGATTGGCAAACAGAATGAAACGACGCTGAAATGTTTGATTTATATCAAACCAGAAGAACAATAAAAAGAAATTCTCCATTGCCATGGTTTAAGCTCCATTTTAATGATGTGCGGTTTTTGTTTCTACATGCAATACTTATCAACTGGAAAATATCCCAAAATGAAGTTGAATATCATGAAAATCTCGTGTTGTGATATCAAACAAAAAGAAGATTTCTCAGTGGGAAAGCAAGCGAAAGATTCGAATATAATCAGAATAAGAAATATTATCATTTTACAATTCGTCGAACACAAACATGATGTTTGATGAACCATATCACAATTTCGTCCGACATTTCTTCTTATTTATATTGCTGAATGGAAGAAAATATAAAGCGAACAGGAAAATCCCCCACGATATAGAAATGGGAAAAACGAAAAAGTAATTTCGCAACAACAAGATTTTTCCATTTCGCTTCGTTCTTCATTTTCGCATGGTACAAGCAATTTTCCTCTTAAGATGGAATCATCGTGGAAATATGAAAAATATGATAAGCAAATAGGAATTTTTATATATTTCACTCGGAGATTGTATAATAAAAAGATTCCCGGGAAAATGATTATTATTTTTCTTTTACGTTTCTTCCTCCATTTCCATGATTTCCAATTTCTTGTAACTTTCTTTGACGCTGCTGCTCCAAATTAAATACGAAATGAAAAGAAGTTTCAAGCATATTCTCATCATAAACTTGATGTTATTTTAAATTGAATATTATTCAGTCGCAGGGGTTTAAACCTTTACACATTTTATTGTTGTTCATGAAATTTTAGATGTTGATCATTTGTAATCCCAGCCATTCCAAAAGGAAACAAAAGAAAAGACTTTGAATTCATTCTCAAAGCCACTTGAAGGAAGTTTTTCTTTTCAAGAGAATCATGATTTGCTAAAAACGATAAATCAAAGACGCGATCATGCACTTGAAGAGAGAAAAGAAAAAAAGAAAGAAATTGAAAGATTATTTCTTTTTAATTTGTAATTGAAATATCTTCAACATTCTCCTTGAATAGTTCGAATAATTATTGAACCTTTCATCATCATTTCTTTATAAATAAATGCGCGAATAAATCGGTAAAACAATATCTACTTGAATAGACAAGCACTTGATACAATAACTCTAACAAGCTCTTTCATGTCAACTTCACTATGATGGAAATTACACGCACATCGTAGACAAAGCTTTAAAGAGAAGAATTCCGGGTGATCGCGGTTCATGCGGCTTTTACACGAGGCAAATGATTTTATTTCTCTTTTTTTTGCGTCATCATTGAACTTAATTGTTCTCTCGGTAAAAGGAAAATCGATATGTGATCGTCGTTTAGTGAGTGTTTACACATTAAGAGCAATTCATATTGTTATGTGAACTTTAATGTTGTTACACAGCACATTTCATTGTTTCTCATTTTTAACTCGCAACTCGCGACTCAATTTTCGACAATTTCATTAAAATTAAAATGTTATTGATTTCTTTTACACGAAGAAGAGAGTGGAAAACAAAAGAAAAGCATGGCTAATGAGTTGTTACCTCATAATGGGCTTTTAATAAAACCATCGCGAGTCGTAGGAAGACGACGAAAAAGTGCAAGTTCATTATGGAGCTCTTGATCTTTTGCGTCTGATACCGATGACTATTGTATTTCATTTACTTCGAATTGGGAGGGAGAAGACCTTCTAATTGTAGATCAAATGCGCCGACTATTGAATAAAAGCACTCTTAACATGCTTGAACATATTTTTTTGTTTCTTTCTCTAATTCGTGGGACAAAACCAATTGTTGAGAGTTTCAAAAACACCACTTCGAACTTGAACACATTTCTTTCGCTTTTTTATTTTATTTAGAGAGAGAGGAATTAAATAAACATATTCAGCTACAACGAGTGCCGGCGCTTATTGTTATTCTAATTTTTTAATCTCATAGAATAGTCGCTTATTTTGAGAGTGATATTTACAACATTTAACATAACAATCATCCCTGAAGCGATGTGCGCTTGTAATTGCGTTAAGCATAAACAATAACAATTTACATGAACGAGCGAGGCTTTTAACCGTCAAACAATATCATTGTGCGGATTCATGTTTGTTTGGATTTTGGATGACGAACGAGAGAGAGAGTCGAGATGAATGATTCAGTTTACGCTTTAATACTTTTGTTTCCCTTTTTTGATGATTGCATTAAAACTTCTAACTCGTAATGTTATTCTCGAATGAGAGAGGAACGATTAAAGGAAGGAAGATTACGTTCCAAAGTGGGACATATTGAAAATGACTCGAGACAAAGAACGAAAACATAACAACAAAAGAGTGAAATCCAAAATTGTTTATAAGTAGAAAACCACTTGACATCAATACATCATTGGAATCTGACTGAAAATAAAAGATATAGAAGGGGATGAATGCAGCTTTTAGAATTGTTTACATTTCCCAATTAGATCAACTGGATTAAATGAAGGAAAGAAGACAGAAATATTCTTCAGTGATCTCTGGATTAAATTACTTATTTCTGTGTAATGCTTCTTGAATAAATATATGCTTTTCATGAGATTGAATTTCCAAACTATGGATGGATGGAGTGGAGAGATTATAATGAGAAGCGCAGCTTAATATCATCAGCAGATGATTTCGACAAATATTGTTTTGCTAAAATGAAATTTATAAGAAAACTTCTACGTTAACACTTTATGATGGAAGAAAAAAAATCTTTCACAACACTTTTGTTTACATCAATTCCGCTTGCAGATCATCCCGATGATTATTTACAGCAATAATTTTTACAAATAAACAAACGAATCTACATTATCCATCATTCAGCCGTCAAAACAATTACCGGGGTAAATGTTTCTCAGTCTGTTGTCTGTTGCGTTTAATTCCTTTTTTTATTATTATTTTGCAAAGCAAGATGCTTTAATGTTTTTTTGCCCTACTGCTCCTGCCTTGTGTGAGAATGAATGATTTTGACAGCTGGAAGAGTTTCTATTTTCGTCTTATTCATGACGTCATCACATGGTAATGTAACCCTCTTGCAATGCACTCGAGAATGAGACTCTTGGTGACATTAAAAGGGAAGATGAACAGACAAAACAGTAACAATATGATAAGGGGAATCAATCAAACGACACACCCTCCACAGGATTCTCTCTATAAACACTCACTGTACCAACATTTCGCTTCATTATTATTTATTATTAAACTTGTACCGTGTAAAATCCTTTGGACGATTATGATTTCAAACTTTACAATTCAATCGATCATTTCAATTTCAATTCTCATGGAAAACTTTTTCCCCTCACTGAAAAAATTTCTGATTCAAGTCGCGAACACATTCTGCACAAATCGAATCACCCCATTACGTTTATTTCAATCTCGTTGAATTCGAATAATAAAAAAATGTTTCTCTTCAACGTGTAAAGAAACAATTTTACATAAAAACATTGTTATAAATTCAACGACGTTCGATACCAGCAGAATGTGGTGTTTTATATGTAACTGATGTTGGTGTTTCCTCTTAACGTTGACACCACATCCGAAAGGTATCTTTAAATGAATACAAATATAAATCGGTAACAAAGCCAACCCCTTCGCTGTATCTCTATGCTGTCAAAAATTTCCTTTTTCAATTTTCAAATAAAAATTCATCCAGAAAAGTAAAAAATAATTGAAAGCAGGGAATTTCATCAATGGCAGATAACCAGACCTGATTAGATTTTGTGTTGCATGAAATTATTTGATTCATTTCACAATCTTTTCGAGTTCATCATCGTCGTTGGAAAGGAAGCGAGCATAAGTATTGAAAATGTAAAACTCACATTACATTTCACAGTTGAATTGACAAATTTGATTAGTTTTATGTGCGAGGCAATGATTAATTCTTGAGGAAGGATTTTGATATTCGTTTAATTCATACGAGTGTGGCAACTATCTGCTCAGAGATTTAATTTAAATAAAAGAAAAAAAGCTGTCGATGAAACACGAAAGGAATAAAAAGAAAGAAAGCAAAATTTTGTGATCGACAGATAACGTAACAAGAGTCAAAAGAACCCTGCATAAAAAATAGCAGTTAATTTAGAATTTTATCTGGTTTTAAATACATTTTTATGCAGATTAGCTATTTATGCTAATAACGTCGGCAAACTGAAATGAAAACGGAAGAAAGGGGCGCGAGCTGTTCCCTTAAAATGACTGATGAAGTCTGGCGGGAGCTCTCAAATGCCTTTCATTCTCGCCTTTGCGTTTGTTAGCGAAATAAAAATAAATGTTATGGCTTTCCAACGTCCTTCAGACGATTTTCATTGAATTTTCTTTTTCACTCTTCTCGCTATGGACACAAAAGTCGCTTTCACTCATTTCGCCTTCTCAAGTGCGTGTCACCTCGAATTTACCAAGAAAAGAAAAGCAGAAATTTCATTATTCCAACTCATTAAAGTAAAATAAATTTGTTTTGTAACCGAGAAGTTTCCCAGTTGCTGAAGTTTCTTCATTTCTCCACGATCATGAAATTCATCTATGAAGCGTTAGTTTGTGATCCGGGCTAAGGAATTTTTCACGCTGTCGAACGCGACTTCCTTTCCCATTCACAAATGAAATGAATTCATTTATTTTTGTTTCTTTCATTTCTTTTTTTTTCTTTCAACTCTCACCCGCTGATTATGTACAAGAATTAACAAATTTTTATGACGTTCATTCGTCCGAAGTTAGAACGATGTCTCGAGTGAATTTCTTTGTTCCACTCTCATAATTCATCCTTCAGTTGCAGCGCGTACACATGTTGAGTGTGTAAAGGTAAACTAATTGATATTTAGTACACTTGAGGGATCGCAAATGAGCATATGACGTGACTGGATATTTTTTTTCACAACATACAGAAGTGAAAGTAGAATTCTACACCTAAAATTTGTCCACGCGTTTGACAAAGGGCGATTTGTGCGGGGGTGAGAAAAATCCTTTGGACATGAATTCCAGCAACATTCTCGACTATTTCTTTCTGTTTTTTCTGTAAATTAAATGTGTAATAAACATAGAAAGAGAATAGAAGAGAAGGAAGAAAAGTAATTTTCCCTCTGAAATTGGATTTTAGGTGTCGATTTAATATTTATGTTATTAAACATGTTGGCCCAGCGCTTGAGAATACGTGAGCGTTTTTCGTAAATAAATAATTATCAGAGCTGAAATTAAAGCTTGATTTAGGTAAATGTTTTTCCCCATGGTCGCGCTGCGAGGGTTGTGTTAATGTTGTTATCATGTAACGTTGTATGAAACAGAAAACTAGCTGGAAAACTCGCTAATGTTTCCAAATTTTCCTTTTATCAGACCGTTCAAAGAGAATTTTTCTTTTTTCTCATCTTACACAAATCTTCAACCACAGAAATGTGCTTTGATCTGCAAAAAAAAAAGTAAAAGAATCAAAGATAATCCATAAAACACATTTTTCTCAGCGATGTGAAATCAAACGAAAAATTATTATTTCTGGGCATGAAAGGCGAGTCAACAACAGCAGCATATCACTTAAAATTTATGGCGATTCAATAAAAAGAGAAGCGAGAAGAAAAACTTTTTTTTTCTTCTTTCATTCGAGGAAAAAAATTTCCACAACAAAGAGTGGGAAATTCTTTTTTCAGATGACGAGAATCAAAAGATTTTCTTTGGGAAAATAAACTACGAATGTGGTCATAAAACTCTATTGATCTTTAATGTCTCTTGCCTTTTCTCTCTTCATCATCGGCTGTCGATTTTCATAATTCTTTCATCCAGCACCATCCCGGTTATTTAATGTCGAACGACTTTTGATACAAAGCAACTGAATCAACCGTGAAAAGCAGGAAAGACGTTAACGAAAAGAATTTTTCGCTATTACGTCATTGCTGTTATGGCTAAAGAATTTTTACGATAATGATAATTTTTATGTGAATTTCCCGTCTTCTGTTTGCTTTGTGGACTTTGATAGTAGTGTCAGCAGAAATTTTTCGCTATAAAATTATCCAAACGAGAGAAAATAATGTTTTATGGATTTAGGTTTGAGATTCTTTGAAATCAAAAGCAATAAGATCAGCAGCAACATGTTGCTGATATTTTGAGCTGCTTTTCATCTTCCTAATGCTTAATGGAAACTTACAGACTTTCATTGCTCTACTCTCTCTGACTCTAAAAAGCGTAAAATTCCTTCGAATATTTGAAATGATAATCTATTTTTAATTGTTTTAATTCTCGGTGGCATAGTCTAATTGCTGATGTGAAAATCCGCAAGATGAAAAATTTAAATTAACATAAAGCCTCGAAAGTGGAAAACGACAATCAGAGAATGACTAAAATATCCCATAAATATCTTATGGAATTTACAATTGTAAATCATTCAAAACAGTAATGTAAAGAGTGGGAAATGGTTGAAAAGACGATTAAGCAAAATGTCAAATGAAACCGTAGAGATAACACCATAAAGAACGAGAGTGGAAAAAAAACTTTCCTCCCCCGCTATTCGCTTCTCATTTAAAAATTCATAAGATTATTCACTTTCCTGTCGACTGACTAACGCTACCGTGTTTTGGAATGTGTCAACCCTTTTTTTGATTTCTCAAACAACGATACCGTTGTTCATCTTTCTGCGCACTTCCAATTACGATTTACTGTGATGGAAAATTTAAATAATTTATTCAATGTTTAAAAGTCAGCTACAGAACTAAACACCATTCGAAGTCTCAGCATTTCTTAACGAAATAAACTTTCTTATCATTAAATAAAAGTCAATTTTTCTCTTAAAAAAAGAAATTTCTAACATCGCTGCCTCAACATTTCCCAACATTTTCCGCATATCAATCTTGTCATCTTCTTTCAAAAAAAGAAAAATAAGAAGGAAAACATTGTTTCGTATCTTTAAATTTGAAAAGTTTTCCGTTCTTCGTGAAGAATTTTTTCTGCTGTTCTCGGCACTTAAAAATGATGAACTCGGCAGTGATGGCAGTAAAAATGATGAAAATCACTTGTCACGAGGCAAAACGATCTTTGCTGATGAGAAAGTTTCTCGTCTTGTTTCGACAGGGTTAAATGAAGATTCTCGATATGAGACACTGATGTCAAACTCCCCTTAAAACATCTCTGACAACTTCCGTCTTAACTTAAAGGGATTAATATTCAAAAGTTCTTGTAAAAGTGTTCAACCGAACTTGATATCTAGAAGTTTGCTAAAAATTTTCATGAAAACTTTGGGAAGCGAAAAGTTAATTTTCCCTGATACGGAACATGATTTCTACCGTCAAATTACAAAGCTGAGGGGTTGCGCGAAAAACGTGATTATTTAAGAATCATAAAATTTTGGCATTTCCAAGAAAATGATTTAATATCTTCGGTTGGGGGAGTGAAGGAAGGCAAATGATGAGAACGAACATAAAATAATGCTTGTGAGGATAGAAAATTTAGTTAATTACAATTTTTTTCTTTATTTTCGAGAAATTTTTAAAAAGTCAGCACTGCTGGTTGTCGGTTGAAATTGGTGCTTAAAGAATAATTAATTAAATAATTTTTAATGTTTCCCTCCAAAAAGAAAAAAAAAAAGAAGCAAAATGTAATATTTTTCAATGTAATTGCTTCAACTGAACCGCATTTTCACATCTGGCTTGAACAGGCGAAGCACTAGCGCTTTCGATGTTGGATTGTGGATTCATAAACACGATAACGTTAGCTTTACAATTAGACCGCGTTGAGCGTTTGCAATAAGTTGTTGAGTCATTTGTAAGCTTCTTATTCCGCTTATTTTGCCAATATTTTCACAGTGTAGTGCAAGCGTGAAAGTTAATTGAATTGTTCTTCCACCGACTGAGAAATGCACACAACTTGACAATCTTAATCGGATTTCGACCCTTTTTTATATAAAATATAAAAAAAGTAATGAACAAAACACCATGTGACGTAATTTGAGTCAATTTTCATGTCATGACTGCTCGTTTTCAAGTTCAATTGCAGCTGCTAATTTCTCTTAAATCAGTTTAACATTTGAATTTAAAATCACCAGCATTAAACTGATGATGACGTCAACAAGAAGTTGCATTCAACATTATTATTCAGCATTTCTTCCATTAAATTGCTATAACAATAAGTCAACACAAAGCGTTAAAGGGAATTAACGAAACTACATTGATAAACGGAAATCAAGATAAAATGCCTTGTTTAATAGGAAATTATTGTTGCCAATTGCAAATCGATTTCTTTTTTCCAAAATTAATTTTTTGTTGTTCATTATTCATAAGAATTCAGTTTCACAATAAAAATCTGAAATAATAAAAAGGCAGTGATCATATATGCGCTATTGAACATTACTTTGGGTTGACATAGGCCACAATTTGTACGCATTAGTGTCACCGAAATAAAAAGCAAGAGATCTAAGATAACAGCGACGAATATGAAATGAAATTGTAATGTTGAACAGAAGGAAAAAGAGAATGAAAATTGTCATGTTCATAATGAGTGCCTGAAATATTAACTCAACAGGCATGTTATGAATGCGAACACCAAAGAAGTGCTTTAAATAGTTAGTGGGAAGAAAAATAAAATTTTTGATGACAAACAGAAGCAAAGATGTTAAAATAATCTTTAAATAAATTCAACGTTTGTTGTGATCAAAAACAAAACTAATGAAAGGGACACAAGCTAAATATTTAACAGTTTTTAATTCACTCTGGGACACATTTCAATAAATTAAAATGACAAAAAATTCCTTCGTGAATAAATGAAACTTCTCACGTATTATTTATCGAGCTTCTATGTCATTCTACACAAAGAGTTACACAATTCATTATCCTAGCCGGCAACTAGTTTCAACTTTTATTGAACATACATTTCATTAATGTTTAATTAAGTAATGTTTGAGGGCAACGCGACGTAATGAATCGAAAAAGGTTTGTTATCGTGTAAAGGGCGCGAGAGAAATGAAAAAAGAAATTCTTTTTATTAACAAATATGCGTTGAATTTCTGATGGCTGAAATTAATCGATTATGACACGAAAAGTGTTTTCAAAATGCCAAGCGATGAAAATGCCTTTTCATTCGGTGTCCAATTCGCTTATTAGCAGCGCACATTAGACCGAATATTAACATTAATTTTAATATACTTTTGAGGCCTTCTCTGTTTCCCTTTCCAACAAAGTTGCTAGCATTAATTTCTCTGTCATTAAGATCGAATCAATATCAATGGATGGAATTGCGTGGGAGAGATTTCCATCTTTGTGTTCGTCCCTTTTTGTGTGTTTTAATAATAGAAAGAACTTAATTACAACGCACATAAAACTCGCTAAAATGTCTTTTTATTAAGTTTCCACCGTCAATTATTATTCAACTTGTAACCGGATCCGGAACCGTCGCTGGAAATTATATGTGATGATGGCGGAGATTTTCTCACAAAAGAAAAGAACGAAGGAAGGGAAGAAAACTTTCTATTCGTGTAGAAAATTATGCTTAAATGAAAATTGAAATGCGGCCTCGATTTCATATTTTTTCTAAAAGAAAAGAAAGAAAAGTCTTAATGAATTTATGGGAAATGCGTTTCAAACATTGGAGAAGGCACTCAAGTTAACGTTTCACGCGGGAGGTAAGCAAATATAAATTGGACTTTTTATTTTCGTCATTTTTTATAATAACAAAAGAAGGAAAATTTTCTTCCTTTTCTTCTGCTCTCTTGTTTCAAACTTCTTAAATTTCATGTGTTCCGCAACACTCTCCCGTGCCACACTATACATTTACAAAGCTATAAATTTTCATTAGTGAATGTTTCTCGCTCTTATTTTGCCGCTAAATGTTGCCCTGTTTGTGCATTAGGTAATGTGAATTTTGCCCTTTCCTTCAGCTTTGATTCTTATTTCTCTTATTTTTTTTCTTTCGTTTTTCGTCGTCTTATCGTATCAAGATATTGTGTTTTCGTATATATTTTTAATACCGGAATGAAAGCAAAACATTTATATTTCATATATTGATACTTTTCCTTGCTGCTTTTGTGTAACAAACATAAATAAATTAATAAATGCCTGTCACCCTTAATTTGTAACATTTCGCACGAAGCCGGGAAGAAAATCTCTTCTTTGACGATGTTTTTTTTCTTTTCTGGCTTTTCGCCTAATCTTTATGTTTCTTTTTGCTCTTATTTTCCTGACTTTTCCTTCCTGGGCGATAAGAAGACGTACAGGATGATGTTTAGATTAGATTATGGCGCAATATAAAGCAAATAACAGGCGAGTGTAATGAGAAAAAGAAACAAAAGGAAACTTACGTGCAAATGAATTAATAATATAAATTATTTTCCCTCAAATAACTTTCTTTCCTTTTGCATATCTCACTGAACTTTATTCGCCAACCGTATATGTTTGCAAGCTCTTTCACTGAGTCTACTTTTAGACAGACGATTGAGCAAATGGACACTTGCGGATCGTTACGAGATCTTAATTCTTTTAATGATAAAGAAGCAATGTACACACGCATTTCCCTTTTTCCTCTTTGTTTTTTTTTTACTTCACTGACAATGGAAAATGGAATGCAAAAGGGTCATTTATTTTTATCAGAAGTCTCTCGGGTGTGCTACATTTATTTACTTTTCTGTCGTCTTCTATTTTATCAACCACTCGAAAACATCTTTTTCCTTTTCATAAGAAAAAAAATTCTTTAATGCGTAGCAAAATGAAATGTAAATTTAACCCAAGAAACTCAACTCTCCTTAGAAACTTGGACCATCGCCATCATAATTTCTCAATTAATTGAAAATGACAATTTAATTCAATTAAAGCGCAAGAGCTTGAAGTTAAAAGAAAAAAAGGTTGTTTATTAATATTTCATTAAAGCTGAAAGGAGAAGAGAAGAAAGAAAAAAAGTTTTTCTTGGGAACAGTTACGAAAGATCGCTCCACGACAACGAAATCAAATATCGAGAGACGTTGGGGCTGTTAATTAAATTCCGATACGAATGAATAAGCAGCAGAAATCAAAACAAAACTCGTTAATCGCTCGCAACATATTTGAGAAAAAACTTGACCTAATTCAACCTTAATTAAGACTCGGGTTAATGTAAATTAATTTAACTTGTAAAGTTGCGTGCACTGATCATGTGCATTAGAAGAAATTATTAAGAAAATAATCGAACAAGATTCAATTACAATTTGAGAATTTTAAACCGGAATATTCACTTGGGGAATTGTGAATTGTAAATTCTTAGCAAACGCACGACATCAACATTGCAATGAGAATGAAGTTAGAAGAAGAAACGACTTGAATTAAAATTCCACTTCATTTAGTAGAACTCTTAATGAAGTATTTATGGCTTACACAGAACAATATTTTCCCCACTCAAAGCTCTTGTGCATGGTGACAGAATTAATGAAGCACTGCGCTGCATAAAATGCAAAGAATAATGCATTTTGTAGTGGAATATCTTGCGATGGTAATTTTCAACAAGAAATGTCTTGCGAGCGAGTGTTGATTGTAAGTTATTAACGTGACAGTTTGGATGACGGGAAAATTTCTGAATTTATGTTCGCTTTTGCATGCTCATGATGACTTATTTGATCAATTCAAGTGAAATTAATACGAAACTTTATGACTTCCGTGTGAAGAAGCGAAAGAAAGAAAGAATTTCATCGGTGATGGCGATCAAAGTGAAAAATTTAAGAAAAAAAAATCTGAGAAACTTGATAAAGCAACAAAGAAAAGTTACTCGCAGTTTTTACCGCAAGCACAACTTAACAACTTTGTTTTTGTTGCTGCTTTACATACTCCATAAGTGTAATGCGTACACAAAAAAGATATTAAAACCTTTTTTAACAATTTCAAATTTTTGTTTACAGCAACTTTTTTCTTTCTGGTTTTTCACTCAACTTGTTTTTTGTAGTTAAAGTATTTGATTTATCAGAGATGTTGAATGTTAATTGGAATCATTTAAGATTACAAATCTGTTGTAGTCAATAACTTTTCCCAAACATTTTAACATTACTGAGTATCAACAAAAAAAATATTTCAAACTTTCCACACACTCGCATCGTATTCACAGAATTAAGAAAGAAAAAAAAGTTTCAAAGTCTTAAGTAAAGCATTAAAATGTTTATTAATTAAACACCAAATTGATTTGTTTCATTGCCTTTCCACATAAGACTTTTGTTTATTTAAAAATTCTTCAGTTTTATACGCATTTGGTTGCCGAAAAGTTGGTAATAAAATGAAATTAGAAAAAAAAGAGAAATAAGAGAATTCTTTTTGATTTAATAGACGAAGTGTTTCACTTTCAATTTATTTTTTTGCGCCTCCTCAGCAATTACTCTGAAAAAGTGGTTTGTTTATAAAGCATAAATTTTACTGCTTTTCGCTCAGCGGCAAACGAGAATTACACATGTTAGCGGTGCAAGGTGTTGATGATTCGATAAAAAGTATGCGAGGAATTCGTTAAGCACTTGACTTCTTGTATGCTTCAAGTTCGCTCGTTTTTATGTCCGAAATTTTAATTTCACATCATCGACTTTTTATCGAAAATTGGAACGGGAATAATTGTAGCAAGCTAATTAAGTTTCAGACTCATCTGAAGTCGTAAACACGAAGTCGATGAAATAAAAAAGAAAAGAAACAATAAACGAATCAATTAAATGTTGCTCTTACTCGAATACGACGTGTAAATGGCAAAGAAAAACAACGAGGTGGATACAAAGTTGCCGTGCAGGCATATGTCGATGCTTATTGAATCGAAAATGTCGCTTTAAGGAATGACAACTTACCATTGCGATCATCAATTTAAAAAGCCTTCTCACTCGTGATTAAAATTTATCATATTTTTCAATGCATTAATGGGCAGCTTGCGACCAGCAAGCCATCAAAGGTTCGTCGTGTAAATGCCAACATTTCAACTTGATCTCAAAACCAAACCACATTGAATGTTCGCCAAGAGAGATAGAGACAGGAAAACGAATAACAAATAATTTACTCGACTCGCTTTGTGGATTATCATCGCCAACAGAGATGGAGGGAAAGTAAAAACATGCGAAACTACTTACCCGGTTGAGAAGAATGAATCCTGACAAGTAGAAATGACCGAAAATAACCAGAAAATGTTTTCATTTGAACATAAAAACTCACTCATTGTGATATCAACAGATGCACATTGAATAATAAATATAATTTTGTGTTTTGTTGTTATCTTGAAATGAGATTCGAGTTAGTTGCTGGTTGGATTGTTGTCTACAATTTTTTGGTTTTAATGTTTGTAAACTTTTTCTTTGAATCTTTAATTAAATATTTCTGACTTGCACTCGTGTCCTAAAGCTGATAAAAAGTCATTTTATTTAAAAATTATTACAAACTCTGCAATGATTGAATTGCTTTTGGAGACTACTCAATAGTTCTCAGGTACATTAGCAGCCATACCGTATCGCATTTCATTCAAATCTTGACACAGTCGAACTCATAAAATGCATCTCCTTATCTTAATTAAAACTGAAACTTATTTAAATCCTCGACTGAAATGGAGACGACAGAAAAGTGTCTGTTAAAACGCGCCGCAAGCCTACAAAATCAAAACATTTCACTGCGTCTTTTAAAATTTCAATTCGAGTAATTAGTACGATAACGCGTTATCAGTTGTTTTTGCAACTTAATTTATTGCAATTTTCTCTCTCCTGGAATTCTTACATTCGCTTATCATATACATTAAGCTCATGGGAAAATTCCATTTTTTACGACGACGCTACTTGTTTGAATGCTTCTTATGAAAAGCCTCTTTAAGTAAACACACTTAGTCAGATGATAATAGAAACATTCTCACTTGTAAGTACTTCAAAGGCGCATCCTGATAAAACCCCAGTGTCAAATTTTTACGACTTTTCACACAACACTTTGTAGTCGTTCGACTTTGATGATTATTTCCTCTTAGACGATCGTAAAATTTCATCTCATTCACCCCCGAAAAAAAAAAGAGAATTGAAAGAAGCAGCAACACTTGCGACGAGCCACTACCAGCATATCAAACAAGAGCGAAAGAAAATCGTAAAATATTTTACGACTTTCGGTTTGTTCATTGAATGACGAGCATCACACAATCAATTTACTCCTTTTTTCTGCTGTTTTGTGGATCACCACCGGGAATGGTAAAGACAACAATGGTTTTGTTATTGAGAGAAATCATCATGTAATTATTGCGATTATGATCTTCACAAGATGGGAGAAGGCATTTGGCATTTGCCACCACAATCAAAGTCGTAAACAAATTTATTGCTTTTCGGAGTTTTACGATGATGTTTGATGAACCAGAGCAGATTTTATTGACGTTATGCATTTCTATTCTTCTCGTCTGTTTTGCTTTTTTTACGAGCACTTTTTCTCCAAACATTTTTTTGGGGGAAATAAAATTAATAAAACAGTCATTAAACGAGCCTTTAAAGAGCTTCAATAAAGTCTCCCGAAAATGAATTGAATTGAAACTAAACATTTAATTATTTCCCTCGAAATGTTCGGGTTTTGATCACGGCACGCAATCTTTCCGCTCAAAAACTTCTTTTTTTCGGCATTTCACTATGAAATTAATTATTTTAACATGGAGATTTGAATTGATTTCGTGAATTATATTTATATGCATAGAAACAAGCAAATACCCAAATTATTGTATTTCACCACCCCCGCCTTTCATAGTTGTACATGCTGAGACAAACAGCGAACAAACGGAATGGGATGTGAATCTGACCAGGTGATTCCCAATTTTTATAATCGTTGAGGCGTTGAGAAACCAATAAAAATAAACAAGAAATATAAATGAACACCTTTTTGTCTTTACCTCTCGATTTTGATAGCTAACCTTGCTTTGTCATTAATCGAAATAAATTATTTATCAATCGGGATGGCAATGAAACAAATGAATAACAAGGAGATTTCGTAATTACATGATTGTTTAATTGTTTCGATTTCTTTTATGTAGACATTTTTTTATTAAATTGTTTTATTGTCTCATGTTAGCGATCATCGTTTGAAATTATTCGGCTGATGTAGAACTAGAATGACATTAAAAATTATCCACATTCATACATACAAACTTCGTTTTATGTAATATGAAGGCAGTCATAACAAAAATTGGGTTGAAATTGGGTCTGCTGTCATTAGGTTTAATGGGATAATAATACATTTTTAGGCGATATTCTTGTTGTTGTTTTTAATTTTCATCGTCGTTCTTTGGACAATCAAGTAATGAATGTTAAACTTTTTATAGCCATATAATTTTCGGCTTACTCGTCATTGAGATGAAAAGCGTTTAATGGGCCTTAAAAAATTCTTTTTATCCAAATTAGCGAGATGATCTAAAGCGATAAATGTTGGAAATTGGAATTTAGATTATTTGATTATTCTATGATTTAGGGTTTGAACAATGCCAATGATCTAATATCACGTTGTCGAAGACAATTTTGTAGAACGTTCCTTCAATTGTTCTTCTTCTATAAATAACTTTTGAAAGCATTCGATGAGCTTGTAATTCTCATTTACGTTAATTAAGTCTCAATATTATGATAAGTAATTCAACCAAAGAGGCTATGGAGATAATTACAATGGAAGATGATTGTGTAATTTAGAAAATTAAAGTGAAATTGGATGTCGCAATGTCGATTAAGAAATCTATGATCGTTTTCTCTCCACCCAAAGATTCTCAAGAAAACAAGACACAAAATATTTAATTACAACGATCAACGATTCAATAAAACGCAAGAGCATAAAAAAATTAATTTCCATTCAAATTGTCATGTTTTTATCAGCTCTCGTCGCAACTCTGAACAGTTCTTGATGAAAATTGAAAATAAAATTTACGGCGCATTTTAATGAATGATTTTTATGAATATTTAAAAGGCAATTAGATTAATTTTTTAATGGCTTGCTTCTTCGTTTGTATGTTATCAATATTGTATTCTCCAATAATCAAGAGACAGCAAAATAAAAATTCTTTGATAACCTTCTGAAAACGGTCACAAGAACTGTCGATTAACATTCGAAATTCTCTCGCTCAACAGCGATAATTATGTTCAAGCTTATAAATAGAATCTTATGATCAAAGTCTGATTCAAGCATAAATGAAAGAACTGCGTTGTTTTTCGTGGAAACCAAACTGACCCAAATGCATGATGAAAAGATAACAAAAAGTTTGAGCTGCAACATAAAATTTATAAATATTGCATAAAATTAATTTTTCGTTTCATAAAGAATTCTCTTGCGAAATCATTTAGTGCTAATGTCATCTTACTCGTCTTTTTTGTTTCTGCATCATAAATTTAATTGCACTCGTACGCATTGATGCGAATTTCAATCGGAATGAGTTTTATTAAAACATCAACATGTTTTTTATTCGTATGTTCCAGGAGACAATAAAATTCATTGAGACATAAACGAACTGCATTAATTTTAATTCACTTTCCAACACTGAAATAAAAAGAATAAAAAAGCGAATGCACACAAAGCTGTGCAATTAATAAATTCTACATTAATTATTAAATTATGATTCACTTCAAACATTTAACCACAGACGAGATGAATAATTTTTGCATGATCACAATTTAGAGAATAAATCATCGGTGCGAATGTTTCATTTACATTTTATGCTACAGAGCATTTTCGTGGTTTTCAATTCCGATGACACTCATGGATGGTGCCAAATGATTTATTAGATCTTTGCCACTTAGTTTTGCGTCGTATGCGAGCATGTAGAAAAGTTGAATTCTCAATTAAGTTTCTCAGATGCCGTCGCCCTTTCATCGAATAATTACTGCTAACTGTCAGGTGTATTGAAATATTGTGAAAAATGCGCTTAATTAATGATTCATCATCTACGAGTTAAAATCAAGAAAACGCGATTAAAAGTAAAAAGAAATGTTGTTGATTAATTATAATCCATTGGAAGCGGCCAATAATGCCATTTCAATTGAAAGATGTTTTCCGGTTAGGTGTTAGGATGACTCAATTAGAAGATTTGTCAAAGGCAATTAATTGATTGGAATTTCAGTTGTTTTTGAAACATTTTTTTATTTATTATCAAAATTATTAATTTTTATTTTCTCTTTTCTCTCCTTTCAGATGGTAAGTCAATTGAAAACTTAAAAATATCATCATCACATGTTTTGTGCTTTTAAGTCGTGAAAGCAAAGCCGCAATGAGGTTGGATTAGCATTTTAATTTTATTTTTTATTGTTAGTTACGGTGAATTAAACTGCAACATTTTATAGTCTCCAGCTGAGACTTAATGATATTCTAGGTCAGTTACACATTGTGGTTAAAACAACTCCGATTAAGTGACTTGCTGATATTTTTCCTTCTTTTTTGAAAGATGATAAAATCGTAATGTAGATTAGACGACAATTTAAGTCATGACATGAAAGGAATTTTTTTAAAAAAATTTATAATTACAAGTTGAGTGAATGCGTCTTCAAAATTTCCTTCCACAAAATGCACACACTTTTTTATTAATTATATTTTTAACGAATTCATCATTGGGGATGAGTTTCGGTGGCTTCATCACATGTTATCATGATCAGTTTGCTTTCAGACGGTTGTCTGGTGATGGATTTTTGCTACCGAAAAATAAAAGAACTACGTGAACGTTAACGCCTCTTAATGAAATTAATTTTAAATTCTTGATCGTCTTAATTTACAGAACATAAACATAACTTTCGTTTGCTGAAATATTTTTTGATTAAAAATTTTATAAAATTGATTGCATTTTGCTCGACGCTTCGTTCTCGTTCATCAAAAATACTTATTTATGCCGATAACTTCGTAACAAATCTTCATTGAATCCACGACGAGCGAGGCAAAGAAAGACAGTTGAAAGATTAATAAATTATTTGTCTTGTTGAATTAATCAATTTATTGCTCGAGTAATTAAATCATCACTTTTAAGACGTTAAGTTCACCTTAACATAATCGTTATCGTTTATAAATTATTGTTTCTTTCGCTCTCATGTCTCATAAATCATCATAAAGTTTCAAGATGTATGTGAATTAAAAAAGTAACGATACTGACACGTGATGCAATCTTTCAAAGTTTGCGTTTGTACATAATTGATTTGAATTTAACATCAATTGATGTCTTAATTGCTATTGTCGTAGATCACAATGTCGACACATTTAGAAATCATTGCGAAAGCCATTCTTCCAATCTTCATTAGCATTGAAGCTGTCCACTGTAATTAACGGAAAAAAAAGTTTTAATCATTCGAATGGAAATGAAATTCTATTAACTATAAAAAGATTTTTTTTTCGGCAGTTGTTTGATGAGAAATTCCATTAAACAAAACAAAATTCTCGGAGTTGGAAGTTCGAAGTTTGTCTGATGACTTCGTTAAGCTTCTACGAAGATAGCAACGTTGGCAATCCGAAATATATCACGTTCTTTCTCAATCTCTCGTAGCAGAAGCCAGAAGCAAAGAGGTTGTAATTAGCATATAGATTGTTTTTCCTCATTCTTTTTTTCGTATTCCGAATGAAAGCAACAAAATATAAAACTTTTAATTTTATTGCTTTCGTCTTAATGTGCTTATTTATATCGCGCACGTTAATGCTTTTTTTTGGGATATTGAATTCCCTTCTCTTGCTGTTGTTGAAAGCACTTCTCTCCTGTACATATCTACCTGGAGCTTCAAAGAAGATATTTACGCCGATGCGACACTCAGCAACATTTCTGCATTTTAATTTAATTTTCAATTAAACTTTTTCTCCTTCATCTAATTAAATTTATATTTTATGACTCGCTCGCTTATCTCTCTCGAGGACGAAGCTTCTTCTATGCAAAAACTTTTCATTTAACTTTTTTTTTTTTGTCTTTTGTTGCAAGCAAACAGAAAAGTTTTAGCGACGAAAAGTTTTGGGGCTTAAGCTTCATTGCTTCATCTTTAACTCCCCTGCATAAAATGAAATAAAAAAATTAATCACGTTCAAATTGATAATTTTGTTTGTTCATTTCTTTTGGAACATGAAAGTTTTTAATGCTTTTGTGCTTTATTAGATGAAAATTGAATAAATTTCCGATGTTGCTAAATCAAACTAACAAACCAAAGACGACAACAGGAGTGAGGAAGAATAAGAAAAGCAATTATTGTTGTTTTATTCTTGCTGGGGTAATCATAATTTCTTTGACAGTTTATTTTCTTCCGATATGCGGGGGATTTATTCGATTCAGACAGAAACGAAACTTCACTTTATCTCCAAAACTTAATAACAACAAGAAACAAAGAAAAGACGATAAACAAGCAAAAGCAGACAAGTTTTTCTTGTCATATCTTAATGGAAATGATTAAATAAGCATCTCTGTGCAAAATATTTTAAGTTTGATCAGCAAAAAGTATTATTGGATTATTTCTGTTTCATTCAATTTGCTTCCAGAGAATTGTATCTGGGAAACTTGCTATTTAATTATATTTATTGAAATGTAAAAATATTTCGAATCTTTTTTTGTGTTGTTGAAAATTTAACAAACTTCAGATTTTGCTGATGATAAAAATTCATTCAACTTAAATCTGTGATCAAAAATTTTTCTCTACGTCGCGTCGCTTCGAATTCTCTTTGAATTTGCCACAAAAATTTTGTGAAACATTAAAACAAAATTTTATTTCGTTCAAACTTTTATTTTCATTCAATGACAGAAAGCGAAAGTTTTATGCTGGGTGAGAAGAAAATATTAAAATTCATAGCTTCTGTCTGAATGCAATGGAAAAATGATATAAGAATGATATTTTTCCATTAAAATAATTTACTTGTGAATAATTTATTCCACATGAGACTGTTGAAGAAGCGAACAAGAGAAAGAATTTTCTATGTTCATCTCGATGATCCTGTCATAAATTCATTGAAAGTATTTTTTCCCATCCACTTTCTCCGAGAAAAGCCTGAGGAAAAGCGAAAATTTTCATGCGAATCTAGTGAATTTTTAATGACGAAAAATATTTTTTTGGCAGTCGTGCTCGAAGAAGAAAAATTTTGTATAAACGAGAAAGTCACATGCGAGATTAAATGAAAATATTCACATGAGGAAAATTATCTAATGCACCCTGCTGATCATGTCCAGCATAAAATATTTATGAAAACGATTTTCCATTTTTACCATTTCACTTCGTTTCAAGATTATTCCGAGTGGATCAAGGAAATTTCTTATGCATTCAGCATAATTCAGCAGTGGAAATCTCCCTATTAGTTGTTCAGAACAATAAAATATCTTCTGATCTTTTGATTGATGCTTTAATGAACATTACAGATTTGTCAAAGCAATTGAAGCAGAAAAACAAATATGAGAATTAAGAATAAATGAAAGCAAGTTGACAGTTATTGAGTCTCAAGTCTGTTACTATTATCGTAAAGTGTTAAATTGATATTCAAGGTCGTTAAATTGACAGATATTCTGTTAAAAGGCTCATAAATCTTCCACGTTTTTCTACTTCCATATACGAATATATGCGCATAAAGAAAACTTAACTTACACCAATTTAAAGAACCAAAGAAGCTAATTCTTATTCTAACTTTAATTTACTTTCACTATGTGTCAAGAAATAAATTTATTGCGCGATAATGAGTGCAACAAACATCCACAAGAGAACATTTCACACTACCAAGAGTTGGTAAGAAAAAAAATTCTTTCATTAAAGAGAAAAAAAAACGACCGACTGGTTATTTATGATTTCAAATAAATAATATTAACAATTATGTAGGTCATGGTGCAAGCAACACAAGCCTCTTTCTCTCTCTCTATCTGTTTCTCTGGTAGTTGATTCCGTCGGGCAAACATTATTTATTTTTTGACAGCCCACCATTAACACCCCCCACAAAAAAAATATCCATCAATAATCGTCAGACAGACAGAAATTACTCAGCGCTTGAACTTCTTATTCGCACTCAATTTGTGCTGGAAGTATTTATGTTTATTCTTTCGCGCCTTTCACGGAAATATGTGTAAATATTCATTGAACTCTGTCATTGCCATTTCCATTGAGACATGAAAAAGAGAGAAGAAGTTTGACGTTGAGACTCTGAAAGAGTCATTGCCAGTCATCACAATTATGGCATCACATTTCCAGCATGATAAATTAAATGAGATAATTCTAGGGTCTAAGTTGGGAAGGAAAGGGAGAGAAATTTGATAAACGCACCCCCGCTAGCAGTAAGAAGTAAGCAGAACGCGTCACAATGATTGTGTGTGATTTTGACAGGTTTCGTCTGACATAATGATGACGGTGGAAGTTGTACGAAAAATGACGTCATCTCTACACCTTAAACAGCTGACTTATACCTCCTGTCACTTCAGGTTTATTCATAGTAGCAATTTATTTCATGGTGTTGTGTACTCAATGTCTACAATGTAGATCCGAGCTTTATTTGTTCCAAGCATAGACTTTCATTGCTTCGTTAATCGATAAAATAGACAGTGAAATTAAATGTAAGATGAATCGACAGAAATTCAAAGCACCATCTCATGAACATCCCTAAACGCATGTTTAAAGTTATTGATTTCGAAATGTGAATAAACAACATTTTGACTTTTCGCCCCTTTTTACCACCCACAAAAATCGATCGTCCAAATTTGTTTTTTTCTGTTTTGTCGTTTAGTCAAAAAGACTTTTCATGATGTCGACCAATTTGTCATTTCATGGATTAGAACGATTAAAGAAAAGTTTTATGAAATTTATTCAATCAATTTGTGGCTCAAATGTCCGAAGGTCACTCGATGGTTAACGAACGAGAAATTTATGCTTTGGAACAAGTCTGCAAAATGCAAATCACATAACGAATGGTCAGATGCATTATCTTAATGCTTAATTGTGTGCTGTACGATGTGTTGATGTCATTCAATAAATTTATCAAAATAATAGGATAACTTACGGACTATTCACATTAACCTGAATAGAGAGAAATGCTTTTGAAGATTAAAACGATTTTATAGCACCTTCCTTAATTAATGTCAATCTTCACTCTCAGATTTCTTTACTCTTGTTTTGCGTGGACGTGAAATTAATCAGAAAATAAAACTTTAAACAGATTAAAATTCTTTAAATATTTTTTCAACTCAATCGACACATTGAGTCTTGAATAATTATTGAGATTGAATTTGAATAAGATCATCAAAAAATATTCATGAAATTAATAACAACAAAGTAGACAAATATGAAAAGTAAATTAAGAATAATCAGAATATAAGACCTTAAGAACCTGTTTTGTTTACTGAGAATAACAACCGCAGCTAAAATGAATATCATGTTGATACATAGTTGGCGGGTAAGTGTTGATGACGAGCAATTTTTTTCTTATAATATTTAATGAATTTTCGCTCAAAATTCTTGTAAATATCTAAAATATTCACAGTCACTTTTATAACTTCATAAAATTCATTATTTACCTTCATTCTTATTATGAAATTATGTTTTGATGTTTACGACAAGCCTAAAGTCACCAAAGGTACACATCGAGCGTGCTTAAAAATTTTCTCTCTCAATTTCGACAGACGGAAAAATTAAATTTTATGTTTTGAGGGAAATTGAAAATTATTCAAGAAACTTTACGAGGCAGTTTCCTTGAGAATCTCTCTCTCTTTCTCCTTTGATGAGTCTGAGTATTATCACCTAGAGCATTCAGAAGAAAACATGAAATTCTTCTCAGACGAACAAAGACGATTTTCAAAAGGAAAAACTTCATAAAATTTGAATAAAACTGCAATAAACGTAATCAGATTTACTCCAAGCACCAGCAAAAGCGCCTGTCACAAAAAGGTTTAATTTCTACACACTTTTACAAATGGGTGACGTCATTAACCCTTTTCTGAGGTTTCAAGGGATTTCAAAGAAAGCATAAAATCCATTATCATTCACATAATAATGCCATTTTGTGGGCGATGTTGTAAATGCACTTTCGGCGTTTCTGTGGCAAAAGTAAAATGAAACACTCAATTCAATTCATTGTGTTTCAAAATAAAAGTAAGAAAAAGAAATGTAACAGGAAAGAAAAACTTCCACCCCCGCAAAAAGGGAAAGCGCAATGACATGGCAAAAAAAAGCAATAGAGACGAAGAGAGAACGAACGAGAAATAAATGCGAAACGACGAGAAATTCCCATTACATTGATGGGTTTTATTTTTTTTTGTTTTGTCGAAACTGATAACACCAGAAAACAACCATTCGACGGGAGGGTTTTGTGCTGCCGCTTTTCTTTCTTCTTTTTTTTTGTTCTGTTTTTCTATACGTTTCTCTCTCTCTTCGTCTTTCTCTTCTTTTCGTGCGGAAATAAAAAAGATCCATTCTATTGCCAATAAAGGCAAATATAAAAATTACTTTGATACTAAAATTATAGCTTAATGTTTCTAGATACTCGCTCGAGATATGCTTCTCAAGCATTACACAAAAATTAAGGTTTTCATTCTCTCAATGCTCGTATCGCCCCCCATCATCGTCGGGATGGAAAATGTTCCGTTCAAATAGTTATTTAAATAGAAGGAAAACCCTTGGGTTGTGAAGTTGTGGGTCGTATCAGGGATGAGAAAAACGACTTGCCGTGGATGAAATGAAAAAAAAGGAAGGCAAAAAAAAGAGTAAGAACTAAGATTGTTATCATAAAATTAGAAAAAAATCGTTTAAAGGCGTCTTTATTGTATCTCTCATTTTCCCTTCTTTTGCATATAAAACCCTTTTCGATTCAACGTAGACGGAAAGGATATTAAAAAGGAAATGGAGAAACGAGTAAGGGCGATTGTACGATTGTAATTTTTAAATAATAACGACACATTTTACGGAGTATTTATGACAGTGTTAAGGGTTCATTGTAATGCAGAGATGTTGAGGAAGAAAGTCTGATTTTTGTGAAACATTGACAGAACTTTTCTCTCTTAATCTCAAACAAAAATTATTCTTTCGAACTATTTAAAATATTTTCAAAGTTTAAACATTAGAGAAAAATGATTCTTAAAAAGTTTCTCAACACTTACCAACATTAACCATCCCTGTCACATTGTATTTCGATCCTTTTCGGTATTGCCGTCCCTTAAACGACCCAAAAATTGTGAAATTCTTCACTCTTGCGTTTAATGAGAGTCACATGATGCCAAAGGAAAAAGGGAAAGAAAATTTCGACCATGTGCTTTAATTCACTGTAATCAATCAATCTTAAAGCATTTTCCTTTTTTCCATCCAACAAAGCGTCGTCTTTATCTCAACATTTTCTGTTTTCCTCATAAAACGAAAAGCGAAACTTTAAGTGCTTCTTTCTTCTCCTTTAATTCATTTTAAATCTCATTGAATGTATGTATATGAGAATGAAAAAGCGGGAATTTAATTTTGCAACCTCAAATCTTTATAGGAAACATTCACATGTGAATAGCGCAGAAAAAGTTGAAAGGAAGAAAGCAAAGCAGAAAAAAGCTTCATCGCTGCTTTTTCCCTTTCTCCACTCTATATGATGAAAGAAAAGAAATGATCCTAGAAATTCTGGATTCGATGATGCTGAGAGTTTGCGCTATGTAGAAACCAATCATATAAAACTACTATTCGACTCTTTATACCCCATAAAATGGTGAAATATATTTTTCTTTTATCCTTTTGTAGCGTCGAGGATTCTTTTTCGTTTCATTCTTAAGAAAATTTCCTTTAAGAAAAAAAAGCCTCGAAGACACGAAAATACTTTTCATGTCGGAGAAGGGAAAAACTCGTTAGAATTTTTTTTATCATGCATTCAATGGTGAAAGTGCCATTAGATCTTCGCTCAACTTTAATAGCACGAGATGGATTTTTCATGTTACTCATTTTTCATCTGATTTTCCAACTAACTAACATAAAGCTTTTTCACCGTCGAAGTTGAAGGAGAGTGAGGAAAAAGTTTTCCTTTTCTCTCGTCTTATTCAAAAATCAAAATCAATGAAAAACAATAAATTCAACGGTTTTATGTTTGAAGCTGTAAAACTCGTCTCGCCGTCATCATCATCCTCTCCCCTCTTACATTTTCGAGAGGAAAAAGCTTAAGACGAGCAAAACAATAAAGACTTTTTCCATTTTTCACAACCCCATGTCGAGACCGTGTCAGACGGAAAAGAAATCATCATAAGTGAAAGCCTAAACTATCGATTCTCGGTTCCTAAACCTTAAAAGTACGAAATGCATTTACTGTTGCTCTACATTCCATCGCACATAACCATTGCACAATTTTGGTAATTTATTTGAAAATGATAATTTTAAAGAGCGCAACAGGCGCACACAACAAATTTTAGTGATATTTCACAGTTTTAATGGGCGACGGGAATGCTAGAGACCAAGGGGAAGAGTGAGAAAAAAAGAAAAATGTTCCTGATGATTTTATGGTTCCATTACAAATTTTCTCGATGTGTTGCGCCAGAAATTGCTTGTAGAATTTCCCACTAACACTCACGTAAACTTCGCTTTCAGAGAGTGAATGTAGTCGTGAAGATGAAAAAACAATTTTTTGCCTCTTCACAAATCCCATCCACCCTCTGTTCTGTGTGCTTCTGCTTTTTTTATTATTTGTTTTACGACTGTATAAAATGGCCGATTGTCAAGGTTAACGACTCTGCTGCGACATAAAATTGCACATTTTCTTTTATGATTATTGTCAATAATTTTGTTTAATGATAAATTGGGGTTGATTTTAATATATTCCTTGGGTTATCATGATAGCGAAGAAAGAGAAACAAAAGACGGAGACTTTAATGCCGACACAGTTTTTATGGTGGCATAGATCTTAAAGTTTACTAAGATATTAAGCTGAGTGTGGTGGTTACAGCTGATAAATATTTCTTTATTATTTACACCTTATACTTTTTTATTATATTTTTAAATAAGATTCAAGGTAGAGACATTTCTTTAGACTTTCTTTATTCATGGGTAATTTGAATTTAAAGGTAAAACTTTTTCAGTTTTGAGTAAAAATGATTTTGCAAATTTATTGCTTTTCTCACTATGTCATTGAATTTCAAACCCTTCAAAGCAAACAAAGTATCAGATCCTACTCAATATCTCTGCTTACTTTTTTCCCTCCTTTTCTACGTGTGTTTATGACATCATAAAGCTTAGCCAGAAGGGAGAAGAAGACTTTGATGGTTTTTATAGAGTTTTAACGTTTATGGATTTAAAGAATTGATTTTTAGTTTTTCCTGCCTTTTGGATTATTCTGCGGCAAATTGCTCTAATTTTCATTTTCTTTAAGCCCAAACGAGCGATGATGCTAAGGGTAAAAATTGATTTTTCTTTTCCATTTCCACAAAGCATTTTCACAAATCTGTCGGAATGATGATAATAAAATTTTGCTTGCTTTAGTTTTGGCTGAGACTATGAATTCATAAATCATAATCAAATGATGAGATTGAGGAAAGTATGAGCTTGTATTTCGGACATGAATACAACGATGACGATGATGGCATGGCAATGAAACAGGATGAAGGATAATGAAAGATAGGAAATTGAAATTTTCCATAAATGCACACAAAATGGCTTTTCACTGTTCATGCTTTTCTTTTGCTTTTCTCTCTATCAAATTTCAATCAATTCTTCGTCTTTTCGGCCTTTAGGATGTTTGCGAGAATATCTCGGAAATTTAATTAAAATTCATATTCAATACATGGAAGTTTTCCACATCAGTGAAGAAAGCAGAAGCTTTAAAGTATTTTCGAACAAATGTGTCTGCAGTCAATAGATTTTCGTTGTTATTTCCTTCCTATGCCTTTTTGTATATGATGTATACCAGTCATTCAACATAAGACATGCGCGAAAACACCCGTATTGATGTGTCTCCTTGGTAACAATTCTAAATATTTTTTTTCTCTTTTACGGAGTAAAGCGAGTGGATAGAAATAAACTGAAGCTAAATCAGATTTTTTTCCAATTCAATGCAAGACGAAAGTCGATTTTATTTACTACAAGACTTGCAATAGTAACACGAGAAACTTTTTTCTGATCTCATCAAATTATGGTAAAATATATTGAGAAAGTTTGTAAAAGCTTTTAAGGATAGAAAGGAAGATGAAAAGTTCAGCTGCATGTTCAAGATATGTAAAAATTGGGACAGCTTTTCATTAAATATTCCATATCTCTATGCAACTTTCTTTCCTGATATTTCATTCTATTTCATGTCATTCTGACACGCCATTTACATTATTATTTAAATGCACCAATGCTATAAGACAGACATGAAATGAAAAGCGAACAGCCATAAACATTTTGAGCATATTTCTCTTCATATAAATTCATATTTATTCAAAGTTGATTTTAAAACATAAAAGCTTCCACTTCGCACTCGCATTGACATAAGCAAACCATAAAGATACATGCACACATATTTTCCTGGAGTAGGAAAATCAATATTCCTCTATAACATACATTCATGGCGAAGGCAAGCAAAATTCATACAACTTTTCAGCCTCAAACTCAAACAAAAGTGAATCAACATAAAAAAATATTCAACTTGTACATGAGAAAAGATAAACTTTTCATTTCAAGCTTTTACTCGACTGTTCGCTCATTGATAAATGAATAGCAATTTATTTTATTTACACAAATACATGCTGGAAAAGATGATACGAAAAAATATTTAAAGCAGTGGAAATTCCGTTTAAAGATAAATGAAATGAAGCTAAATGTTGCTTTTGAAATGAATGATGGCAATGATGAAAGTTTTAAACACAACGATGAAATTTTAATGCAAAGTTTTTTCTACATGGATTTTAATGATAAATTTTCATTGCATATTAGTCACTTAAAGATATCGGGGGAAGTGAAATGAAAATGAAAATGAAAAGTAGAAGTAATTAGTTTCCGGATCTATTTCAAATATTTAAGTAATGAAAATAAACAGAATAAACATTATCGATATTTTTTGTTGTCTTCAATGGAGAAGTCACGTGACTAATAAATCAAAAAAAGTGTCATGTAGATTGTTGAATGACGAGACTCCGAGTAGCTAACAAATTTTAATGCCACGTCCAATAAATTTCAGTGTCGCTCGAGTTTTAAATCATGCGAAAAAAGTTGGAAGTAAAGCAACAAAAAAAGGAAAAGTTATTAAAAACATTTGAAACTCTATGGCGTTTTTGCTTAAATCTCTTCTCTCTCAACATGTCTACATTGTGACCGGCGTGGAAAATTTTCATGCATTTAAAATCATCGATTTTTCGTGTGGGTGTTGGGGACACCCAAAAAATTAAAACAATTTCAAAACTCAAACGACGCGCTTATATGCAGCGCTGAAAGATATTAAATTTCATTTGAAAATAGGTTAATACATTTTTCAATCTTCGACGAGCATCGTTCGATATGTATTTATTTTTCACGGAAAACTGATATGTGTCGGGGGTGGTTGAATGATTGGTAAGAAAAAAATCGCTTCTCACTCACTCAATGATTTTACTTCGTTCTTGTTGAATGACATGAAATATAGAAAATCAAAAGATTTTTTTGTTTCTTTCTTTTCTTTTTAACGTCCATTATAAGTAGACCCATAACAACCATTTACTGATAAAAGACAAAAGATTACATTGAAAAGCGAATGTGAATTCTGGTGTAAGAAAGAATCTTTTTTCCGATAAAAAAAGAAAGAAGAAAACAGCAACGACGAAAAGAAATGAATGATTTTATTGGACATGGCAGTTAAAGTCTTATCCCTCCCACTTTATCATAAGATATCGTTTAACAAAAGAAACACGAACAAAAATAATAACAGAAGAAGAGAAGGAAAAGAAAAGGTTGATGAGTAATTCTTAACATAGTTGACTAAGAAATAAAATCGCGAAAAGAATGAAAACTCCTTTTAAAGCATTCGAATCGTTTATTAAAAGCCTCTCAATTAAAGAAACATGTAATGGATTATCATTGGCATTACTTTGCTACTCTCAATCAACTTCTCATTAATTTCATAAAAAGAAATATGTTTTATGTTTCACAATAGTTCGACTTGTTTTACACTTCACAATCTCTAAAATAAGAAAAGAACTTTGCCAACATCAATTTATAACTTTCTATCTAATGATACTTTGCAATAAAGCTTCAGAAAAATAACAAGAAAGAAAAACACAAACCAATCTAAACAATTGACTTTAAATTGCGACATCAAGCCACCTCAAACAAAGGAACATCACAGCACAGCATAAAAAAACGATCCAACCTCCCTCATAGTAATCATAAAAGTAATATGAATAAGAAAAAAACCGCCAGAAAAATGAACAACGCCAGTGTCATTATAAGGGATGATATTACACAATATGAGTGATATTATACAAAGTTAAACGTTAAAAAAAAGTCTAAAAAATGTGAAATAAAAGCGAAAAACGCGAGGGCAACGAGCGAATAGGAAGATAATTGAAGATATTACATTTTTTATGAATTTTTATTGCAAATAGCATATTTAGTATGAATGACATTATTTTATTCACCCAGAGAATAAGAAAATTTCTGACAGAATATGATGGAAGGAAAAGTTTGAAATTAAAATTTGGAAATTGCTTTTCTTCTTTCACTTTTTTTTTCTACGTTCCGGGGACTTAAAAGTAATAAAAACAAATGTTGTTATTATGCCTCTAAATTACAAATAAATGACGCAATTTAAAAGCCGAGAACTAATGAATGAATTTCTTTTCTTATATTTCTTATTATAGGACGATGGTGTCGAAGAGACTGGTCATCACCTCCTGATGCACGAGCCCAAGAAGCATCAAGGCGCGTGTTATATTCTCAAGTCTTCCTAGGTAGTCCTGGTGAGTGTAAGAACAATTTTTTTATTTACCTCTTATTGATGATTATCGAGGCGCGTTTAGCAAAGAAGCAATTGAAACTAGGCGTAGACTCAATCATTAACCGCTGCTCAGCTCGTTAGTATTAAAGCAAATTACTGAACATTGCGTTACTGACCTCTTTCAACAGTAAGAAACTCGTTCTATAATGCTAGGATAAACATTATAAAAATGAAAAATGATTGAGTCTTACATCGAAGCGATTATAGGCTAGCAAACAACTGACAAATCCCATGTAATAAGTTCTGTCTTCAGTTGTTGCATAGAAGTTATTCTTTGAAATTGAAAAGAACTCTCGGGGACGAGAGTAGAATGAAAACCGAGAGATAATCAATATCTTAACGAATCATAATAATAATTCTTTAATACTCTTCGAATCGAGTCGAGTCGGATCTTTTCCTTCTATCCGCGGGTATTATTTATGGTACTTTTATATGGTAGAGAAGTATAAACGATAAGTTAGTTTAATATAAATTGCTTCGTTATTTCTTATAACTTTTCTCTTTTCGCCTTTTCGCGCGCACATCGTTATGAGTAAAAGAAAAACAACATTTTTGTCCTTATCATCGTCATTAAAACTCATGACACTTTTGTTTAAACGAGAGTAACAGAGTAAGAGAAGGCGAAAGGTATTTTCCTCATGATTGATTACCTTGGCGTGTTGTTTCATCTCTTTAAGACTAGAAAGCTCCATTTTGAGACATTTCGACAAAGAATATTTTTTCATTCAGTAAATAACATCGTCGTCGAGTTTAATTTAGAATGAATGGATTCTCGAATTGATATTCTTTTACATTAATTCTTAACAACTCTTTCTAATTGAGTGAAAACGCGAGTTATTCAATGGTCAATTATTCATTTTGATCGATTATTATGAAGAACTTTTCCTTTATGTTAATTTTCTTGACATCCAAATCAGCTTCCAGCTTCGCCAGGAAAAATCGATAAATATTAATTTCCATAATTTTCCACCGAAAACTTCATCAACTTATTTTCTTGTATGGCTCTTTTCTTCTATCAGATAATTGACAGCAATAAAAATACTTTTAAATACTTATAAATATTTCGTTCTGTTCTCAACATTTATGATCAAAATAAAGAAGTTTTTCATTAAAACTTTAATAATTTTTTTTTTAAGATAATTTTCTTATTATAGGAGAAAAGTTTTGAGAATCTTTAGATTAGAGAAAAATTGCAACAAATCTTTAGAATGAATTTTCTTTGGATTGAGTCTGATTGCTTTGTAATCTGACAACATTAATTAACATCTTCTTGTATTTATAGAAAAGTGCAAGGAAAAGTGTTTGTCACAACACAACCAACAAGCGACAAGCTTCATCCTCAAATCTCAATTTGCAATCAAAATGAAAACTTTTCCTTCCACTTGCGCGCACATAAATTCTTCGCTCATGCCAAGAAACGAAGCGGGAAAGAAATTAAAACCCATTTCGGAAGAAAAGAAAGAAAAACATGGAGAAATTATAATGAAAAGCAATTTGGAAGGAAAACGAAAGAAAAAATGAAGAATGGAAGATTTTTTTGAAAAGGAAGAAAGCGTAAAAAACGCTTCTTCTGCATTACGATAAACATGAAAACAATTTTCCTCCAATATTCTCCATTAAAATAATAGCATTCTTCATTTCTCTTCTTTCATCCTTCGGAAAGCCGGGGCTTTTGCCATTTACGTTGTTGTTGTTTAGTGTGCTTGAAATTGAAATCGTTCGTTGTTTGCAAGTTGAAGCCTCGAGAATCGCTCTCAGATGGAAATGAATCCATTTATACAGCACATCAGAAGAACCCTTGAAATATCCGCTTTTTAATCGAATTTGTTATTCCCGCGGATAGCGAATAGCGCACAACAAACTCTAAATCGCTTCTACACTGACCCATCCAATTTCCTTTACCAGTTCTTTACATAATGTTAAAAATCGAAGCGAGAATATTGAACAGGCGGGAGGAAGCTTCATAGACACATTGTTCCATCTACTACTACCTCGCCTTCACTTTTTCAAGTCAAATCATCATGAGCTTGCACTAAAAATATTTTACTTGTCATTGAAGCACTTTTTATTATTCATCTTCTCCCTTAGTTTACTTGTTTGTTATAGCAATAAAGGGTGTATCGATCTTTCGTAAAAATTTTTCATAACATTCATCCACAACCGAAGCTTAAAGATTTAAAGTTGCTTTATCTACCGTCATGGGACTTTGAAATTGCTTCGGTGAGAAAAACGACAGAAATTGAAAAATTCGAAGAGCTCATGCTGTGCAAATGTTTGATGATGTGACACAATACTCGAACATGTATTTTCATAGGAAGACAGCTGAATCATCGATGAAAAAATAAAAGAAAGATTCAATTTTAAAAAGAAAAAGTGTCAAAACTCTAAGAAATTTCCTTCTTTTCGAACATGATAAAGAGAAAAGAAAAACATCGCAAAATTGCTTATGCTTTGTTGTTCATCGTCCCATGTTCGATAAAGTATTATTTTATTATGATGCTCGAAAAATATTATTTCCGAAAAACCAGCTGTTTTGATCATAAAAGCGAAGGCCCTCTTAAAAAAAACTATATAAGAATAATAATGAAAACAAACCATTTAGCTGGCTGGCGATGAAAGAGATGGCGCGATATAATATGATGTGATTTGACGCACACGCGATACAGTCGAGAGAGTTTTGCAATAGCAAGTCAAACGTTGAATGTAGCCGATGAAAGCAAGGGAGATGAAATATATTTTCGGTTTTCAGTATGTTTGTAGATTGTCTATCACCATGGAAACGATTTTATTCCATTTTTGATAGTGTTGATGTGTTTCATTGTTTTATCGCTTTAGTCGAATGCGTGAGTGCAAAACATCAACTCCCCCAGCATCAACATTGAACAACGTAACATTGCACTAACACCTTTACATGCAATTCGAGAACTGCGATGCTCGCGATGTTCAGAAATTTTCCACATTTCTTGCAGTGAGAATTGTGCTTATCGGAGAAGCCTTTCATTTTGAAATTTCAAAAAATATTCTTCTGATTGTCCATGGAATACTTGCTGCATTCGAAAAAGGAATAAATTGTGAAACAATTAATTTGTCACTATCAAAAAAATGAGAGGAAGAAAGTTTAACTTGTAGCGTCGGCATTTTAAGTTTCATTCTCATAGTTTTCATAATTCGATGGTCGATTCACTGAGGATTAAAGAAGAAGTCAACTCCGAAAGAAAAGAAAATGACCGACGGCAACACCGAATAATTTTCACTTGTCTCCAATAGCAATCACGCCTTGACGTGAAGCTCAATTAACACCAATTTGTTGATTATATGAATTTGATTCATATCGATGATCACTTTCCATTTTTTAATACTCATATAGCTTCCATATTTCCTCACTTCTCATTCACCAATTAATGTTTTTTACTCATCACAAAAACAACGTCAAGCTTTTATGTACACAGAACAAAAATCTGTCAATCTTTATTAAGCATGATGCGCGAATCAATATATTATGATCGGCAGTTTATAAAGAACAGAATGAATTTGTTAAAAAAAAGAATTTAAAATACTTTTGTGGCTTTCCACAATCACGACTTCATTTGATAAACAATTTCAGGCTCAACAATTGAAAAATTATTCATCTTGTTGGCGAACAATTTTTCATTCTCGTTGAAACAAAATTCATTTGAAAATCAATCATTTGCGGTTAATTTTAGAAAATTAATAGTAATTTTGCATTATTCTTCAAAGCTTGTTTCACCACTTTAAAGAGATCTTTGAAAGTCTTGAACATTAAAATGAAAATTGGAGAAAGAAAAAAAATCTTTATTAGCCTTGACCTGTAAAGGTTACCCATCGAGAAATGAATTTCTATCGTTTGCCCTGCCAGCTAACGTTGGGGCATTGTTCAATATGGAATGGAGAGTTGTTCAATGTATATATGCCCATAGAAAGAATATGCTTTGATTGCCCATCCATCACTTGATCGTGAATTATTATAAAGCATTTTTACGAACAAAAGATAATGGACTGTTGAACTTTCGGCTGTTTTCTCGATATTTTTTTCCACTCTTCATCTTCCACATAGACCGAATTGAATAAGCCAGAAAATTTAACTTTAACCCGCGCTCTCGTCGTGAAACAAACGAGTCCCAGTTTGTCTGCCATTATATAATGGATTGATTTTTAATTTCAAAGAATTATTTTCTTCGAAGCGAACACTTCTTTTCGTTATGATCCATTGTTAAATTCTCGTCTCGGATTGAAGAAAGGCATATAATTTAATAGATTAAGACTGTTTCTCTCTCGTTTGTATAATAAACAAAATATTCCCAAACTCCGTCGTATAATTTACAGATAATTTCTTTTTCTTCTCGTAACTCTCCACACACATAAGCCTTAAAGTGTCCGTTGAAGTTTTTCGTTTGTTGAAACTTGAAATTGAGTTCCAAGAAGAGTACAATGAAGGAGAAGTAGATAAAAATATGTAACAGTTGTAACCTGTAATAATAAATTACATGGGCTGTGATGTGCGCCCTTCGTCAAGAACCAGAACCGCTTCAAGTCTTCTTTTCACTTTAGTGTTCGATGGCGGACCCCATAATTTGAATTATTTAATATTCGACAACGCTTTATGAAAAGCGTAAAATCTTTAATTATAATTACGAAGCTTTAAGTAACACGAGAAATTTAACTATGGAAATGATAGGCGTATCGTAAATGAGATATCAGCAGAGTTCGCCAATTGCTTTAGAACCAGCCATTGGCTCAGCCTTTCAGCTTTTCAGCCTTTCGTCTTCAAAAAACCATTAAAAAGCGTTCTTAAGACCTTTTAATTAAAACTCAAGCTATCGCGTGTGTAGGCAACATTTTATGTTTCCACTATTAAACGACATGTTTAATATCAAAAGGTCATAAAATCAAAATTATGTTAATTCACCATTAAGCGGAATTTAAATTACTCTCCAGGAGAAATATGAAAGAAGAAACGCTGAAAATCAATATTTTATAGCCTTTTACTTTTTTCATGAAGATTATTTTATCGGATGTAAATATTTTTTACGACCAACAATGACGATTCAAAGGTGGCGATATAAAAATCATGTCCACAACTATTAGGTCAGATTAAAAATAAAGATTTTTCTTCAGATTGTGTACGAACGATAAGATGGATGACGTTGATGATGAATGCATTGATGGAAATTATTTTCATGCTGATATTTAATGAAGCTTGATTTTTATATTTTTATACACTCATTTGAATCTCTTTAAGAATTTCACCGTGAAATCATTTCTAACATTACACGAAAGGCAGTAAGAAAAGTAAAGTAAAATCAATTTCGTGTATGTCACAAGCATTCATTTTTATGAAAAGTTTTGTTTTTGACATGTTGAGGGTGGCTCTGTAGACGAACGAGAATTTCAATGTTGTTGATATTTTATTTCGAGAATTTTAGCAAGGGATAAACAAAAAAAAAATAAGGAGAATAAGAAAAATTGACGTAAAATCCTTGAGGTCGGAAATGAATATAAAATCGTTCTCTGAACTCTTATTTTCATTCGGAAGAAGTCTTTAATCCTACCGGCAACAAACAGGACAAAAAGATAAATGAGCGAAAAAGAAAATTTATTGTTGTTAAAGTGCATAAAAGTCTATTGACCCGTCGACACACTAAATTATTACACTCGAGACACTAAAATTGATATCAATTTCTCGCTTGGCCCAGACTTCATTCTCGTCCCGCCACCAGCGCATTATTGTTGTAATTTCTCATACATTTTTATAGCGAAATAATTAATGGCGAAATTTATATAGAAGAAGAAAGAGAATGCGGTGGAGTAGCGACTACTAACACACTTACCCCGAAAGAACATCGAAGAGTAGAGAGAAGAAGGCTCCACATTAATTTACTACCGTAATATATTTTCCTCTGTTTGTTTTTTCTTTGATAGTAATAATTCATTTTGTCGCTTTGGAGAGAGTCACTTGCTTAACATTGCTTCCTATTCCTGCCCGCCGAAAGCCATTCTTCTTCTCTTTCTCGCTTTCTCTGATTTGCCTTGTAAAGGGTTAAATGTTGAACTTTTTTTTTCATAAATAAATATCACTTGTTGCTTCTGACTGACTCGTGAATCGAGAAGTAAAAGTTACTTTAAATAGAAAAGACAACAAATATTGATAAAATTTATGTTAAAATGATGGTAATTCGACGTTGTGAGATGCTGAAAACATCGAAGCGATCGAAGGTTGAATCAGGTTCTTAATGACGAGCATCTTGAAGAAGTTTTAAAAAAAATCCGACAAGAAGAAATCATTTAATTAAAATCTTTTAACTTTTTTTTTTCTTCTCTTGTAAGATTTTTTTTTCGTGCTAAGACATAAGATATTTCATTAAATATTCTTGGCATTTCATCCTTTAATTCTTCCATTTCACTCTCCGTTCATTTTGGGATTAAATATTAAAACGAGTTTTTATATCTTTGATAACTTTTCTTTAAGAGATGCTCATTTGTTGACCAATGTAATCTTTAGCCAAGAATGATATTTTGAAAGATTTTTCATGTTCATTGACACAAAGCGATTGCTACCAAATGAAATATCTTCTACTTTTAACTCTAAAAAATTTTGTGTAAATCTTTTGAAGTTTTTAAATCAATCGCCGCACTTCAGCACTCAAAGAATCGATCGTTTCAAGTGGAAATCGCATTGCATCAATAAAAACTTTGAATGTTCTAATTTTATGGTCTGTTATAACGATATTTTAATTATAGATGCATGCTTTATGATATTTTCTTCCTAATCTGTTCAACTTTAAGTTTGATACTATAAATTAGAAAACAAATGCAATAAATTATCCAATTTTTGAATAAGTATGAATGAGAAATCTCAAAATTTCCTCCAACCAAAGCATCTATTATAACTTACAAAACCTTGAGCAGATTATTTATTGAGTAATAATTGCTATTTAATGAAAATATGTATTGACTGATATTCGATTTTTTAATTTCCTTGATTGTTAATAGAAATCATCTGTTGAACATTAATTTTTAAGAGCTCTCGATGTTCTAATTATTTTTTTTAGGAAGGAAAACTTGAGATTATTACCGAAATGAAATAGTTTAAGCGTTTCGCTTTATCTCGATAAGATTGTTTGCTTGGTAATCGGTTGAAGTCGACATGCTTTTAATCGTATCTCATATAGCGTCTTAATCTCAAGTAGTCGCCAGAATTGAATAAAAAAACATTACAGAAGCTTCTTCTTTCAAGTAAGCATCTGATAACGATCATTATTTAACAAATGCAATAAAATTCTTTACCAGATAAGATAAGGAAAAGAATGTTGAAGTGTTATTTGAAGAATTCCGTTCAATGATTCGCTTTTTCAATAATCTTCCCTAAAGTATCTGCAAAGATGACGCCCACACAACAAATTGCACTTATCGCAAACAAATCATATGCCGCCATGTGTGGAGAATGACACAAAGTATCGCTTGTATGATGTCAAGTGCCGTTTTAATAACATCATCATTGTTGAATGTTGAAATGGGCGAGAAAAAATAATTTTTCGTTCAATCCTTGAATCGATTTGAAGTGCAGTTTCAACGTTCAAGATCTTGACTTGAAAATGATCATTCTTTGTAGCTATTTATGCGAACTTTAACTGCGATGCATTTAACTGTCTATTCTTGAACTCCACTCGAACTGAGATTATTGTTGGCTGTAAAGATAGAAAAATAGAAATCACATTAAAGATGAACTTCTTGAGTGACATGAACAGGTGACAACTTGTATGTTATTCGAAAGACAAGCATTTGGTTTGAATGTCTTCATGTTTCTCACTTTACAGTAAAATCTTTCGTGCAATGCAAAGAAGAACAGAAAAATCATAAATTTTACGATTTTCATTAAGAAAATTTCTTGTTCACAAATGTGACTCTAAAGCCAATTACTGAAATATGCGTTATTCGTAGCATGTGCTCAAAGCCAAGAGCCTTGTCGCCTTGAATAAGAAATGGAATAAAAAACTATAAGAAAGAAAAAAGCAGCCAGAATTTACGATCATCGACGGGGTGTGAGTGGAACGAGAGATTGGTCATCCAATCTTTCTTTATGCCACAATTTTCAAAGAGATTTCATTTAAATTATTATGCACATACACGGGAAAACTGAGAGCAGTAGAGTGAATATTGCATTCAACGCATTAAATTAATCACATGACTGAGTTCGGAAAGTAAAATTTTAAATTTTTCTTTTAAATAAGAAGTGAAAAAAGAGGATTGTGTGTATATAAACATTTCGGATTTGGACGGGTTGGATGTGTAATAACTTTTCGTGTAGGCTGGAATATTGTCATTGCGTATTAAGTTTCAAACCAGCCAACAACGAGTGAATTTCAATCAAAAAATAAAACTTTTTTTAATCACATAAATTTTAACGAAGCGTTCATTAACATTTAAAAAAACAACAATTCGTGTAAATAAATATCTTGAGAATGAGAATGTGATACTCGCTGTTGGGTTGTAGCAGCGAGACAAATATTTAACAAAGTCATTCGGTGAATGTGAACAACATTACATTACGGAACAAACAAGAAATTATGTTAATTTAAATATCATCATTGAAACAATGAAAGACATTTTTTTATTTTACTTTTCCTTCAACGTTTCAGTTGCATTCAATGAAAGAAAGAAAAGACTTTTCATTCATAAAAATATTTTCTAGATAAAGAAAAACGAGATGAAAATGTAAACACTTGAATGAGACTCTTAACAAACAAAACAATCAGCGATCCATAAGCATTAGTTCTGAATAATACGAAAGAGGCTAGCGGCTTGCAAAGCGACTTAATGCAAACGAGAATTTGCATTTTTGTGCAATTACAATTTTCTTCTTTGTCACATTCCTGTTTAAGACGACACAGCAAGGTGCTCGACTCTTATTTGTCTCTGTTTGATCTTGAGATTGCTAATTATTTGCTTTTGCTTTACATGAAGCTGTGAGAAGATTTTTTTTCTGCTTTTGCTGTCAATTGGCGAGATCGCAAATTTCTAAATTGAATGAGTTGAGTATGCAATGTTAAACTTCTTGTTTTCTTTCCTTCAAACTTGTTGTATTCGTCTCGATTTCTTTTGCTACTGAATTCACATCACTTGAAGCTAACACAAAGCAATAATAATGACATCGTACAGCGGAGTGTCATCTCAGATAAACTCTCAACTGCACAGCATGTGAATTTTCATAACAGTTTCTTGTGAGAAAATGACAAATGACATTCGCTCACTCACTTTGAAGTATGATGAACTTTTTATTGTTGAACTTTGTTTAAAAATGACCCATTTTGAATAAATAAAAATAAAATTGCAACAAAAGACAACAAATTTGTCTCACGCGTTCGCTTCATTTTTTAACATTCGCCAACAATAACAAGCAATAAATCGTGAAATTAAATGTTCCAGATGATAAACAGACAAATATAATGTTGCCAAAAAGACTAGCTTTGTGTAGTTTGTCGTCTAGCGAACAGAGAAACCCCCTCACTTACAAATAGTTGAAGCACATTGAAATTATTTTCTATTTTCTAGAAAATTATTTGCTAACGAGGCGAATAATGGTCACTGACTCTTACTGCAATAATTTCCAAACGTCTGTTTGACTATTGCGAAAAAGCAAGTAGAGCAAGCATCCCAATGCAATGCCTCGAACCTCGACAAAATATGTAAGCGAGTGAAAATAATTAAAACTCACAGTTCGTAAAACTTTTAGACATTAAAAGCCAGAGTTCTAATAAAAACTATCACACACAACTCCACACTATTTTCCAAGCAATGGAGCAATTAATTCAACCGCGGAATTACAACCATAAAATTTAATTTAAAAAGGGCACTGATGAGTGCGCGCTCTCATTTTGCTACCAACAACCGTTGGTTGTACGGAAACCACGACTCTCTTAATATTTTCTACTAAATTATCGCATTGGGAGTCTTTGATGTAAACAATTAGTGTGAAAAGTTTATGACTTTAAGTCGAAGCTATAAGAATTTGTAATTGGGTGAAAAATCAACATTCAAGTCAACCACAAGACGACAACACGCCGTGACAGACTTGCAGTGGAACTCGTAAAACATCCGCAGCCATAAAAAATGCCTTTGCTGCTAATAAAACTAAGAGCTGTGGCTTTGTATTAATGCTCGCATAGCTTTTATATTCTCATCGACATTTTACGATCGCTTTTTTTTCGGGTAAAAGTTTGATTACATCCGTTAAGGATATTATTGTCATCGTTAAAGTTCAGTTAAATGAAATAAAGATGATGAGATCATAGAATCATCAACATGAGTATGTGTTCTGGTTTTATGTTTGAAATGCGTCCATTGAAGAAGCTTTTTTGTTTTCCATGAGAATGTCGACCACGGATAGAAGCGAACAAGCAAGCAGCCAATATTGAGACGGGAATTAGCACATTAAATGATTTTCTGGCAAATCGCAGCGACCGTCGAAATATTATTATCACTTTTTTTTTGTGGCTCATAAAAGACATTTTATGACATTGACTCAAAGACTCGACAGACGTTTCATGTGTGAATGAATATAAATACTTTCATGAAAGCATGTGAAACTTTGCCAAAAGCTGGAAATTAAGAAACAGAAAGAATTTCATGGCATTAAATAGATTTTTTCACCTCCACCCACAAGAATTTCCGATAAATATGACGTTGAACGCATGTTTCGTCTACATTTAATGGTCTCAAAATGATTGAATTTTGAAGGGTGGATTTCATGTTCAAACCTCGACTGGGGGTTTTTAAATTAAAAGTATACTTCAAATACTTTTTCTCCATTTCGATGGTGAAATGAATTTCTCGAGTTTCGCAAAAGGGAAGTTGAGTACCAGCTGGAGTCAAGAACGATATCATGAATAATATTTTCTGCTGCTGCTTTTTTACAATTCAAATTTTTTCTTTCTTGTTTTTTTTTTGTTTCTTCGTCTGCTGTAAACAATTTTGTTGTTTTTCATATCGTGTGTATTTGCTTTCTTGCTTCTTTCCTACCCTCGCTTGAATTCTTAACGGGAAAAAAATACTGAATACGGCGGTTCCCAAATATTCATAAACAAAGCTTGAAAACATGCAAAAGCTGCTGAAAGCTTTCCGAACAATGATTGAAAAACAACATGACATTGTTCAAAGAATGATCTGAAAATGACGATAAATAAAATTTCAAATCACACAATTAAATAAAAATTAATTTAAGCGACATAATTCTTCGAATTTCCTTTAAAAAAAATTGTATGTAAATGATGATAGAAAGAGTCTTTAAATCTTGAACAGATTAAATCACAATCTCATGCCAAATTATTTTTATTCTCATGTTTTTCTGAAGAATAAAAAAAATATAAAATTTTAACATTTTTAAGAGATGAAACTGAAATTAATTTTTCTTTCATTCTCTTCATTTGTTCGAGGTTTTCGACAGAACAACATGAACTTTAAAAATTGTATTGTTTATTTAGAGAACATCATTAATCATTCGTAGCTGTACTGGGATTTCTCGCTGATCTTAAATAAACTTAAAAGTGTTTTCAGTTAGTTGAATTATTCTCTCGTTTTTCCTGTTTTAATGGTGCAATGGGAGATAAAGACTGAAGGGATGATAAGTAGCACTTCATTGAAGGGTTGGTTGTAGTCTCAAAACGATTTTCAGATGGGACAAGTGTCAACAAAATGACTGTGGAGAAATAATGTCTCGTGAATGGAATACAAATTAAACAATTTTTTGAAATAACATTCCTTCTTTATTTACTTTTACGATTACTATGAGATTATGATGGGGCTACACTTATTTAGGTCGAATTTGTAACACGTATTGCTGATGTACAATTTTATATCGAGAAAATATGAAAAGTAAATAAATTTCTTGCTAAATCATTGAAAATTGTTCTTGGGAATATTTCTACAACAAAGATTTTGATCTAAATTCGTAAATGAACACATCAAACGATGTTTGCAGTCATTGATATCATTCAACATCCTTCAATCTCTCAACCATCGAAAAGATAAACAAACAAAACATAATATCGCCCTCCGAGCCATTAGATTTAATAGTTTTGTTGATATGCGAAAGCGAACCACGACGCGATGGATTTATGGAGCTTCATGTGAGATGCAAAAGAAAAAAAATATTCGGAGACAGCTTAAGTCTCGACGATATGAAACAAAAGACATGAGGGGGAGAAAAAGAAATTAATTCAATTTTCCATATCAGCCATTCTGAAAATATTTATAAGAGAAAACAACAAAAAAAAAAAGCATAGCAGAGACATTGCAGATGGGACTTGATTTAATAATATAAACACACATCAATTAATCATTCAGCATAACGAAGCACCACCAGAAAATGAATAAAAAATAAATTGCTTTTGATATCAACATCAAGTGAACGATTCTTGAAGCTGGGGAAGAAAATGTCACGAGCATCTCATTTCTTCTAACAATTGCTTGTCTTTATCTCACTTTAAATAGCACATACACTTGAAAATAATTAGTCAGATGAATGAGAAATGATATCGTCAGTCAAACTTTTAAATAATAAATTTTTATAAAAGATTTGAACGCTTCCAGTTGAGATATGTTTGAAAGTCAAAGGCAGCTCTTGAGAGAGTTCAAGTTTCTTTAAAGATCTTTTAGTCTCGATTATCACAGTTTATGAAAAGGAATTTCTCGTCTTTCGTGTTAAATCATCATCTGATATCGTACCACAATGTGCGAAAATGTGTCTTGAAATATCGGCATCACATCTTTGTCCATTGTCTTAGAAAACTTTAATCCCATTCAGTCTCTTATAAAAGGGTTATTCAAGACGAGTTTATGAGAAGCAAGAACAATAATTGATATGAATCTTGAGCAAAAGCAAGCATTTTCAGTGGCAAGATCACCATTCGAAATTTCATGGAACTCCAAAGAGGTGTTAAATGTTTAAACTTTAAAGGCAAACTTTGCTTTGTCGTGACATAAAAATTCAATTACGAATCATTTTCTCAACATAAAACTCAGCAAGATGAGAGGATAAGAAGAACCCTTAAATATTAGATTAAAACTTCCGACTTAGACATAAAACATGCATCAGCCATTCACCCAAAAACAATTTATGTTGGAGTAGGAAGCCCACCAGTTCAAACCGAAAGCCCATCAGTTTAAATTTTCAACTTCAACTGCTGCATGCATGTGGAAAATTTAATGAATTTTTTTTGTTGTGTTCTTGTTTTTCCTTTCCTTTCACATCTACATATCTAAATACTACAGCTTGCTTGTTTTATGAAAAATTTCCATTTCACCAATTTTTAATGAAAAACAACTAAACCCAACAACATGGAAAACCATCACACAACAAGAGGCATAATGTGCTTCTACTGCCTTTGCCCTTAATATTGCCATAATCAAAATGGTTGTTGGTTGAGCGAAATGTGTTTTCTCTCTGCTGAAGCGTCGCAAAAAAAAGTTCTCTGGCATTTTTCGCACACACAATTTTAATGCCTTTTCACTGCTCTTTTCACTATGTGCCTTATGAGCATAAAGATTATTACAGCAATGGAAAAGCGCTAATACAAGAACCACGGATGAACAAGAGGCTCAGTCATGAAGTTGCTTTATGGATCTGACTTGATGGATTACAATTTTAATTTTGTTTTGTGTTCGCTTCATTATTAAAAACATATTCACTCGCAGTGAGAGCATTGAATCAAGAGAAGCGTTTCGTTTTAATAGCTTTATAGATGTGGAACCAAAATTTAAGTACCTAATGCAAGTTCCAACTTCTAATGTTATTTAAGGCTTCATAACTTCAGTCTTTACATTGCGAATTATTGAAACTTCTTCTCACATTTTCTATTACTTATAATCTCATATTGTATTCTGATAATATCCAACAATTTCTCAAGATTGTAACTCAAATAAATCAAATAACAGAACTTTTTTTTTATTTCACCCCCCACGCATGAAAAAATGTTTCACAAGGACAAATTTATCTGAAAATTACTGCTCGCATACATGACACGAATTATAAGCGAATTTTTGTTCCATCATCCACTCATATCATGATTGCTGCGAGTTATTCTCGACAACAAAAATTGCGACAAGAACTCAAGAATCATTAACAATAGCCAAAGGGTGTTGATGTACAATATACACGACATATAAAACGATTACAGAGCTCCACACATAAACCGATGCCATTTTTTTTTGTTTATTCACCACGTTTGCTATTTTGCATAATTCGCTCAAAGCTTGCAGTCATTTAAATACACTAGGAAAAGTCGTCCATTGCGTTTCAATTTCTGCTTGAATTTTTAATCTTTAATCGCTTAAATTGTGTATTTTAAAATAATCATGCCGCGCCCGATAACACGAGAACTGACTAAATGTTAAATATTTATTACCGGGGGAAGCGAAAAATTGGCCGAAAAGAAGGAAAAAAAATTATTTTCATTATTTTTAAATATTCTTCCATCATTGCACACACCAAAATAAACACGCAATTTTATTTTATATTTTTGTAAAATAATCTCCTCATTTCAATCGAACTGATGAAGCCGATTTTCTTATTTTCTTCATTGGGCATTTAATTTGAATATTATTAAAACCATTTTCATTTTCATTCTTTTAGCTCCCTTCGACATGAAATTAATTTTTATAGAGCAAGGGAAAATTCTGTTGTTATGTGTGGGTGAATCACTTTATCGTCGACCTCATGTGTTTTCCGAGGAAGAATTTCTGCTGCTTTTGTTTTGTTATTTTGTATCAGGGCATGTCGCTCTGCTGGGATTTGTTAAATCGTTAAATGTGCCTATAAACAAGTTTAATTGCTTGAATATTCGTAATCGCATTAGGATTTTTTTGAACATCTCTTTACGTGCAATTAAAACAAATTTTTAATGTTTATCTTTCTATCTTTCTTTTTCTCTCTCTGCAGGTGATGCCAGTAATGCAAGTGTGGGGTCAGGCGAAGGTACGGGTGAAGAGGATGATGATACGAATGGGAAGAAGAATCAAAAGAAACGTGGCATATTTCCAAAAGTGGCAACAAATATCCTTAGAGCGTGGCTCTTTCAACATCTAACGGTAAGTGACAAGAAGTGTTTCATTAATTTATCATCTCAGAACATTCATTGCTGTGTGCTTAAAACGAATTCCAACTCTCAAGTCAAACCTCAAACAAAACAAACCTTCGCTTGAGTTAAACTTTTAGATCATCTCAAGCCATTTCAACTCAATCACAATCACTTTTTAAAAATATTTTTCTTTCTCATCTTTGATTGATTCGAGCGCATGTGGAGTTTTATGCTTTTTCAAGAGATTCGCTTTTAAGTCAAAGATAAACTTTCGCATTGAAATACTGATCGGTGCTTTTTTTTTTTTTTTGATAAATAACTCTCTGTTGTTTAAATCTCATGCTGCGAAATTGTTCGATGCACGCTCTTTAAAGCAAATCGATCTAAAACAATTTTAACAGAAAAAAAAACCTTAAGCCAGCAAAATTTTCGTCCATTAAAAACTTTAAGCCTTTAAACTATTATATCTGTCCGATTGAAATTCGTTTGTTTGATGAGAAAGAGAAAATAAACAAGAATAGACTAGTCGCGAAAAATTTAATTAAGCGTCTGAAGCGTGGTGTAAATGATAGAACATATCGCAGGTGGTCGCGATCACAGAAACGCAACAAAACTCTTTGAATTTTATTCCCCATTGAGCTAATTGCGAGCTCACCCGTGAGTTTTCATTGAAGTATCAAATTGATTGCATTCACTTCGTTAGGAATGGAATTTTATTTGAAACTTTTCAAGATTAACATCAACTGGTGTTGTAAACGAAGTTGTTTTGTTTTTAATTTCATTCTTATGCACATATGTTGCATGAAGCAATTTTGATTCAATTATTAATAACATTTTCCTCTTTGTTTATGCAACTTACTTTTCTAATTGTTTTTACTCTTTCCCCGACCGATAAAACATGTTTTGCTTGTCTTTCACTCGACATTCGACTCTCGGATGTTTGCAGCAATGTAGAATAATGAAATTGTCAGAGGCCTTTCTCTCCCTATCGTCATAGTCGTGCATAATAGAAAATTCTTTCGGAATTAGCTAGGGAAAAAGTTACACTTGCTTACATTTACCCTTTTCGCAAAAGCGCCAATGCTAACGTTAACATAATATACGAGAAAGTAAGTAAAGACGAGAACATGTAAAGCACGCATTCTGAGTGATTTATTGACGGTGTTAGATTTTAATAAAAATTGCATCGTGACATGAAAGCGAGACAAATATTTTCTTGTTGAGATTGAAAACGAGCAAACTTTCACTTCGATAAGCAACAAAGTTAGATGAAATTAATCGACGAATTATGCAAATAAATCTTTGGTTTCATTCACTCGTTCAAATGTCACTCGATTTAATTTTGCTGAACGTTTTAATTAAATCCTTGCGCGTAAAAAGAAATTTGTCAAAACTCATGTCTTCATTGCAATAAACATCATGAGATGCACATTAAGTTAAATATTGTGCATGAGATAAATCATAACTCCAATTAATTTTTTCATAAAGCTGCAACTCGGAATGAGTAATAAAAAGAAATAAATAAACTTTCAATTTCTTTTCTGCTAACAACTTATTTCCGTAGATGAGAACGAACGTAAGTGGCATGGGAAATGTAAAATTTCAATGACTTTGACAGCGTGCAACATGTCATGATATTTAAAATCTATCATAATTTATACATTTGCAATTATTCATTTTTGCTTTTCAACAAGATTGTTGAATTTAAAAACAGAAAATTAAATTGAAGTGTAGCTGCTTATAATGCCACTCAATTCGATCATTAAATAAACTACTAATGACTTAATTTAAAATAAGATCTGACTTAACTTAAATTACAGTTCTTATTCAATTTTTATTCTTATACACAATTCACGAACGCCATTAAATTTCAACAAAATAATCCTGCGAATTACGATTCACCCACACGACAACATCTCACATATATTTTATGAAAAACTTCAACAAGATTCTCGCTTCGCTTTTTGAAATGAAGAATTTTCATTGTGGCGGAAAATTGTGGAATAATTACATAGCGAGATGGCGGCGGTGGTGAAGATAGCAAAAATACCAACCTGAAGTTTATGAGCTTAAACTCTCGCTTGACATGAATGGAAAAATATTAGGTAGATTATTCCAGTTTGCTGCTTGTTTTCAACTTCGTCTGTTTCCTTACACACATGCTTTAATTGCGAAGGTGGAATGAGAAATGTGAAGCGACAAAGAGAACGAAAATTCAGATCATAATTTGAATTTCAAAAAATTATATTTTCTCTTTGTGCGATCTAGATCCTTGCCGATGTTATAACTTCACATAGAATGGCATCATGAATGTTATTATGTGGAAATGTGGTGTAAAATTTCTTACTGCTTGCTTTCTCCGCATTATGAAACAAAATTTTTTTTTTTTGTTATTTTATTCTTGACGGAGATAAAGGAAAAATAATTTCATTTCAACCTGAAAACAATAGCAGAAAAGTTTTACCTTTCATGTGATGCTCTCGAGGAAAAACTTTAGCGGCAGAGGTGTTAAAAGCAATAAGACTTTTGATTTCATTTTGTGGCTTTTCTTTACGTAAATAAATGCTTTTAAATATGAAGTTCACATGACTGCGATTGCTACATATATAAATATATTTATATAAATTCCAACTTTTTCCTTATAATAAGATGAAAAGTTTTCCGGTTTTAATGAAAATCTATTTGGGTAATTAAAACTCGAGTACATATTATTGTGCTTTGCAATTTTAAGTATAAATTGTAAAACATTCTACGTTACCGCTTTTGACATGTTTTCCTTCACGTTTTTCCCTACGTTTGTTGACTTTACGAGATGAGGCATAATGTGAAATATAGCACAGCAGAGAAAAAATGTGATTATTATGCAAACGCATATCTACTGCGCTCCGTGAACGTCGCAAATTGTTAAATGATTCGTCTGTTTTATGGCTGATAACAGTCAGTGATATATTACCGCATCTTCACTTCACTTCTTCGTCTTCTCTCACTTGAAGTCTTAAACCATCAAACTCTCTTTCTATCTTGTGTCATTTGTTGGATGTAAAAGATTGAAAGAATTCAACATGCACACGATACACGCATATCATTTATTTTTCAACACTTTCTTTATGGGTTGGTTCATGCTAAGCAAGATATGAATTTAGATAAATTAGAAGAGACACGAGAGTATAATTTGGAATCCTTTTTTGATTACATCATCAGTGAAATGATTGAAAAGTTTGTTGAATGGCAATAAAAAGCAGCTGCGTATTAGAAGTTAAATGTTTCCATCTTAAAAACCATAAAAAGTCTTTCAAATCACAATAAAAATCGATTCTTAAGACGTTATGTTCACTTAAGATTGCCAGTAAGTCGTTAAATAAAAGAAACAGCAAAACACTATTCAATTTCTTTTCCGCATGATTTTAAGAATGAAAAAATTTGACTTTTCTATTGCTGACGATAAAATAAATGAAGCTGAAAAAGTAGAATCGAGAGGCGTTTATCGACATTCACACGATTGATGGTGAAAGGGGGAATTCCAAATTCTTCCTCCTTGCCATGCAGCATGAGATATGTCATGTGATCACAAACTCTACACTCGCTAAACTTCAATTATGACTTTAAACAAAATTATATGCCATCAAAGATGCTTATTTAAAGCATGCAACTTTAATTTTTTTGTTGCTTTCAGGGCATCATTTAACATCAGTTATTGAGAGCATAGCTCAAAGAAGGCGTTTCTCAAGAAATGTTTACAAAAATGTTTTTATCCGTGCTCTCGTTGATAGATCACCCTCAAAATTGAAGTTCAACTTCGTTTTTTAATGTGAATATAAAAAGTTAGCTTACCTAATCATTAGATTGCTCGATTCTACAACTGAAAACATGAATAGGGAGTTGAGCACATGAATTTGAAGTCAAAATCGTAAAGAAAATTTTTTTCTTTCGTCTTCAACATTGAATTGGTGCGTGTTGGAGGCGTTGCAACATTTTTCACTTCTTTGACAAATTTATGTCTCTGGTACGGTAACATTCAACTTGTACACGTGTGTCGTTTAACAATCAACATGTTTCTAATAATACACAATTTATCAGCCTCTCTTCGTTCGACCAACCGATGAGACATTTCATCTCGTGTCATGTCAATTATAAATAAATTTGTGCAAAGTACGTCCTACTCGCTTTAAAAGTAGCATTGACCATTCGACCGTCGTCTCTTCTTTTATAAAAACAAGAAGATTGTTGACTCTTATGAACCTTCAATCTGAAGCCAAGTGCGTTGATCGGAGAGTGTGTGTACACGTCTCCACACGACATGGTTGGTCGAAGAACATGGCAGCTTCAAGATAATTGATTATATCTCTTTATACCTACTTTGCACATGCAAATTTTAATTACTCGATGCATGTGAGGCTTCTCTCTTGGGGTCGTGAGTATAAATTGTAAAATGGCAAATTGGCAAATAGAATCTATAAATTCTTAATGAACGAAGCTCATCGCAGCACATTCGCAAAGAGGGTTCTTCATGTCCAATAAATTATGATCTTTCTCCTTTACATTTTGCTACTAGACTACACTGAAACGATGCACATATCGTAAGTAGATATATAAATATCTCCATATCGACAAAATGCGATTCTTTATGAAGCTGTTACAAAGGCAATGTCGAGAGAGCAGTAGCCAGACAAGCTACATGCAGTTATGTACCAAAAAGCAAAAGGTTAAAGACTGTGAAAGGCAAAAAGATTGTTCACTACAAGATATTATGCATAAATGCACGCTTACGCTTTACATAAAATCGACTTCTTGTATCTTCGTTTCTCGTTTTGCGCATAAAAGTAATTTTACTTTAACAACATTGTGCAATAATCAAGTGATTTCATGCCGACCGTCCGATATGTTGAATTAAAAATTGTTTTCTCTTATTTTTATCGTTGAACAGTTGAAGTTCTTCAAAATTGAATTAAAACTATTTGTGAACTGCATTGAACATCAACTGTATGTACGTAACGACTTATGATCATGAAATTCAATGGAAATTCAACATTAAAACAATTATTCTCAAGCTATTAATTCAAATTTATGTTGAATTAACAAATTGTATGCTACTGCGAAAACATGTTGAGTGCTTCGTCTTGAGATTAGTTCAAAGATTCATTGAAATGCCAAAACGAAAGCGTGCATGCATATTCCTGTTGAAATTTCATTTCGTTCCTAATTGCTCTTGATGTCAAAGACATAAAATCTTAAGAAAACATCACAATGAAGATCAAATTACATGCCCTCGTCTAGTTCATGTTATGTTGCGCCCATTGTTTAATATGCTGTGAAAGGATTACTCGACCAAATAAACCAATTGACGAAAACCTCCCGAGATTGTGTTTTTCTTGTTATTTCCTTTCTGTTCGAGTGATATTTCCTTAAAGTCCTTTGCCATCCTTCAACTTACAAAAGAAGCAAACACATCTCAATGAATATTTTATGAAAGAACTTTTATTTTCATCTTCTTCTGCTCTCTCCCTCCGACCGGAGAATTTACCACTTTCAACCCTCTTGAGAGCGAAGGCGAAAGGGAAAAAATAGACAATAAGATAATTGTTTTTCTTAGATGGTAAACCATCCAAAGAATGTTTTTTCAATAAATACATTCCGCTGGGGATTTCTTTTCCTTCGTCTTTTTTTTCCTTCTTCTTTCTCTCAAACTCGATAACAAACAAAACAAAACTTTTTCTTCAGCTACTTTGCGGTTTGCTTCTCTCATGCATCACAAAAGACGCAATTCTCTCGTTGCTTTTCATGTTTGGAAAGCATAAAAATTAATACATTTCCGCCAGATGTAGGCGTTTTGTTGTATATTAAAAGTAATTTTCTCCATGGCGATTGTGAAAAGGATTGAAATGGAATCAATGTCATGAGGAATCGTTCTTTGTGAGAATTGAAATTCTTTTTTTTTCCTTCTTTTTCTTTTTGAGATGTCAATCAAACATTTTACGATACTACAGTACAATGAATGTTACTGAAATTACATAGCCAGTGATTTTAGTGCACGTGACCAACAATTGAAATAAGTCTGAAAGTCACAAGAAATGTCGAGTTAGTAATTTGCACAACTCAATCATTACGAGTTTATAATTTAATGTTTACTAATGAGTTTGTTTTTATTTCTTTTCTATTCAACAGCATCCCTACCCTTCAGAAGACCAGAAAAAACAATTAGCACAAGATACAGGTTTAACGATATTACAAGTAAATAATTGGTAAGTGATTTCCAACTTTTTTTATCTGCTACTAATCATTGCAGACTGAGCTTCAAGTTCTCAGAATTATATTCGCAATTTATTGATGTTGTCATTTTTTACTCTCGTAAGTACTTAACACAGCTTTCGACGAATTCACATGGTTTGATTCTCACACAATAATCTTTTCAAAACAAAAAAGTTTAATTGAAATATTGATGGGAAAATGTTTAGATTATGTATGAAGTGCATCAATGGATGAAAGTTTTCCATCATCTTGTCGGAAAATTTCTTTAGTTATTGATGAACCATCAAGATGCATTATCGCAATCGGATTTGTGGTAAATGCAAGAATGTTGTTAATACTAAACATAAATTATGATGCGATTGTCGAATCTTATATCAGAAAACTTCTTAATTGCATAACTGCATCTGATGTCGGAAACGAGACTCAACAAGTTATTGTTGATAATGGAATTGTCTAAAGAGTCCCTGCTGCTTGAATGATTACAACCCTTTTTCTATTAGGTTTAATAATAAATTATCATGCAAAAATGTTTATTCTTCTAATTGATTTTTGCACTCAAGTGCTTTGTTTCCCTTTCTCGAATGTTTGTTGATTGATAAATTTTTCATAATTCATGTTTTCTCAAAACCGTTTCTTGAATATCAAGTGCGTCTGCAAGCTCAAGGGATTATTCTTCAACTCAACTGTTTTCTTCCCTTGTAAATGAACAATCGACCTATGTGATACATCACAAAGTAATTCAATTATTTTTGAAATATGGACGTTTTATCCTTGCTTCATTTATTCTTTTCTAACCAAGTTTTCCCTTACACCAGATGAAAATATTTTCCTTTTTATTTTATTTTTCCTCTCTCTTTGTTATTCTTTGAAACAATCTCTGTGGACTTCAGTTAGTTTAATGGAAAGTTGATTGATTAATTAAAGCAATTTGCTTGATCGTTCTCGATTAGATTCTAAGAATTTCTTCATTCAACTTGATGAAATCTATGAAAGAGAAATCTTCGATCAAAACGTAATGAAATTTCATGACGAGTGTTACGATTCATTCCCATCATGATAAGATGAGAATCATGAAACAGTTTTGCTCTCATAATTCTACATGCTAATTATATTTCATTCGTAATCAAAAAATCTTTCTCAATTCCGACAACAGCTCGTGAAAAAGGGAGAGAGAGAAACTTTATTTTTATTGTCAAATTATTTTTATTTTTATGACATTCATAATCGTAAAAATTCCCAACTTTATACACAAAAGAGACGTAAACAAAACGAGATATTTAGCATATTTTTATTATTGATCTCAGCAAGAGAGAATCTTCTAAATTTTTATCAGATATTAAGTTCATTTAGAAAGCTAACATATGCAAAGTGAGAGCGTCTTAAATCGAAACGTTCTGTTGATTTCCAAATCGATTTCTTTTATTAGATATTATTTTTTGCTTTCGCGTTTCATGTGAAAATTTTCTTTCTTCACTCGTAATCGTTTGCATAAATTGTTATGTAACCATAAAACGAAATTCTGTTGATTCACAAGCATTAATACTTGGTTCTGAATTTCCAATTTACGACTTGAATCGATCGTCCCATAAAATCTTCTTTCCATAATCCATTTCGATATTTATTTTTCGTTCTTGTGTAAACTGAAAACGTGCCACGATCCACACTTGCATCATTTATTATTTATAGTACTTCTAATCTCAATATTTTTGATGGCACTTTATGTGCGACTATTTTTCAAAGCATCAAGAAGAAGGCTGGTAAGCAAGGAGAAACAAATTTTCAAATACTTTCCTTAGCGACAGTTGCTGTTATGGATATGTATGTGAGCTGTGTGCTTCCTTATGCATTATAATGTATAAAATATTCATAGAAAATGTGCCATTTATAGCAATTTCTTGTGTCGAAACGACACTTGGTGAACTGAATGATATTCGTTGTACGCAAATGTCGTAAATGTGAAATTTAAGACGAAAATAAAAGAAATTTTTTCTTCGTATTTTCATAAATAAAAAAAAATTCTCATGATGGAATGTAAAGCGTCACCAGAGAATAGTTTGATGTCCATCGTACACTGAAGCCTTCAGTAAAATAAAACAAAATGAATTAAAAGTTAAAGAACTAAAAGGAAATGATTTTCACTTCCAAAAATGAGATAAAACCTGAAAAGAAAAATTTCCTTTCAACTAACACACGAAAAAAAAGCAATTTTATTGAAATCCTTTAATTTTTTTATGATTTGGAAAAATAGAAGCGAATCAAGCGGTAGGAGAAAAGTGTACAAACGATTTTCTGATGCATGAATCTTTAATGGGTTTTTAATGCCATAATTTTATTTATTACGAACACAAGCAACAAAAGGGAAGCGAAAGAGAAAACTCATTTAATTTTGCCATTTTCCTTTTTCCAGGTAAACGACTCTTTTATTATTATTTTCATCATGAAATCCAATCGGAAAATTATTGGCTGAAATTAAAAGAAAATAATTTTTTACACGCCATTTTGCTTAACAGACTTCGCTTGGTCAATTTCTTGTTGTTGAAAACAACATAATTGGGAAATAAATAAGAACGAGATTTTTAAATATCTCAACAGCAGAATAGCCACAAAATAAATAAAAAACGTGCTCTCGAGAAGTTTCTCCAAGGGAGATGGATGGAAAATGTTACCTTGAGGGTGCCATTCGAATCACAATAGTCAAACCACAAAAACAACAACAAGCAAGCAGTAGCAGATATAAAGGTGGTGTGAGATTGAAACAATATTCTGAATGGAAAACCTCATTGCAATATGTTTTTCACACAACACACAGCTTCCCTTCATTGATTGAAAGCCATTCTCTGGCGTCGTCTTTTGTTTGCTATTGAGAGCTTTTGTTTACCATTCGCCAGACAAAAAAAATTATAAAAAAGGATTTTTATCAAAAGCAATATTAAATGTTGGAGAACAATGCAGCTTGCTTTAATTTAAATAACTTTGAGAGTCATAAACATGCCTCAAAATGTTCAAAAAAAATGAAATCTTTTCAGTACACGTGCCATCAGCGAAATTCCTTCTTTCCCACTTATTTATTTATTCAAAATATTATGAAATGCGAAATGTTGATGTTTTATATTCGGGAAGGTGAAGTTTCATTCGTGTATTGGACAGATTCCAATCATAAAATGATTAGCACATGCATACGCATTTCACTTTTGACAGGTTTCTGACGGAAATCGAGATATTTTCCTTGCTTCCTTGCGTGATATCATTTCATGGATAATGGAAGATTTGTTGTGGATTTTACAAGTGTTAAGAATATCAAGCAATTGTAATTAGAACATTCAACTATTTCACCTGCAAACAAAACGAAAAGAAATTAACAAAAATGGTTTAAAGCTTATTTGCCATGTTTTCCAATTTAACAAATTAATAGCGCGCAGGAAAGGTGGAGTCGAAGCACGAAAATCAAATTAGCTCTTCAACCACCATCGCGTTGTTTCGTGTGCAATTATTTTGCAGTAAATTTTTTTTATTTTTCTTCCATTCTCGATTGCAATTTTTTTTTCTGTGTTTTGTTAATATTTTCTCGTTTTTTATTCATACCCGCATTCGAATAATGATGCAGTTTAATGATATAAAAATAATCATAAAGCGTCACGTTTTACGTTTCATTATTTCTATAAAATGAAATATCCAACAAAATGTTTTTCAATCGTATAAAAAAAGAGAATAATTTGATGATCATCTATTTGTATAAGTAGCTTGATAAACGAAATTACACGAAAATCACTTTATATTATCATTTATTCAATTTGTCAACATTTATCTCGTAGATAGATGAGAAGCATTCTAGGTTCATTCACATCCGAATTATCTAAAGAAGCGCGAATTTCTTTCAAATGATTTTAAACTTGAAAAACAATAAAAACTTCATTTTAAGAAGACAATTGCGGTTCACATTAAAATATTGTCGATAATGACATAAAGGCGAACATTGAATAAATTGAGGGATTCCGGTAGCAAGCGAACATCTTCAGCATTAATATCAACATCCTCGCACTCTTCTCGTTATTAAATAATGATACATGATGCATTATTTCCATTGCTTCTTCTTTCACACTTTTTGAGAGAATTTTCGTCGCTTGTTTATTGTTATAAATTGAATTTGTTACTTTTCATTGTTTTCTGACTCCCTCGTTTTAGATATTTAAAGGGAAGTTTCATCAATAACGTCACTGAAATTTACATATGAAGCAGTCGTGAACATTTTCTTTAAGTTTCACAATTTCTTTTGTGACGAAACTTTCAATTATTCTACAATTTCGTCGTTTGAGTTTCAAAAAAAAATCTCTTTATTGATTGTAATTGAATAAAAGTGCTGAGTTTATGATACTTTTCTCGTGCACATTTCTCACTCTTTTTCCCTTATCGTCGTCTCGAGATATTCCATTATTTTTCACAAGCATTCATTGTTTCTCACTCGCTCTACAGTTAAAAAGGGTTCATTACATCCAATTGATTTTAATTAATGCACAAAGTTGTTTGGCTATAGACAATCGTCATTGTCTCGTTTCGCTTGTCTAAATTTAGAAATAACAACTACGAAAAAAAATTTATTCAACTCAAAATTTAAACAACTTTAAAATGTGCAATTAATAAAATTGAGGAAATCTTAATGAAACTTCTCGCCTGCATTGTGTGTGATTGAGTTTGATGCATTTTAGTTTTAATTGAGACAAACCCAACTTTACAGTCTGATGGCAATGAATTGCTGTAATTGGAGTTCCTTTAAATCATCCAATGACCTTCGTTGCTTGAAAGTAAACTATCAGTATACTTATGTAGATGTTACAAGCAATTGACAATGAATGTTGAACATCAATGAGCGAGAAGAATTTCCACCGCTTGTTAAATTAATTTGAAGCAATTTTATTCTAACTTTCCTCACGATTACGCTAAGTAAATCTCCATAATTTGCTTGTTTACATTCAATACACGTTTCCAAATTATAATTACTTCATTTTCCGAGAACAGCATAAGAACAAGCAAAAGGAATAAGAAAAAAGTTTTCCATTGAGACGAGAAAAAAGAAAAACAGAAAAATTTTCCCATCATGCATTCTCTCGATAGACTCGAGCGTTACCGATTGATGAAGATGGCAAAAACAGAAGATAATAACGAGCAACTTTTCTATCTTGTACCTTCTTGGAATATTTATTCGCCATAATTTTTCCCCTTAGAGTGAAATTCAATTTATTTATTAATAAATTTCTCTTCGCCTTCCGTGCGTTTTTCCTTTTTTTCTTTCTCGTTTTTCCTATTGATTGTTGGGATCTTCACGAAAGATTTCAACGCACATATTTCCAATCTTTGCCTCGCCTGTCGTTGTGGTGTTTGTTATAAAGAAATTTATACAACCAGTGATGCTGATACATATTTTGGGGATGGCATGGAAAGTTGCGATGATGATGTGAATAAGGGTAAGACAGCTAGAAATCGTTAGCAAAATGAACAATAAAAATGATGATATGGCCAGAAAGAAGAAGGCGAAACAATCGTGTGTGCTTGTGCTTTATGCTTCATTGGATTTTCTTTTCCCAACTCTTCTCTCCCAATCGATGTAAATTGGAAGAGGGCGAAAAAATATTCCGAATTAATTGGGTACTTTGGGGATTGTGAACGAAAATAAAGGGCAGCGGTTTAATACACGTTATTAGCAAACCAATTTCCTTGACGTGCAACGTATCGTCATCACATTTTTTATGCCTCATTGTGGTTCGAAAATCGACTTGAAAAGCTTTGACTCGAAATCTCTTAAAGGAAGAAGAACTTCAAAGAATCTTTTCTTTTTACTTATTGAAGCTTTAAAGGTTATTAAAGACATAATGTCAATTATTTAAACGACTTCAATAAATTAAACTAATAAGGAAAATAGATCTTTCTAAAGCTATTCATTTTCCACAACAATTACAATGACATAACTTCGTTTTGCAACAAATTGCATGTGTCAAGAATGCACAATTTCCAATTTTTTCAACTCTCGATATCTTGTTAATGTTAACAAGCAAATACAATGACGAAATAACAAGACTCAATGCAACAATCCTTCATTTTTTATTAAATCTGCGAAAGCATTTATAATCTTCTTTTTTCTCGAAAGGAATTTCGCTTGAATGCTTTCTGGTTTCGTTTTTTCCTCCCATCTTCTGAATGGCAAATGACAAACTGTCTGTTAACTAAGCGCAAGCGCTTTCAATCATACAATATTCAATCTTCATTTTATTCTTTATTAAAGTCCTTTTTGGATTTGCTTCAAGACAAATGTTTCAACAGTCTCTGAAATTTCCTTGAAATTAAGTTTTTAGGGCAAATCCTACATGGTCAATTACATGGATCGTGGGTGGAAGAAATGAGAATCATGTGAGCCATAAAACCATTTTCTAGTTATGGAAATTACTGCAAAGCACATTATGATGATTGTTATACAAGTCCTGAGATTTCGTGTCGTTTTGAAAAAGCCCGAAAAGAAAGGAAACAGAAACTTATCTGCCATTATTGGTATTATAAAAGGTTTTCATATCTTATACATTTAAATAGCATTTAATGTGATATCTTAAATTCTTTTACATTCCACATGTTTTGTACTTATTTTCCCTCTGCAACTCTGTCCTTTTCGTCGTCGCTATTTGCTGCTTTCTCTGCTCCCAATCTCCGAAAACGATAATTTTTTATTTATTGTTTATTAAATAATGTTTGTTGAATTTTGATGCGATTTCGCTTCCATATTTGTGAATGACTTCGTTTACTGTGTTGGCTCAACGTAGTCAAGTTAGTGGAAACAATTTAATATTTACATGGTAAGAGAGGGTCCGGCTTTGTTGGCAGTCGACCGAGAAACAAATTACGAGTTTCACCCCGTAAAAGAAAAGTCCAATAATTGGAAATTTTCCTTCACTTTCTTCTCGTTTGCCCTTTTTTTTTCGTTTTCTTGTTTTGAATCGTAAAGTTTTGTTCTCGTTCCATTGTTATTAAAGGAATCAGAACATGTAAAAAATTAAGTTTGTCAACAGATGTTTCACATCACGTAGCTACTGCTGAAATTATTAAAGATTAAAATTACTTTCTCCTTGCTTGTTAATGTCCTTCTAATTAAGATCAACTTTTGGACAAAGAAAAACATTTCAAATCAGCTTTTTAAAACGAAGAAGAAAAGAACGAAAAAATATCATCAGGAAGGAAAGTCAACAATTTTCCGATCAAAAAATGGAAAGAAGAAAAAAGTTTAATTAAAATATTTTCGTGAAAGATTTATGATGATCCGGAATGGATGTTTTAAGTATTTAAGTGAACATAGCGCAACAAAAGATGAATTTTCCAGAGGAAAACTTTTTGATAATTTTCATGAAATTTGAGTTTTGATTTATTTACGTTTAGACATGTCGTGGGAGGGAAGGAAAATATTTATAGTGGAAAGAATGAGCCGTTGCAGAAATATAAATGTGAAGTATGCTGATGAACGACAGCAGTAGCAACACGGAGTTAAAGAAATAAATAATACATACATCTAAGCATCATAAAGCAAATCAGATATGAAATTTCTATGCTTTTTCTCACAGGCAATCTCGTTCACTTCGTGTTGACAGTTCACACAAATTTATTTCGAATCGTTTTAAATCTATGGGTAGTTATCTCAACATGTTGTCGCTATAATAACCGTTGTTGTCGACGTCATCTTCACTTGAACCAATCGTGTAGAAAATGTTTGTGCCTTAACATAGATAAAATTTGAGTCAATTCTTGTTTTTACGCTTGGGGAAATCTTCAAGCTGTAAACACGATTTAGTTTATAAATCTCTATGATATTCAATTGTTCAGCAAATGTGTAGCCTTAAAACTACTTTATTGCAATCAAAAACGAGAAACTACTTGACGTGCTTCTAAATAAAATGAAAGCAAACCCCAACTAGATTGAAATGGTAGGAAATTGTTTTTGAAAGGAACCAAAATGATCGATTTGAACCCACTTGGCCTCTTACGCTCCCTTTTCAATTGCCGCAGTTGCACCATACTGTTCATGGTGCTGAAAATGTGTTACATGAAGATTGAAGAAAAACTTTCTTTTCATATTTACTCGCAGTCCTAACAATCTTCGGGTGAAAATGCATTGCATTTTAATAAACAGTAATAACATGAAGCAAATGAAATTTATTCAGAATTTCATCGCAATTTATCACATTGTCGAGAGAAATGATGATGAAGGGTGAGACGGTTGATGCTCCTGATGTTTGTTCAACGGAAGAACTTGAAAATAAATTTTCGAAAATGGAAAAGCTATGGAAAAGACTTTTGTGTGTGTATGAGAGTAAATTTTCCACAGGAGAAAACGGCATAGCAAGTACCATCTGTTGAAGAGTTATGATTATGATATTATTTATAGTCACCGTGTTTGTAGCAATTTATGTTGCCAATCGCCGAAAATTTGTATTAACATAAATTTTACGTCCAAATGACGTATCATGTGGTGTGCATGATTTATGGCAATCGTACGAATTAAGAATTAATATGAACTGTGCAGAAAAGTAATGTAGCTTGCTTGAGTAGTAAAGAAATTAGGCTTCATTATCGGGTTTAGGTGTTTGAAATCGAGTTTTGTAGTTTTCTACAAATGATATTAAGGAAATATCAAAATGTTGTTTCTACAAAGTGAAAGCACTGTCTGGTTCCTTATTAAACTCGATACTTTTTCTAACATAATTATCTATTCTCACGCTTAGTTTCTTTCTGTTGTTACTGTTGTGCCATTACCGCGAATGGCAAATGATGTTCGCTTCTTTCTGTGGTTGTGAATTCGTGCATAAACATAAATTTATTTATTAATAACTGAGGCAGTGAAAGTGTCTGCTTTATCTCATTTCCTTACAACATAAGAAACTCCCTGAAAGAAAATTTGTTAAATTTACGCCTTGCGCCTTTTTGTTAATAACAGAAAATTTCACTGGTAATTTACATATTCGTCGCTGAATGAACGACGAATTCCACGAGACAAACGTTAAAAATGTTTTTCTTTATTTTGCCTTCGTCTTCGCGGAGATAAAAACCATCACACCCTACGCTCGCGTTCAACAAACAACTCTCATTCACCCATAAAGCATTCTTTTCCATTCAACAACATGATTAATGTTTCTTCATTGAAATGATATAAAATTTGATTAAAATAATTAAACGAAGTGAATTTCGAAGAACAGCGCGAGATAAAGCAAGGAAATGGCATTAAAATGAAAATGAAGCTAGCAAGCTTCATGTTGATAAAATTTAAAATAACAAAAGAGATTTCGCATTGGGGTGCAATGTGAGTCAGTCTTATCATGCTTGAGTTCATCAATGAATGATCATTTCGTCCCCGGAAAACGAAGAGAATTTAAATCAAAGTTTTTCTTTTGCAAAAAAATAGTTTTTCTTATTGAGGGTGTTTCAGGAAGAAGGAATCTGTAGACGAAAACATCCACCCCCGTGCTCATTATTTTCTTTCGTCTTTCTTCGTTTCAAACTCTGAAAAGAAGAAGAAAGAAAAAAGAGACTCTGGTGAAGGCAGTGAAGCATAAGTTGTCACAATGTGATTAATGATTGTATTCGGAATTTCATCCGTAAGCAGAGGAAATGAAGGGTCACGAGATTCGATTCTATTTTCATTTAAATTTAAAGTATTTTTCGATAGTCGAACGACTAAATTTGGTTTTCCCGAAAGACCATTGAAAGAGTTCTTTTTTGCCTTTTCTAAAACGAATAAGCATTTGGAGTTTTTCCATCAACTGCAAGACAAGTTCTTTGCCCATTTCCACCCATAAATATTGCATAGCCAAGAGCATAAATTATTCATGTTGCAAAGGAAAAAGTACTTGGAAATATGTCGATGGAAACAAGCGAAGAGTTAAGAAAGAACTCTTTCACTTTTCTTCAATTTCATCTCATAAAAGATTCATGAAATATGTTTGTATATGTATGTAGGTGCATTACAAATGTGGTTTTCTGCCAGTCATTCCATCTACGGGAATTTTGAAATGTGACAACGTCAAGAAATGAAATAATTTTTGTCTAAATTGATTTCATGTAATTTAATTCAAGTTTTTTTTTTCTTTATTTCAGGTTTATTAACGCTAGAAGAAGAATTGTACAGCCAATGATCGATCAATCGAATAGAGCAGGTAAGCATTGCTAGTTGTTTCTTAAAAATAAATAAGGTTAATCAAAGTGCATTGAAAAAAGCTCGTATTCTGACGTGAGGAGCTTTTTAGAGGTCCTTAAATTATGGAACGCATTCAGTTTTGAACATTTGAATAAAATGACCGTTAAATATTAACCGGTTCAATTTTCCTGTCGTCCCGCAAATTATCTTCGCACTACGAACTAAATTTATTCAAACTAAACTCCTTTCATTGAATCAAACAATTCGATTCGTATCATAGAGAAACTTCCAATCAATATGACTAAATAAAATACAGGCAACTCATTCACAAGGGGAGAGAATTAATCAAAAATAAATCAATATTTAATTTTTGCCACATAATTACAACCGAAAAATCCGCAACGTAATGCATTTTAATAAATTAAAACTCTCCGCAGTCCATTTGTCGAAATTTAGCTTCGAAAAGTTTTATTTCTCTCCCCTCTATTTGATACTTAAGCATAAAAATATTATGAATAACAAACAAATTGCATTTGAGTATTAATTAAAATTAGTTAAAATGTTATTTTGACTCCCACACTACATTATGAATGACGATGCGATGCTTTATGTTCTGTTATGAGGATGGGTTGAGATGAATACAGCATCTAATTATGTGTAATAAAATATGGTTTCATACTCTGACGAAAGACACAAAGTGCAAATTCATGTTATAAATATGCGAACACAAAATTCAAATGTCTTTACATCTCAACCTTTGATGTTTACTTTTAACAAAAGTTTTTAAAGCACAACACGAAAGATTGTTCATTAGAGTTCTAAAAAAACTACGAAAGTCCTTGAACTTTTTTTCTGTATAGTATGTGCAATTTATCTCCATTCTGCAAACTAATTTTCACATTTTGTTGGCTGTGGGCTGTAAGGAAGTTTCCATTTGCACATTAAAATACTCCTTCCTCTGTAAAATAGTCTTAATATGAGAGCTGTGGGAGCAAACAAAGCTTTCATTGTTATGCGACTTTATTCTCGGCAATTAATTGGAAAATAGGAAACTGCAAACACATCGTATCGCTTACTTAAATGACTTTTCGTATGTGTTTAGATTTCTAGGTGTACATTGTTAATGATATCTTCTTTAATATGCCGAATGGAACATAAAAATTACGACAGTTCTGGGAGTAATTAACCGTCCCCAAAATCATTTATCATCGTGCTTGCGTTTTACGTTTGTTCATCCCTTTTGGAAATTGATAGTTTTGCTATACCAGCAGACAAAACAACACACCACATATGCGAATGAGACGCCCGCAAACTGGAAGGAAAAGGACTTCAATTAACTTCATTTTTATGTCATTAAATTGCCGGTTTGGAGGCGAAGATGTTGAGTATCAAGAGGGTAATTGCGAACAAGCATAAGATGAAGAATAAAAAGCATTAAAATCTTGTGATGATGTGAATGTATTATTCGCAATTTCCATTCAAACACGATACCTTAATTCGCTATTTGGGAATCAACTGCGTTTATATTTATTTGCTTTGTGTGGGTATGTGTGTAGACTTTATTATCATGAAAGATTGCGTCGTTCTCCGACGTTTAATTATCTACACGATTGAAATTTACAATTTTCGGATGACAACTAATTTGTTTCTCCTCCGGTTTCTCTGTAAATACTTGCGCGCCCAACAACGATGGTAAAATTATGGAAATTTTATGAGTCCTTAAACGGAATTTAATTTGTCATTAAATCTGGTTTGTTGTGTGTTTATGTCTTGTTGTGATCTTCACTCGAAAATTTCCGGCTAAGATGCAAGGAAGAGAAAAAAGAAGTCATAAAAATTTAATAAAATCAATTCGCACAGCACAGACGACGTTGAGAGATTCATAAATCCGCCTTTTCCTGTATTTATCCTTAATGCTTTGTGAATATATCATTTTTCCACTCCTATCAACATACATATGAAGAAGTGAAAGCATCTCAATGCTGGGGATATCGAGTGTAGTCTTGAGAAAGGGTCGAAGCAGAGAATCTTGTTTTTATGGCTACGATGTCTATGAAGATTTATGTTCAACAAATAAGAAGATTTATATCTATTGATGGATATTATGTACATTTTTTTAATATTCCCGCATAAATCCTTAAGGCTGAAGCAGATATACTCACATTGAAAATGTAAACAGCCAAATGGCATGAAACGAAAGTCCTTCAAATCTCTTCGTGGCATTACATGGAAAATGTATTATTGTTGAAAATTAGGAGCTCTTACGGAAGTAGGAAATGCGATCCGGAACATCTTGACTCCAAATGGCTTTTCACAATCTCACTGACACACTTGATTTCACCTCCCACATATATCGTGCTGCTTTTTTTTTACTTCCCAAAGCGAAAACCAAATGACACTGATAGAAAATTTATTCGCAGTTAAGGGAGACAAACATTGAAACTACTTGAGAGACCCAAAGATTTTTGCTTGCGCCCAATTTTCTTAAAGTGAACATTAAATCGGGTTAAAAGATCTTTGAGAATAATATTTTCAAAATGATGGTATTTTTATGATAATTTATTATGTACAATGTCAAAGAGTTTCATAGGGGATTTCGTAAAGATCTTTTAGATTTGATAAATTCTTCGTTCTCCGAATCAAAATCAATGCACTTCGATCGATACTAAAATAGCCTTTCATGTTCATTTCAATAAATTCTGAGCTAATTTAAAGATTGAACAAGCAACCGTCGATAAAATTGTTGTTACATTCTAAGTTCCTTATTTTCCAGTGTATACGCATCCGGGTCCATCCGGTGGATATCCTGATCCAATGTCTTACATGATGGACGGCAATCAAATGATGCACCGACCACCAGGAGACGCCGCTTTCCACCAAGGTTATCACTATCCACCCGCCGAATATTATCCTCATCATTTGTAATTAAGGGCAACAAATTAAGGTGAGGATAACATTTTGAGAGTGATATTAAATTCTTTATTCACAAACATGAACAACATCAATTAACAATTTCCATTCTCTCTTTACAGCATCTTCATTTTAACTTACTGTATAAAGAAAAGAAGAAAAAAATCTACAAAATTAAGTGAAAGTTTTGTAACTTATCTCACACACACCCAGTGATTGCCATCATCTCATAAAGAATTTATCTAGCATTTTAGTTGTTTTATTACTACGAGAAAGAAAGGAAAGGAAAACTTATTGAAAAAAAAAATCCACGAGAATGCAACGCATAAAATGATGTAAATTTATTGATATCTCCTTCTTGGCAAAGCTTGTGTTAAGTTTTAATTAGTTGTAAAGGATTAAGTGAAAACAAAAAATATGCACAAAACAAAGCTTTTGTGTTTAGAGACAAACTTTAACCAATGGTCAGGATGGGCAGCTTCAAATGGAAGTCATCACCAGAGCTTACATAAAGAATAAAAAACTTATAATTAGCGATTAGTAAACACAACGACACATAACTACAAACAGCGTCAGCAACAGCTTCAATTTCAAAGGCATTAATTCATCAAAAATTGTATTTGAGCGAGCGAACGAGCAAACTTAAGCACGTGAACTCTCCAAACATATGATTCAGCAGTTTCATCAATTAATTTTAATGATTCTTTCTTCATATAAAATGTGCATCTCAACAACAATTCTTTCAATAAAACTGTTAAAAAGCAGCAGATGATTCTTTGAATAAAAGTGTTAAAGCAATTTCAATTCATGTCGAGGGAAATTAAATAAACATTTTTTTCTAAAAGATGCAACAACACACAACAGCTGAAAAGTTATTAATTAAAACACAATTATGAAGAGAAAGAAGTTAAAAATAAATGAGTTTTCTGACCGCTAGCGGTATTAATGATAAACGATTAGTAATTGGAAACTGTAAACCTTATGATCTTTGAGGTGAAAAACAAAAATGAAAGAAATCCATGTGAACTTCGCTTTACATCGCGAGAGATGCTGGTCATTCAAACAAACAGATTGGAAGTGTTATTTAAGTTGTTTTTAATTTAAAATGAGAATCAACAATGCTAAGCTTCATGTAATTGCATGAATTATTAAAAATAACAGTTAATCTCCAAAGGAAATTTAAATTTCTACTAACACTTGAGTCATTAATGTTGCTGCTGCTGATGATGATACACTGCAAAGAATCATAAAATGTTGTTTTTTTTTCTCCTAAACAAAACAAAAGCTAATTTGTATAAAGTTCTGAAATTAAGGAAAGAAAAATTTTCATTTAGATAAATTTAATTTATGTATAAAAGAAAGAACAGTGGCAATAACCGACTGAATAGATGAAAATTAAATGTAACTTAAGATTTCTTTTGCGTAGTCATCAATAACTGAGAAAGTGAAAATGAGGAAAAAAGAAAGAAATCGCATTAATTTATTTTCAAATCAGAAGATGAAAAGGAAAATGTCTCGAAAAACCAGAGAGAAAACTTAATTAAACACGCACGAAACTTAAGATTAGAAGATATTCTTATCATTAGTTATTACCATGTAACTATTTTTTAGCATTACGTTTAAAACGAAGCATCAAAACAAAACAAACAAAAAAATTGTTCAACACACAAACTTCATTTCACAAGTTTTAGTTTAAAATGATGATTTGAAGAAGAGAAAACTTTATAAACGAATTTAAAACTTTTTCAAAATTTTATGTTTCTTGAGAATATGTGCTCGAAGAACATGCATCAACTTTTAAACAAGAAAATGAGAAACAATTTCGTGTGATTTATAGCATAGAAAAAGAAAGTAACCTTAACAAGAAGAGAAAAACAGTTTTAACTTTTTTTTCTTTCATTATTTTTGAGTTTACTAGTTTAGGTAATGTTGTCGAAATTTTTAATTGGAAATGAAAAAAAAAAGAAAATTAATATGTTTTAAGTATTGCAAACAACAAATTATTATAATTTTCATTATTGAACAAACACACACAAAAAATGCTTCTGTTGAATAAAAGTTTTTTCTTTTTTCAAATTGAAATCTTATTTTGAGTTCTTTTATTTTCTTTTAATCCACCTACTTATTCTTTTGAGCAGAAGATTTTATTATGCTGCAAGAATGAAAGCTTCTTATTTACATCTTTATGTAATTTAAAGGAATATCCAAAAAAAGAAGCAAATCTTGTTGCATTATAAAATCCTCTGCACATTTATTCACTTTGTTTATACACATTCACAGATCACATCACAAACATCGCATAAATCTTGATTAAATGGTTGTGCTACGCTAAGTTTATTTCGTCTACGTCACGTCACGCAGCTTACCGGGAGGAAATTTATTTTCTTTTCCCAGTCAATCATTGCATTTCAACGATGAAGTGTTTGTAAACAAAATTTTTCATAATAAAGAAAAAAAAGATAGAATCGAAAGTAATCAGACAAGTTTTTTGTCAGAACTCCTACAATGAAATTCGATATACGTAATTTTATGCAAAAACAATTGATAAGATATGTAGATGTTAGACACGTCTATTTATCTGTTTCATTCCTTCTCATTATGAAAATCTTTTTGCTAAAGTCTTAACAAAATTTGCTTGGAAACTTAAATGAAGAGAGAAACTATGTCGCTTTGCAGAATCAAATTCATTTTTAATTGATAAAACATTTGCATTAACAAACAGGGTTGAATATGAAGTATACCAAGAGAGAAAAGAAACAATTATTTATTAAAGATGCCTAAAACAAGTAAAGTAAAACAAATTTAACAATCACCAGTCGAAATCTGGGCTTTAACTTCATCAAAGTATACGATTTTTGTGGGTAGAGTAAAAAAAAGAAGAAAAAAATTAAAAATGCTTGATTATCAATTGAAAATTCACAATTTGATTCAAAAATTCTTTTTCAGCTTTGGAAGTTCTTGGTTTTTGTCGTCAAGTCTTCTTAAAAATCGATTCGCCTTAAAATGTATACGAAAAAAACAAAACAAAAAAATCACGAAATTAAAGGAAAAAAAACATTTTGCTTGCTTCAACAGCACGTTGCACTCTTAAATAAAACTTTTTAAGTTCAACTCTAACCTATTTACCAGCTTGGCTCTGAATTACCTAATTCTGTTGATAAAAATATTTTCCTTCTGTCACTAGGGAGAAAAAGTGTAAAAAAAACTACGAAAAGTGAATTTAAGCTATAAATTTATTTATTAACATATCTCTTAATGTTACATTGAAGTGAACATTAGAAAACATAAAGAAGTTTGAATATGGAAAAAAAAGTATGATAATTGTAATTGTAATTACCGTTTTCTAATAAGAGGTGTAGAATTAAAGTTATCAAAGCAAACGAATCTTTAAGTAAATATTTTCTCACTCTTCTTTCAGTTTTCTTTTTTATGTTGTGAAAAAGACCTTCGGAAAATGTCACACAAAGAGAGAGAATTTCTTACACACTCAAACATGATATACGACGAAAAACAATGTGAATTAATGCTAGCTAAAATTAAATGTACAGATTTAAATATTTTCAAGATGAAGTGGAACGAAAAAATGGAATTAAGGAGATTTAAGCAAGAGTCAGTAATTATAGATATTTGTAATCGATACAATTGCATTGTAAATGGACAGTAATTTAATTATATTTATACAATTAAAGGTCTTATCAAAACCCGAAAAAAGATAAAAAAAAAACAAATTAAATTGTATTTCTGTAAAGTGTTTTTTCGTATGAGCAAACTAAAATTTTATGATTTTAGTCAACAATTTTCATTGTTTTATCAAGAAAAATGATCTACAAGAAAAGGAACCTAAATCTAAAATTTATGATTTATGAAATAAAAGCAGGCATTTAATGCAAGTCTTGTGTAAAAGTCAAAAATTTCAAGTGTTTTATTAAAATTTGAAATAATTTTTCAGAGTAATTGAAGATGAAATTCGGAGAGTTGGTAAAGTTTATCTCACACCTGGTTTGCAATGGATATTTGTCATCCAACTAGCAAGATCACATCTCAACAAAATCTACTGTCATTGATGATAAACAAGTTAAATATGCGACACCACAAAAATGACATTAATTTATATTCATCCTCGCTAGCAGTTTTAACAACAATTTCAATCGTGTGACATCGATTAACAAAACATTCACAATGTGAAGTTTATTGTAAATATAAATACGATGCAATTTTCATTTAATCGTAAATCTTCAACTTGTTTTCATTAAAATATTCACACGAGAATAAACTTTTTTATTCGCCTTGCATTTAAATTCTTTTTTGAAATATTCTGAGTTTTGTTTTTTATTAAATAAACATAAGCAAGTTTCAACCTGGCCATGTTATAGGCCATAAAATGAAATAAGTTTAGGAAGTGGAATAGAAACAACTTTTAATAAATTGATGATGTTAAAAGAAACATTTTTTGCGAAAATTGTTTACAACTTTACAAATCTTATAAGCCGTCATAAATAAAGTTTTATTGTTTGTAAAATCTACAATGTCAAACTTAATTGAGTTGAGATACGACGAAAATATTTTGAATTTTTATGGATCAACGTCTGTAATTAACATCGAGATATTTCACGCGTTTATTTCTTTTTTCAAGACTTTTTGGCGATGGCGATCAGAAATAGAAAGATGAGATTTTACTGATTGACGGCGGCAGGTGAAAGTAAATCAAACATGTGTTGAAGATGTGATGAAAAATGTTGCTACGACTTTTGTAACTCAAGTTTATTTTTATGTCTTTTGAACTTTGCGAGAGACTCGCTTTCAACTTGCTCGAGAAGAATCATAAATTCAATCAATTTTTATCGAGCAAATGAGACGTCACTTCTTCCTATCAGATGGTATCGAAATAGTTTCTGCAAACGAATTAAATAAATTGTCTATCGACGCCATTACAAACATTGATCTCGGTGATATTATTTTAAGCAGGGATGTTGAATGATTTTAATTCTTCGCATCTCGACGTTCATATTTATTTCAAAAATATTTATCAGATGTCTCAGATTGGAAATCTTTAACAATCCACTGTCCCTTGAAAGCAAAAATTGATGTCAAAGCAATTTCCAGCAATTGATTATTGTCATACAATTGATATGGTAATCCTTTAATATCTTATATTGCTGAAGATTCAACGTAAATCACTTGATGTATGTATCTTCGATTCAACTGAAGAATCTTCGTCGTTATTTTAAGAATTTGCTGACTAATTTTGTGATTTTACTTCAATCTTGTTAAATCAGAAATTTCTTTTTATATTTTTATTGGGAATAGTCAAATATGAGTTTGATTATTTATTTTTTCATTCGTTCATTGTAAAAATGAGTGTCGACTTTTCTAATTTTATCACGAATTAATTTGATAGCAAATTGTTTATGAATGAACAAAATGGAGAAGAGGTTTCGGTTCCACACATTAAGACGCATAATCGGTAAAGTAAGACTGATTAAAAAATTGATGGAATATAAGTTTGAATGTCATTAAGGATAGCAACAAGCTTATCTTATGCTAAGCCACATAAATTCGGAAACTAAAGTAAGGGAAATAATTTTATCAGCTTATGTCCATGTTGTGATTATATTCGAGACGTAGCAGACTCATGCAGGATGATCTAATACTCGAGGATGAAAAGATGTTTGCGTTTAACGACCATTCACCATTTCACATCATGGAGAATATGAAGCTTAAACATTTCAGTTCTATGTGAGTGTTTAGTTCGTTTTCAGATGAAAATCCTCGCCCCTAAATGTCCATCGCAGTCCACATTATCCATTTTAATCCTTTTTGAGTAATCTCTGTCTTTTACCCTCTGAAAAGTTTTTCCTTTTTTTTATTTTTATTTTCATCTCAACTTTTTTTGAATCTCCAATCTTTAAAATCCTATGCCAGAATTCTAACATTAAAGCCGCAATGTTATGTTTAATTTCGAGAACGACATCAAAACGGAAAGTCTCTGCCACGAAAGCCTCAGGCAACTTGAACAACGACGACGAAATGGGTCGCATGTGTTTAGTGAGCTCAACCAAAAATCTTTTATAAACAATACGCCATGAATTTATTAAAAATATTTCATTCAACAAAAATTAAAATACATAAAGAAGAAAGGAATAAAAAAAACTTCTAAACAAGCAAAAATCCCTACTGAACAATAAGAGAGCAGCTACAGAGTCTTCGAATATTGAAAGCAATTTTCCATTGTATGTAAAGCGCACATTGTAGCTTCACCGAGGTCTCATGTGTCGATTGAAAATTTCTAAATTAAAATTAAATCACAGCTTAACCAAGAATGAGTGAATAAATGCGAGGGTGGAAGATGCTTTTCTTTCTTTTTTCGTATTTTGTGATATCAAAGTCGCATTTGATTTGCCAAACGAGAAGAATGTTACAAGACAACTAAATAGAATGCTGTAAATTATGGTGAGACATTTTAGTTTGCGAAAGAAAAGAAACTTACCGAATGCAATTTATTGCCACAATAACAACATTGGAACAAATATTTCAGAATATAATAATTTTCTTCACATTTCATACAACTTTATTCCTGTCTCTGATGCGATGTTTTCATTTTCCACTCTAATTTTCTTAAGCCCGAAAAGATTTCAGATACACTCCGGGTGGTGCTATTGTGGATTTCAGGACGAAGGCTTTTAAATGAAAAATTGATAAGAAATGTATAATGCGGCGTCACGGATGACGTTATCTCACAGCTTGGGGTAAATATACGCTCACAACCGGCAACGAACAAGTAAATTCTAAATTAAGCATTTTTCCAGCAATTTTCTCCCCCAGAAAACGTAAACAAAGAGAAAATTGACTGTGGATATTTTTTTTGTTTTCTTTTTTCTTATTTTCAGTTTTAAGAACGGAAAGTGAAAACCCCGGAATCTTGAAATAAATGGGATTTGGTAAGTAGGTGGTTATTGCGATATTTCACATTAAGATCATTATGATATTTTCGCCTTGTAAGCAAATGGCTTGAGGTGCTAAAGGGACGCAACTACACAGGAGACGAAAAGCGTTATTTTTAAATGAAAATGGTCAATCAACCTTAAGATTAAAGATCTGTTTTAATGGGCAATGATAGGAGAACAAGAAGGGAAAGAAGTTTCTCTAAGTTTTATGAAGCAATTGTGTATTGCCAGTTTAAAAAGGTCTTCTTTCCTTCGTTTTTCGAGTAGATATCTTTACTGAGAATAATATCATGAAATGTAAAGCAATTTAAATATTTCTTTTCACACGAACATAAAAATCATTCCCCCGCCCATCAAATTCAATGTTTTTTATCACGTTTTATCCCACCAAACTGAAAATTGCGTAGAATAAATTTTCTGATGGAAAAATGCAAAACAGGCAATGAAGAGATTGTTTTTCAATAGTCAAAATTATACCCAAAGGTAGCATTTACAATGAAAATCCATTTTCTCTTTACGAATGACTTTCATCCCATGTCGAATTTCTTCTTTTACTTTATTTTTACGCATTGTTTATGGCAAGAAATTTTATTCCAGAGAATCAATGCAAACAATGAAATCTCGGAATTGAATTTGCTTAAAGTAAAGAAATTTTGCAGTGAGAAAATTTGATTTGACTACAATTGATTCATTATCTAGAAATGGTAACTGATATTGATCATTACTTTTAAATTCATTTAAACAATTGAATTAGTTTATGCTAAGAAACCCTTAAATATGCGAACATTTCTCATTCCTTACACAATTCTTCGTCTCTTTCATCTCATCTCATCTCCTTCACAATATCAATTGTCAATATTATGCAAATCTTAAGTATTATGTATTATTGGGTGTTTTATGCTTCCCATTTGCAATAAAATAAAAAGAGAATCAAGCTGCAGACCTTATTTTGTGTACGCATGAAAAAATTATCTTCGCATTACATAAAAAACAGCAAATGATTTTTTTATGATTCACAAAAAGTTCGAGAGTGACAGTAAAAGCGAGGCGAAATAAACATTGAGCATAATCATAAAACTACTGCCTTTTGATACGAAACAATTTTCCCTCTTCAAGCAAGAGTAAAAGTTGCAATTTGATTTTATGACAATCATTTTCATGGAAATTTGGGCGATCCTTTTGATGAACTTGATGATTCCCACCGTAAAGTCAATGGATTGTAAGCAGTTTTTGATTACGGAAGGATGTAAAATTAAGTAAGGCACGTTTATTTGAGTGGCGGTTACATTTAAAGAAGTTTGTTGAACTGACGTCAATTCGAGTATGTAAACTTCATTCGTCAGTAAGATTCTATCAAGAAACAAAGAATGAAAGAAGCAAAGTTATTGCAAAAAATTTGAATTGATGAAGTGCAAAAAGTAATTTCAAAACTTTACTCTCGGGGCTTAGAACAATTTATCATTTTCTCACATGATATCAAACCGACAAGTTTCCTTTTTTTCATTTCATTTAAAGTCATACTCTCGAGTCGAGAAAGTAGAGAAATTTTTATGTTATTTCGAAACAAAAGTCGAGGATAAGTGTGCCATTAAAAAAATATCAAATGTCGCTGAAGTGAAAGACGTTTTTGCAATTTTCCCACTCGCAACTCAGTCAAGGCTTTCAGGACATGAATTTTTAATAGCACGTTCGCTTGAAACAAGATTTGTTATTACACATTTCACCTTTCACAATTTGTAAAACAAATTATTTTTCGCAAACATTTTTCTCTTCAGCTTCATCGTCAACCCCAAAAGAGATCTCATTGAAGCAAGCACATGATGAAAACATAAAGAAAATTGCAAGAAAAATTCAAATTCATAATGCAAAACGATGTGTGTTGCTAGATAAAATGATTTTAGTGAAAGAAAAAAAATAATGTGTGCGATATTTTTTATTTATAACACTCTTGTGCTGCTTTTGCAACCCTCCAGTTGCTTCCTCTTCTTCATATGATTACTTTTTATTATTACTGTTGTCGCGATTCTAAACATAATTTTTAATGTTTTAAGTATTCATGAAAACGACGCAACTTCTACAACATATGATCCAAATGAAATAAATAAGAATTTACATGCTTTGAGATGAGAAGTTAATTTCTTGGAAAAAAAATGTTTTCTTTTGTTAGTTGAGGGATTTAGGATCGAATAAAGAGAGAAATTGTAAACTGTGTTGAGAGATCAGAATTTTTAATGCTAATTTATATTATTTATTTGAACAGAAAATTCATAAAATCTTCAACTGTGTACAGCAAACCAAGAACTGAATTTAAAGTGTGACCAACTTTTGATTGCAAATCTTCTTCACTCTCCATACTTACTTATCCAATAGAAAATTTGTGTACTTAAGAAATTTTCCTTTTTTGCTTCTAAGAAAGAATTTTCTCAATTTCCATCACCCCCATTCTCATTTCAAGATTTTCTTTTCTGTTTTATTTTTCACCCCGAGTTTTTTGTATTATAATCTGTTTAACTGATAAGAGAATTGCACTGTCAAAGTAGAATGATATATTGCGCTTGAATTTCCATAAAAGTTCTGTTTTCATCTTCTTTTCATTTCGTTTTCCTCGTTTTTTAAGGCGATTTCCCTAAGAATATTTTATTTTATTTTTTTGGTAAGGGAAACGCTTTTGAGATTAAGATTGGAAAATGAAAATACATCAACAGAATACCCAATGTATAAAAAGAGAGTCTTAAGCGTTTCGATGAAAGGTTTCATTACGTAATTCATTGGACGATTTCTTGAATTGTAATGTAGACTCTGCCAATGACTCCAGAGAATTCTTCCGAAGATGCTTTATTGTATATTTTAGTGAATCAATTCTAAGAACATTTCTAAGGAATATTAAAACACGAATTTCAATTCAGATGCTGATTTAAAAGAGTAATCACTAACGTCACACACATTTTATCAGACTCTAGCTAAAAGCAAGTTAGATATTTTGGATTTAATAAATTAGAAATGTTTATCAAAATTTCTTTTAATGAAGGAAACTCCCACGACACAAGAAAAGCCACTGTAGCTATCTTTCGCATATGCTTCATCTTTTAGAATTCAAACATGGAAATAAATTTCATTTGCAATTATATAAAATACATGAATACATATTTTTTGACTCCATAACAGGCAAGTACATCACAAAATGATACTGTGAGTGCCTTAACAAGTTCTCCTTCCTTCGACTGCTGTTTTTAAATAAAAGGAAGGAGAGTTGATTAATGTCTCTGGCGTCACCTGAAAATGAACAATTTTCGAATGTGTTTATACCTTTTGAATCCCCCTTTGCTCTCGCTTGATGTCATGAATGTATGGCTGAAAATTTATTGCTCTTTATATGAATTTCAACAAACGAATTTTCAAATGAATAAATTCGTAAATTTTCATCTTGTTTCATTTGCTCGCTTGTTTGTTTAGCTTATTGTTCAAGATGCTTTCTGTCTTGATGAAAGACTTAAAGATACAGCCAGCAACTTTCTTGTCGCTTTCGCTCATTAAAAATTCATGTGACCTACATAGATAGGTAGATTCATTCAGCGTCTCCACTTTTCACAGTCGAATGACTGCAAACAGGAAATTCGTAAATCCCTGTTTTGCAATTAGATAAGCTCATTAACTCCTAAGAAAGCGCAATTGAATGATTTATGATTATATTTTCTTTCCAAAATTCTCTCTTAACATCTCAAGCTGAGATGTAAGAAACCTGAAGAAGGAAACAATGATATCGACAACTGCAAAAACATCACATTTGTCTTATTGTTTTGTGAGTAAAAGCAGAAAGTAAAAGATCTGCAAGAGAAATCAGAATAAAACTACTCGCTTCTCAGATGGTAAAACCACCCTCTACTCTTCTCATTATAATCTTTTTGTATGCTACTAAAAAAGCAGCAGCAGCAGCAGTAGTAAGAGTAGTCACTCAACCATAAGTTGTCACTTCAGTGATTAATGACTGTCGTATGAAATTGTCTAGAAAAACAGAAGGGGTCATAGCGATAGCAATAGCAGTAAACATAACATCGTATTAAATCGAGTTGTTGTGTTTATAACATGCTCAAAAATACGAGTAAAAATGCAATCTACAAATAGATACACGCTCAGATGAAATATCTTTTTCTTCACATGCATCCCCTGAAAATTTCATTCTTGCTATGAATTTTTAGCCAAAGGAAATTGTCTAATATCTGCATGTAGTCGCAATCTGTTGTGATCTGCTTAAAAAACATAGCACTATTAAGGGATTAAAATTATAAAATTGTGATTGAAGAAAGGAACGAAAGGGATGCAACTCTCGGACTGTAATTGATACATTTGTGTGGGTGTGGATGGTTTTACATAAAGTCAATGAGAAAGATTTTTCAAAATAATATTATCAACATCACGATTTGTGATTTATTGCGAGGGTGAAAGATTTCCTGTTGTTTTTGCTTAGTCTTTGGCTTAGTAACACCCGTTAAAAGATGATAATGGTTGATTTGATGCTCTTAATGGTCATTTAGATGATGAGAATGAAAGAAGGGTTGGAAACGAAATTATATTTATTAGTGCAAAAGCGATTTAACGTCATCTTAGTTCATCTTTTAATGTACGTAAAATTTGATTTTTCTCATCTTTACTCACCGTAATGACATCACTAAAACATTTTATTACACAATCACTGAATTTTTATGACTTTCCTTCAGATTTGATTGTTTTTTATTGTGAAACCAGAGCAACACTCATAATTTCTAATTCATTAATTTCGGTTCAATAAAATTTCTTCAAATGGAAAAAATCCTTTGATTGCAGAAAATTTCATCGCTAAGAGCGAAAAGTCAGAATTTTCGTTTAATAGAAAAACAAAACACGAAACAACGAGACGAGAAATTGAATCTTTTCAACTTTGTAGCATTTTTTATGACAATGAAATCTTTCTTAATACACATCGAGACTGAAAAGTTCTTAAATCTAAATGAGATTCGTGGATAAAGAACATCGAATAAAAAATGTAATAGACACATAAAATAACAGATTTTTTGTATCATCATAATATTTAACATCAAAAATATTATAGATTTTTATGGTTGAACAAACGTGTAATAAAAATGTCGTAAAATGTTTTGCTTTCTCTCACTCTCTTTTATATTTATGTAGCAAGGGCAAGCGCCTGTGAGTTGTTAAAAAGCATCTTCCTCATCGTGTTCGGATTTGACGAATCTCCACGGAAATGATTTCTAACTAATAATTTCTCCATCTACAGAACTTTTTTTATTTTCTCAATTTTACGACATTTTTACAATGCTTATGGTCATAAAAAATTTTGTTTGGTATCGATGATAACATCGCTTGTGAACACAACTATTTGTTTCATTTAAATTCATCTACAAACCTGAATCACTGGAAATGAACAAAACTATAATCATTAGCGAAGAATTTCGAAAACAAAAAATAAAAATTTTATTACAAAACTCATTAATTCAATTAAACAAAAAAAAAATATTTAATTTCTTATTCATTACACATTCCAGAGAGCTCTCGAAGAGGTTGGAAAGGGGACGGCAACGGCAGTAATTGAAGAAATGTTTCCTGATAACGTTTAATTGAAAATAAAAAATTAACCCAAAACGGGCTACGAAAGTAATTCTCAGCGAAGATTTATGGCTTCGAGAAAGGGTGAAACGCACGAAGGACTCGAAGTATTTGCAGCGCGAAAGATTTCTGTACAAACAGGAGAAATTTTCTAGAGAAACAACATTAAAATTCAAATTTAATTTTACGACTCGTTTTCGCGATGTAATAGAATAACAATTTGCCTTGCGTTTAAGTTTTCTTAAGAAAGGGCTTCGTTTCAACATTAGAATATTAATTTTCTCAACAAAAAACATGAAGCGACTTAAATCATTTTTAATTGAAATTTAAGATCCTTAACGGTGAGATGTTGTAATAAAGTTTCTTACTTTCCAACAATATCAGAAGCTTAATAAAAAGGTGGATTAATTCCAATTGGTATCAAATGAAGCAAGCTTTCTAGCTTCCATTTTGTAACAAGAATTTTAAGCAAAAATGAAACAAATTTTTGTCGCGTTTGAAAAATGTTAAAGCGAATCATTAAAAACCACAATCGAAATTGAAAATCGCAATTATCTAAATTATTTATTTATTCATGTGAGTTGTTAGTGCATTATTAAAGTGTTATTACTTTTTAAATGAAGGTATTTCCCTAACTCTAGGCTAGAGGTAAGGGCCAACAACGATAGGAGTGAAAATGTTTAACATCAGATAAAACACGCGATATTTTCACTTTTCAAAACGTAGCAAAAATTTTACAGCAAATTCTGCAGTTTGTCAATAGGTGCATGAAGTGTCATTGCATGTTTGCTATAACAAATTTTTAACTCACATCTCCACTTCCACCACTCACCCATTTTGTGTGCAAAATAATTGCAATGGCACATTAATTAAAATTAGTTAAAATGTATGAGAATAACGAACCAAAGTACACGACTTTGATGGTAATTGTTGAGGGTATTTATGTGAGCACCTCATAACAACAGTCTGAACTATTACAAGCAACTCTCTATGAATCTATAATGCGCAATAAATCACGCACCCAACCAACATCGAATTATTAGAAATCATACAAAACTTTAAGTTGCGAAAATATTTACACATTCTTTAAAATTATTTATCGACTTTGTCAGCTCAAAGTCAACATATCAGTTTTGTAAATTTTAATTACATCACGCAAAACATGAAAGAAATTTATCAAATCTTTCCATCCTACATGACTGACACCGAAAAAGCTAATCTAAAATGTTTCTCATGGCAGTTGTGGGGAGTTGAAATGTAAAAAATAAAGAAAGAAAAAGAAAAAAGAATTTCCCAAGTGAAAATTCTTGTCATTTTCTCACAACCGGCAGCAGCTCACGAGGATTCCCCAAGCATTCAGCGAAGCGCCTCAAAGTCATTGTTATGCTAAAAATGTCTGTGTTTATCTTCCATGCCAAAGCGCACAAAAGGAAGAGAACGAGAAAAGAAATCGTACATAAAATGTGAAACGTGAATAAAGCATCTAATTTAACATTCAGCGTATGCCTCAAAGCCATTTTATTAAATTAAAAATTATTCTCGACCAAAACTGTTCTTGAATTCAACTTTACATAAGATTTCTTTTTATTATCTAAGTAACCACTTTAAAATCCGATTATTTGAATTTTATTTTAATCTTCCCTTGATCGACGATTGAAAATATTTTACGATCATTTCACTCAACGATTGCACTTAGACATGAGGATGAGTCTTTTAATTGAAAATTTAACACGTACAAAATGCGATACTAATGTAAATTTTATGAACAATTAAATAGCTGTTAAATGTTGTTAAATATTAAAATCTTTCTTGATGTGGGGGAGGACGATGTTGACTTTTTAATAAGCCATAAAAGCAGAATCGTTTACTGCCCCCCAGAGCGCATTTCAATGATTGTTTTTGTTTTTATTTTTCGGAGAGTGCACAAATTCGCTTTTAAAAAATGTTTGATAAAAAATAAACAAAATTTAATATTCCTTGTGTTGTTGAAATGAAAGTTGTTGAATTGATTGATTATTCGAATGCAACCTAAATAAATGTGACAATTTTAAGAAAGAAAACTCAATTATGCATTCATTCTTATGTTTTCTGATATTCTAAATCGACAAAGAAGGTGAGAGACGCGACAGTGAATCGACAAATTGCGATGCAATCATTCAAGTCATGCAAGACAAGTTTTGTTGTGTGCAAAAGACTCGAAAATATATTGAAAAGACGAGAGAGGCGATCCAACAAGAGCTCCAACCGAGAACAACAATGAAATGAAATTGAATAGAATATTATTGAAATGAGATCGGTGCTCCAACGAGCCATTAGCTGCATAAATTGCAATATCTTTAGACATAAAAATGTCCAAAAACGTCGAGACATTTTCGTCTTCTCAAAATTCATTGTGCATTATCGAAACTTCATTTGTGGGCATCGTCATCATCATTAAGGTCACAAATTGTATTTAAATTTCTTTAAGCAAATTTTATTGAATAAGAAATGAGATTCGAATTAAATTTTTCTCTTTCTTGAAGACACAAAATTTAATTCAGTAAAGTCGAATTGAAAATGTTTTTGACATTTTAAGATGCTTAAAATAAAAAAAAAATCATTTAAAGCCGCAATCATAATTGCCTTGCCTTGAAACATGACAACATATATTTGTGGAAAACACACTGACCACGAACATAAACAATCAAAGCTTCCCCCATTTCGTCTGAGTGTCCGATGGTTTCGTGACGTTTCAAGGATTTCACCCAAAAAGCTCTGACTTGTAAAGAGAAAAGTCTCGGATGATAGTGACGTTGATACGAAAATATATCATCGTGCAAGTCGTGGATTGGTATCATGAAAGCGCTTTAATCCCCTTTCCTCTCATCTCGTCGCAAAATTGTAGTAAAGCAAAAAAAATGAAAGAAAGGAAAGAAGAATGGAATGAAATAAAAGCGAATCATAACCCAAAAACGAGAGAAAGAAGCGCCGTATATCTCGTTCTCTGACTGACATTTTCATTTTCCCTAAGAAATAAATAACATTTTTCTGTGCTGCAGAATTTTTTTTTCGTTTCCATCTTTTCTGTATCCCACCCGACCCCAAAGCATTCGGATTCCGGCTGCTACAACCAACTACTGCTGCTGCTGCTTACTTCTCTAACGCCGTTTGTGGAGATGAGAAAAGCATAATAAGCACATGGAGCATTCAAAACATAATGGGATGATATTTTCACATGCTTGGAATAACAGAGCAGTATGATAATTTTCCTTTTTCTCTTTCTCGCTTTTCTTCTTTTCGGGGAAAAGAAAGAAGATTCAGGATTAAAATTCTGAGACGTTTTTCTTTTTGCTTGATTCATTCCCATTCCTTTCTTCATAAAGAACAAAAAATCCTTTCTTGCTTTACTCCTTTTCAAATACCATGCCATCTGAACAATTTTCAATGCTGCAATTCTTTCCCGCCGCTGAAGTAAGCATGAAAAAAAAAATTTAGATAAATTATGAAAATTCAGTTCACCTGACGACATTTCTTGCTCACAAACATAATTGCTGAAGCTTCAGATTTCAGTTTTTTTTGTATTTCCGTCTTCGTTCATTTGTGCACAAGGAAAAGTTTTTTTGTAAGTTGACAAACGAAAAAAAAGAAAGGAAGGAGCTGGATAGAATCGATTTTCTCATTATTTATGATGCATTTTCCAAGTTTCTCCCCTCCCTTAACTACACAAAACTTTTCTTTCATCATCAAGTAAAGCATAAAAACTTGCATTGTAAAAATTGAAAAACAATTTTTCATGGCAGAAAATATTTTTCCTATCGCGAGAAGAACTTAAAGAAACTTCTCAAAAACGTTTACTAACGCTCTAAGGATTTTGAATCTATGCGAAATATTAAATTCTTGTAATTCTTTAAACTTTCTTCTGTAATATATTAAAGCTTAAGGTTTTCATTCCTAAAAAGTAATCAAGAGACTTTCACAAAAAAATGAAAAGTTTTTCACTCTGAAATGAAATTAAAATCTTCAATGCATTTCAATTGTTCTTTAAGCTTTCTTGTTTTCTTCTCTTCTCATTTCTTCAAATTGCAAAAGGACATGGCAAGAAAAATTGTTTTTGTAAGACGCCAACTTCTGAAAGATAAGGAAAAATAATTATTTTACATTATTAAATATAAAAAGGAAAAGAAGGAAAAAACCCTTTAATGTCTGTTATTTTTTTATTCTTCTTCATCCCATCTTTTCCCTTCTTCAAATTTCCGAAGCACATTTTAATTTGATTGCAAATGTTGAATTTAATTTTAATTTTAATGATGTTCTTAATAGCGTCTTCCGTTCATTGCTTTCCCCGCCTGGAATGACCATTTTGTGTTGAAAAGAATTATCAATTTGATGTGACTGCAAACGACTAAAGAGATTTAGAAAATGGGGAGACGAACGTCTTTATAAATGCATTGTAATTAAATTCACTCGAAAGGATTTATGCAAAATTAAATCAATTCAATCCATGTTGTGATTAGTTTAAGAAGTTTTTAAAGTCATAAATCTTCAGCGCTTTATCGGCCGTGTTGATAATTTAAATAATCGTCTGTCGACGACATGCTGCGAATGAATGGACCTGCAACATATTGATTTGTTAATCGTCGCTTTTGTTCTTAATTGAAAAAAATTAAATCCACCCCCATAATTCGCCAAAGGCTGATCCCTTAAAGGACACAAATCCCTCGTCTCGCAAGATTTAATCACACTTCTTATGAACAGTTTTTTATCGGCAACGCTTTCTTTTTTGCATAATTTTCCAATTAACGATATAATTTTCTCCATTTTCTTCATTACCATTTTCTTCGTACTCGACATCGTCTTAAGGAGAGTCAATGAAAAAATTTAATTGGTGATTAAGTTTCCTTCATTTAAATTTTCTTTTTTTTCTCTTTATTTTCGACTCAATATTCAATTAACGTTGTTTCTTTAAGTAAAGATACTGTTGTCAAGTGACTCGTCTATTGTGAGTGGTAAGCGGATGTAGAAAAACGACACAGGATATTAAAAGTTTCTCTTTCATTCAAAATGTTTCCATGTTTGCCATAAGTATAAATATGTTTTTATTTTTGATTGTCTTCCTCTTTGCATCTCATAAATTTCCTTTGGGAATTGAAAATATATTTTTGAGTTCAGTTCTCCTTTCCTTCTCCTTTGACATGTCATTTTCCGGTAACCATCTCCAGACATAGATTATGATTTCATTTGTTTCCTTGAACTTGTCTACTTTTCAATTATGAAAGAATGGAAAAAATATAAAACTTTTATATCAATTTGAAGTGTTTATCAAATTTAAACTTTTTGAGAGATGCTTTCATGGCAATATATTGTGGGAGTTAACATTAATTCATAAATAACGAAAATTGCTATTCAAATGAATTCAAAACCTTATCAATTTGATGTTCTGGACCCAACGCATGCGCATTTAAATCGATGAGTTTGAAAAATTGTTAATCGTTGAATTTGTTATAGAAAAATATCCTTTAAATAACCCTCAATGCCAATTTGAATAGTTTGCAATTGAAGAAAGTTTTATTTTAATTGGCAAGATACAAGCAATCCAAGCTTACGACATTTCAAGTATCTTCTATAAATTCAATACTTTCATTTGAAATATTATTAAAGAATAAAAAACTTGAAACATTTATTTTCATTCCATGAAGTTTTAATTCGATACTGTGAACGATTTAATGATGCAAAAAACCACAACAAATTATAATTTTCCCTGCTCATTTCTCTTGTATCTGTCAGCGATTTTAAAACGTAGACAAAAGACATGAGTTGGCAAATTATCGAATTATCGTCATTAAAACTTCTCTGGATCCCCTTCATCTAAAACGATGATAATAGCAAACAAAACTCATTACGTCAAATTAGCAAGACAATTATTTTGATACGTTTTGTAATAAAAAAATTATTAGATTAAATTGAGCATACCCTGCATGTGATGAACATTAAAAAAAAAGAAACAATTGATTCTTGAATGGAATTTGAGAGAAAGAAAACAAAAATGAATTGTGGAGGATTGTGAATAGCCAGAAATATGAACACGATATTAATAATTAAGCGATGCGTAGCTTGATTCATATCAAAACCAGTAGCAGATGTCTCAGAACTTCTTCGATATAGAATGAAATTTAAATTAAGGATCTGCAGGTGATAAAGATTCGACCCACTTCATTTAATAATCGTTTAATATCCAAAGATCATTTAACTTTATAAAAAAGTATTCATAAATTGTTCTGCCATCTATTCTTAGATAATTTATCCACATCACCATCGACACTGTCGTAATCGATTTCAATTTTAATTACCCGTTCACCTTTGCCAATGGCTGTCATTTGCATATCAATTACTTTGAGCAATAATTTTTAATTTTAAATGATCTGATCAAGAACAATTCAGGAATCATTCTGACGATGCTTAACTTTTTTAAAGACTTGGAAACGATTTATTTTTTTATTTCAAAACCTCTTAAATAAAAATGTTTTTCACCATTAAAAAAAAGAATAAATATGCAATTTATTCGCGTTCTTGCTAGCGATTTCATTGCAGTATTTAATTTTCTGTCTTAACGTTAATCACGTATAATTGAATAGCATCGAGAGAGATGTTGTGATACTGAATGTAATTTTCCCTCATCGCATCATGAGTCTCTGACTCCTACCGTTTCCAAGACCTCGAAATAATTAAAACTTTTTCAATTCTCTTGGAGAAACTGTTATAAGATGTTATTATTATAATTTCTTTTCATGGTTTTTAAATGTTTTTTAAGAATAAAAATAAAGTTTGCAAAGTTGCATCCACAATTTAAAGATTTTCACAATCAGTCTCCGATCTTCTGTAGTATTAAAAAGCACATTTAGATTGAATGCAATTTCATTTGAAGCCGCAAGGAAAGAAAACGAATGGAAACGAACTGTTTTAATAACAACTTTTTGATGAACCATGAAAATTATGATCGATTAAAATTCCAACAATTTCAGAAAATGTATTTCGATCTTCCTTCTTTCCGCGTTTCTTCAATTTCGATTTCTTTTCTTCTGCTTCTACCGCGAATGAAATCAAACAAGACTCTTCAATTATGTATTGCAAATTATATAGAATTGAATTCTCTTCTCTTTGCAGCTTACATTTATTTATCAGATGCACATTTCTTATGTTGCTTTTGCTTTCTGATTGGGGGGAAATGAGTGAAGTAATCTTCAATTTCACGAATTTAAAATTCAACGTTAACGTAGACTTTAATCGATGGATGAATGAATGAATGGATTTCAAGATCCGAACAAAGAAACAAACTTATTCTTAAGTCGGAATATACAAGGAAAAGATTATAAAGTTTTTATACTTCAACAAATATCAAACACAAAAACTGCACAAAAAGCACAGAACGGAAACAGATAAATTAAATGCAAGTCTTTGTAGTCGTCGATTCTTTGCTGTTATGTTCTTGTTGAATGATTATTTTCAATCAAAATTTCAGCTTTTTGTGTTCATTCGATTGTATAAAAATATCGTAAAGACGATTAGATTAATGTGACGCAAAATAATTTTATGTCATATTCTATAAAGCGAATTTGTAAGAAACAAAAAAATCGCAATAGTTGTAATAAATAATGTTTAACTTCTATTAGAATCATTCTAAGCTGAAAAACATTGTATAATTAATGTTTGAATTCAAACTGCTTCCAAGAACACTTCAAAGACCTCATTGGCTCGTTATTGTGGCATATAATTAGGCACTATCAACTAACTCTACATTCTTCCATTTTTCTCAACATTAAAATTATTATTTCTTCCCTCCCCAAAAACCGAAAAGAAATTTTAAAACGCTGCCGAAATTACTTTTCGATGAGCAAAACTTGCGAGATGTATTTCGTCGAAATGATTGCATAAACAACTTCTTCGCCGCCATTCATCTTCATCCGCGAACATTGAACACATGAAGAAGTCTTTTCATTTGACTAATAACAGCCACAAAAACAGTGTGTGCATCAAGAAACATCAAGAAACGCAAAATGATGAAGGAAAAGAAAAAAAATCGAGAACAACGACGCATACATGGCATAAACATAATAATTATTTAATTTTTTCTGCATTCATTTCGCTTCTCTCTTTTATGTTGCGTTTATTTTGTTGTTGTAGTCGTTCAACTCTTATTTCATCTCTCTTGTGCAAGACATTGAAGTGAATGGATCAATGATTTCGCGGTCGAGTAATAAAGTGAATGAAACCATCGGTATACAAAATGGAGAACAGTCGAGCGAACAGAAAGAAACTAAAAGTTTGAAATGAAGCACTTGGCGAAAATGTAATTTCAACTTTGCATAATGCATAAATCAAACCTCCACTATGCTGCCGCTTTTTTGTGTGTGCACCGGCAAAAGGAATTTAAAATTAGTTTTCCGCTCTTTATTGTGGAAAGTTTCTTTTTCTTATTATTTTTTTAAGTAGAAAGTTCTTATTCCACCAGTCACCCATCAACAAAGAATAAAATGAAGAAAGGAGAAAAAACTTTCTAAAACAGGATGTTTAGCTTCAAATTTACATAAATTTGTATTGTTCATGTTTCGTTTCACTTTCCAGGTGACATAATAAATTTCACCTGCATACATCTTGAGTGGGTTGGGAAATTTTCGTTGCTTTCTTTCTTCCCTTTGACATTAAATATCGAAACTGTTCTTTCTCTTAGTCAATTTGATTTCAACGCACCATAGAATATATTTTTAAATATATTTGCTATTAGCCTGGTACAAAAGTCATCATAAATTTCAATTCCTCTCTTTTTTCTTCATCAATTTTTTAGGCTGCCGAAAAACGTGTTTCAATTTACTTTTGCTTTTAAAAATTATTTCAAGCACGACTCGTTTCTTTAATTTCAAACGAGAGTGGAGGGAAAAAAAATTGGAAAATAAATTAAAAGAAATTTACCTTCGAACACCCTCGCTAAATGGTCAATTAGAAAGAAGTGTTTTTGATTTCAAGGGCTATGAAAAAAGAGAAACGTAAATTATGAGCCATCGACTACAGTATAATTAATTGCCGTTCGGTTTCCCAGATTCTTTTGATTTAATGTTTATGTACTCAACCTTGCGTTCTAATAAAGTTTCACTTTGAAATGTTAAACGTTCAAAACGATATTTTATTCTGACGATTGATGGATTGAGTTTTGTTTTTTCATGACTAAGTGTTGATGAGATTAGTGGCAGATAGAAACATTTCAAACATTTTGAAGGGCAACACTTAGATGAATCAATTCTAAATGATCCTATCACAATCTAATTCAAAATCATTTCATCTATAATTGACTCTTTGCTTTGTTGAATATCTAGCAACTTTTATACCTCCAGGCATCATATCAACCTTTCTTAAAAACCTACCTCAAGTCACGAATAAAGAAAAGAGAGAAAATAAATTTAAAGGCAAGTGTCAAATTGTGGACAGATTAATTTCTGCCATCCTGAAGGCGACCACAGCGAAGAAAAATGTTTTTCTAACCGAAAGTAGTTTTCGGTAGGAACATAAGATGATAAATGTTATGAAAGTTAGCATTTTGATTTATTACTTCAGTAAAGTGCAAGCAGACTGTCTCTCTATAAAGGATATGTTTTCACGACCTTTTAAGTCAATAAAAATTATTGAAATTTCATGAGAGAATAAATAATTTGTATGTTCATTTGATAGTCGATTTACGGGAAAATAAATATTCCTGACTTTTTATTTCTCTCTTTATTATTCAATATATTTTACAGCTCAAGCTCTGTTCGACACACAGTGACAGCAAAAAGGCGTTGCAGTGATTAATAAAGCAATAATAATTATGGTTTAATCATTGGTGCCATAATAATTCATCGTTGGTAATTGCTACCACCAGTCAATTGCTTACCATCCTCCTTTTTCCTTTTTTTTGAGAGAAAATTCGATAAATTCCAACATGAACTTCAAAGTTAAATATTTTTAGTTTTTCATGAAAACTTTAAAATTTTCTATTCAATGATATAATTTTTTTTATGTTTTTATGCTAAGCCAACATATTTCCATCTATCCACTTCTTAATTCTCCATTAAGTGCTCGTCATAAATGATTCAACGCTTGTTCCACCAATCACAAAATTCATGTCAATTTATTCAAAAAAATTCATATAATTTAAATGCTGTGAAGCTTTAAAAATCAACTCCGTAGGTGAAGCGCGAAATAATTGAATGGCATGGAAAAAACCGCAAGGCAAGAAATTAGCGAATTGTAGGCGTATGCTTTTCAACTCTCCATGTTTTTATGCTAATTTTCTCAACATAAATATTCAGCATAATCACCTGCTTTGTTATAGTACAATTCAATGAAGTGGTTTAAGAGTGAAGAAGAAATTCTTGCCGACATATAAATCACACAAAATATACGCTACAGGAATGGAGAGCCACCAAATGAGTTTATAAATTTGTTGTACATTCTTATCATAAATACACTTCAATACATTTTAATTTTTATAGTTTTCAAAGCGTTCCACGTTTTGAATAATGTTCGTTTCCCGAGAAATTCTCTTCTGAAAATATATTAGTTTTTAATTACCCATGAGCAGAAGGTTTCCTTTCATTCCACAATGCTTCGCAACGGAGATCAGGGAATGTAACACAAAAGAGTTGAAGATATTTTTGACTTTATCTTGAGATCTTCATCGTACCGATCTCTCTACGGAATCCACTCAAAAGAATCAATTCTTCGTTTCCATTCCTTTATTCATATTTTTATATTTTTTTAAATATCACGCGCATTAAGACCTTTCATCTTTCAACTTGAAATGTGCAAGAAACTTTGTCTTGTCTTCAAACAAAAAATATAAAAATGTATTTACAGTAGAATTCTGTGAGACTAAGAAATGAATAAGTTTTTGGTTACTTTAGGAATCTCAACTGTTGTCTTACAAATTCTTGCCTTCTTCATCCACACTTTGTGTTTGAAGCAAAATGATGATGAAAAATATATCTCTGAATACATTATAATTTTTACGATTAAATGGAGTTCTAGTCCCAAATTTAATATTTCTTTATCTCATTCTTTATTTTAAGTTCGACTCAAAAAACCTTTTGTTTCTCATGAAATCAACAGAAAGAAAGAAAAAGAAGCGTTTTGATATCTAAAGAGTCGTTTTTTTTGGTTTCTTTGTTCATTTCTATTGTGTCTCATTTGAAGAGGCGATTACGGCATGGAAATTGCTACAAGAAATTAAATGGAATTTAATCATACGCAGGTATAAAGCAACTTGACTCTTCTAAACGTTTCACAACTTTCAATTAAGAACCACAAACTTCAAACAGTGAGTTGGAGATTTTTATTTTTTGTTTTTGCCTCAGCTTCTTGGGCCGTTCTCTGTTTCATTCTTCTTAAAATGTTTCAATGTTAATGCATTTCGATAATCGTCTGATGGACAAACAACATTGGGAGGCTTTTTGATTCGAAGGCTGATATTGGAAAACAACAAGTCATTATGAAAACGTTCAAATTAAATGCCTTCGAGAGATTCGATGGCGATGCAATTTGCATAAGAAACAATTATATTTAATGTCTGAAATGTTATAATTTTTTTTTCATTTTGCCTGCTTGTTGATGTTATTATTCTTGTTATTCTCATTTTAAAACCGCATAGCAGACAATGAGTATCTTGAATCGATTTGTATAATGGAGAATTGTATCCTTGCGGCAATTTCAGTATTCTTCTTGTGGTCTGTGGTTCATTTCAATCGAGATTCCCTTGTTAACTGAAATGAAATTGGATGAAAATCATTTTACCGTCAACAATTGCAACGAGTGAGTGAGAGAAAAACAAGAATTCTTATGATTCTGATTAATGAAATTTATGAAGAAAAATGAAAAAAGTATTTTAACGAGTTATTAAAAGAAGAAAATTCTATGTCTTTGAATGAGAGTAAATAATTATCCAGTTACGATGATTCGCTGATGTTTGAATGGGAAAAGCGAGACGTTTAAAACGATTTGTTTCGTTTGTTAAGCAACAGCAAGAAGCTTAAATGAAAATCGCCTTATAAAGTCATATAAAGAGAGCACGAAACGTAAAAAAGTTTCAATGAAAATAAATAACGAAACCGTTTGTCATAAGAATACGCGAGCAATAATTTATTTCCTCGAATCAGAAACATTGAAACAAAACGAAATATTTGCTTTTAAGTATCCGAGCATCACTAAGAAATTGTCCCTAATAAATATTTCATAATTTTTCTGAAATGCTTCGAGGGATTGCTCAACGAGAGAAAGGAAATTGACCACAAAATTCACTTTTTATATTTCGATAAGTTTCTTCAAAGAAACATTTCCCGACATGAAGAAATCATTTTGCGGTTAATTTGCAATGAGATGGAATATTTTATTCTTTTTGGTTCAGCACGAATATCCTTGAAGTTTCAGAAAAATATTATTTATGATCGCGTTGCTTTTTAACTCTTAAACTTTTATCGATTACTTTCCCAAACTCAATTTGCCAGTTTAGATAATCCTCGGAACTTTTTCTAAGCTTCTGCAGACGATTTCATAACTCATCTTTAAGACAATCTTGATGAAAAATAAACTTGACAGAGTAACAACACAAAACAGAAAACTTTTTGTCAACTAAAGTGCAAATGGAATGTCTCGACGAAACCTAAAAAGCCTTGCAGAATTCGCTGCTTCGTTTGAAGTACCGTTGACAACGTTGTAAAAACCTTCCTATGATTCCAATAATCGTTTTTGCGTCCACTTAAATATTTTCATTTCTTCCCAAACTCTTCATCATTTCCACTTTGGCATCACTGATCATTCACTTTTGGGATTGTTGACGTTGACTTTTGTAGTCGGGGACTTTAACCTGTGTTCCAGGTGGTCGAATGTATTGTCGAATCTGTTTCTTATCATGTTCACAAGATCGCATAACTTTTTTCGCTAGGGCGGCAGCAAAAAGCAATGACAACAAATACAAAACCTGCAGTCAAATAAAAAATTAAGGAACAAGCAATTTTTTAAATTAAAATCGATTGGCATCGCAAAAACAGAAGAAAAAAATTATTGATATGATGATCGTTTTATTGTACATTTTACCAGCTTTTTACTTGCAATTTGAATTCAAGCCGAAAAACAAATGAAACCAAATACAACATTTAACATTTTGAATGTAATAAAAAAATGTTTCCTTTGCAAATATCTACACCTGAAAAAGAAAAATAATTTCAGACTTCGCTCAGTAATGAAAACGCTAAATTTATTTCCATTGCAAACATTTCAAATTTCTTCTTTGGTCATTTTCTTAAAACTGTTTTGTGTAAGCAAAAAATTGTATAAAAATATCTGGCAGTTTCTTGAGCGATTTCCAAGCGAAAGCATTACAAAAATGGAATCAATTTCGTCAAGAAAACTTTGATAGTTTTTATGCGACGATTTTATAAACGTGTGATAATGAAGTGGAAGGCACCATTCTTACACGAAATAAAGTGTTTTTGTGTCAATTAGAGGTGAATGTGAATTGGAAAGATTTTTCTGCCGACGACTTGTCTGCTTTGGATTGTTAGTAGAGACAAAAATAAAAGAATCAAACGCTCTAAATCTCCAGCTGATAGTTAATCGTGAATAAAAAATTCAAATAACCGGGAGCCCAACCCAATCATTGTGTCTAACGATATTTATGTTATCGCGACATCGTGTCACGTTATTAGCATCCAATTTAAATAGAAAATTCTCCAACGTGGTGAATAATAAACCGATAAGAAAAAACAACAATTCAGTTCGATTTGCGATTTTAAATCGTGCACGAAAATATTGTCCATCAATTTGTATGATAATTAAATGGCTTTTTATGGCCGAGAAACAAAACAGAGTCTAAAAAGGTTTCGCAATTATTATTAATAAATATGTCGATCTCCCGTTGCTATTTGAACGAAATATTACGATGGGATTCTCAGATGCCTGAAGAGTTGCGTGCACTAATATTCAGGTTTGATTTTGTTAAACTAAATTAAGAGAAGTTGAATAATTATAGCATTCCGGTTAATTCCCTTAATCAAAGATTATTTATTTTCAAAACTGAGAACTTTCAAATGTATAAAACTGATAAGCAGAGAAATGGTCAGAAATCAGAAATCGCAAATAATAAAAAAGAAAGAAAATTCATTTTAATGTCAAGAGCGAGTTATACAAAAGTTATGAAAGCAAATCGTTTTTGTCGTCTTTCTTCTCCACTCGACAAGCGAATCTTATTTCAGGTTCTTACAAGAGATTGCTACAAAAAAGAATAAAACTACATCAGAGATAAGACAACAAATTAAATATTTCATAAATTATTTATACTTCCATAATATGATAATTTAATAAACGGCGACTTACAAATCTGTTGCAGAAAAATATTCTGTGAGACTCTCCGTGAAATGATGAGGGGACGATATTCCAAAGTGGACCCAGAAAGAGCTTACAAACATGTTTATGGATGAGAAGTTATCATTGGGATTGAATGAAGGCAGCAGTGGACAAAAAAATTGACTCTCCTCATTGTTTTTCTGTTTCTTTTTGTCAGCTAAATCTGAAAAAGTTATGAAACTTCACTGAAATTAACTTGATCTCATCTTATCCGATTTATTGCAGCGATTTCTTTTGCGGTCTCATTTTATTCTGTTTAATTTTGCTGAAAGATCAATGACATCTTACGACTGAAATTATTTTCTGAACTCTAAAAAAATCATCCAAGTTTGAAGTTTCAGTGACCTTAGTTTGTTATTCTTTTACTTTTTTTTTTGTAACTTACTTTCAGAAAAGTCAAAATGCAAAATTCTTGGTTGATTGACGAAGTCTTGACAATTCACGACACATGTTCTGGCTTGAGATTCGTCGCATTCTTCATTATCATCTACATCATTGGCAAATGTATTCTTTCAACAGTAAATTCCCTTTGGACTTGGTTGGTTCTTTGGATTGCGTTGTTGCTGTTTTGTGCACCACCAGATAACAAAATTTTAGAAACTTTTCGTGAAAAAATCATGAATATTGAAAATCAAATAATAAAGATACTAAATTAAAGTAAATGCCTTGAAATAAATTTATGACTTGTACCTAATCAGAAAAAAATTTCAGTAAACTTTAACTCAAGATTTAGTTGATCGAAATTATTTTTTATTTCAAGTGTTAATTATGCAAAATTCTTGGTTCATTGAAGAAGTTCTCACCATTCACAACTTTGCATCGTCCTTAAGGTTTATCGCTTTCTTTTCAGTTGTTTTACTGATAGGCAAAATCATAATGAAGATAACTAATCAGTTTTGGGGAATATTTGTGTTTATTTTTGCGTTGGCTTTTGTTTGGTTGCCAGAACTGATGATTCCTTATTTTGAGTTAATTTTATCGAGGATTATGTTTAGTTGGTGAATTAAATTTATTTCAATTACCTAATTTGATGATCATTATTTTTAATAATATAAAATTATAACAGAAGCTCTTGTCACATCGTCCTATCAAAAAAGAGAAAAAGAAAACCCAGACCCAAGCAGTTTTAATTCAATCATCAGAAACTCAACACATTTCATTCGACCGCAGTAAATGAGAGAATTTCCATCGAAAGGCATATTGCAAAATTGAACCCATCATTAAACTTTTACGATCAAATTATCAGAAACCACATTCATTATTTCATTCCCAAACATAATTTGCTATTCAGCAAGTTCTGCCCCCGCTCGCCATGCAACAAATTTGAAATCATTCACTCATCATCGAAAGAAATAAATAAATAAAACACATTTGACACTTTAATGATGCTAATGATTTATAATCGAAAGATTATTTATGACACAAAAAGGCCGAAAATACAAACAAAAATGAAACCGCATCAACTCAATCTTTCATCATCATTTCATTAGAGTTAAAAAGTTTTCAGGCATTCTGAAGCGATTGAGGAAAGCTTCCAAGCAACTTGTCAAGCAATTTGTTGATCATATGCACAAAATTACTTGCTATCACCTTAAATAGTTAGTTTGCTTACTGACGAGATCATTATCAAATAAAATCGCTTCTTAATGACGCCACTTTGTTACAGATTTTCTAATATTTGGACTCACAATCCCTGCTCGAAGCGACATAAAATGAAGTTTTGATTTATCAATTTTCAAATCCCCAAAAAGATATAAAATTGCACAACATAAAATCATTTTAACTAAATTATGATTATTATGTTTAGCCAAAAAAAACACACAAATTGGTTGAAAGTATGTTAAGAAAAGCAAAATGTTTACCGTCGGAGTATCATCGCACCTTCTTCAACCTGCTGCCTCATACCATAGCAGAATTAAATTAGCAACCATAATGAGGCAAAATTATTACTTTAATGATCGCTTTTTCTATTAGCAAACCAAACGAATGTTATGCACGTTAGATTGACATCACTCCACAGCAGTCATGACACGATTATTCAATCACTCAGTGTTAAGAAGAAAGAAGATAAATTTCATGTAAATTTATCTGATATTAATCACGTGAGAGATTAAGTAAAACGAGCATCAGATGTTTGTTTCGCTAAAAAAAGTCACTCGTGAGAGAGTTTTTAATGCTATATAATCATCACAAAAGTGGCATCGGTAACTAACTAAACAAGTGATTATAATTCACAACGCCATGCGTACATTAAGTAGCAGTGGATCACATCATGTGGCATATGAAAAGATGAAGGTAATTTGAATCAAATCGCATGACATACCCGCCGTTCCCACTATGACACGAGCTTATTTGATTGGTGAAATCTTGATAAATGAAATAAAAATATTTCCAACTTGAAACAATTAATCAAGTTACTTCATTTATGGAATGCAGGTTTACAGAATGGAAGTGCGTGCATTACTAATTAGCGAGACAGGCAAGCGTATTTAATTACATGTTAAACTTTTACTGCCAACTCGACATCATAATTACGCTCTCGCGAATTTTGTGCTTTAGAAACATGCAGAATTTCATTGCAATTATAGCTAACATGGAGTTTTAAAGAAACGGAATGAAATCATGAAGAAGATGCTCTTCTTTTCAGGTTTTATTAAGGTTTTTAACTTGTAATCTAAATTTATATGTTCTTCGTGTTCATTTGTTCTTCATTCCCTCGTCATTTTGTTTTACAAAAAGAACCACTGAGCTTGAAAGTTTTTATTTCTTTACAAATAACTGCAACGCGTTGCAATATTTCAAGATTTCCTGTAAATATTCTTAATTGCATTTTACTTTTGCTTCTATAATTAGGATATGACAGTTCTTCGTTAAGAAGTTTAGCATAATAGAAGCTTCTCCCATCAATTTCTTCGAACATTTCATTGCAATTTGGAAAAAGCAAAAATTTCATATTTGCATCATTTCAGCTGTTACACCTACGCAATCCAAATATCTTTTATTCATATAATTTGTTTAACTTTTGAAATATTTAGACAAAGAATGTGTCATGAACTTATCTTGTCAATTTTAGTTGGAAGAATGACATTTCACAAATACTTAGTTTACAAATTATTAATCGGTTCAGTGTGTCACAAAATTTTTAACTTCCATTTTCATATTAAAAAATGATGCCGCACGTTGCGTCTTTAAGACTTGTTTTTCTTGACATCTCTCGTGAATTTTACACCCTGAGAATATCTAAATGTCAAGTTGATTGTTGTTGTCTGACATTGTATAAACATTTATGGGTAAAAAGAAATGTTTTTCGTTCTTATACATAAGTTACAATCTGATAGATTCAACTTTTCTCCCCCCACTTCAATCAATGGCTGAAAATTATTGACTGGAAAATGAGGCATATTGAGATTGATAGACTTTTGCACTTGTTTTCTGTCACTTTATCCTCTCGTTGATTTTATTTGTCGCTTTCCATTCGTATTTGTTCGGTTCATGACACTGATGAGATAAAACGCAGATTCGTTGTCAAAATAAACAAGAAGTCTATCAATCTTAAAAGTTTCTTGTACCTTTTACATGGGTGACAAATACAAACTAAAGCAAGTTCATTACCAAACAATCGATGAAAAGTGCTTGGAAATGTCTCTCTCATTTACTTGATGGATCAACATCAATTTGAATGGAAGAAGTGACAAACAAAATTAAAGTCTCAACTTACAAAACGATGTGATGTGTTGCTTTGAATTATTAATCAACAACATTAAGTTTTCAACAGTCATTTTTATGTTCATCTTCAGCAGAGAAGATGAAAAAATGAAGAAAAAAATCAAAACGAATTCAATATCAAAAATTAACGTCAATTGAATGAATGTCGCCGCTCAACTCAATCGCATTCGCATAAATATTCCATTATTATTGCCAATTTATTTAAATGCCTTATTACCTCATTTCTTACAAGCCGCAATTGAAACATCGATTTCCATCTCATAACTTTTAAATTGCACAATGTTGGATAAAGCAAAACTTGCGTTTACAGTGTAGTCTTTAGCTTATTCGGAGACCATTCGCAATTCAATTGATATTCTCTTCTGTTTTTAACTTTTTGGATAAAGAAAAGGAGATCGCTGGCCTCTTAATAATGATTAAATTGACGATTCTGAGACATAAAACAGCAAATACACAAGACATTCACTACCCAACCAACATCCAGAAGCATTTTCATTTCTGTATCTTTATCCAATTTCTTTTCTTTGTCTCCTTCCTGTACTCGTCTGTTGTTGTTTCGCGTAAAAAATCGATTGAAATATGCCGCTCTTGTTGCTTTTTTTTTACCGATGGTTATAAAAGATTTCTTGCAATTTTTGCCTCGGTCCCCGTCATCGACTACTATTGTTAATTCAGTCAATTTCTGCTACCAGAATTCAATTCAACATCGCATGTTGATATAAAATTGAATATTAAGAAAAATTTTCTTTTAAAGTTATTTTTCCTTTCCACAAACGTTAATTCTTGCTTTGTTTGTATAAATATCTACTCGAGGTTGATGATTGTTATGCACTTTGCGCTTAAGATTTATGGGGGATCTTTTAGGAATGATCTTGAAATTTAAAGCAAAATTATTGCTTTAAAGTTGATGTTGAAGGTTTCAACTGTTTAATCTTTTCATTGAAATGAAATGATGAAAATTTTAATTATATTTTCGAATGACTAGATAATTTTTTTTAATATAAAAGAAACACAAGTAATCACACAGATATTGACAATTATTTATAATATTTTATTATGATTGAAACATTTTAGATAATTTGTATTAATTTGGACATTGAAGCGAACATTGAAGCTTTTATTATTTTCTTTGTAAAGTTTCTTGCAATTATGAGAAAAGTTTTAATAAGTTTTACAAAACAGTTGCATACTTTTTCACCATTTCTCTGTAGAAATCGAATATTTTTCGACTTGCATCTTTGCAAAGCTTTTGAGCTTCATTGTATTGCTGGATTGTGAATTTTCCATCAGTGTTGACACCAATCAATGACTTCTTCGTACTGTCAAATACAAATGTAAAGTTTCCTTTAAAATTTTGGCTTCTTGATGACCTCTGAATTCGAGAAAAAGTGAGATTTGCTTTTGGAACATATTCGGGATCAATATTAAGATTGTCATCACTGTCAAGTCCACAATGAATTGCTGCCATGTGAAATTTCATTTCCAAACCGCTGTTCATGATTGCAAGGTTTACCGCGTTTATTGCACACGCTAGAAGCTAAACAAAAGCGATAAATAAAATAATTAAAGATTGCTTTTAGCAACACTTACTCCTCCATGATCATCCATTTCTTGGGCTTGAACTGTTATTTGAGTTCTTGGATAGAGTTGTGTGATGATGCAAGTTTCGCAAAGACTTTTTACAATCTTCTCTTTGTATCTTTCATTAACTCCCGGCAAACCACATTTTGGCCGGTAAATAACTTCAACATAAGCTTTGTTCATGTCTATATTTGCTGGTGAAACTTCTAGTGGACCATTAACTGATGCAATACAACATGATCCTCCTAAAAGAGACAAAAAAATTATATTTATATTAAAAATAATTAAAAGTTGTTACAAACCTTGAGTGATAATTGCAGATCCATCCGATCTTGTTAATATGTTCAATTCCGATGCAATCGCACGCATTTTATTGTTTCTATCTTCATCAATTTCCATTTTAAACAGAAAGAAATGTGATTTTTAAGAATTTTTGAATGTTTTGTTTTGGTAAGTTCGGCGAAATTTACTTCCAGTCCGGTGAATAAAATGTTCACATTTGAGTGCCGAATACATATTGTTGAAATGTAACTTATAAAAAGATGTTCTCCGGGTTAATCCATCACTTCAATCCATAACCTTTTTTTGTTTTCTTAAAATATTTCCGATAAATTAGAAAAGTTCTATGGCTTTTCAAAGCTATTAGAAAGTTATATCATGTCGAATCATTATAAAAAGTTTCTAAGACTTCTAGAGAAGTGGCCAGTTGATAAAACTAAACAAGGAAGGTAGTAAAATGTTAAAATTTATTTAAGACTTCTGAAATTTATTTACATGTTTTTATATTAAAGAGATCTTGGTCAACACTTGCGAACTAGTCTAGAACAAATTCTTGGTGGTAAAAATATCGTTGCAGTAAACAATCCAAAGCTTGACAAGCAGTTTCAATCACTCGAAAACCTTGCCAATAACATTTATCAACAAAAGTATCCTCGTAAGTTTAGCAGCACATCAACTGGTCTGAGTGGTGAACAGTGTCGGCAGGTTTTGTCTTCTGAGTTTCTTGAGTATATTAGCGAAGAGAAAAAACAGTAGAACAATGTTGCTTCGCAGATGTCCATCATTTTTCCCTCAGAGATATTTCTCAAACGTATTACCAAATCTTCAGAAAGAATGTGGAAAGAAATTGCATGTTCCTGTTATGGCAAATGAAACCATCGAGTACCTTAAACCAAATGATAATCGAGTTATCATTGACATGACATTCGGTGCTGGTGGACACACAAGAAGAATTCTTGAGGAATCTAAAACTGTAAAAGTTATTGCTCTTGATCGTGATCCATTTGCCTACAAATTGGCAAAACAAATGGAAGAAGAATTTCCTGGTCGAGTATTTCCAATTCTTGGACGATTTTCTGAACTTCCAACATTGTTAACTCAAATGAGGATACCCCAAAATTCAATTGACGGAATACTTTTCGATTTCGGTTGTTCTTCGATGCAGTTTGACGATCATGAAAGAGGATTCTCCATAAGTAAAGATGGTCCACTTGATATGAGAATGGATCGTGATCGTTGTCCAGATCAACCAACAGCAGCTCAAATTCTGGCCAAAATCGATGAAAGAGATTTAGCGAAAATTATTAAATATTATGGCGATGAAAAACATGCAAAGAAAATAGCCCGAGCTATAGTCGATGCTCGTTATTCTGTGAAACGAATTGAAACAACAAGAGAACTTGCAGATTTAGTTCATGCGACATGTGGCGGTGAAGTCAGAATGGATAAACTTAATCGATCATCACATGTAGCAACAAAAACATTTCAAGCTCTTCGGATTTTTGTTAACAATGAACTCAACGAAATTAATTACGGAATGGTTTTAGCTGAAAGATATCTTAAAATCGGCGGACGGCTGATTACAATCACTTTCCACTCTCTTGAAGATACAATTGTTAAACGTCATTTAGTGGGAAACATTATCGATGACATGGCGAATCCAATGTCATTAAAATTCACCAGTCACATGCTATGCCATGATAAAGCACAAATTGATAATCTTTTGGACACAAATTGGCAACAACTTCACAAACATGTCATCGTTCCGAGATTTGAAGAAATTGAAGACAACCCAAGAAGTCGATCAGCTAAATTTAGAGCTGCATTGAAACTCAAATAAAAAAGTGATGAAATCTTATGGACTTTGTAAGAATTTTGTAGAAATAAAAGAGAAGTTTTAATTAGCAACAAAGAGAAGTTTAAATTTTATTGTAAATAAGTTTCAAATGTTATTCAACAAGATTTTAGAACAAGCCAATAATTTCTCCCGTTTTGGTGTCGACGTCAATATCATAAATTGCTGGTCGAGTGGGTAAACCTGGCATTCGTGAGATTTCACCAATTAATGGCACTAAGAATCCAGCACCAGCTGACAAAAGCATGTCATTGACAACAAGTCTGAAACCTGTTGGCGCTCCTTTAATGTTAGGATCGCCAGTTAAAGAGTTTGAAGTCTTTGCCATGCAAATTGGAAGCTTCGAATATCCTTTCTCTGTGTACAGACGAATTGCTTCACGAACTTTTGCATTGAAATCCACTTGACCAGCGCCATACATTTCCTTAGCAATTTTGTTGACTTTCTCTTCAATCGACGTTTCCAAATCGTAGAGAAATTTAAACTCTGATTTCTGATTACAGGCATCAATGAGAGCTTGCGCTGTTTCCAAAGCTCCCTTTCCGCCCTCTGCCCAGTGATTAGAAGTGACACAAGCAAATGCACCGTGTTTGAGTGCAGCTTTTTGAATCAATTCATGTTCCGCTTTGGTGTCATTTTTATGAACGTTGATTGAAACAACAACTGGAATTCCATACTTCTTTCCATTGTCAATATGTTTGATCAAGTTACATAAACCGTTCTCAACGAGTTGAAGATTTTCTTGAGTGTATTCAGGTTTTAAAGGTGAACCAGGAAGAACTGGTGGTCCACCACCATGCATCTTCAAGGCACGAACAGTTGCAACTAAAACAATTGCATTTGGAACTTTTCCAGATGCACGACATTTGATGTTGAAGAATTTTTCCATTCCAATGTCAGATCCAAAACCAGCTTCAGTTAAAACGTAGCCATCTTTGCCAGCCAATTTCAATGCAATATTATCAGCAAGAATCGAATTACAACCATGTGCGATATTTGCAAATGGGCCAGCATGAACCATGACTGGTGTTCCTTCGATCGTCTGCATCATTGTTGGTTCTAATGCGTCTTTCATGAGAACCATTAAAGCACCTGTCATGCCCAAGTCATCAGCTGTTACTGGAGTTCCATTTCGCGAGAATGCAACAACCATTTTCGACAAACGTTGCTTCATGTCATCCAAACTTGTTGCAAGTGCAAGAATCGCCATAATTTCACTTGCAACAGAAATTGAATAAGATTCAACTCTTGTAAAGTTCTTTTCAGTTGGTGACTGGCCAATTGTGATCTTACGTAAGTAACGATCATTGACATCAACAACTACAAAAAATTAATTTGAGAATTTCACTTAAACAACTTTGAATGTTCAAACTCACCTCTTTGCCAAACAACACGAGTCGGATCGATATTCAATCTCGCAAACTTTGAAATCTCATCAATTGTCAAAGTTTCTGGTTCAAGCTTTTTAATTCCCAATCGTTCAAGACGTCGTAATTGAATTGAAGAGAATTTTCTGACACCATTGTTAGCTGGCACGAGACGATCATAAAGTGCTTGATCAGTTTGAGTTGCTTCATGAAAGATCCTTGCATCGAGCTGTGCGGCAAGAAGATTGTTTGCAGCTGTGACTGCATGAATGTCACCAGTTAAATGCAAATTGAAATCTTCCATTGGGATGACTTGAGAGTAACCGCCACCTGCTGCACCACCTTTGATTCCAAATGTTGGACCTTGTGATGGTTGACGAAGACATGCAAATGCATTTTTATCCTTGTGTGCTGCCAAAGCTTGAACCAGACCAACCAAAGTTGTGCTTTTCCCTTCTCCTAACGGAGTTGGAGTGATCCCAGCTATTACAACATATTTGCCATCTGCTTGATCCTTCAATCGATCCAACACAGTTAAAGAAATCTTCGCTTTCTTATTGCCATAAGCTGACACTTCATTAGGCAACAAACCAACTTCTTCTGCCAAAGTCGTGATAAGTTTTGGAACTTGACTTCGAGATATCGCAATATCTGATGGAACTGGCGATAAAATGTTCAATGAAAGCTTTTGAAGTTTCCATTTGGTATCAAGCATGCGATCAGCAAACTTTTCGGCTGACTTTATAGTGTTTGCCATCAACATGCAAACCGTCATTGGTCCAACTCCACCTGTTAAAAGTAAAAATAAAATAATGTAAAACAACCAAACTTATCTGAATCTTTTATTTATTTTTTAACTAATTAAATCTTTTTTCTTTTCATTCGCTAAGGATGTGCGAAAAGAAAGTCTTTGAAGAAGTTTGATCGGAATTTATTAGAGTATAAAATACAAAAATAGAATTCTAATCTAATTTGAGACTAAACATTATCGCACTAAGCGAATTGAAATGAATTTAATTTGAATATTTAAATGTTTATCTCACCTGGAACTGGAGTTATATACGCAGCATGCTTCTTGCATTCATCATAAGCAACATCGCCTACAAGTTTTTGTCCATTGCGCTTCAACGGATCTGAAATAAAAATATTTATTCATTCACATTACGTCAGTTTATTGGCTAGCAAAAGACGCGCCTCTGAACCTGAGTTGATTTGTCAGACGACTTCTAACTGCGTAATGATTCAATGTCGGAAGAAAAATGAAAAATAAAATGTCAAATAATTCAAGATCAAGTGCAAACACATGAGAAAAGTGAAAATCAAATCCGGTGTGCGTTAGATTAGAAAAAAATAAATTTTTTCAGGTAAATATTTAGTTAACATTATCATGTCAGTTGTTCTCAAAATACTTTCGTAAGAAGCTTTAAAAACATTTAAAAAAAAGAACATTTGATAACGAAACCAGCATGCATGTCCATTATCAAATGTTTATGTTGTATAATGAAGAAACATTTATTTTTGACACATGACCTTAAATAATGACTGACGATTTGGCCCTCTCTAAACAGATGACGATGTTTTATTATGGATTTAGAATGAACAAGTGCGAAGGGAATTTTATTTGGCGCAAATTTGACCATACGGAAAAAATCTTTAAAGTGCTTTAGAAATTGTTCATATTGAGACTTACCATTAATAGCATTTATGCCACAATCGATAACGACGGCTCCCTTTTTAACCCAATCACCTTTCACCATTTCCGGTTGTCCGATAGCAACGACAAGGATATCAGCACGAGCGCAAATTTGCTTAAGGTTTTCAGTTTTTGAATGGCAAACAGTGACTGTTGCATGATTCCATTTTAAGAGCTCAGCACAGGGCGTGCCAACAATTCTTGATCGGCCTAAGACGACAGCTTCTTTACCTGCAATGTTGATGCCAGATCGCTTAATCAACTCCAGGACACCGTTTGGTGTGCATGGCAAGAGCCCATTGAGATCACCAACTGCGATCTTTCCTTCATTGATTGTATTTAATCCATCAACATCCTTATCAGTGGAGACAGAATCGGTGATCAAGTGAGAGTCGATTTTATTACTCGAGTCTAAGGGCATTTGAACGATGATTCCGTGGAATTTGGGATCTATGTTCAAACTATTGATCTGGAAAATATCACAAAACATAAGAAAATTTATTCATTAATAATTGGAATTTGAATGTTTATGATATATTCGCACCTTAGCTAATAACTCGCCTTCCGTAATCGATTTTGGAAGTTGCACATGTTCAGCATAAATTCCTATCTCAGTGGCAGCCTTCAACTTCATACGGATGTAGACATTTGAATCTTCGCGTCCGCCAACCTGAACAATCGCTAACCCTGGTCGGAAGCCTGGAAGTTTCTTACTTAATTCTGAAACGTTCTTCTTGAGACTATCGCGTATTTCTCTGAAATAAATTAGATCAATTTACTTTTCACGAAAATCTTGTAAACTGTCAAATTATGAAAAACCTCCAATAACTTCTTAAGCTAATGACCGTGACATAAAGGTGCGGCTGAATTCTAACGAGCTTGAAGTTCATCGCAACCGATTTTGAATGTCACTGATCATCAACTTCCACAAAGTAAAAATTATTCGTGAGATCTTAAAAATTTCTTATCAAAATTTCCAATACATTTGACCTACTTGGAAACTTCATTTCCAGAAAGAACCTTTGCATCTCCATCATCAGACATGGCAACAATAGCAAATTATTCACTTTCTTTTGAAACAGCACAAAACCTTTTAAATTTCAAACTGAAAATCTTTTATTTTCTTCCCTTTTTCTATTTTTTAGATCCTCGCACGACGGTAGTTCACAGACGACTAATAAAATTTGGTAGTAGCATTTAATATTTTTGGAAGCGTGTGGCATTTGAAGCTGTGTAGAAAAAAGGGAAAATAATTTTTTTTGATTCTCTGAGCAGGAGAGAAAAGGAATTGATTTGTTCATTCATAGTTTTCGTTTTTATTATGCATTGATGAAGCTTAAAAGACTCACTGGTTATGCTTGATTAATTTCGTATTAATGTTCACGTAATAAAAGTATGATCTCTTTGAAAAGTTCAGATGATTCTTTGATTAGAATTTTATTATCTGTTTATTCCTTCAACAAGCATTATTAAATTTATGTAATGTTTTAGAGTTAGTTCTGTTTAAAATATCGTGAGAGTGTTTTCTTTTCAAAGCTCACACTCAACATATTTTCCCGCACTCAAAACGATCATGTGGAAACAAAATAAAACGCGATTGAGTTTGAGTTTTAAGAAAACATTGTTTTGGTCAGACATCTGTTCAGTTGATTGTAATTGAATTTTACTATTTTGTTTTCATTAAATCTAGACAAGTTCTTAGTTTTAATTTATTTTTTCATTTAAATATTATAACTCAATATAATCAATCGAACGAGTTTTGTTAGCTTAACTTGTGGTAGTTAATTGAAGGAAATAAAATTATAGATATTGAAAAATGTATGTTTATATCGATGTACAGCATCTAATAGAATTAAATAAAATATTGTTTGACGTTCAAGGACGCCTTTTTCTATAAAAAGACTGCATTCTTAAACACACAACATATCAAAAATAAAAGAAAATTGATAGGTGTTTAAATTACTCGACGTTGTACATACAGAAGTGTTATTTTAGCTGCCTTTAAATGCGATTTATGAAAATCTCGACTAGACTTTTTACTTTATTGCATTAAATAAAGTACAATAAATCACATTTAATTAAACATTCAAAAATAATTTTATTATTAACATGAAAGAAAGCCTATAATAAAAGAATAATTATTAATATTGACATTTAATTTAATTAATTTATTATTCTGAAATTGTCAATCATCCACATAATTATTTTTTAATGAACTCACCTGTTGAAAAAAACTTGATTCCTTTTGCTTTCTTTCAAGAACGGTAAATAAAGATATCAGGCACTTTTAATAATCTTCCCAATAAATAAAACTGATAACATGGGCAGCAACTAAATAATTTTCCGATCAACATTTTATTTATCATACAATCAATTTAAATTACAGTTGTTGCAATTGCATGTCTTTGTTGAAAATTTATTGAAATTGTTTCAAAGTTTTCAGGGATTTATTATAAATAATGTAAAAAGCGTCTTAATATTTACCTATGCCAAATATTCAAAACTTTAATCGTCGTTTCGAGACTCCAAACCAAAACATCATCATTTTCGACCAATAAAAATGATTTGAATGAAAAACGAAAGCTAAAAGAAAATACAGGCAACAAAAAGCACCAAAATGCCTTCAGAATCCATTTCTCATCACGCTTTAATTAATGACAACGACACTCTATCTTTGCCGTAAAACGATTCAACTTCAATGATGTATCATTTATTTAATTTTGACTGATCCTATCTTAATTGCATACAAATATTTTTCTAAAATAAACAAAAACAGGAAAATTATACTATAAATTCGTATTTTTGAGTTCAAGGTTAATACTTTTAACCAAGCTTTTAACGATTCATTGATAACAGTCAAAAGGTTCTTTAAAATAGCTCAAAAAAAAATAAAAATTGTACCCATGTGGAAAATCGTCAAATTTAATAAGATTTCAAGAAATATCGAAAAAATAATCGTTGCTAACTAACGTGTAGATTAGAAAGTGTCAGGTTTGTTGTGATGATAAAAATTGACGCTTGAATTAATTTACAAGTTTTTGTATTTAGAAAGAATATTTTTAATAGCTAGTGAAAGTTTGTAGATATTCGTTTTTATATTTATTTTTAGGACTGAGTTGTAAGTAACTCTTGAATATTTAATTCAAACGCATGGACATCGAAATGAACGTGGAGTTATTGAGAATCTGTTCGATCCAATTCTGGTCACTCTTTCTGAACGTCCACGGCAGCCTCTGTCGGAATGAATTGTGCATTGGAAATTTCCAGATGTGAATCCAGACACGAATGGTCCACCATTAAGATTAACACAAGTATTTCCACTACTTACACCGACACAGTTACGTCTTCCTGTTTGTCTACAAACATTAATTATGCCAGGTATTCTCCCTCGACTACAGTTTTGTGCTTCCAGTTCATTGAAAATATGAAGTAAGACAAATAAAATAAAAATAAAACTTTTCATTTCTTATGAAGTTTTAGTCTCTGTTTCACAATTTTAAATTTCTTACTAATGATTTCTCTATTTATTTTTGGTTTGCAGCTTTTTTTAACAGAACGACGTTTTTATATGTGCGAAATATCAAGAAATATGAGATACGAGGCTTGTATCACAATTGTCATAAAAACATGTTTATAATTCGATAAAATCATTGAAAATGAAAGACTACTTAGCAGAACATTTTAAGAGATAGAAATTTATTTTGGGGTGAATCATATTCCATTATTTTAGAATTTTCAGATATTAAATTATCTAATTGAAAATAATCTTAAATTAGCACACAAATCAAACATTCCAAAACTAGAAGATATTGTAGTTGTGAGAAAACCTGACTATACGGTCGATGAGTCAGTGAACATTTTAAGCTTTATTTTAAACGCATGGACATAGAATTGATCTTGGATTTAATCTGAATTTGTTTGGTCCAACTTTGTCCACTTTCTCTGAATCTCCACGACAGCCTAACCCCGAATAAATTGTACATTGATAAAGTCCAGATGTGAATCCTGAATCAAATGATCCAACACCAAGATTTTCACAAGTATTTCCACTACCGACACCAATACAGTCACGTGCTCTTGGATGCCTGCAAACGTTGATTATTCCAGGTGTTCTCCCTGGCGGACAGTTCTGTGCTTCCAGTTTATGGGAGATAAGGAGTAACACAAATAAAGGAATAAAACTTTTCATTTCATATGATTTTTAATGTTCTGTTTCACAGTTTTAAATTCTTACTGATTTTTTTTTGATTTGTAGAATTGTTTAAACAGTGCGACCTTTTATACGTTTGAACATCAGGAAATAATTATGTCTTTATTTGTATTCAGTTTATAATTTCGATAAAATTACTAAAAATTAATTACTATCTGAATAATTTCAGACATTTATAGAAATTTATTTTAGGTAGACGTAGAATGATGTGTTATTAAAAGCGGTCTCCTTCAGATATTAAATTGAATGAAACCTATTTTAGCAAAAAACAATATTGTCTGATTAGATATCAAAGATTTTTCAAATTTATAAAATGATTCAATTTTGGGGGACAAACGTACCATGCAGTCGATTACGAAAATTACGTGGCGATTTCGAAAATTTTTAACATCCTGAAAAATCTCAAATGAAAAGAAAATAAAAAGTTGACTTTGTGGCGAACTTTCTTTATGTCTTTAATGATTTATTTCAAGTTATCAAAATCACTCCGAAGTTAATAGGTATATAAAAGAAAACAATGTAAAAAATGTTTTAAAAATATTGATGATCATGTTTAACCATTCATGACCATTCTGACGAGTTCTTCATAGTTGACATTGCCTTGTGAGTCTTCTTGATTGATCAGTAATTGTTCCACCTCTTCGTCACTTAGTTTCTCACCAAGAGTTGTTAATAAATGCCGAAATTCAGCTGATGATATGAAACCTGATGCATCCTTATCAAAGTGACGCAATCCTTCAATGAAGTCATCAGCAGTGTCACCTGAACGCTGCTTTGATATTGCCTGTGTCATAAAAATTCATCGTTAATTCAGTTCTGAAGAATTTTTCATCAACTTCACCTGATAAATAGGCAAAAACACTTCAAAAAATATTCTCTCATCAGGTTTCAGTTGATTTGTAAACTTTTTGACATCAGATTCAGTTGGATTTTGACCCAAAGCACGAAGACATTCACCAATTTTTTGTTGTTGAATTTTTCCATCTCCACGATTGTCAAACAAATTGAATGCTTCTTGGAATTCTAAAAAACAATTCCACATAAATAATCACAAACATTTTGATTTTTAAAAATATTCGCCACAAATCAATCAATATCAGCAAACTACCTTCAACAGAAGAAAACGATTGCTTTCTCGGTTGGTCATACATTTGAAACGTGAGAACTTTTCAGAATGTCAAACGGAAATTTAATCTTCGATTATTAGTTACAGAAATACTCAAAGCAAACGTCTTATAAGATTTTAATTTTCAAGGAAAAATGAAATCAAATTGAAGTCAACTCAATTGTTTTATACAGCGTGAAAGTGAAAAATAAACAATTCCCGTCAACGATTGAAACCTGACTGATGAATTATTACAGAAACTCATTCAACGTGAGTAATGTAACAACAGGCAAACTGCATATGTAGTAACAATTCATTAAAATAAATTATTGGTCCTTAACACTGCACTAATACCTACTTACATTGTTTAATATTGAAAGAGAGCAGAAAAGCTTTACCATTTTTAGAAATAAAAAAATATTAAAATTGGTCAAGGAATATCCAGAGGCGACATCGAACTTTTACATCACACTGCAAATATTTCGTCTTTGTTGGAAACTGTCAAAATTACTTTCTCAACAACAGTCGTGAAAACGAAACACCGAAAGACGAAAAAGCTATCTCGAGATCATTCAATTGCTTTGACCATAAATGGAAGAAATTTGTTGTGTGCCTTTAAATTGTTGCCTTCAGTCGAGCAAATATACTCATGCAAGTTTTTGTGACGAAGCAATTATTAAAACACTTACACAAACTGAATTTATTGAAAGAATCGTCTGATATTTTATGAAATAAAATAAATATGCCAAATGTTTTCGTCAACTAAAACTTCACAGATTAATCACAATTATAATTCTTGTAATTGTAAATCAAGATAAAATTTCTTCTATTCTTAAAATCTTTTAAGAAAAGCTTCATTCAATTTTGATGTTAATTGAGATCAAAAGTTTATGGAAAGATGAAATATTTAATTTAACTCTTCAGAAGCACAACATGATTGGAAAATATTGAAATGCTTTCTGAATATCGAAAGTGGGACAAAATTTTCATCTGTTTAACTTTTGTCGGGAAATCTCAAAAGAAAATTGAATTAGACCCAATATTAACTTATATTGAGATAGTTTAGTTATTTTTCTATATTCATAATCAATTAGACATGAAAGAAGATAAATTGATGAATTTTTACTTCTTCTTCTCTTCAGGTGTTTGTTGATGATTCACCCATAAACAACATTCCTGTTTTCAAATTTACTCACCAGCTAGTTGATCTTCTGAGTAATTTGTCTGTAATTAATATCAGTTTTACTTTATTTCATAGATTATTTGTAGCATTAAATGATTTATCCATACCATATTTGTAATATTTAAATTTTTGATGACTTAATTGATGGTTAAATAAAAATTTATTTATAATTTTTTGGGCTTTTTTGCGTTTTTCTGAGTTTCTACGAACGATAGGTTGTGTCAATGTATTGGAAATTGGACTACCGAGTNAATATTTAAAAACAAACAAACTTAATTGATTCTATTTCACGAATGAAAATTATTTTCATCATGGCATGCTGACAAAAAAATTGCTCATGCAAAAAATTTTTCATATCTACACCGTGACATTGCTTAGTAGATGGCGTGACAAAAATTGAAAAAAGCAACTCAAAATAAAACACTTTTCCAGATTCGTAATCAAAAAAATGTTAAAGCAGAATTAATCTAGATGAGTTAAAGTGTTTATTTGCTTTTTACAGATTCAAAATATGTTTAAAATAAGTTATTAAAAACCTGAAACAAAAAGTTGCTGAAAGTGAAAAAAAAGTCGAAAAAATGAAGAGAAAAAAAATCCAATTTTAAATGACAATATCTTTATTTCTTTGACGAGATTAGGAAATTGTTGTACTACATTTTGAAGACTCACTAATAATGATTGTTCTGTCAAAGTTTCAGCGCAATCGATAGTGAAAGTTCTTCAAAATCTTAATTTGAAAATGCGAAGTGAAAAATTCATCTACAGCGTTTCTCATCTACGCTGTGACACTCATCTATAATTTTTTGGGCTTTTTTGCGTTTTTCTGAGTTTCTACGAACGATAGGTTGTGTCAATGTATTGGAAATTGGACTACCGAGTAAATTTTTTTTAAAAGGTTGTTGCATATTAGAAAAACATAAACAATGAAATTCAATATTTTAGCTAATTTATAAGTAAACGATGAGGACTATATTATTTAAAACATTTCTAGGATATACTTTAACATCCAATAGTATTATCAATAATGCTAGAAAGTGTAATCACTCTTGGATAAACCGTGAAAATTTTATATTAAAATTCTTCTCAAACAAAAGTGAAAAAGCTTTAAAACCGGAAAAAGAAAATCATTGCAATGTTGGTAAGTTACCTTTCAAATGTTGAATGACTTGGGAATCCCATTAATTACATGATATTTCAGGAACTATTGGACATGTTGATCATGGTAAAACTACTTTGACAGCTGCAATAACCAAAATTCTGGCTAAAGATGGTCTCGCTGATTTCATTTCATATGATGCAATCGATAGAGCACCAGAAGAAAAAGCAAGAGGCATTACAATTAATGCAGCTCATATTGGATATGCAACTAAAGCAAGAACTTATGCCCACACTGATTGTCCAGGTCATGCTGACTACATTAAGAATATGATTTCTGGTGCATCACAAATGGATGGAGCAATTCTTGTTGTTGCTGCTACAGACGGCACAATGCCACAGACACGTGAACATCTTCTGCTTGCAAAACAAGTTGGAATCGAAAAAGTTGTCGTTTACATCAATAAAGCAGATCAAGTGGATCAGGAAATGTTAGAATTAGTGGAACTTGAAATTCGCGAACTTCTCTGTGACTTTGGTTTTGATGGCGCAAACTGCCCAGTCATTCATGGTTCAGCACTTCAAGCACTGCAAGGAGTAGATAGTGAAATAGCTGAACCATCAATTAGAAAACTTTTAGATGCTCTTGACAGTTATGTTCCAATACCTGTGCGAGATCTCACAAGTCCGTTCTTATTGCCTATTGATAATTCATTCACTGCACCTGGACGTGGAACTGTTGTCGTTGGCACATTGAAACGTGGAATTCTCAACAGAAACGACGAAGGTGAACTTTTAGGATTTGGTCAAGATCAGGTGAGATTTAAATGAAAGATTTTTAAGGAACAAAAATTAAATTTCATTTTTGAAGAAAACAACAATATCGGAAATTCAAGTTTTCAAGAAAAATGTCTTAAAAGCTTATGCTGGTGATAACGTCGGAGTTCTGCTTCGTGGTGTGAAGATTTCCTCAGTTCAACGTGGAATGCTTTTATGTGCTTATGGAACCGAAACCATGTCGAATCATTTTGATGCTAGCATGTATGCTTTATCACGTAGTGAAGGCGGCCGAATAAAACCAATAAGCTCAAAGTACATTCAACAACTTTTCAGTCGAACTTGGAGTATTCCTGTAAGATTAGACTTTCCAAACAACTCAATGTTGATGCCTGGTGATCACGCAAATTCAGTTAGATTAACTTTATTCTCAAAGATGGTCATGTCGAAAGGTCAATCTTTTACAATTCGTGAAAATGGTTGCACTGTAGCTACAGGTGTTGTAACAAATCAACATCCACCAGTTAATCTTCCTTTAAATAAACTTTCAAAACTTGTTCTTAACATTTAAAGCACCAACGATGTCGAAAAATGATTGTGAACTCCTTCAAGATTAAAATTTATGAATAAAAATTCATTAGTGAAAAACTAATTTTGTTTGTTTACAACTTTATGATAAGAGTAAGTGAGTTTTGACGATAAGCTAATTTTTATTTCTTTTTGTATTATACTTAACATCTTGTGACTAGATAATTATGGTAAAAGATAAATTATGTGAGTAGGTACTTGACTTTTATTGGATCAAACAATTTTTATTTCAATTCATTATGAAATTTTTACATTTGAATTTTTTTTTTACGACAATCCGATTCAATTTTGAAAAGTACCCTTGAATTGAAATTGCTGGTGATTGTGAGTGAGTAAGTAAGTAATTCAGCATAATTTGAAGCTTCCCCATGTGTAGCTGCCCATCTGCAATTTGTTTTCTAAACTTTTATAATGGATCGATGTAAATATTCCTTTTCTTCACCCCAAAGCATTGAAGCTGCCTTCAGTCATTAAAGCCCGATGCGATATGACTATGTTAAAAACTTAACATAGTCAGATGGATTTTGTTTTTATGGAGAAATTTAGTCCTACCTAGATCTGATGATGGTAATGTTTCTATTCATTATTGAATTTAATTTAAAATTAAAATGACTGAAAAATTTTAAGTACAGCAAATTTAATTCATCCCGTCTTCTCGTCCAAATATTTATTCCATAAGTTGTCGATAACAGACTGGCGCCAGTTACATCTGTTGGAAATAATAAAGGAAAGAAAAATTGAAAAAAAAATTGTGGCTTCGGATTTTTTAAAACTTTCATAAATATTTTTTTCCTGAAAATTCACTTAATAAAATTTATTAAATTTTTATGTAAAGTCAAGACAGATTTGATACATGATTTGATTTTTTAATTTTAATATTTTCTCTTTTATTCATTTTCCAATATTTAGATATCATTAAGACTTTCAATTTGATTCATATTAAATATTCAAATATTTAAAAATCTTTGAATGATTAAGCTAAACACATGAACATTTAATAGATTTTGCTGTAAAATAGAATTTAACATTTGTGCTGCCTATATTTTGTTTATTACTACTTGATTTGCAGCCTAACCCACTGTAAATTGCACATTTGGAGCCTCTAGATGTATGTCCGTATTTGTATGGCCCTCCTTTTGTAAGATTTTTACAGGTGTTTCTACTGCCAACTGCAGAGCACCCTTTTTTGTTTGCTGCCGTGCAAACGTTAATGATGCCATCTGATTTCCATGGGAAGCAAGTTGCTGCTTCCAGTTCAATGGCGACAAGCAAAAGGACGAATAATGCAAAAAATAATCTCTTCATTTTGTTTTCAATTTCTTTAACTTTTGATAATTTTTCTTTAAGCTTTTGTTAAAGTTTAAAACGTTTCTTTGTCAAACCACCCCTTATATAGGCGCCTAATTAATTATCGTACTTTTCGAGTGTGCCATAAATAATATCAAATATCTAAGTACCTACTACTTTATTATCTCAAATGAACAAAAATAGAGGTAAGCTGATAATTCCATAATACTTTTCATCGGATAATTTCATAATATTGTACTACCTACCTTTTGTAAAAAAACGCCAATAAAAATAAAATTTAGATGAAACGAAAAATTGTTATCGAATTTAAAACTTTAAATACGTGGGCATTTAAACAGATTTCTGTGTGATTGGAAACTTGGATCAATCAGCTCTGTCACGCTCGCTGAGATTGTGAAACAACTGGGCGATCATGGCCGATGAACTTTTTTTTTTTTCTCATATGTTTTTATTGCTATCGGAAATTTACAATAAATTTATGGGATAGCCCTAATCTTAATACAAAAACTTGAGAGATCTTAATAAAATAATTCAAGTAAATTTAATTTTAATTATTTTTATTTCGAATTAAATGAATGTAGTTAAAAAAACTTTGGCAATTATTTAATACCAAGCGGAAGAGTTGTAGACATTCCATCTATAAATTTGAGAGAACTCTATGACGATTTGATGTGCTAATCATTAGCATCTATAACATTTCAGATCAATGAACATGTGAAGCTTTTTATATTTGTTCATTTATAGTTTTCAATTGCGGATTCTGATAAAAACGCCCCCCTTCAAGGTTTATGCAGTTTGGTACTGGTGTCATCAATGCAATTAACTTTACCCCATCAAGCAATGGCAAGTAATAAAAGTAATCAAAAAATTCATTTTGTTGATCCAAAATTTTCTTGAATTTGTTTTCTAAAATTTTTTAATTAATTTTTATGCAATTCAATTGAAAACAAATTTGTGTAGAAACTTTAATTTTAATGATCATAAGAAATATCAAATCACGAATTGAAATGTCGTGAAAAAGGCATAACTCATAACTTAGAATAGTTAATGGTTTAAAATAAAACTTTATTTTAAAAACTTATATTTAAGTATACATTTTGAATACTTAAACACATGGACATCGAACTGATCTTGCAGGAAAACTGAAATTAGCTCTGATGCTGGTGATCCGTTCCTCACTTCCCCTGCAGCCCTCATTTGCAAAAATTGTGCATCGAGGCACCTGACCAGCGAATCCTGACACAAATGGGCCTCCAACAAGGTTGATGCAAGTATTTCTACTTTCAACCCTTGAACAGTTGGTGCTTCCTCTTTGTCTGCAAACATTCATTACGCCACTTGGCCTTCCTGGCATGCAAGTCCGTTGCGCATCCACTTGAGAACTTAAAAGTGCTAAGACAAATAATGAAAAAATGAAAGCTTTCATTTCTTAAGAATAATTTGACTGATTTATTTTTGAATCAATGAAGAATTTTCACTTTTGAATTGTGTTTGAAATCCTATTTGACTTTGAAGTGTTTTTCAAAAAATCACTCTTTTATAGCTGGAAAATTTCGATCGAAATAATTAATTAAATGAAATTGTATTTCACCACTATGTCTTTTTCTATTATTTTCAGAGTAAAATCTTATGATAAGAATGATTGCAATTTACAATTTTACTGAAATTGTCAAAGTGAACATCGACTAGAAACATGAATTTTAATCAAGTTGATCAGTTATCGTTGAGTGTTAACAAATTTCAACAAAAATTGAAAACTTTATCAAATGAAATTAAAATTTCGATGGAAAGAAGAAGAAATTGCTTAAGTTAATGAAATCGATCATTTTAATTTATTTAACCAAACATGTTTTGAGTAACATAACTAAATATTGACTAATTAGATGCAAGAATACTATGGAAGAAAAATTATCCAAATTAAAAATAATAAACTAAAGTCTTTTCATTTTTGTCATTTAATTATCTCACTTTATGGTTCCATGATCCGGTTGGATTTATACATACCTAAATAATTTATCATTTATTAAGGGGAATGCCGAAAATAATAAAATGAATTCAAACAATAACAAAATCTTCAATTCCATCGTCATCGTCATCATCACTCAGTTGTCGACTTCTTGAACCAGGTGAAGGGAAATTATTTCTCACAGTAAAGAGATCCATGCTTTGATCTCGAACTCGACCAGCACTGAAGACAAACATCGGATAATTATATTCAAGTCCGTAGCTTTTTTGCGGTACGATGCAATTTTGTTGTTGATTGTTGAGGCGGTCGGCATAATTTTTAATTGGTAAAAGATACGGTTGAACACTACTTTGAAATCTATCGTAGTCATTCCTCGACGAGATGTAAAAACCCAAACAACAACTTGGATCCATTTTAGAAATTTTCATCTTACGAGGTGATTTGCAATGGAAGCTTGATAAGGAAAAATTCTCAATGTTAACATTAACCATATCTTGACAATAATGAGGATCAAGATGAATTAATTTGTCGTCTTGATAACCAACGAAAAATAGCGAATGCTTTGGTCGACCTCCGATGATTCCAATACACCATTCAAGGCTCAACATGGCTTTCAGACAATCGCCATAAATAGGATTCAACTTCTCATGACCTAATCGAAGTGGAATCAACAAAATTAACGCTTTCCATGTTATAATTTCACGACGAATATGAGTTGGAGATGGTTGAAGGGGCTTTTGTTGTTGCTGCCATGGCACTGATTGGTTCTCTTGTGAGTAACACTCGTCGAAGATGTCTTGATTATAAATTGTACAATCTTGAGCGACATAAACATGGAGGGATGTTAAATCAAGATTTTCTTTAGATGATTGTTTCACTGCTTGCTTCAAAAGATGTGCAACAGCTCCAGGTCCATACCATTCACCAACTTTCTTTCCACTTGCTTTACCCAACTCAACCATTGCATGAATGGAGAATGGACTGTTTTTTGACACTTGATCACCAAACCATCTGATAATTTTTCGATGAATATGATCTTCGGCGGTTGCAAAGATTTGAGATTCGGGATCGTATCTCCAACTTCGACTCAAGAAGTGCATTACAAGTGCTTGTGCAAGCATCATTTGTCCAGATCGAATCATACAACCCCAGCCACAATCTGAAGTGTAACCATTTGATGCATTTGATGGTTCAACTTGCATCATGGCAAAATCTTTTCGATATGTCATCCAAATTCTTGAAATGAAATCTTTCTTGAATCCATCAATTCCATCTTCATAATTTCCGATGACATCTTGGCCTGTTTCTTCAGCTGGTTCAATGGCACGATCAATTTCACCATTATCGCTTGTAGGTGTTTGAATATTGAAATAGGATTCTGAACTTGTGGGTTGTTCTTCGTGCATTGAAAGTGTCATGAGACGATTTTCTGTATTCGTTAAATTTGTGTTTGTTATTTCAACAGAAGCTTCCATTGAAGGGCAAGGTGTCATTTTACGATGATAACAACGTCCAAGAAACCATATAGCTGATTCTTTACTGAAACTTGATCGCATTTTTCCACTCCATCCGTATTTCATATTGTGCCAAAGTGAAATTATCTTTGTTTCCACTTTGCCCTTGAGTTCTTCATTATTAATATTTCTTATTGGTGTACCTACATAAGAAATTGTTATTTTTAAAATAAAATTCTATAAGGTCATTAATAAAATTTACTTTGTTCAGATGTTGTTGCTTCTTGAGGTGTTTTTTGCACTTCTTGTGCATTATTGTGACTTGATGAAGGCGTTGTGAAACTTTCCGTAAGACGTGTGAAAACTGAATTCCTGTTGAGCATCTTGTGGAGTGGATCACTTAAATTATTTCATTATTATTAAAACTATTTTTTACTGATAAATTATAGTTCCAGTGAATTAAAAATGAAAATCTTTCACTTGGACGTAATTCTCTTGATTTGCTTTGTTTATTTGGTGAAAGTGGTGAACGTGGTGAGTTTCAAAGTTTCTGTTGGAATTAGGAACATGACCAACCATTTTTAAATTTCTTTCACAAATCATTCCCAATTGTTAGAGTTGTCAAGAAAACCATTTTTAAATTCATTATTATTTCATTAACTGTTTTCATTCTAATTTCAAACTGTTGGTAGTTGTACTTAGGAACATTCTGTGAAGAAGGTAAGCCTTTTGAATTGAAAGGGAAAGAGATTTATTAACATAAATTTTTGTTAAGCAACGACCGTTGAAATTTCTTCCATCTCTTTCTTTTATTAACGTTAAACAATCGATTGTTCATTCCAATTGTTATTAACAACAGCATTTCTAATGGAGGACTCAAGAACTAGTGACATTTCCAAAACAACATTGGATTTGGTTGATTTATCGACAAACGAAAATGATGCATCAGCTCCACCGGCAGTTGACGATGACTCTTTACATCCAACTGGAACTCGAGGATTTTGTGTGAAAGAATATGAAGAACAAATGCAATTGCTAAAGAAAGAAAATTTCAATCTTAAGCTTCGTTTATACTTTCTGGAAGAAAAAAATCCAAACATTCCGGAAGGAGCTGAAACTTTATACAAACAAAATATCGATTTGAAGGTAAGAAATTCCTTAATTGTCTCAATCAATCAAGATTATCTCCTTTTTTCATTATAGGTCGAAGTTGATAGTTTGGAAAAAGATGTGCAAGAGAAACAAGACTTGTTATGTCAAGCATCGAAGGCTTTGGAATTGCTTGACGTACAAAAGTCAAATGATTTGAAGCATTCTCAAATGAAAATCGATGAATTGAATCAAAAAGTTGAATCCTTGGAGCATGAAGTTTCTTCACTTCAAGATGCACTCAGCAATGCTAATAAACCGAATCTTGGGAATGACACTGGCTACGCTGACTTTCTTGGAGCAATCGACAATAGAGACATCGAACTTCAACGTAAAATGGTCGAGATAAGAGACGTTGAAAAGAAATTTTTAGAGCAGATTAGTGACATGAATGTGAAAGTTAAAGAGCTTCAAGATCAGAAAAAAGTTATCGAGGAAAGAGCTTCAAATTTGGATTACGATAATAGTGAAATGAAGGACAAATTGTCACAAGTTGAAGCGACAATGACTCAACAGGTCGGTTTTTAACTTGAAATTACCATCCAAACCTTTTCCAATCTAATCCTTATCCTAGCACAAAAAATTTGCTTACCTCCGAGATTATTGTCATGAAAAGTTGGAAGAATTTAGAATGATGAAATTTAAAACTGAAGACATGAAGAACGTTTGTGAATTAAGATTCTATGATGAAGAAAAACTTGTAAAATTACAAGAAAAAAATTCATTTACATCAATTTTTTAATCTTATTTCTTTTCACAGAAATTTGAACTTGAAAGAGAACTTCAAGAATTCAAAGATAAATGGGCTGCAACAACATGCGAACTTCATGACAGTGAGGCGAAGTTGGAAGGGACTGAAACTCAACGAAAGAAGACGTTGTTGGCTTTGAAAGAGGCATTGGAAGCTTTGGATGAGGAAAGACACAAAGTGATTGCTTTAGAGGAACAAATCAACAACTCGACACATGAAGCAGACAAAAATAACACAATGAAGGTGAGTTTGAGAAAGAGTTTCAATCTTTTGTCATTAATCTTGACTTTGAAAATGTTTTGAAGCTTCTCAAGATTGCCAATGAAAACCTTCAAAGACTCAAAGAAATTTGGGACTGAGACATATCATTCGAGTCTTAATTAACACAAAATTTGATTCTCAATTTATTGATTGTATTGAAATTGTTTTCGTCTCAGTCTCTCGCAAAAATTGAAGAAATTTTCTGATCTTTTCTTTTATTGGGAAATTTTCAGGAACTTTCTGAACAAGAATTGATGTTAAAATCTAAAAACAATGAAATTGGAAAGCTCAAAGATGAACTTAATGATATGAAACGTCGCCTGTTTGTGATGACAAACAAGGAGTTGCACGAAAAGAATGAAGAAATCTCAAAATTGACAAATGTCATTAACAATATGAAAGCTGAAAATAATCATTCACAATTATCTCGACTGTCCCTTGAACAACTCACCGATTCTTTCAATGATTTGAAGATTCAACAATCAATTGAACAGAAAAATAATGCACAACGTAAAATTGATGAACTTCTCAATCAAATTGCTGATGCGACTAATAATAAGCACGTAGAAAATGTCATGAAACTTAAGGAACAAATGGCGATTGTTGTGGAAAAGCAAGAAGTTTCAGACTCAGCTTTGGAAAAATGTGTCGAAATTTGTTCGTTTTCTTTGGATCATCTCAATGGTCTCGCACAATTCATGAGCAATTTATTGCAACAAAAAGAATTTTGTGAATCGCTTAGTGAAGCCACAATGAACATGACATGCAATATGTGTCATCAACAAAACCTTTGAACTTTCCAATCATGCAGCTCGTTTCTCAATTAGCATTGATGGATGAAGCAAAAGATATTATCGACGATTTAGTTGACGAACGCGATGAATTGGAAAGTAATTTGACAATTGAAACTGGCAAGCGAACTGATTTGGAAATTCAACTGGAAAAAGGTGAAAAATTAATTTCACAGCTTCAAGAAAAAATCGACATCATTGAAAATGATTTGCTTCTCAATTGGATAACAAGAGATGAACATAAACAGGTCGAGAAACGTTTAAAGGAAGAGATTGTCAATGGAGAAGCTCAACTTGCTGCTGTACGAATGGAAATGGAATCACTTCGTAATGAGATTAAAATTCACGTTGAAGAGAAGAAAGCAGAAGAAATTGCCAATAAAGAAAATGTCAAAGAACAGCAGAAACGTCGAACAATTGAAATTTCTGATGACCGTCGTTTGATGTTGATGAACGAAGCAGCAGATTCACTTGATGAAATTTCAANAAGAAGTTTCAGACTCCACATTGGAAAAATGTGTCGAAATTTGTTCGTTTTCTTTGGATCATCTCAATGGTCTCGCACAATTCATGAGCAATTTATTGCAACAAAAAGAATTTTGTGAGTCGCTTAGTGAAGCCACAATGAACAACATGCAATGTGTCATCAACAAAACTTTTGAACTTTCCAATCATGCAGCTCGTTTCTCAATTAGCATTGATGGATGTCGAATGTCATCATTGCCGAACATTTCGTCGCTTGATTTATTAATGGCAACAGCTAGAAATTCACTCGGAAGTATTCGAGATCTTTGCGGACATAACAAATCATTTCATGATGCCAAGAATGAACAAATTGAAACGATGGAAGTTGAAATGGGGAAAATTAAGGAAGATTTGTTGACAGCAAGAAGTGAAATTGATAAACTCAATCAGCACAATGTCATTTTACAAGAACAAGTCAAAGAGGGTAAAGTTCAATACGAAAGATTAAATTCGGGACGCAATCAACTAATTGAAGACATAAGAAATGAGTTGAAGAAAGTTGAAACTGAAAACGAATTGCTAACGACACAAATGAATGAAGCAAAAGATATTATCGACGACCTAGTTGACGAACGCGATGAATTGGAAAGTAATTTGACGATTGAAACTGGCAAGCGAACTGATTTGAAAATTCAACTGGAAAAAGGTGAAAAATTGATTTCACAGCTTCAAGAAAAAATCGACATCATTGAAAATGATTTGCTTCTCAATTGGATAACAAGAGATGAACATAAACAGGTCGAGAAACGTTTAAAGGAAGAGATCGTCAATGGAGAAGCTCAACTTGCTGCTGTGCAAATGGAAATGGAATCACTTCGTAATGAGATTAAAATTCACGTTGAAGAGAAGAAAGCAGAAGAAATTGCCAATAAAGAAAATGTCAAAGAACAGCAGAAACGTCGAACAATTGAAATTTCTGATGACCGTCGTTTGATGTTGATGAACGAAGCAGCAGATTCACTTGATGAAATTTCAAATCCATCCGAACCCTCGTCATGTCAAATGTGCACAAAATATCAATCAAAGATCCTTGAATTGAAAAAGTATTTGAGTCGAGCTATTGAAAAGATCAAAATGCAATCAGAAATTAAAGCACAAAATGATCGTCACATTCAGAAGCAACTCAGCAACACCGAATCGTTCTTACATTCTGCAAGAGCCAATATGGAAAATATTTTAAAATCCCGCAATGTACCCCAAGAATGAGAAATCTTCGTTTTTACATGTTTCTAAGAAATCCTTTTTTATTTATCTTAATTAACTTTATTTTTCTAACAAATTTTGTAAAATTTTTGCCACTTTTGCAGCATCAATTTTATTATCGTATCGTTTCATAATTTCACCGATTAATGCGAATAAAACTTTTTTCTTGCCTGATTTATAAACTTTCGTGATTTTCTTTCCTGACTCTGTCATGAGAGTTTCATTGCAAATTCTTTCAATTTCAGCGTCGTCGGTGATTTGTGTCCAATTTTTGTCCTTCGCAATTTCAGACGGTGACTTGGAACTTTCCAGCATTTCATTGAAAATTAATGAAACAAGATGTTGATTAACTTCACTTTTCTCCTTCATGTCGAAGAGTTCTCCGATTTGTTGTGACGTCATTTTAATATTTTCAATCTCAATGTCTTGTTTGTGACAAAATTTCAACAAATCATTGATAAGAAAAACTGCAACTGATCTCGTTGATCTTGTTTTAATGTTGCCGTCATTAATAATATCATAGAAATATTTGAGAAGTATTTGATGGTTGACAAGAATCTGCGAAGTTTCTTCATTAAGTTTATACTTTGCCACTAAATCATCTCGCATTTGTTGTGGTAGAATTGGAAGACTCTTGGAGATAAAATCAACATTCACCAAATCATTTTTCTGTTCGTCGCCGCACATATTCAAATGTAATGGCGGAAGGTTCGGTTCTGGCATGAATCGATAATCTTGAACAACTTCTTTATCTCGCATGACAATAGTTGTTCTTGTTGTCGCATCCCATGATCGAGTTTCATTAACAATTTTTCCACCATTTTCCTTTACAGAAATTTGTCTTTCAATCTCATAATCAACAGCTTGTGCAACGCCTCTAACTGATCCAATATTTTTAACTTCTGTCCTTATTCCCAGAGGTTCGTTTGGTTTATGAATTGAAATGTTGGCATCAACTCTAAGTGAACCTTCCTCCATTCGACAATTACAAGTCTCGAGAATGCTTAGAATGAGAATTAATTCTTTAACTAAAGCAGCAGCTTCTTCGCCATGCGTGAGATCGGGATCGAATACAAGTTCCATTAATGGAACTCCAGCACGATTTAAATCAATTAAACTTATTCTAAGATGCTCATCATGTAACGACTTTCCACTGTCTTGTTCGAGTTGAAGTTGATGAAGTCGAACACTTTTGTAATAAGGTTTTGTTCCAGGAGTAAAGACTGGGAAAGTTAAAGATCCATTACTTGCTAAAGGCGCTCTTTGTTGTGTTATTTGATAGCCAGCAGGTAAATCAGCATAGAAATAATGTTTTCTGTCAAACATGCTGATCTTGTTGACATTGCACGAAAGTGCTAAGGCAGTCTTGACTCCAGCTTCAACACAACCTCGATTTAAAACCGGCAATGTTCCAGGAATTGAGGCATCCAAAAGAGCTACAGCTGTGTTGATTGGTTCAATAAAGCTGTTTTTAGCACCAGAGAATAATTTAGAATTGCTTGCAATTTGGGCATGAATTTCCAAGCCGACAACACTTTTCCATCTTCAAAAAAACAAAAATGTTATTCACAATTAAACATTTAAATTCATTTGTTTACTTTTTTGATGTTTTTAAAGTTGAATAACATCTTAATTTATCGTAAATTATTTTATTGAATAACCTTGTTGACAAAGGCAACATTTAATTAAATTAAATTTATTTTCTCGACGAATATCAAAATCGGTTTGAACAACAACAAAAAAATTTTTGTTTTCATTTTTTTCACAATTGAATTCGAAGAACATGACCACGAAACATATGATACTTAATTTCAGGTGTTCGTAACATTTGTTTCAAAGTCCGTGCTTTAGATTTTCTTTGTTGTGCCGTCGAAAGTAGTTGCAGCAACTCTGATGTGTTCAATAACTTCAAGTTCAACTTAAGAATCCGATTTTTTCCTTTTTTCATTTTATCACATTTTGAACATGATAGAGAATCTTTTTAATGATTTAGAATCCCACAATGTACAAACGCAAGAAAATGCCAAGCGTGAGTTAGCTGAATACTTCGCTTCCAGTGAGTATAAATCGATAATTTTGCATTCATCATTGTGTTGTCTTCGAAAGTTTGTGCAAGATTTATGTTAAAGTAAACTAAAGTTTTGCATTAAAAAGAGATTTTAGGTGATAAAAAGTAAATGTGCGACATATCGCAGCATTTAAATGACTGTTTGATGGCAATTTTAGACATATTTTGTCATTTTTTAATTCCATTCAGCCATTTTTCGTCGCGCTCGCCATTCGAATTTTACGTGCAATCAAAATTCCTCTTTTTTTTCTTCTCCCTTTCATTGCAGCGAAAGAAAGTTGGATTGTGAATGGCATGATCGATTATTATTCACACACAAACTCCTACAGAATTTTTGAAGTGCTTGTTAAAGTTCAGACACCACATGATGTGAATATCTTCAATAAACTTCAGAAATGTTTACAGGAGTCAAGTCAAATGCAAAAACGAAACGCCCTCACACTTTTCGGTCAAATCGTTAGAAAGCAACCAACGTGGCTTCACAAAGTTGTTAATCATGGGTTTCTAAAAGATCTTTTAAAATTATTAAAGGTTTGTGCCAAATTCCTCCTCAAACCTTCAAATTTAGTTTAATTTTTCTTCTTTTATCTATTTTAGAACGAGAGAGATGTTACAATATTCATGTCGGGATTACTTTGCATCATTTCACTTCTCCCAATCATCCCAGCACCCATCAGTGCTTTCCTTCCAGATCTCTTTGAGATTTTCAATCATCTTGCTGCTTGGCTTTTTCATCACGCTTCAGCCATTAAAGAAAGTGAACTTATCCATCTTCAATACGGATTTTATATGCTCTTCAATCGACTTTACGGCATGTATCCGTGCAATTTCATCGATTTTCTTCGCAATGAATACGTGAACAAGCAGGAGAAAACTGCAATTTTCAACCACACAATTAAGCCTTTTCTCGAGACTGTGAAGATTCATCCCAATCTCGTGATGGCTACAAAGACTACAGAAACGAGTGTTTCACGCTTCAAAAAGATGGAACCGCACGACGTTGTTGTTGAGTGTTCAAAGTATTCAATTGAGAATGATAAGCCTGCACCAAAGTCGAATTTCTTTGATTATCCGATTTATCGATCACCAATGAAGCCGTTAGAGTACACACATTTAATGGTTGATTTGCCACCGCCACTTCCAGCTCATGCAACATTAGCAAGCGCGAAAACAGTTGAAAGTAAGCTTGAGAGCCTTTGGAGTCCATCTTATGTTGTTCTGGCAACTCCACCACCTTCAACAACAGTTCCTAACACACCGACACCAACTCCCGTTCCTATGCAACCAAATTTCGCTATTACAATGCCATCGACTGCAAGCCATCATCAAGGAGACGGATCATCGCCACCACAATTAATTGAAGCTGCTATCGAAGCGACACCGGAAACGACACCTTTGAAACCGGAAATGAAAAACATTTTCCGACCTTATGCGAGTAATTCACAAGCTGTTCGTAATATTTGGCCAAAATCATCGTCACTTGTACAAACATCATCACCAACATCACCGATGAAGAAGGATTCAAATCAATTTCAATATTCTACAGCAGTCGATCTTCCTTCAACTTCTAATCAAAATTATAATTTAGATTTTACTGGAAATCAAAAACTTTTTAGAATTCTCAGTGATCGACAGCAACATCCACCAAGCGATGTCATGTCAATATCACAAGAAGATCAAGAAGTTAATGATATCAATAGTAGTAACAGTAATCATAACATGGACATTGGTGGTGACGGCAATGGACATCAGGAAATGATGGATTTTGATCCAACGCCAGAATCGGAACGAGAGAATGTCGATGATGATGATGACGACGAAGATGCTGACACAACGCCGCCTTTAGGTAACCAAAGCATCTATCAATGTGTTGATTATGTTCGTCGTGTTAAAAGACTTCGAATGTACAGTCATTGCATGTACAGTGCTGGAACATCGCCAGCTGATAACACCAGTTACATGCCACGCGCAAGTAGCAGTCAACGAATGAAACGTTTCAATTCATGGCCTAATTTAAAGACATCTGATGTTGTTATTGACTGTACAAAGAGTAAAGAATTAAATGGAAGTCAACAACATCAAGAATCGTCATCATCACCATCAGATGAAGCAATTTCGGCGGTTTCACATTTTAAGAAGAACGATCGAAATGGAAATTCAAAGCCGAATGAAAGTCTTTACAAGAAGATTCGAAATGATTTGAAAGCGAAGCCTTTGGAGATTGTTTCGAAGGAATCTAAAGGAACATCAACAGTGGAATGTTGGCCAGCATTGACCGCTTATGATTGTTTATTTTACGATACAATATTTAATGATGAAGGTAGACCATCGACTGATGTTATGACGACTGTCACGACAACAACAACAACGACCACTTCTGTTGCTGTCACAAAGTCAAGACAAGATGCAGCTTATTCAGAGTCATCAACAATGTCACCAGCATTGTCACCAAATGAGATGCTTGATCGTTACATTCAATTATCGATTAAAAGGAAAGATTCAGGCGATCCTCGTGATCAAATTGGACTTCTTGCTATTCAACTTCAATTTGAGAAGCATCGTCGTGAAATTCATGCAGAGAGAAATCGACGACTTTTAGGTAAAAGCCGACAAATTCGTGGTCTTGAGCAGAGTAATGCGACAATGATTGATCAAGTAGCACGATTATCAACTGAGATTACAAAACTCAACAGAAAAGCGACTGAGACACGTTCGATGCATCAGTTTGAGGTGAAGAAATTTCAGGAAGATATTAAACTTTTATCGAGAAAATGTAACGAAGAAAAGGAGAAGAATCGACAACTTCAAATGGAGAAAGAGTCACTTGAACTTCGATTGGATGATGAACAACTTTTGAAGCGTCAATCTGAACATAAAAATAATCTCCTGACAGCTGAATTATTTGATGTGAAAAACTTATTGGAAGCGGCGAATAAAGAGGCTGAACGTGGTCGCAGTTGTCGGGATCAGCTTGTAAAGCTCGAAGCAGAAATGATAATTTTCAACGATGCAAGAATCAAATGTCAGGAGAAAATGGAAGAACTTCATGCATTGAAAGCTCGTGACGCTGAAATGAATATTCTAGTCGATACTTACTCACACGAAATTCAAGAATTACGACGAATGCTTGAGTTGAAGTCATCACATGCTGATGTGTTGCGTGCTCGTGTTGGTGAACTTGAGCAACAGGTGATGAAGAAAGATGGATGTTATGCTGAACAAAAGCGACTTATGGCATTAATTAAGGATACAAACAATGAGAAAATGCGGGTAAGTTATTTGAAAATTCTTTTCTTAATTAAATTTAATAATTTTCTTAAAGATTTTGGAAGATAAATACTCGACTCAAAAGGCGATTCTTGTTAGAATGGAAGAACACATCCTTGAGCTAACAAGGAACCAAGCGGCTGTCACTTCACCGGAATCAGAGCGTACAGGTGAATAAAGAAAGTAATTAGTTAATATTAATTACAATAAATAATTTTAATTATTTCAAAGCTGATCTTGTTGGATACTCATCACCATTATCGATATCGTTAGCTTCAAGCGACGGTTTATCAGCAAGTTTAAGATCTACAAATGAATTAAAGAGTTTGCAACCGTTAGTCGTTGGAAATCCAGTTGCCAGTGGATCTTCAGGTGTTTTTGAACATCCTTCGACTGTTGTTTATCCCAGCACATCACAGCCGATTCTTCAACGACAACAGTCAATTCATGACGATGTTCCCATCGCAGCAATCTACCAGGAAACTCAAGTCAGTCTTCCCAACGTAAAAAGTGATTATGCGACATCCGACAATTTTCATACGATTTCATTAAATTTCTTTCATTGCTTCAATTTTACAATTGCCATTGTCATAACTTAAATTTCCTTCTTAATCTCTGTTTTTTGTTTCCTTCACTTTAAAATATTATTACATTAAATAATCCCAGAACTAATAACCAAATATGATTTAGAAACAATTTCATCCTTTTGTTCTTTTCGAAAGCATTTGTTACATACAGAAAGAAAAAATGAATCATTTTAAAACTTGGCAGAAGAGAGATAAATATTTAATCCAAAATTCAAATATCTACATTACAAATGTTCACAATTTTCATAATAAAAATAAATATTGTTGAGTAAAAATGGTTTTGCAAATATATACCTAACTGAATATTTATTTGAGAAGCTTGCGATTTTATAAAATTATTTAATTTATTGATTCCAGGAATTGTTTGAAATGCTACATAGCCATACAAGCAAAGTTCTATTTTCTTTCTTTTTCATATAAAATGTTACAGGTCCAAGGAGAAAAGATTGATAAAATCTTTGAATTAAAAAATCCACAAACATATTCATATAAAAAAAGCTAAAAAGAAGGAAACTTGAGTAATTCTGAAAAAAGGTTCACCTTATCAGAAACTTTACTTTCTGCTCTATTTACATTTCCTAATCAGTTTTGTTTCGTTCGCATTGATTTCGCGGAATCTGCAAACAATTTGTAGATGTAGTTGTGAAAAGTATGACACTAACACTACTTCATTACTTTCCTAACATTTTTCATTTCGAACCTCAGTGAACATCATGAACGCGGGAATAGTTTTTGCTCTTATTTGTGGTTTAACTTTTTTGGCTTTACCAAACATCATTGCTTATATTGCTGTAAATAAGTCGCATTTCAGTTTTAATTCAAATAATAAAGACGTACAGAAAAGAGAAACAACAAGAAACGTGAAGATTGAATCGAAATTAAACGAAACTTCGATGGTCGATGAATTTAACAAAATCGGCAATAAAATGCTTAAAACGCCATTATCTGTACTTCATGAATTGCTGGCAAAGAAAGGGCATTCAGCAAACTTTACAGAAATAAGTTTGGGAAATGACACGCGTCCATTAACGTTCAAATTCGTCGTTTCTTATGATGATCTATCGGGTAAAAAGAAGACAACGTTTTTTAAACATTCCTTTTAATATTTGACTATCTTAACACATTGTAGCTGAAGGCGAAGGAAAAAATAAGAAATATGCTAAACAAAAAGCTGCAAAAGCGCTCATTGATAAATTAGTTGGAGCTACGGTTTCAGATGAATTTTATTCCAATTACGATTCACCATCCAATGTGGACGGTAACAATAATTCAATAAATACTTCAACAAGCAGCTTAAATTCAGAAGATAGCAATAAAAACCAAGGAAACTTTGTCGGATTATTAAAAGAGTTTGTTGACAAAAAGCAGAAAATTGACAAAAATTATCCTTATCCTGTTTATGAAATTCAAGAAGATCAAAAATCATTCATAGCTAAATGCAAATTTCTTAACAAAGAAACAGTCGGAAATGCAGCTTCAAAAAAATTAGCCAAACAACAAGCAGCTGAAAAAATGTGGAGATTAATGGAAAGTTCTAACTTCATATAAATATCTACTTTAATTACATTATGAAGTTTTCATACCCAAGTTAAAAATTTCATTGCAAAATGAAATAAATTTTAAGAATTAAAAAACGAATCAAAATGTAAATTTTTAAAACTAAAACTTTAATAAATCAAATGTCTAGAATGTCATCAAGCCACTTTTGAATTGAATTTTGATCCTTTTCATCGGCTTTTGTTGAACTTGTCGCATTTTCATTTTCTGATGAATTCTTCGGAGGCTTTTTTGATAATTCGAGATTTTCTAATTTGATTTCAATATCAGTTTTCTGATTGTTAACAGTATCAAAAATATTACTTTCCATTGCATCTCGATATAGTTCTTCATTAACTTTTGCTTCATTTTTCATTCTGTTTTTCTCTTCTGAAGTCCACTCGATCTTCACGTTGTCATGTCTTTCATAAAACGGAATTGACATCAAGCAAAGATTTAGAATTTTTGTGTCTAAATTGAAATACTTTGAGAACTCTGTCGACGTTAATTCCTGAGTGAATTTTTCTTGCTCCGATTTTAACAGGAAATGTGAGCCAGTTGATGGAGGAAGTTTAAGAAGGTAATTAAAGTCAGGAGCTTCATCTTCTGAATCGCTAGAAATCTGGTTAGGAACATTTTGTGGTGATAAATTTTTCACAGGAAGCTTAACTTCTTTTTTATTTGCGCTATTTAAAGAGACAAATTAATTAATGTACAAATTTATTAATTACGTTTAGCAATTTCAGATGACTTACCTTTTATTTTTATGATAATATTCTCTTTTTTTTTTACTTTTATTGTTCATGATAATTGATTAAGATTCAAATTATCTAAATTTTAGTTTATTTCAATTTTCTTTATTAAATTCTCCGAAGCAGGTAAGAAAAATCAGAGAATTTAAGATTCTTGTTGAACAAATTCATTCAAATTTATTGTTGACAGCGTGGTCATGTTCTTAATGATTGTTTGGTATTAGGTTTGGTCATGTTCTTCAATGTGGAAACAAAACTAAAAGACCGAACTTTGATGTCTGAAATTAAATTTATCTTTTAACTTAATTAAATGGACCTTTTCATTACAACTATTGGACAACGATCCTCAGAGTTCTCGGAATCTGACGCTACATTTTTCTATAATCATCAAGAATACAAACAACTAATAGATTGGCATGCTTTCGATAAACTTTTACGTAAATTTGTTGTTCTCCAAATATTTCAAACAAATCAAAATAATTTCTATCTCCTTTCAGAACTACATCGTAGAACAGGATTCTATTTGAAAAGTATACCAATAAATGGAATTGACAATCTCTTGTTGTTTTACACGAATGCTTATGGAATAATTTTTGACAAAACAATTCGTCGAGAAAAAAAATTCTTGATCGATTCCATTTTTGAAATTTATGATGAAAAGATCATAACAGAGCCTGTAGCTGGTTCATCAAGAGCTTCTGAAGAAAGAGAATTAACACTAGAAAACTTTTATGAAAGACTGAGACAAAAACATGAGTTTGATGACCTTGAAACTGACATTCCACAAAATGTTCAACATAAACACTTGCGACCACTTCTTCGTCCTTATCAGGTGAAAGGAATCAAATGGCTGCTTAAACGCGAACTCATTACAGATTATCTCAAACCTTGTTATGTGAAAATGCAATCAAAATTCAACAAAAATCAAACTTTATTCTACAACAAGTACACGCAAGAAATAATTTTAAATTCTCCATTACCGCATAAAATTCCTCCCGGGGGTTTCCTAACAGGTAAGAAAAGCTTCGTCATGTCTTCAATTTCCTAATTTTATTCTCATTAAACATTCAAGATGAAATGGGTCTTGGCAAAACAGTTGAAATAATTGCATTAATGCTTATGAATCCACGTAAAGGAGTCAAACGAGGGGCAGAAGAAATCGAAGATGTTGTTGAGATGCAAAGCAAGAAACCAGAACTGAAATGTATTTGTTTTAAAAATGTTATGAAACAGAAGCTACCAAACAAAAAATTGATTAGATGCATCCAATGTTTATGTTATCAACATCTCAAATGTGTTTTCTCGCACGATGTGACAGAAGAAAGTTTTCAGTCTTACATTTGTCCATTTTGTTGGAAATCCAGTGGAAGAATTATTCAATCATCAGCAACAATAATCGTTACACCGTTGTCAATCAAAAGTCAATGGAAAGATGAAATCATGCGCCATGTAAGCGACAAATCGTTTAAGACTCTCATGTATGATGGAATAACTCATGGCTGGGTGTCACCAACAGAACTCGCTACATATGATGCTGTCATTACTGATTTCACAACACTCTCAAGAGAACTTTATTTCGCTGAAACATTCGATCGATCACTTCGTCACAGTAAAAAGTTTGAATATCCGACGTCGCCTTTGGCATGCGTTCAGTGGTGGCGCGTTGTTCTCGACGAAGCACAAATGGTTGAAAAGAAATGCAATCGTCCAAGTCAAATGGTGAAAAAACTTCTAGCTGTGAATCGATGGGCAACAACTGGAACGCCAATCGAAAAAGATTCCATTCGATGTCTTTACGGTTTGATCTTCTTTTTTAATCTCGAGCCATACGCAAATGAAAATATTTTCGATCAGTTATGGAATGAATATCGTAGTGGATCGCATGATGAGATGATTAATATTGTTTCAACTGTTATGTGGCGAACATGTAAGAAAAATGTTGAAAATGAAATTAACATTCCAAAACAAACTGAAATCGTCCATAAAGTTGAAATGAGCGATTTACAAAAATATTTTTATGGTCAAGCTCATCTTAAGACGAAATTAGAATTTTTAAAGAGTGTTCAGGATTATTTGCTTCGAAACGGTCCAGTGACAAAAGTTAATGTGCAAATTGATGGAAAGACAAAAATAAGGCATGAAAGCTCGATCGATTTATCAATGAAGGATAAATTTCTGTATCAATTTAATAATGCAAATTTGAGAGTCTTCCTTGAGCCATTAAAACGTTTACGTCAAGACTGCACAATTCCAAGTGCTTTCGGGATATCAAAGAACGCAGTGCAATTGAAATTTAAGAAGCCACTTAAACCAGAACAACTGCATGAATATTTAACTACAAAAGTTTCCTTAAATGTCAAGTCGGCATTACGTGGAATATGTTCGAGCATCAATGCAATTGCAGGAATTAAAATCGCAACAGAAGACTACGATGAAGCAAGAAAGCTTTACAAAGATCTTCTGAAGCTTGCAAAGGATTACAATAATGGCTTCGTGACTGTCGATTCGATGCTTCAAATTCATGCTTATCAAGGTTTGATTGATATTGCAATGAAAATTGAAGATTCTGAAGAATTGGCGATGAAAAAAACTTACAATGTTGAAATGGGAAGATTGGAATGGAAATATGTAAGCAATTTTTATGACAAAGTTAAAGTAATTAACAACGATTTGATGGCACAAGAAAATGAAATGAAAGAAACTAGAAAAGGTATTAAAGATGCTAATTGGTGGTTGAATATCGTCAACAGCGATCGAACACATGAATATGAAGCAAAACTCATCGATGTTATTAATTTAGAGTTGCTTTCTAACGTTTCAAGTGGTTTGCAATACATGGAACATTTAAGAACAAAACGAGGCGTTCAAATGGTTTTGCTGCAATGGTTCGACAAGATCGGCAAACATTCGAATGATGTTAAACGTAGATTTGACGATTTGAAGTTCATCGTCAAGAATCTTCGTCCTTCAAATGAAATGAATGATGGAGATCGTGAAAAAGTCTCGGAACTTGCAAAAGTCGCTTTAAGTTGTCATTTGAATTTGGCAGATTTAGAGGAAGACGATCAGATGAATCGTGAGACGACAAGAAAAGGTTTCTGTAAACTGTGCGTGTTGAAATCAAAACTAAATGAATATGAATGCGTGTTGTTTAATAAAACTTTAGTTGAAGCTGGCACAGATGGAAGTTGGAATCCCAGATTTGAAGAGAACTTGTTGAAGACAATTTTAAACTACGCCAAACGATTTGACTTTGAAGATGAAATAATTTCAACTGGAAATAAATTCTTCAAATGTCTTGAATGTTTAAAGTCACAATTTAAACTACTTGCAAAACTTTGGGTTGAAGTCAATTACACAGTGTCAGCATTAGATGAGATTAACATGTGCAAGATGAGATTAGAAGTTGTGGAATCGCCAGATGAAATAACATCAGAAGATTGCATTCGAAATGGCATCAGAATTAAAATTACACGACATGAAGTTGATGATCATTTGGCAGAATTTCATTCAGAAAAGCATGAAGCGGAATTGAATTTTGCTCGTTTAAATGGTCGATTAAAATATTTGGAACATTTAAAGCAACAAAATGAACCACCAATGTGTCCAATTTGCACAAATAACCCAAAAGAAAAATATTTTGTGACAATTTGTGGCCATACAATTTGTGCTGAATGTTTGGAATATTTAGTTGGACCTGCCAAACGTTACTTAACATGCCCAACTTGTCGTACAAAACAGGAGCTTAACAGTATTAACAGCGTTACGCTTTGTGATAACAATTCAACTCGTGCAATTGAAGGTTCATATTCGCCAAAGATTGATGAGGTTCTTCGCTCGATTTTGATGTTGAAAGAGAAAGAAGCTGACGTTAAGATTCTCTTATTCAGCCATTGGGATTCAATACTTAAAACAATAAGTCGAGGACTCGATGATAATGCAATCACTTTCCGATCTTCACTCGCATCAAAGTTTAGCAAACAAATTGAAGATTTTAAAAACTTTTCCAAAGACGTCACGGTGCTGCTTCTCAACTTGAAGTTTGGTGGTAAAGGATTGAACTTAATTGAGGCAACTCATGTGTTCTTAGTTGAGTAAGTACATCAACAAATGTTGAAAAAGATTTCATTCAAATGCTGATTTATTTTGCAGACCAATTCTTAATGCTGATGAAGAACTTCAAGCCATTGGACGAGTTCATCGAATTGGACAAACACGTGAAACTTTCGTTCATCGTTTCATCACAAATAATACGATTGAAGACACAATTTACAATAAAATTATCAGCGAGAAGCATAAATGGATGAGAAAAGAATTCACAATCAAAGATCTGGAAGAACTTTTTAACGTCGATGTGAAATTCACATCTGACAATATAAATTCGTTCGAAGATTCAAGCGATGATGACGATGAGATTATTTAACTTAGTTTTACTTTTTTAAATTAACAAACACGTCTTTATTTCTTTTAAATGTCATTTATTAAAATAAATAAAATAAATGCACAAACAAATAAACCAACTACTTTGAATATTCTTTTAAACTTTCTCATAAGATTATTAAAGTTAAATTTTAACGTCACGTGATCTTATTGATTCCCAAAGATCCTGAACATTTCTAAAACACAAATAATCTTGAGATTCCTGTGAGTTGATGAGAATTGACGACCATCCAGCACTCATAGCTCCATTGTAATCTTTGTCTAGTTCATTGCCAATGTGAAGTGCTTCAGATGGTTTGATAATTTGGTTAGTTGCTAGTAAAGCTTCATTGTAAATGACTGGATTTGGTTTCTCTGATCCAGCCTCGTATGATGTGATGACAAAGTCAAGTTTCGTAATATTCATATCGTGTAAAAGATCGTGCAGACGTGAATCAAAGTTTGAGATAACACCCACACATTTCCCGGCATCTTTAAGATCGGAAATAAGTTCATTTGACTTCTCGTATTTTTCCCAACACTCTCGAGTTTTATATAAATTGATGAGTTCATGTGCGACAGGTTTGAGATTTCTTCGCTCGATTGGATGACGAGATGAACTCATAAACACATTTATGACAAGATCCTCCCACCACTTTTGATATGATATCGAATTCCGTCCAAAGTTTGGATGTTTTTGTTGTTGAATTTTAAAATGTTTACGAAAATTCTTTTTCATTAAATTCGAATCAAAACTTTCTTCTGATATTCCAAACATCGCTGCTGTTTTCAAGTATTGCACTTCAGGAGGATTCTTGAAGTAAAGAAGTGTGTTGGTGACATCAAATGTTACTAATTTGATTCTCTTGAGATTTCTAACAAGAAGCTCCATGTCAAAGATAAGATTTAATTAAACAATTAGACAAATTCTCACTGAATCAGAACGTAAAATTGAAAAATGGAAAGAAAATGTTTGTAAATATTAATCAGCTGACTTCACTTCTTCTTTTTGTTCTTCACAGAAACAACGACATGAAAAATATTAACGAAAGTGTTGAGTAAAGGAAAGCTTTTTGGGATGATATCACACTGTGTGATATGAGATTGTTGATTATTTAAAATCGAACTCTTTGTAAGTGCATCTGTCATAAACTTTCATTGTGATGGTTCTAATAAATTATCTTTTAAAAGGTGAATTGATTGAACAATCATTTCAATATAATTTTCTCTTTTAGACATCGTGCAAGTTCTTTAAGTTTAAATGTTCCCAAATATCTTTACACAGGCAATTGAAAAACAAAGTAATCTGACAATATTTATCTTATTGCATCATTTTGTGTCACAGAACACATGGATTATGTACCCAAAAAACGATTTTTTTAATGAATTTAGAAAATCAAATTTATTCTAAGATTCATGAAATTTTTTGGATTCACGTCCATTTGGTTTCTCTGAATTTTCGTTCAGATTCCTTCATCAGATGAAAGTTTTAACGTGTTCAAGTTCATTAACATCAAATATCTTTTGTTGCCAATGACCTTTGTAAAAAAAGCTATCAAAAAAATTGATATCCACGTTTCGAAGTACGTTTACAACGTAAAACAGTCATATCCACATACGATAATTATAATAATAAAAGTTTACTTTTCCTAGCGTGTAAATAGGCAGCTTGAAGTTGAATTTGAATATTTCAAATACTTTCATTCATATCCTGAATCATTAATATGACTTAAATTCCCTTTAATGTCATTTAATGTGTAAGTTTCTTAATGAGGCAATAATAAGAAAAGTTCAATCAACCTTCGTTGTATTTTACAAGATCATCATTAATATTGATTTTTGATTTGTCGCCTTAATTAGAATGATAATTAAATTTTACTTTGAATATTTGGTAAGAATTAACGAGAACTTTATCTAAAATTTCGACAAAAGCTTTCTAGTCTCATTTTTGATTTTTCATTGTGGAACGGCGAGATACTCATGGCAGGTATCAAAGCAGAAAAACTGCTCAAATGCCATTCATTCTCATAATATCGTAATGAAACTTAAAATTACAGAGATAAGAAGTCATTTGATGCAGTTTATGGGTATTGAAAGCAAATGTGCTGATTCTCGCCCCACTTAAATTCTCAAAGTTTCTTTTTATAAAAAGGGGAAAAGTTTTCCAATTCGATGATATAAAAATCGAAGATCATCTGCAAGATTCGCAGTATCAAGCCACAGCAGTTGAAAGATGAATAAAATCGTTTTCGTAACTCTTTTCTTGACAAGCATCATCGCTTTTGCTAACGCTACAGGCGGATCGTAAGTTTATTTAAAATCCTCAGGATGAAAAGTAAACAAATTTTTTTGCAGTCCATGCGTCTTCGAAGGTCAAACATATCAAGACGGAGAATTCGTCACATTTAGTCCATTCAATGGGTTCGGGTGTATAAAGGTTATTTGCATGGATGGAAACTTAGCTCAAAATGGTGAAGTAACTTGCGACGACATACCTGCAAATGCTTCTGAATGTGACGAAGTTCCAGTAGCCGGAGAATGCTGCCCTAGATACGAAAACTGTCCAAGTGGTAATTACGAAACTTAGCTTGAAAATGTATTTAATTTTATTAACATTAATTTTATTTCATCCCAACAGTCGGTGGACCAGCTAAAATTTTGAAATGTGTAGACCTTGTTTGAATTAAAAATTCATTTTAAAATTCAATAAAAGTGAAACTATAAAAATAATTCTGTTGTGTTAAAAAAATCATTTCAGATGACAAAATTCGTCTTTAAATTTAAATATCTAAATACCAATTGACGTGTGTTGCTAACGATTTTCCACGTTTCGAAGAACGTTTATAATTTTCATTGTGGAACGGTGAGATACTCATGACGTTTATGAAAGCAGAAAAAATGCTCAAATGTCATACATCCTCATAATATCGTAAAGAAACTTAAAATTCCAGATATAAGAAGTCATTTGATGAACAGTTTGTGGATATTGTAAAACAGATGTGATGATTCTCGCCCCACTTAAATTCTCATAGTTTCTTTATATTAAAAGGGGAAAAGTTTTCTAAATTAAAGATATAAAAATCGAAGATCATCTGCAAGACTCGCAGTATCAAGCCACATTTGAAAGATGAATAAAATCGTTTTCGTAACTCTTGTCTTGACAAGCATCATCGCTTTTGCTAACGCTACAGGCGGATCGTAAGTTTATTTAAAATCCTCAGGATGAAAAGTAAACAAATTTTTTTGCAGTTCATGCGAATACCAAGGTCAAACATATCAAGACGGAGATTTCGTCACATATAGTCCATTCGATGGGTTCGGGTGTCAAGCGTTCTATTGCGTGGATGGAAGTTTCGCTTCAAATGAAGAGATAGAATGCGATGTACCTGCAAATGCTTCTGAATGTGAGGAAGTTACAGTAGCTGGACAATGCTGTCCTAGATATGAAAACTGTCCAAGTGGTAATTACGAAACTTAGCTTGAAAAGGTATTTAATTTTATTAACATTAATTTTATTTCATCCAACAGTCGGTGGACCAGCTAAAATTTTGAAATGTGTAGACCTTGTTTGAATTAAAAATTCATTTTAAAATTCAATAAAAGTGAAAATATAAAAATTATTCTGTTCTTAAAAAAATTCATTTCAGATAACAAATTTCGTCTTAAAATTCAAATACCAATTGACGTGTGTTGCTAACGTTTTTCACATGAAAAAGATAAAAACAGCTATAATAATAAAAGTACACGTTTTAATGTTCTGTTAAATATCAGACATGTTCACATGTTTACTTAAACGTTTCACGTTCGATTAATGAACCTTTTTCTCATATTTTTGTTATGAGCGAAAAAAAAAACAGAAATAATAATTTGATGACGTTTTGACGTTCCACTTTCAGATATTCTGAAGGATTTTGATTTTCTTCATTTGATGAGATTATAGCAAAAGCTCACTGTACAACACGAGTTTTCAGCAGAGACTTGAATATTTTTAGTTTGATTTCAGCTTTTATGATTTGATTTACTCGAGTCACCTGCTTTGAGGGAAAAGTCAAAAGAATTAAACATAAAATTAGCTTAAGATTTTAACTTCAAAGATAGTCCAATACCAGTTCCAACTATCAATTGTCAATCTGAAATCCTTCTTAATAAAATAAAAAATTTCATTTCATTTCATTTGATTTTATTAGAAATTTAAAAGTATTGACTTTTTTCTTTCAAAACATTAATTAAAAAGGAAATAAAATACAAAAAGTTTAAAGTGAAAAGTAATGAGAGAAATTAAGATTCATTTTCGAAACTTTGATCACAAGAAGAGACAAATTCAGCATTATTTATAGCATTAAACAAATCAAATTGTTGTGGCAAAATATTGTTTAGAAAAGCAGATTCGTTATCCACCAACTTAACTTGTGCTTTTCTATCGCCAGGCTTTCTCAAGACCACATCGACATTCCTATTTCCATTCTTAAACTTGTCTTTAAATTTCTTTTCAATGACATCGCTGAACTGTTTAACTTGAAAAGGTAATTCATGAGCACAACGATAGGCAAGTGGAGGAATGTCGAGAATATTCTGATCAGTGATTTCTCCAATGTTTCTAACAGAACCCTCACAACCAAGATCGATGAAATAAACTTGATGACCATTTTCTTTTCTGTGGAGAATTTTTGCTCGATTCCATCGTGAGTTCTCAATCAATTGTGCCAGAACAATCTTTCCAGAATCGGGTAATCTAACTGACACTTTTGTATACTTTTCGATGTAAGAATTGACTTTCTGCAAAAGCCCACCATCGTTCAACATTTGAATAGAGAAATCTTGAGTGTTATTCACATGTCTAATGATAGCCAAACCATTTGGCACAACAACTTGTCGAACTGCAATTTTTCTCGCCACAAGTTCATCACCAACATTCTTTCCATTATGAAACAATTCAATGATGTTTGTGTCATCCATTTTTGATATAACTTTGAAGCTTAAATTTTCACTTCGAACTAAATCTGTTAAATATTTCGTTGATTCGTCTTCATTACGAGCTTTATAGCGCACGGGTAATGAACATTGCAAGCCAAAACAATTTTTAAAAAGTATTGGGATGTTTGTTTGTTTCAATTTACTTCTGTCATCAATCGTAAATGACGTTCCATCATCAAGACATTTTACTGTCACTAAAAACTTATTCATATCATTTATATCGGCATCTTTAACAATTGCTCGACACCATTCTTCATTGAATGGTTGCCATGCCAAACAATATGAATTTGTATAGACCCATGTTAATGGCTGTTGAGCTTGTGCACTTGCTTGAAGCTCCCTTCGATACAAATTGTATGAATTAATGTCACTGATCTTCTGAATTGTGAAATCATTTATTGTCGTGACCGCTGTTATTCGAACACGTTCCAATTTCTCATTATGACATTCGTTGTTTCCAACACTCACTCCAGAACTTGATGACGACGGAATATAATTTTTGTTTGCTGTTTGTTCAACACTTGCTTCTGAATCATTCTCTCTACTGCCCCAAGGATCATCAATAACAACATCATCATTACCATCATTTGTAGCTTCACGTTTACTTTGTTCTAAATCCCAATCAGTTTCATTCTCAAAAGCTGTTTGTTTGACTGTAACCAAGTAGAAGTTATTGAAACGTTAGTACAGAAACAATTAAGCAAATAAAAGTGGAGAATAATAAAGTTTGAACACAGTTCGTTCCACGTTATTATTAAAAAAATGTGAATAACAGATAAAAACTTACTTGTTGAGTTTCTTATATCATCTTCATTTAATGACGAGTTCTCCAAAGTTTTCTCAGGTGATTCCTCAAGGGTACACACGCTAATGGAGTTATTGGGCCGCGGTGTATCATTACGCCTGTTAAAGTAGTTAAAGTTACTCGATAATGCTGAATTCTCAGTCCAATCACTGTTGTGATGAATTGATGAGTCAACGCCATTTAAGAAATTCACAATATTCTGTCCATCCCTTAATTCTTCTAAATCAACGATGTAAGCTTCTGGTGTGAATCTTTGAATCTTCATTTGAAACTCTGTGAATTGAATGCACGCATTCTTGAAGTCACGAGTTGCTGTTTCAGTTACTTCATTATTCATAGAATGTCTCAAACAACAACGATAAGCAAACGGCGGATATTTCAACAGATCTTTAACAATTATTCTAACTTCATGTTCGGCATATTCCTCAGAGAATCCATAATCGACAGCTTTAACTGTTAAAATTCTTGAAGTTGAACGTCCTGTGACAATTCCACGAATATTTTCATTCTCTGATTTAATGATACAAGCTTCACCAGGCATCGGGTTTCTCAACACAGGTGAATTGAATAAACTCAACTTCTCGCAAAGACTTTCAAGTTGATTCGCCTCGGAACCTTTTGATATTTGGGTATAGAATTGATTGAGAGAAATCACTGTTGTGACTGTGATTTGATATTCCTTGTCCAATAAAATATTATCTGGCGGATATCTGAGACTGTTGGGATCCCAATTCTCTAACTCTTCAAATATTTCAGTTGTCTCATGATAAAGTTTGCAAGATGGAACTGGACCTGTTTGTGATTAAAATTTAAATTTTCTATTTAAAAATTATTTACTGAATTTCTTACCCTCTTGCGAAACTATTTTGAGAGTTAAAAGCTTTTGCTTGGTGATGTGCTGAAAATAAAATTCAATTTCTGACCACAAAAGTCCTTTCCTACGAATATCTTCACAACCATTAAGTTTAAATTGTTGTGCAAATGGTTTTACATCAGCAACTTCTTTTGGTATTTCAAAGATTTGATTTGGTTGAACGATGACACTCGCTCCGTTTTCTAATAAATGAACAAGAATCTGCCGACGTGGAATAATTTTTTTCGGTAAACGAACGATGGCACGAAACACTTCTTTGTCCTTTATCACGAGACATTTTGTACCAGCTGGTGGAATTGGATGAAAATGAGTTAATTTTTCTTTTAAAGATTGTAGATTCAATTGAAACTTTTGATATTCATCATCTTGTGATGTGAACTGAACATAAAACCTCAACGGTTCGTTGCTGTCATAAGCTGTGATTCTAACAGAATGAGGTTTAATCATTGAGAAGTTTATCTGACTATTGTTCTTCTCCGGAGACTCTGCCAATGTATTAAGATTGAATCCTCGTTCATTATTAAACTGATCAACATGTTTTTTTGTATCCAACATCTTTTGTATTTGTAATTCGAGTTTTATTGGTTTCAAAATTTGAGAAAGTTTTAAGTGATTGAAAACGAAATCGATTAATGTGCCACCAGGAATGAGTTTAAGTTCTGCAAATCTTCCAGCTTCATTCTAAATAGACAAAGCATTACTTAATGAATTAAAGGCGGTTATTTAGGCTTTACCTGTCCAATTATCGACATCTCAAATTGTTTTCCAATTATCAAATCATGTAACGGTATAAGTTTCTCTCTATAGTTTTTATCAGTTGTTATGTCAATGATCATATGAGCCAGAATTACTTCTCTGTAAACAGATGCCATCTTTTTAAGTGAAGACGATGACGGAAAAGGTCTCAACTGATGACAAAAGCAAGGTTAAGTTAAGTTGAAATGAAAAAGTTACATTCATAAAATGTTTTACCTTTTTTCGTTGTAAAATTCCATTGTAACCAGTGTCAATGAAGGACAGCGAAACAGTTTCATCAACAGCATTAATTTGAGTCACGACGCATCTTTCGTAAATTCCTGGTTCAATGTTTGCAATGCAAACTTCTCCAAGCGACTTTATATCCTTACCTTCGGCTTCATCATAAAGTTCATGGAGTTTCGACAAAGACTTATAACACTTTTCTTCAACATTAACGACATTAACTTTTAGGAAAGGCTTTGATATTTTCAGTTGCGTCACTTTAACTGTGAAACTTTTTTTCCTTTCCGACGGATTTCCCATAACGCTAAATAAGATTGCGAAAAATGTCGATTCCTGATAAACTTTAAAGTTTTTATGTGAAATTTACCGTCGTTGTTTATTAATAAAAGCTGTAAAGCTGTAATTAAAGAATTGAAATCAATTGGGTGAAAATTAAATTCGGTCTACTCGGTAAGGGGTACCCGGAAAACTTCAGGGGTACAATTCTTGAACCTCTTTTGTTTACAAATTTAAGATGAGCCGTTAATGATCTACTTAGTTCTGTATAAATTTTTTATTGAAATCTTTGCATTAAGTTTATTTTACTAAATTGTAGAATGTTTTTTATTTAAGGGAGTTCAAAAGATCGTTGTGGACTTTCTTTAAAATATGAATCTGCAAATCTACGATGTTATCGATTTGTTCGTCACATAGACGACATGTTATGATTTCATTGCAACTTCCTCGAGCTTCTCTTTCAAGTTCTTTCACATGCTTTAGAAGTTCTTCTTTGGTATCTTTAGACAATGGTAAAAGCTGTCCTATTTGAGTTATTGGTGGATAAACTTCTTCAACATAATACTTAAATTCTTCTGGGTCATTCCAGTTCCACTTACAAGCATCATAACTTATTTTTAATGACTTTCTTTCTCTCGTCATAATGTCGTACATCAAATCGATGATCTTTTTACGCAATGTTAAATTTCCTGAATGTTCAGATTTAATGACTGGATTCTTTTCTAGCAAGGTAGACATATTCTTGCGAAGGTCATTAATATCTTTAAAGTCAATTTCAGAAAGTTCAACGTCAACATGTATCAAACTGTCATGTTCTTCAAAATTTGGTACTTGTTCTTGATCACATCCAAGACCAGCAAGAATAGATGTGAATCGATGCTTATTTGAAGCACAGCGAACTTCTGCATGTGGGCTGAATATGAGAGCCAACAAGCATGCCATTCCATTAACATTTGGTAAGATTGTTGTATGATGTAAAGTCACATGATTTTCTTTTTGTGAAACCGAAGCTGCAACGAGAAGTTTCTTAATATCATCATTCGGAAATGGATCGAGTAAGACATGATTTATCGAAGAATCTTCTACTTTAATATTGATCAAGTCATTTCTCTGAACTGAATAAATTTGCGACTCTAATGGTGAGAATGGTCCATCAATTTTAATCTTTTCTGTTAGATAAAGTAATGGTGGGGATTTCACAAAATTATCTGCCAATTCGTCTTCAATGTTTCTATATTCTCGGTAATTTCTTTTCTGTCTCTTATCACGCTCCAATCGATCAATTAATCGCATGTAACATTCATCTGATGGATGTGCAAATCCTTTTAAAATCATGTAATCATTGACAATGTGACAACCTCTTGTAACTTCCAAAGTTGTTATTACACGAACCGAAGCAATTCGATCGATGAATGACAAAACTTCGATTTTTACCTTCTGATTTTGAATTGACTTTTTAAATTCTTCAGTTGATTCTTCAGACCATCCCAATGGACATTTTATTGGAGATGGGGAAATATTTGAGAGACGACATTCAATGCATTGAACTGGAAGTTCGTTGACGTCTTGCAAAATTTCTTTTCTTGTCACAATGTCTTCTTGATTGCATGTATAAAAATCTTCAAAATCTGCACCTTCAATCACCTTTCCATAATCTATCAAGAGAACTCTAAACTTCTTAATTTCGTCGTCTTCATCAGGATGTTCGATGATTTTACAACGCTTGAAAACACTTTCATGCTTTAGCAACAAACGATTACCATCAATCGTCTCTTGCAACGATTGAATTTGTATGCAATTATTCTCTAAAAGTTTTTGTTGAATCTCAATGTGATTAATTCCTTTCTCAGGTTGGAAGAAGAATTTTCCGCAATTTTCAATCTGTTGAAAATAATAAAAAATGAAATTTAATTTAAATTAGTATTCAAAATTGTCAAACTGTTCTCCTAATTCATTTCAACTTACATGACTTATGACTCCAGTTAAAAAGCGATGATGTAACTTTGGATAAATGCATTGTTGAGATGCTTTAAGTAACTTTTCTTGATATTCCCACTTTTCATTTTTAACTTTCACTAAATTCGTTTCTGTAGCGTATTCGATTTCCTGTGATGAACTTTTGAGAAAAATAAATGAAAACATATTTTGAAATTACACAAATTAATTTAAATTTCTTACTCCATGATTTTCAGTTCAATTCCACGATCTAATTTGGACATTTTCATTGCACTGTAAACTTCAAATTGAACTTCACCAGGAACAAAAGATCGTTTGTCATCAACAGGTCTAAATTCTACTTGAATACGTGATGAATTCTTGTCAAAATAAGCTTTAATTTCATTGCCATTATCGACGATATTTGCATTATGAATGGCGTCTCTCACTTGTTGTTCATAAAGTTTTCCAATTCGATTCAATGGCATTTTGTTGAAATAAACAGTTGATAATGGATTAAGATTGTTCATCATTCTGTACACATCACGATCAGGAGCTGAACCACCAAACTGATAAAAGTTTGGAAAGAATGCACCAGCAATGCAAATTTTTATCATGAAAATCTTTTCGTTTCCAGTGAAATCGTAAAAATCTTCATCGATTTTCATTTTCAAAGGCGACAAACGTTTTTTAACATCCAGAATAAGTTCGTGCATTTCTCGAAGATTTCTCAGATCTAAATATTGCATTTCGCACCATTTCTTTTCATTTGCACCACTCAATCCCTCCCTAACTGCTTTCTGCCATTCACGATAAGCGTTGAAAAGCAAAATCAAATCACTTCCACTTCCTTTTCCCAATGTTAATTGTTCTTTATAATGATCAGTAGCTTCACTGATGGTTGCATTTTTCGGGAGTTGTTTAAAGATGTTCTTCGATGATAATCCGCAACCGATGATGACACAATCTTCAAGACAACTAAACATGTAGCCAAGAACAATAAGCTTTGAAATTCTCACATCCAAGGGAAGTTTTGTGATGACATCACCAATGAAAGTCAATTCACCATCTTCAGCATCAAATTTTCCCCTTTTATATTTTGTAAGTGCGCCAATCTCTTTAAGCACTAAAATTGAGTTTCGAATTGATTCTTTTCGTGGTGGATCTAATGCCAAAGCAAGAATATTTGAAGGTTTTCCCATGCCAAGTTGTTTCGTTTTTGGAATGATTGACTCAAGTGAAACGCATTGCATTTCTGGTTTCGATTCTTCTGCGAATTCATTAAATTGATGTTCAAAAATGAGACGAACAACAATACCAAATTCAAGTCTTCCAACACGTCCTGCTCGTTGAATTAAACTATTTTTTGAAGCCCAATCAACTTTCAATTGTGTAATTCCTGTCGCTGTATCAGTTTCTTTATATTTTGTGAGACAAAAGTCAATAACGTAACGAATTCCAGGTAATGTTACAGAACTTTCAGCAATATTTGTCGCTAAGATTATTTTATAGTCGATTGAAGTGTTGAAAGCATTCACGTAGTCCTTTAATGGAATTGATGAGTGAAGAATTGATATTTGAAAGTTCTCCAGTTCAGATGAAGCTAAAATCATATTCTTGAAACGATTAATTTCTTGAATGCCAGGCAAAAAGACAAGGAAAGAAGGTTTGAAGTCTTTCCCATGACATTTCAGCACTAAAAACTCGATGACATTAACTGCAAGTTCATACATATTTGAAGATATCTTCGGATTAGATATCTCGAGAATATTTTGCTCCACTCCTAACTTACTTTTTAAATGATCGAGATATTGAATTTTGATTGTAAAAGGTTGTTTAAGATTGAGATTCAAAATTGGTGCTGCAATCGTTCCAACGCCAAATTTATCAAGTGAAGTTTTGAAATAATTTGCAAACTTTTCTGATCGAATTGTTGCAGACATGAGGATGATTTTAACTGTTGGATTCTTACGCGATAATAAAAGTTGAATAACAATTAAGAGCATGTCCATGTCAATTTTACGTTCATGAACTTCATCCAGGATGATGTGCGAGTATCGTCGCATTGATTTGTCATTTATGAGCTTTTGTAGCAAGACTCCAGTTGTGCAATAAAGAATTCTCGTGTCGGAATTTTGTTCTATATCAAGTTGCTTTTCTAAGCCAATTTGATATCCAACAAGTGATCCACACTCGCATTTTCGTTCATCTGCAACGCGCTTGGCGACAGTGGTAGCTGCCAGAAATTTAATTTGATAAATCAATTATTTGAATTTTAAATTAGATAAATATTTACCAGCAATACGTCTTGGCTGAGTTATGATAATGTTGCAGTTTACTCCTTTTTTGCGAGACTCCTCGAGAATGTATTGAGGAACTTGTGAAGTTTTTCCTGTTCCAGCTGATGCTGTTAGGATAATAACAGGATTTCTATCAATTGCATTTAATATCATTTCTCTTTTGTCAAGAATTGGCAACTTTTTTGGTGGAATATTGAAATTATATCGACTGTACACATTCAATTCTGGGAGGTCAAGATTTTCGATTTTGCATTCAATACCAAAATCCTCTTCACTGTCGGAATCTTCCTTTTTTATGATGTTGAGATTGTAAAGTGTTGAGTGCATTCTCTTTTCTTGCTTTATTCTATGTTGAATTGAGTATTCAAATCCATCAGAATTGTCGTCTCGTTTACGTTTCTTTATGTCATTTTTGTTTGGTTCAATTTTAAATTTAGCAACAAATTGTGGTTTTGGAGCTTCGATATCGTGATCGCCAAAGAATAAATCTACAGGATTACTCATATTTTGTACTTGTTTTGTTTCGCCTATTAAAGTTGAAGATATAATCAAATACAAAAATTACATTTTAATTACTTACTTTGTCAGCAGCTTTCTTTAGAGTATCAAATTACAAGCAGCTTTTAACAGCGTTGTTGACAGCTTGAAATTTCAAATTTTAATAACGTAATTTAAATTCTTACTCAATTTATAGATAAATGTGTGATTGATCTTAATTGCTGATAAGTTGAATCTCTTTAAATCATGTCAAATAATGCGTGGGTATTAAGGACAGATTAGAAGAAAACTTCCCCCCTAAAGGCCATTTTTTTTCGTACGCGACAGCAATTGAAGTGGTGAGTTTCTTGTTTGTTAGTAGTAGTATGTTGAAATAAAAGTGTGAGTGGTCATAGCCTTTTTCACCCTAAAATTGTAAACAACCAAACTTAGTTTATAAATCACAAAACAAAAATTATTAAAAAATAGCCAACATGGATAAACATAGTGGAAACAAATCAGTAATTTTGAATGCAAGAAGAAATCTTGAAAACATTCTAGGTGACGATTGGCAAAAGTATTTGAGCCATCTTCGAAAATTTTTCAGAAACGGCAGCAAAGTTGAATTTGATCGTGAAATTCGTAGTTTTCTAACAAATCGTCAAATATACTACCACAATAGCTTTCTTCTTGCTATACTAAATACTGCTGATGTAACTGAAACAACTCATCAGGCTCCAACTCCATCGACAAGTAAAACTGTAGAGATTATAGAGCAACAACCACCAAACCCTAAACGACGTCGTAAAAATGACGAAATTGTATTCCAAGTCCATCCAATGAATGAATTTGTGAAATCAATAGACACTGATCCAACCAAGAGCAGTACAATCAGATATGCAGCACAAGAACTTTTCTTACCAGACAATTCACTGATCTATGGTCGTTTCCTCGCTGGATGTTGGGATAATGGACTTGAATTTGTCGATGATCAAGCAATTGAATTGATAGTTTTGGCAGTTCAAATGATGCTGAAAAATATCTTGTCACATTGTATACGACAGAAGAAACATTATAAAGTAACATCCGATAAAAAGTTCTACTTTGATGTTGGCTGTGAATTAAAAGACCCAACAATAAGAAATACATTAACAAGACAAAAGATTGATTCGGAAATTCCAACAGTTGAGAGAAAGCCAGCTGATGATTCGATTTGTCTATCAGCACACGAAGATTCTTCGTATAATCATCGACGGAATATTTCCTTGATGGATGTCTACAAGACATTGAGAGACCGAAATGTTATACCGTCACATTCAATAGCAATGCTCTCTATAGAAAGACTAACAACACTTATTAATCTTTGAAACTTTATTTTATAATTTATGAGTATTTAAATGGAATAAATATTTCTTTTAATATCAATAATAAAAAACTTCGAACTAATTTTTTGTTTTAATGTCTTTGACTTCCAACAGATCCAGAACGTTTGCTTTTTGAACCGTCTGCGACACTTTCCTTTCTTCCCATTACAGGTGACGTTGAAGAAATATTTCTTATTAAAGATTTGAAGCCTCGAGATTGAGATTCACTCATGTGTAAAGATTCTTGCGCTATGATGAAGAAATCATCGACAAGATGCTGTGGTGGAGCAATATCGAAAGGAATGATTTCATTTGGATTTGTAATTGATTTGCTCTTCTTTTCGAGGAACATTTGTTGTCGCGATTGATGTTGGTGACTTGATCCTGGTTGTTGTTGAGCTACTTGAAGCCTTTGTCTGAGTTTTGCATTTTCTTCTTGCAACTTTCTGATTTGAGCTGTTTCGTTTTCGGTTCTCATAACTGTTGGTAACGGCATTGATTGAAAAATAGTAGCGAGGAAGTTATGCAAACTCAAAAATAAAGTGTCCTGATATTGTTTGGTGAAGTAAAGTGCATAGTTTTGGTGATCTTCAGGATTCTTGCAATACTGGAAGTAAAACCATTCTTTCCAATCAGATAGAGAATAGATTTCAGGTGCCAGTTTAACGAAGAACTCGTTAATTTTATCAATGTGACCATTTTTGTGGGCAAAAACAAGAAAAACTTTAAGCAATCCACTTTCCAGCTTTTTTACTGCTTCCGCGAAATTTTGCTCAAGTTTATTGAAGAAGAAAATTTCAAGATTCTTCCAAATGTCCCTCAATTCTTGTAAGTCTGATGAATTTATTGCTTGCTGAATTGATTCTTATGAAAGATTAATGAAAGTATATTAGATAAGTTGAATAGTTATATTTAATTCTATATTATTTCCTACCAAGAATCTTATCAGTACGAAAACTTTTATTTTTGTCACTCCTGCACTCTAATTCAAAAGATTTCAAGCAATTGGTAAATCCACGATACGCTAAGTACTCTTTTATAAGCACTTCGCTATTTTGAATGTGAGTCATATTAAGATTTCAGTCGTGAAAAACTTAAAATTTTAATCTTTGTATGGAAAGTGGCGCCGCGCGCGGTCAAATTTTGAAGTGTATTCAGTGAAGACCGAAAAAGAGGTGAGGAACATGACCACTAATTATAAGCTAACTGAACGCACGGTTATCAAAATAAATTGAAATATAAATTAATTTATAAAAATGAGTTCAAATCGCGTCAAAACTCGTGAAACAAAATCAGGAGAAATCATAGCCTACAGTGAATCAGCTGTTAGACAAAATCTAATTAATGTAGAATATGTGAAAACGTCATTAGCATGTAAATATTAATAATTAAAAATTCTTAAAATAATGTAAATAATAAAAATTATCCATTCCTACAGCTCTTGCCGGTTGTACCGCAGGTATTCTTGGACTCACTGGACTCTTGGGCTTTATCTTTTATTTGGTATCACTTCTCGGTTTCTTTGGCCTTCTCATTGTCAAAACAGGATCAAATTGGCAAAAATATTTCATATCCAGAAAATCATTATTGACAAATGGATTCTTGGGTGGACTCTGCACATACACGCTGTTTTGGACATTTATTTATGGTATGGTTCATGTGTATTAAAATAAATTATAACAAATTTTTGTCCGGTGTAAGAAATATAAGTAAATAAATAAAAATTATTCAAACAACCATGAATAAAAATATTTACTTTCACGTGAGTTTATTTTACTTCCAGACTTGATTTGATTCATCATGTAAAATGTAATGAATGAATTGTCTGTTAATTCCCTTCAATATAAAGACACGAGCAGCTTAACTATTTAAACATTACTTAAAAATAACCCTCAATATTTAATAACTGGTTAACCAGAAGCATATTGTCATTGTATCATCTTTCCCCTTCTTAAAATTATATTCATTCCCATCCTGATTCCATCAGATTGATTGCTTTTTCAATTGAAAAGATCAAACACGCTTGAAATGAGATGATGATCGGGAAATTAGATTGTTAATCAACAGGAGATAAAGATTTAAATGCTGTTTGATGTTGCTACTCTGTAATAATAAAAATCAACAACCACGGCGCAGTGCAATGCACCTTCCAATGATAACAGCAACTTATAAAAGGAAGTAACAATTACATGCAAGTATCAAATTATTTATTTTACAGATTACACTTCACTATGTTGCAAAGCAAATAACAACGTGATGTTGTTAGAATAAAACAATTCAACCAAATAAAATTGCATCATCGGGGGTTGATTCAGGTGACTAATGGACGAAAATTGACGTAATACCTAATTCAAAAAAAAAGAAGCTTTTTGAGGTTTCAAAATCCAATAGAAATCATGAATCAATTGTGGGGCTTCACTTCATTCAGCGACAAAATGACGAGGAAAACAGTTTCTTCTGAAAATCAACAATGACACAAAAACCGACGGCCGTGCCACCCTCACATGATCTATTTTTCTTCTTGCTTATTATGTTTATTTATCCACTTGCGGTTTAATTAATTTTCAGCTAATTTTCGTCAAACAATCTTCTCATCTATAATAGGATACGCGACAGAGGAAGAAGAAAGGGCTCTAAACAGAAAGCAAAAGTAATTAAAATCTGATGAAATTTGATACTTTTTTCCTCTGACGATTTAACGATTTTTATTTGTGTCTGATGTTAAGTTGAAAAGATTGATTGACTCATCCGAATGATAACTTCATTCATTTATTGCTTAGCTTAATGGTCGATTACCATGAATAGAATAAATCAGAATTAAACAAAGATGTTTGAGTTAACATTTTTTTATTTGTTTTCTAAATTCCGGAACTCTACAAGGATGAATGTCACACTTCACTGTGTTCAACATTATCGAATAAATTCTCAACACCATCAATTTGATTCAAAAGATGTTTAAGTTTGTCATAAACTTTTTTCTCCTGTTCTGTTGGCGTGAAAACTTGAACTGGTATGAATATATGATCGCTATGATCAATTGAATATCCTTTTGCCATTAAATTCTTTTTAACTTTTTCTATATCTCTCGGCAAACAAATAAAAGTGGCTGACATTTGCTCAAAATCAATGTCTTCAACCTCTTCAGCATCGCACTCAATTGCATCTTCTGTTAATTTATCTTCGAAGTCAGAAGCACTTTTGATTGTTTCATCTTTTTTAGTGGCTTGAACGTAAGCAACCTCATCAAAAGCGTGCTTAATATCAGCATAAACAGATTTACCTCCAGCTTTTCTCATAGCTACATTTATCAATGGCTTCACATTTACCATGCTGTCAGTATAAAGTTCACAAATCATAAAAAGTCTAGTTGTAATTTTGATTTCAAGAAAATGTTTTTCCAACTTAGCATCGTTTGCGTTAAATTTTTTAATGTTATTATTAATAGTTGACATTGGCATATTTCCTTTTAAAGCCATTTGAACAACAGACTTTAAATTAGAATTTAATTCAGGATTTGTTGAACCACCTCCTTCTTGAATTGCTAATCTAAATTCAATGTAGAGATACAAAAATAAAGTTATAATTACAGAAAAGGAAGGTTGCTACAACAACCACTTACCTAATCATTCTCGCATATTTGTAAAACGTTGCTGCTCTTTGACTGTCTTTGGCTGCTTTGATATGTTTTATATTTGCCCATTTACTATGACCAGCATATCGCCTTGATGTTATTTGACTTAAAAACGACAAACATAAATTTGATTGCCGCAACATTATTTTATTTTGTTATAATTTAAGGAATTAAAACAGATAAAGGAAGTGATACTCCTAAATATTTAAATTAATGTATCTTTATTGACTTGAAAGCTCAATTAACTGTCGTCAGCTTTTGAGATTTGTTTATTAGACAATTAAACAATTTTCCACCTTTTTCCATCTATTCAATTTGAAAAATGTAAACATTGGCTAAAAGTTAACTGAATGCACTTGAAATTATTTGAATTATCCGTTGACGGATCTTTATCGACTTAAAAATTTGCAGGTTTCTTATTTTAATGTTCAAAAATTAGGTTTCTTAAGACACAGCCCCATTCCAAGGTGACAACTGCAAGGAAGTGATGAACTTTTCTATCCTTTTAAAAATAATTTTTGTGCAAACATGCACAATACGAAAGACTCAACTTTATCAAACTTCTCTCACTGCAGTGCACTGTAAAGAATCTTAAGTAGCAAAAACACAGAAAAGAAAACACAAAATGTGTGTAGGTAAGGAAAAGGAGAAGACGAAAAATATTTCGACTCAAAGAGCATAAAGAAAACATGTTCAGCATAAATGAAATTGTAATCGATATTCGTCCGTGCACTCAATTGGAAAAAATTAAAAGTTTCCTTTCGATGGGAAATTAAACAAAAAGTTGACTTGAATACCGTTGATAGTTGTGCGTCGCTCGGAATCCCAAACATGTCAAGCTAGCTTCAAAGCAAAAGGTCATCAGACCTGACATTCCTTATTCCTATAAAGTATCAGTTGTCTTCTATTACAAAAGGTCCTGGTTGATATCAAAAAGAAATTGAAACATCAAGATCAACTGTCTGGTAAACAGTTTGGTATGATAACACATGGGAAATGAGAACAAATAAAAAATTAAATGTGTATCGATCCAGTCACGTCGAATGAAAGGATTAAATTACTTCCAACAACATCAACGTAAACTCATCGTTTTCGTGATCTTTTTTGTTCTTTTTTCTGGTTCGAAAGTAAGAAAAACAAGATTATCAGGTATTACATCGATTTACGTTTTGTATCAGGAGTTTAAGAAATCAAACATTTTTAAATGTCATTCAAAATTCAAAAAATATGATTGCGAAAGTCCTTCAATTAAAACTGCATTTATAGCTTTGAACTGGTCGCTGTGATTTGAGCTTAAAAGTTGATCAGAAAAAAAGAAAAACCAAAGAATATTCGAAAAGAGAATTAATGAATGGGAAACTGAAGAAGCATGAAGCGAGAGAACAACCAGTCATGAATATCCATGTAAATCGTATAGTTTTCTCGCAGTGTAAACAAATGGAAGGAAAAATGAAAGAAGCGAGGGAATATCCACTCACACAAGCCATTCAATGTTCTTCTTTATTTGGTTAACATGTATTGACGGATTTAAAGTTCTCAACGACTCTTTCGCATGCTTTTCCTTCATTCGACACATAAATTAGTTTCGTGATAGACATCGCGTTAACCTGATCGTCACAAGTTTTCTTAGAAAGGAATTTTCACAAAAATAAATAAATAGAGAAATAAGAAAATTGTGGAAAATTATGGAAAGCTTTAAATTAAATTTTAGAGAATTAAAATGAGAAAAAAATATAAAAATAAATATTTGCAATTATGTGAATTAAAAGAATTAAAAAAGAAATGAAAATGAGAAAAGTTAAAGGATGTTGTGCAATGAATAATTTATTTTAATTAAACGATTATATTAACATCGAACGATTATATTTGGAATACGCGAAAAATAGAAAAATAATCATTAAAACTGGGTAAATAAAATTGCTGTTTGAAGTTGAAAGAACGGCAGAACAACATCTTAGATATGTAACACTTGCATGATGTTAAATTATTTGATGTTAAATTACTTTTTTTCTTATTTAATGATTACAATAAATAAAGCAATTGTTTCAAATCAAAAATATTTCTTAGAATAATTGATGAGAAAACCATTTAAATATGTTCAAAAAATTGAGATAAACTTCCGATAAATTCTTAATTCAAACTATTATTAATAATGACTGAACTTTATGAATATTCACCAGAAACAATTTTACTAAAAATTTCACCTGTTAGGTATATAGATATGCATAATTATATTCATAAATCTTCTTCTTTTTGCATCAACGATTTCAACTTCCCAACTTCACATCACCACGCAAGTCAAAACGAATGCGATTGGTTGTCATGCACTATGTAAAGAATTCCAAAATGGGGTTGAAGCATTGAAAAGAAGAGAAAAAGCCACGAATACGAAATGAAAAAGGAATATCTAAATGAAAATAATTAATTTTGAATGAAGTTCATTTGATTGATTTTGGATAATTTTAAAATATTACTCGATTAAAATTTTCTTAAATAATTTTGAAATAAAAAGAAAAAAATTATTAAATTTTATTCAAGCGATAAGTGCAACCCTGGCAAAGATTCTGATTAAATTATTTCATTGTTATTCGTGCAACCTTTTCTGAACATTTATGAAAAGATTTTCCTTGGATATTTGATAAGGTTTCCTACAGAAAATTTTCCCTTTCATAATTTCAATTTCTAATGAATCTCTGGGTGAGAAGACAGAGTCGAATCGTATAACAAGCACAGCATTTATTTTCCTAGATGGAAATATCTTAAAGTTTGAATGCTTTAATTCTTGAAATAAATTCTCATTCCTCATGCTCATGAACATTTCCTATCAAAACGAATTTATTTTTCACCCTTCGTACAGATTCCGTAGAAAGTAATCGAGAAGGTGGAGCAATGTACATTGAAACTTCGCCATCAAATCCTGATGGATATGTACCGAATAATAATTTATTTGGTCCTTGGATTGACAGCCCAACGCAGGTGAAAGAAATATTCTTAAGTGATTGTTGTGACTAAATTTAAATCATTTTTGTGGAATAAAATTCTTGTTTTCATTTAAATGGTATTTAAATTCAAAAAGTTCAGAATTTTCGTAAATTTTAAAATAAATTAATAATCAGAATGGAAAATAAAACTTCTTGCCCATCATAGGAATGTTCTGCATCGTCTCCTGTTTGTGGTAATAATTGTGCACTTCCATTATCGTCACTTCACGGATCAGATTTCGTTGATTGCGGAAACTGTCTCAATTTTGATCACTCGCTTAGGTAAGTTTGAGTATTTATAGAAATATATTTGTGAGAATTGTTCTTCATTTGTAATTATTATATAAAATATACATCTGACATAAGAAAAGCATTTAACAAAATTAAAATACATGCACACCAACTTAAAATCGTAATCAGTCACATGGAAAGTTTTCTTGCATAAAAAATTTCTCGTTTCGTTCTGAGAACAAAATTTTTATTTTCTCATCTCGAGAAGATCCGTCGGCCTTCACGCTCTTCTTCTCCACTGCTTACATTTTTCCATCAGAAATTGATACTTTTCCCAACCAAGATTCGACTTGTTAAATGAATGCACATAACTTTCATCTTTTCTGCTCTTCCATTATTCTTGAAGTCTCACACAACCAATTGGTACCCACACAAGTTACTGGAACGACGAGATGAGTTCATTCGCTAGTCTACCGCCACTTGAAATGGAACCTTTGCCAAGTCTTTTTCCATTCTCTCCTTGTGGTTCGGCTAGTTACAATCGTCCTGAAAGACCTACGCATGATGTCGCAGATGTTCTTTTATCTCTTAAAAATGCAGTTCTTAAGCCAGGTGTTGATTCTCACTCATGTCATCAATCTCAGTCGCTTCAGTCTTCAGGGAATTATGGAACATCTCCAAATGGCCTCTCATATACAGTTCACCACCCACAAATTCTACTCTCACCTTCACCCCACCATCATTATTATCAATGTCATCAAAATCAAGCACAGAATGGATACACTTCAAATGGATATTATGACTCAGGAAATTCTTGTAATGGCCATCAACATTATCCAGGTCTTAGACGTAATATGACAATCTTTACAAAGATTCATATAAAAAGAATTATTTTCTTTCACTACAGCTATGAGTGTCAATGTATCAATGAACATGACAATGCACGGGTATAGTGATGGTCCATGTTCTCAGGTAACTTTCATTCCAACATATTTAATTCATTCATAATTATGAAATTTTAATTGCTGTAATAGATGCAATGGAATCCTCCACCAAATCCAACACCATCTTCGTCATCATCTCTTAATGTGTTATGTCCGCCGCCATTCAGTCCCGCTCAACCATATCCAGGTGCGACTTATTCTTTCACCGCTGATTTCCGGCCTACAGCCAATGGCGGACACTCAAATAACAATGAAATTTCAGCACAAGAAAATATCGAAGAGCCGTTATTAGAACCAGTGAAGAGTTCAAACTCGCCACTTCCGGTTATCGAACAGAAACCATTTTTTCAAAACAGCACATGTTATGGCACACCAAAAACTTCACCAACATCTTACGAGGTGAGATTTAAAATTAAAACTTTTAATTTATTTTTATTAAGAATCTTAAGAATTTATGTACTAAGGTCAAACCAAATATTTCGTCACCATTGAAGAATCAACAAACGATGGGATATGAAGCAGCAGAAGATGACAGTAACAGTAATGATGATGGGAGCTTAGGGAAACCTAATCTATGTCGATTATGTGGCAAAACTTATGCTCGTCCAAGCACATTGAAAACACATCTCAGAACACACTCAGGTGGGATTGAAGACTTAAAGTTAAAAATTGAAACAAAGGAAATGAAGAAAACTTTTTTTTTAATTCTTTTTCTTGTTTAGGTGAACGGCCGTATCGATGTCCCGATTGTAAGAAAAGTTTTTCACAAGCAGCGAACTTGACAGCACATGTTAGAACACATACTGGTAAGCTTTTACATTTCTTTTTAATTTCTATTTATGAATTGATTAATATCACAAAAATGAAGGTCAAAAACCATTTCGATGTCCTATTTGTGATCGACGATTCTCTCAAAGTTCATCGGTTACAACTCATATGAGAACACATTCAGGTAATTATTGAAAATTTGAAGATTCATAATCTAAAAAATGTTATTTTCTATAATTAGGCGAACGACCATATCGATGCAGAGCTTGCAAAAAAGCTTTTTCTGACTCATCAACTCTAACGAAACATTTGCGTATTCACAGGTAAAAATACTTATGACGATGAAAGGGGAAACTCCTTAATAATTTTTTGTATTCTTTCTTATAAACAGTGGAGAAAAACCATATCAATGCAAATTGTGTCTGCTGCGTTTCAGTCAATCGGGAAATTTAAATCGTCACATGAGAGTTCATGCTGGTACTGGAAATTTAGTCCCATGACATAAAAACATGAATCCATCTGCATTTAATATTAATTATTATGAATATAATAAATTTGCTTCGACACAATTGCTCCACGCAACATCTTCAATTCAGACAAACGATCATCACCATCATCATCAAGTCAGCAATTGCTTTTACAGGAACATTACGTATAATCATAATCCCAATTATAATCCTAAGGTCTATTAGAATGAGTTTAATTGAAATGTTAATGAGGCTTTTCCTTTCTATTCTGCTGAATTTTCACGATAAATAAGTTGATGTGTTGAGAACTGTAAAATTGTGTATTTTATTAAAGATGATGTTCTAGTCAGTTGTAAAGCTATGATGACGTAAAAGAAAACTTCTTAAAAGGATAACTTCAACTTTTCTTAAATCGTTAATCGTTATTTGTGGAAAATTGTAGATAAATGGGAAGAAAAATAAAATAAAGTGTCAAACGCAAAATAATGATAACAACGTCTCATTTACTATAATTTTCAAAATCATGATTTATGTTTACAGATTTTGATATTTAACGGCTTTTTCAATTTCAAATTAAATTTTGATCTGTTAAACATATCCGGCTCAAATTCCAGAATCGCGTCTTCGCTAAAGTTGAGTATTCTAGTACTACATTTTTCTCTTGAAATTAATTAAAATTTAAGAAAAAAGCAAATAATTGCTCCACAGTTAAATAGTAAATCAAAAACGTATAAAACATGGCTAAGTTTGATTTAACAACGAAGAACTGCGAGTTTCTAGATCGCCATCTCACATTTCCGCTGCTCGAATTTCTTCTAAGCAAAGATGTAAATAATTTTAATATTTTTCCTCACCATGCTAAAACAATCAACTTTTTCAAATAAATATGTTGATAATGTTTGAAGAAATCATTGTTTATGTATGAAAAATATGAGTACAATTCATAATTTATCGAACTGAAGCATTCAAGTGATAAGACGTGGAATATTTTTTTCTAACCTTTAATTAAATGTTTACTTCTCAGATTTACGACAAAAATGTTCTCCTCAACTTCGTGCTTGAGACTGTTAATAGAACCAACATGATTGACTACACAACTGACATTCGAAAACGTTTGAATCTGCCAGAAAGTATGCCAGAAGAATTAATACAGAAGCGTCAGACAGTTCTCGATAAGTTGAAAGAATTACAATCAGACATCAAACCACTGATGGATTGTATTGGTGAAATTCAAGCTCGTGACACGATGAAGGATTCTAAGATGTTGGTGAATGTTATTCAATCAGAGTACAATGTAAGTGATGAAACTTAAAGTATGATTAAATTTTAGAATTAATTAAAAATCTCTTAATTTCAGATCAACATTGATATCATTCAAAGCGTTTATAAACTCGCTAAATACATGTATGATTGTGGCAACTATGCTGAGACTACGTCTTATTTGTATATTTGTCTGATGATCATGCAACCGAATGACAAGAACTACTTGAATGCTTTGTGGGGGAAGCTCGCAGCTGAAATTCTTACACTTAACTGGCAATCAGCATTGGAAGACTTGAATCGTCTTCGAGAGTTTATCGACAACAGTAGCTTTAGCAATATGCAGCTCCTCACTCAACGCACATGGCTCATTCATTGGAGTGTGTTGGTATTCTTCCATCATCCGAAAGGACGCGATTTGATCATCGAAATGTTGCTCTATAAGCCGGTTTACTTGAATGTAATCCAAACAACATGTCCCCATATCTTGCGATATCTTTCAGTCGCTGTTGTCGTCAATCGTGGCCGTCGAAATGCTTTGAAAGATTTAGTGAAAGTCATTCAACAGGAATCTTATGCGTACAAAGATCCAATCACAGAATTCTTAGAACATTTGTACATCAACTTTGACTTCGAAGGTGCTCGCATGAAGCTTCATGAATGTCAGGATGTCATCTTTAACGACTTCTTCATTTATGGTTATCTTGATGAATTTGTTGAAAGTGCACGATTGATGATTTTCGAAACCTTCTGTCGAATTCATCAATGCATCACCAGCGAGTAAGTTTTGAAATATTAAATAACAACAAAATAAAATTAACTAACAAAATAAAACATTACAGAATGTTGGCAGACAAGCTCAACATGAACCAGGAAGAAGCTGAATGCTGGATTGTTAATCTCATTCGTAATGCTCGACTTGATGCTAAAATCGACTCAAAACTGGGCTACGTCGTCATGGGAGGTCAACAGCTTAGCCCTTACCAGCAATTTGTTGAGAAAATTGATTCATTATCAGTAAGGTCGGAAGCATTGACTGAATTAGTTGAACGTAAAAATCGTGTGAAGAATCAAGGCGAAAACTGGAAGTATTATTAAAAAGTTCTTTGCTTTCTATTTGTCACTCAAAATTATTGGAACAAAAACACACAAAAAACAATTTTTTAATTCAAGAAACAATAAAAATAAAACAAACTTCTTGAAGAAGAAAACTTATGAATTTTGATTAACTCGATAATCTTTGCACACGTCGATGTTTATTTCTTTACGAATAAAGTGGAGGGAATTTCTTAACGCGACGTCAGCATCAAAACAACATATAACGTTAGCAACATAGCGACTTTAATTGAAACATTTCAAAATATATTCTCATTCAGTTGATAACTTTCATCGTCGGCGGAAGAAGAAAATTTCGAAAAATAAAAGTTATTACGAGCTTCGCGAGTTTTCTAGAAATGGTTTCTAAGTTTCAATTAATTTTCTTGTTTAGTTTTGTTGTATGTGCGACCAGTGGACCTTCAGCACCAGGTCTTGCTGAATGTGCAATAAAATATATTGAAAAGGAAAAAGTAGACGCGAGTGAGAGTGGAAGAATTGACTCTCATTGCGACGCAATAATCTCATCAGAAATTGTCAAATTTTATGACGAGGTCCGTGATTTGATAACGAATGGAGTCAATGTAGAGAATTTGGACAATGCTGAGTTTATAAAGCAAGAGACGTGCATTCTTGCTAGCCTACGTCATTTCAATGTCTCTCAGTTGTATATTAAAGGAATTGCTTACCGAAAACTCAATAAAGCTCATAAGAGTGATCATAGCTTCAACCAGAAGATGACATCACCACAAATACTTCTGTTGTACGCTTTGCAAGTTTGTGAACCTCGATCGTTTTACGCACGGCATTCAGAAAAGATTTTCTCAATGAACATGCGAGCGACGAATGCACAAGCCCATTGTTTAGTAAATCATCTGAATGAGAATGGCGTTGATGAACCTTATCAATTGAATGAGTGTACGGAATCTTTCAACGATCTTGATGTAGTCGATTGTCTTGACGTTGTAAGAAGCTTCGTTAAGAAATATTACAACGTCATTGATCGCGCTCGTAACTTTTCAATCTTCAACTTAAACCCGGTTGAGGCTAGAAAATGTCGAGCGGTTGATGATCAGAGTCTCATAAATAATATGATTCTGTTAACGATTTTCCCCAGGCTTAATTTAACTTCCGAACAAATGGAGACTGAGAAAAGTCGCTTTTTTGAAGTTGCTAGAGAATCTGCGAAAAGCTTCTTCAAATGTATTTCAATGTATGATTAAAAGTTGTATCTGTCAAATAAATACGCTTAAATAGAATTCCAGTTTAAAGCTTCTTTTCTTGAAACCAAAACCTTACCTTTGAAAATGTGATATTTTTATTCTATAAAATATTTAAAGATTTTTTAAAGGTCGAATCATTACAGCAATTATCGGCTTATCATTTAGTATAATAATAAATTCTTAAAAGATTTTTCTTTTTTTTTCATCTTTATTTTTCAATTAATCAATTAATAATCATAATTTTTCTTTTTTTTCATCATTCTTGTATCATCATTATAATTACCATTATACTCAAAAAAGGATCTTGTTTTAATAATTATACAATTACATCATTAAACTGCATCGTGTATTTTCTATCTTCAATTATTTTTTTTTCACTTTTCTCGTTTATTTATCTTTGACTTAATTATAGGTAGTTTCACTTTCTTTATTATTCAATAGTTGTAAAGTTTAATTTTCTTACATTTAAAGAAAATAATGATAATAATAATAATAAAATCGGGGAAGAAAGATTTTTAATTAAAAATGATTTTTCTAAGACTTTTCCTTATTCTTCATTTTTTTTTTGAAAAATTTTCATTTCCTTGTCTAATTGAAGGAATTTCCTTTCTTTGTCAATGCTATGAAAAAAATTATGTGTGTGTGTTTCTTTTTCTTTTCTTGATGTTTACCTCTTGCGTTCTAAGCTGCTATTTAGAAGAAAATAATTCAATCAATTTCTATTGTAATTATTTCAACACACATTTCAGATGCAGTTGGTTCAGCTTAAAATTTAATATTACAATTTCTTTCTTCGTTCAAAAAAAAATCATAAATGTTTGCATTTTCTTTCTCTTTTTACAACATGATTTTTTTGTAGATTTTTTTCTTTTGTTATTTTCATATTTATTTCAATAATTTTCTTCTAAGACTTTCGCAATGTTACAACTGTAATGTAAAAATCTATTTTAATTATTATGGATGAAGTTTAATTTTGTTTAATATTTAGTTTTTCTTTCTGCAATCATCGACAGAAAATATATTCACAATTTTTGCTTTTCATCATTTGATTTTCTTGTTAGTCGTCAGAAGTGAAAGTCGCTATGTGTAGGATGGGATTTTGAGTTAAATGAAATAAAATTTTGTTTTTCGCTCTCGATTTATTACATCTTTTGTGATCATTGTATTGATCGATGTCCGTTTTTTAAAAGCTCCCCATAAATTCTTCCCTTGAAATTCCATTGAAATTTTTCGCGAACAAATTATTCTTTTGTACCATTCATCACAATTTGTACCGTGTTTGGGATGCAAAGGTCGACATTAGCAATTTTTGTTTGAAACTTTTAAGGACTCCCGTCTTATTTTAAAAAGATCATATTTCGAAGTATTCAGAGAAAAAATTGTCTTTTAATGGCACACGAAAACAATATTTATACCAATTAGATATAAAAGTTCAATGCAAAATTCTTTCGAGAATAATCTGAGAAGCTTTTAAAATAATTTCTGTGATGCATGTTTTGTGATATTTCATGATAAGTATTTTTGTGACTTTTCAACATTTCCAATTCAAAGCGGGAGATTTAAGTTGTTGGCGGTTTGACATTTCTTTTATTTTTTGTTTACTAAATAACAAAATAAAAGAAATTTACAAGTTTTTCTTTGCTTCTTCAGTAATTTACATTTTCAACTTGAAATTTTTATAAATTTAAAATATCAATTTGTCAATTATCATTTTTAATTTTGTATTACTTTTATACATGTTCAATTTATGTATTTTAGCAATGAAACTTCTATCAACAAGCTGAGAAGCGTCAAATCTGGCTTTGTTAATGTTGTTCTATTTGTTTTCTTTTTAATCTTTGAAAGTTTTTCTACCAATTTTGATGATTGTCGATGAACCAGATTGTTGAAAAATAAAAATAAAAAAGTCAAATTATAGGAAGTATAAATGAATTCATTAAATGAAACTGGAAAGATTGAGTAAATGGTTCATCCTCTTCCGATTTTTAATCGTCTTGAGTGAGTCTGACAGTTTCACGAATACTTTTTTCATAATTTCAAACTTGACGAAACGCGAATGTTTCGATCAGGGTCGCAACAATGAAACATTTGTCCTTGGAACATGTCCAAGAAGAGGGCAATGACCACGCTGAATTTAACGAAACTTGTCCAAAATTTTAAGTTCTCTATGAAATATGTGTATCAATCAATCGTATAAAAATGTGTTTGCCAACGTTTCCTTCTACTTCTCCTTCTTTTATGTTAATTCTTAAACAATCTAAGTACTTAAAAGAATCCTTCCTCATTGAAAAAAAATCTATTTTTATAAATTATCAATTTTCATCATCATCTTTAACATCTTTTTTCACATGATTTTCTATTTATCCGAACGAGAAAAAAATCTTTCTTAATTTTACTTTTTTATGCCTTTAACAATCGTCATCATCTCTCATCCATTAAATTTATTTTAGTTACATAGTTCAAATTAAAAAAAAAGTTGAAAAATATTTCAATTCATTTTTTTCTTTTACCAATTAATTAAAGAAAGAAAAATAATGTTCAATGAAAATCAAGACGAAAAAAAAATTATGAGTGTGTATGTGTGAGGATGGTGAAAAAACAAACTAGTGAACTTCGGATGGTTCTGGCTTGGCTGAAACATGATGATTTGTTGGATCCGGGGCACTAAGAGGCTAAAAAGAGTTGAAGAAAATCTTCAATTAAAAATCTTTGAGAAATTTTTGATTTAAAATTTAAAAATTAAATTAAAATAATAAGATTGAAGTTTTAAGGAAAACTGAAACATTTCAGTTACTTCAGCTTTCCTTTCACTCCTTTTAAATTTTAGTTTTCCAAACTTTTAAGAATGGAAACAACAAACATACCGATTTGCTGACCATTGCATGTTGTATACCTGGAGGTGGAGCAACAGCAGATTGGGCTGGTGGTGCTGAAACGGCCGATGGTTGTTGAGGTGGTCCGCTTGCAGCATGTGTCGAGCCGGCACTATGCGGCGCTTCTAATGGAGTTGTACTATGGGCTTGTTGTGTATGTAGTCCACCTGAATAATAGCCACCGTTAATGCCAGCTGTGAATGGGTTCAATTATGGTTTTTGTTTGATTTCATTTTCTTTGATTTTCATTCTTCTTTTTCTTTTCATCATCAAAATTAATTTTTAAAAGGAAAATAATTTGAGAAACAAACTTTGTTTTTCTTCTTTTTTACTCTTTCCGAAACGAAATCATAAACTTTAAGATGAAGAAGTTTAAAGGAAAAGAATATTTCTCACCTTCCGAATATCCTGCAGTACCCGATGAAGATCTCATAAAGTATTCTTTATTCACACAGTTTCTCAAACATTCTGGGATGTTTCCGATGATAGCTCGTCGTATTTCAGTTGCTGCCATTTCGCGCAGTTCTGTCGTGGCGGCTTCGCTGTAGAAGGCGGCATGTGGCGTACACAGTAGATTCGGTGCGTCTTTTAGTGCGCCCTATAATCATAAATTAAGATTCGTGACTATTAAACATCAAATAATCATTCAAAAAGATTTCAAATTCAAAAGATTTGGAACAAGAAATTTTTAATTCTTTTTTTGGGGAATGTTTTTGAAAGTTTTTTTGTGTTTTGTTTAATAAAAACCTGAAATACATTATATGGCTCATTCTCATGCACATCAAGTGCAGCAGCTCGTATTCTTCCTTGTTTCAATGCCTGAGCAAGCGCCTCGTCATCAACAAGACCTCCTCGAGCTGTGTTTACTAAGAATGCACCAGGTCTCATCTAAAATGAAAATGAATGAAAAAGAGAAGAAAATGTTAGAAAATTTAAGAGGAAAATAATAAAAGAGAAAACATTTTCAACTTCACTTGCCTGTTTAATTGTGTATTCATTAATTAGATGATGATTATGTTCGTTTAATGTACAGTGCAGTGAGACGCAATCCGAGTGGAAGAGGAGCTCTTGAAGAGTGTAAACACGATTCAGACCAAGTGATTTCTCAATGCCATCAGGCAGATATGGATCGTAGAAACTGACATTGAAACCAAAGGCTTTGGCTCTAAGTGCGACAGCACTTCCAATGCGACCAAGTCCTACAATGCCTAATGTGTCGCCGCGTATCCGGGCACATCCCTAATGAGAAAACAAAACAACAATTAATTAACAATTCGATAACAAATTATGCAGATAAAACTCACCTGAGCGGCATCTCTCACTTGCTCGGGACCGGTAAATTTCTTTCCTTCACGTACCATGTTTGCCAGCCAATAAGTTCGTCGATAAAGATTAAGAATCAGACACAGCGTCGTATCAGCGACTTCTTCAACACCATAACCGGGAACATTACATACAGCAATGCCGAGCTCGCCGGCTGCTTTCACATCGATATTGTCAACACCACTACCGATGCGTACGATGATGCGGAGGGCTTTGAACTTCTCGAGATCCTCCTTTGTGAGAATTATTGTGTGCCACATTAAAGCGCCAACGGCTTCGTTTAATACCTGAATGAAGGAAATGAAATAATTACGTAAATAGGTGAAGTTGGAATTTAATCAGCAGATGTCACAAAATAGGTTGATTCGCCCTATTTATAAATAAATAAATAAATAAACTCACTTTTTCATGAATTTCAGATGTGCTTTGTGCATCACAGAATGCGACTGTTGCGACATCCTTCAGTATTGGCATCTCAATGGAACAATCTCTACCATCTAATAAAGCTACAAGTGGTCGTGTCTGCATTGGACCATTCGACGATATTGGACCGCGCACGGCGTCCAAACGAGCACGTTTCGGCATCATTTTTACTTGCTGCTTATTAATGTGCTTATCACACAATCAGAAATGAAATAATAATAAAAAACTAAAAGATTTTCTTCTGCTTTTCTTTCTTCACACTGATCTCTTATGAGTCTTTTCTTTTTCTTATGTTTGTAATAAACTGAATCTCTTTAAATATTTTTAAAAGTTTTTCTTTTCTGTCTTTTTGATGATCAATCTTCTTTTCTTTTTAAATTAATTTTATCTCTTCACTTAAAATCTGCTTGGAAACTAAAATTTTCTTTGATCACTTCTCTCGTTTCATTCTGGACTTCATTATGTAAATTAATCTGAAATGAGAAATGAAAAGTTCTTAATTAGTATCTGTCGGCTTTGTCGTTATTATTAAATTTTAAAATAACTCCAATGACTTTTGAAGTAAAACTTCAAAATGAGAAACAAAAGTACAAAGTGAAGATTAATTTGATTAAATATAAAGGGATGAAAGTTTTGAGTTGTCGTGGAAACTTTTTGAGGTTTAGGATGATTACAAAACTTAGAATATGTTACGAAAAAACAAATCCACACAATAAATACAAGGTCTCAAGAGACGGAAGCAAAGATCAGACTTAAATAAAGCACGCACACACACAGGGGAAAACTCCATTCATTTCAATTAAGGAAATCACATAATCCCATTTTCTCCTTATCATCACAATCCCAACAAGTTTCCATTTATTTCTTTATCTCGGGAAATGTTGCTAAAAATTGTCATGAATTTTACGATTTATAATTTAAGAACAAAACAAGAACTTTCAACTTGATGTAAAGTTTCTCAAAACCCCTTAAAAATCCTTCAACTCTGAATTAAAATAGTTTTTTCAACTCTTCGTTTCTGAAAACTTAACTAAACAATTATTAGAGAACTGATAACAAGCAGTAGGTGGAGGCGGGCGAAATGAACTCGAGAGTAACTTACAAAAGAGAATGTTGGAATGGGAGGGAAAAAAGTTTTCAGAAAACTTTCTCTGTATTAGCACGACTTTCAGTTTTTCTTGTGTCGAGAACAATTTTCCCAAAACTTTTTCATGAATAGAAAAAAAAAAGTTTTCCATGTATGGGAAAAGTTTTTGATAGTCTCGGAAAAAAAAGGAGAAAGTTTTATGCCGAAAGAAGAAGTTGAAGTTTGAAGCTAATAACTTTTCATTCTTTTTTCATTGTAAAGATGGTTCAAGTTGCTATAACTTAAAACAAAGTTTTTTGATGGCATGAATGTGTTGAATGGCAAAATTTGTGGAATGGAAATTATGTTCAGATTTGACAGTCTCTGATTTGATTAAGGAAAAGTTGTTCCGAGAAGTATCAACATCGGAAGAAAGTTGAGTGTTATGAGTTTTGAGAATTGACTTGTAAATAAACAACGTAAATAAATTTCTGATTCTATTTTGGTAATACATGGAAGCTCGTTGTAAATGAAAACTTCATTAAATCGACAACTGTGCACACTTGACATACATGAACTGTTTTATTGATAAATGAATATCAATCAGTAGAGTTATAAACATTTTTTCATGAAATGCTTCAAGACATTTTTTTTATATCAAAACTTTAAAAGTCAGTTAGACAAAGTGGAAAACCATCTTTCACTTCATTCCACAACACCCACCAAATCCGAAGCTTCCGATAGTTCTCGACAAAAACAAAAGGATAAGGATAATAATAAACTGTCGTATTGAAGCGAGGAAAACTTTTTCATAATCGAAGTTTTCTTACTAAGGAAAAGAAAAAGAGAATTAAGGCAAAAGTTTGGAAAATTTCTTTCGAGTTTCTCGTTTTTCTATTTAAACTTTTTATGGAAAAGTTACTGGCAAAAAGAAAAAAGAAGTCTTGTGACTTGCGAATGTAAAAAAACTCATAAATTAAATACTTTTAGGAAAAGAAAAGTTTTTCGATCAAAAAATTCATCCATTCCTATTTATTTCTCACAAAAAGAAAAAACCAAGTTTGCGAGTCTTCTTTTTATGTTTTCGACAAAATGTATCATAAAGTTTTAGCGTTTCATCCCACTCGACCCGTTCTTACTGTTACTCAATGACGCTGTTTTTATTCCTTTTTTTCTTGGTCTTCACCCCTTTCTCTCTCTTCAGCTATTTATGCACAAAACAAAACAACAACAGCAACATGAAACAAGAAACTTTCTCTCGAAACAAATTTAAAACTTTGAAAATTGTTTACGAATAATTTTAATTTCCAACTAAATTTTTCATAAAAGTTATCCGATTTTCAGTCGTAAACTTTTTTGGGGGATGAGAGTAGATTTGATGGTGAACATATTTTAGAACGAAGCATTGAAACGACGCTACATTTTCATGCTTCAATTTGAAACTTTTATTAAATTTTATTGCATAAGCTTATTCCACAACAAAAGCAAGCTTCAATTCTAATTCATGAAATGAAATTAAAAAAAGTAAAAAAAAAATATGAAAACTTTTCCATTAATGTCGGAGTTGAAAACGATGAAACAAATTTTTCCTAAACAGCTCATAAAGTATAATCTTCTTGCTTAAAATGCTCACATCCATTTAAAAGTTTTTCTTCTCTCCCCTAAATTTTTTTTTGTTTTTCATTTCACTTCACATAAAAAGTTTGTTTTCGAATTGCTGCCTTTTCATGTTCCCAACAAACGCACACTCTCAAGTCGACAAGAATTTTCATCACAACTTAATAATAAACGAGAGAATGTTGCTAATGCTTTTAGATCAGATATGATTTAATGGCTGGGCTGCGGTTTTTTTATTCAGCAGACAATTTGTTTATAACTAAACGTCCTTAAGTTATAGCTTTAGCGATTAAATTGTGGATGTTTACTATCACTTTAAAGCTTTCATGTGTATATCTACTCACAGTTTATTTAAGTTAATTGCCAATCAATCTCTATTGAAACTTTTTGCATCATTATTATCGATAAGGAGATTTTTTTAATAGAAAAAACTGTTAGTTATCTGTCCGTGTCTGGAAACATTTGAACTTTGAATAACTTGTTATTATACGATGAAAATTATTTTTCCATTCATTAAGCAATGAAAAAAAGTTTTATCATAAAAGCATTATAACTTCTGTTAATACGACCGTAGATTGCTTTTTATATAATTTCATCCTAGGAGCTTCTACACCGGGGGGCTGACATTTAATGTTTGTAACAAAGTTGATGTGCTCCGATGTTTTGACTTTTAAAAGCATTTTCTCAACCGAAAACAAAGCTTTTAGTGCGAAGAGACGAGAAGATTGGAATGGGAGACCAGAGAAAAATATTTAATTTTTAAATTAGCAAAGTTTCAGACTTTTCTATGTTAAAACGGTCGAGAGCGAGAGAAGGAGAATAAATGTTGCTTTCTAACGTCTCACACCCCTAAACGAATGCAGCAAGCGACCCTTAACGCATATAAATCACAACATGTAATTAAAAATATTTTCATTATTAAACATGAAAATTTTGTAATTTAATATCCTCATTTATTCTAAAAGAATGCCGTACACACACTTACATTGAACCCTCAACCATCTTTATTATGTAATCAACAAAATGTGATGCTCGAGAAGGTGAATTTTAAATTCGAGATAAAAAATTTGTTTTTGTTATTGGTAACTAGGTAAGATTGAAGAATTTTTAAATTCTATTTAACTTGTAACGATGATTTGACAAACTTAAGAATAGAAAGGGTGGAATTGCTTTTCTCTTGTTTCAAAGGGCTTTTATGGCATTTCAATGACGATAGTAATAGGAATCGTCAATCAAAAGGATTAAAAACTCTTTGAATGAATTTCATTTGAAGTTCAATGTAGGTTTGGTATTAGTTAAAGTAATGGAAATGATTCATTTTATATTCAGTCACAACATCCTACATGGAATATTAAATTAAGGAAATTAAGATTGTTATCATCGATAGCGAACATAAATGTCAGAACTTAACTTGTCTTCCGTTAAAAGGCATTTCAAGAATATAAAAAATATCTTATGTAGATGCTGTTCGGGCTGAAGGCAAGAAATGTTTATCGACTCAACCAACTTGTCCCAAAAAAATTTTTTTTTTTCTTTTTTTCATTGGATCAAGTTTGAAGGCACCGCATCACAGCGTCGTCAAGACTTAATTGCTTCTGAGAAACCCCAAAGAATCTTATAAGAAAGTTTGTTGATTTGCCAAAAACTTGAAATAAATTTCGTTTGAATAATTGAAGTGAACCCTCTTTTAGACAACGCAAGAACCTGACACACATACACACACACACAATAGACTCTGATATTTAATATTTCACCCTCAAAATTAAAATTTTCAAAACAAAGAAAAAAATTGAAAACTTTTCAGTACTTTTTCGTATCAAATTTATAATTAAAAGTTTGCCAACGTTCCTGTGGGAGCTCCGGTCGAAAGTTAAAGTTTGTTTTGTTCAAAATTAATGTTTTGTGTGTTCCCTTCAACATACATTGGCAATCTTTCCGGTCACCCATTATAGCTTTTAAGTAGTTGTTATAAAACATTCAAGTCGCCTCATTCGTACGCCTATTCTTGTCCTTAACTCCGAAACAAATGCCGGCAAAGTTTAGCAAACAACAAAAAATAAACTTCCACATTTTTTGTGTTTTTGTCTCCCATACTTGATGAATAACAACAAAAAAGTGAAACAGAAAAGTCAGAAGTTAGTTTAGTTGTTTACGTTTCTATTTCTTCTTCATCTTCATCTGAACCCATCCAATGATGAGGCAAAAAAGTTTTATTAAATTGTCAGCCTCATCTCGAACCTTTTTCTTGACCGATGACTGCTAAAATGTCCGTTCTTACAATCTCCTTCTTACTTTACAGACCAATTTTCGGTGAACTTTCGACTAATTTTCATCTCATAATCCCCGTTTGACAAATTGCGCTCTTAAGAAATCTCAAAAGAATTCTCTTCTTTCAACCCAAATACAACAAAAGCACCGTCTTAATGTGCAACCCTCAACATAAAAGCGAACGACATTTTATCATTTTTATTACTCTTTCTGCCACTTTTAATGTCCTCAACAACAGCATTAAAAAAACTCTTCTCTAATACATACGCAACAAGATTATCAGTAACAACGTGTAAGTATCGTTCATATCCGATATCAGTCGGAAAGGTAAATTCCGGGCGCCTCATTTGAATCATTTTTATGACTTTAATTCCACCCTCAAATAAATAGCATCAATGTTCATAAATTTTCAAATGGAATGGAAGGGAAAACGAACACAATAAAAAATGAAAATACTAAACAAAGTACAACAGAAGTCGACGAGCATTATCTGAATATGAAATTAATTTGTATTTCAGTTTGGTGACGTATCGTATTAAACGTACGGTGACTATGAAAGCGATCATAATTTATAAATGGAAGGGAGATTAGTAACAAAACAATCAGACAATACTCAGTGATACTTTTTTATTCTTCGTTTTTGCCGTCACAGCATCATCATCAACCTTTCTTTCACTGTCATCATTTCTATCTCGCTCTGACGCAAGGATAATAAACATGATAACACAATGAAAGCAAAAACAGAGAGAAAAGAGCCGAAAACAGTTTTTCGGAGTTTGCGTATGTTTTCCCTTCGATTTGCTTCTTTTTTCCTCGTGTATCTCTTGGCCCTGGGATTCCATCATCATATCCAATACAACAAGCAGAGGAACTTTTCCGCCGGTTCGTCTGTTGTGTACGATTCAACAATTCTTATTATTCATCGGTTTTTCCCTCCACTTGATTGTAGTTGTGAATCGTGGATAACAAATATCGTTTTAAACGTTGTCACATAATGACACAAACTAGAGATTCTTTCGGTCGGTGAATGGTGATGGGAATCGGGTTGAGTGTGGAGATGATAAAGTAGCTAGGCAGCAAGCAGCTGAATGGAGCCAGTCGAAACGACAATGAATGTAACAATCAAAATGAACTTTGACTAGAGGCAAGAAAAGTTAAATACATCAGAAGCATAACAAGGCTCAATGGAAAGAGAAGCAAAAAAAAATCAATTTTGTTTCGTTCCGTCGCTCCTTACGGAGAATTTTTTTTCCTTTTTATTCAACACGAATCAATTATTTAAAAATTTCTATTCGTTCACCACTTCAACCGTATTAAATTCGAATCTTCGTCAAAGCGACCTTCTCGCAAAAACCATTTTCTTCTCATTTCATTTCATTTCATTTTTTCTTATTTTTGGGGATCGGTTGTGAATGTTTGTGAGTATTCCTGCGCGTGATAACACATAGAAAATGCTTTTTAAAGTGCGATAGATTCATGTCATGTTGAAATATTAAAGACATTTCCATTTGCTTTGAAAGAAACAAAATAAAACTTTTTCTTCACGCTTGCTTTTCTTGTTATTTCCGCTTTTTTTTATTTTCGATTTGATTCGTGCTGAATGTGAAAAATAGAAAGGCGAAAAAAATTATGGGAGTGAAGTGGATTGAGGATTAATAGGAAAAAGTACTATTATGGAATCTCATATTGAGTTTGGGTTATCAACACATGAGATAAATATTGATAAGGTTGCTAGTCAGTGACTTTAACTGTCGCCATGATATTAACTTTAGGAAAGGAAATTTAACATTCTCATGTTTTTTTGTTTATGGATTTGATGTTTGAAGATAAAATAAGTTTTTCTTTATGATTAAATCGAGTACTAACATCCAGGATAACATGTCAAAATAATAATCAAATTGATTGACAAGAATTTCTATCTCGATTTCAAATTCCTTTCGCTCCAAGCGTATTTTAGAAAATTTTATCAATCTCTTACATAAGTGAAATGTTCTTGTAACACTCAAGATAACTTGAAGTTTCTTTCCAACATTTCAATTTAACTGACAGCATTTTCTTCTTTCTCAGTTCCACATGTTACAAGATTCACTGGATTATACAATTTAACTGATGTAGCTGACTAAATAAATTTCAACGGCAGTTACATCATGCGCACGCTGTCGTTCAATTGCACAATTAAAATTCTAAAGGGTGCTCTACTTTCAACAAATCGAGTAATCGCAGCGAATCAGTTAGAAGCGTGCTTGATGCACCAACACAATCGCAACCGGCACTGAACATGAAAAATAAAGAAAAAGAAAAAAAAGTTTCAAAACTCGCTTTTTCTTTACCGGCAAAACTTCGGCATTGTGCTTTAATAATACGATGAAAACTTTATTCTTCTTTCGTTTTCTGTATCGGTAGTGTGGGAGAAAGGCAGAAAAATGAGCAGAAAATAAGAAAGCGAAAAAAGGCTCAAGAATGTAAGAAGGAAAAAAACTTTTTCGACACAACAAAAATAAATTTAAAGCAAAGAAAAACCGGAAGAAGAAGAAAGATTCTTTACGATGAAGCACACGAAGTGAATTGTAAAGGAGAGGATTTTGATAGCTGATTCCCCACCTCCCACAACTTTATTCCTTCTCTTTCTCCCGCATTAAGGATTTTATTTGCTTTCTCACTTCAACATTGCGCGTCTGTATTTCATTTCATAAATCAGACATCTCTGGCAAAATAAAAACAGATCTGCGGATGATTTTCTTTTCTTCTTTCCTTTTCTGCCATGTTTAGGATTATATTTGGACTGAATCGAACATTCTTGCGACCGATTTTGACGCTTCATTTGATTTATATTCGCCATGACTAAACAATCGGAAACTTTCCTTTCGACTTTGAAACCTTCGTTTATGTCATGTGAATGTGTTAGAAGAACTTCTAGAAGCTTGTTGTGCAAAGTATTTAAGTGTAGGGATGGGAAAGCAATCGAAATTACGAACAATGGAAATAATTGCAGGAAAACTGAAATTTTATTACTCAAATTAAATTAAAGCATAAAAATTTTGTTAAACAATTTATAAAATTAAATGTCAACTTCATCCATTATTTGACCTTTTAACAAAACGAAGAGTTCTATAAAAGCATTCTCTACTCCTGAACATCAAAGAGAATGTCTGTCTTCTACTTATCAATAACATTTACTTCAAACATATCCCAGGGCGTTTCTCCAACGTTCTCAATTTTCAATAACATGTTGAACGAAGTTTTTCTTTTACTTAAAGCTGCCTCTCTACAAACATGAACTCCTTGTTAACGTTTCTTATGAAAAGATTGTACATGTTCATCGTTTGCATGACGACATTACAACATTTAGTTGAAATTATTCATGAAAATTGACAATTTATGGCTCATACATGAACATCACAGACATTAGAAAAGCTTTAAAGTATTTAAGAAGAAAAAAAAATTGAAAAAGAATTCTTAGATATGGAAATTTCTCTCAAGTTTTAACAACTTTTCATGTTGCTAACTAATGAAATTTGATTCTTTTAATTATCCCCAACTTCTGAAACTCAAAACGCAAAGTTTTAATTAAAAAAAGTAACTTTCTCTCTCTTGCTTTTCTTCCCATCGCAATCAGCCATTCCACTGTAGATTCCATCACAGAGTGTTAGGTGAACGAGCAGACTCTCAAAAACGAAAACTTTTCTGAATAAACTTTTGTTTGTTGTCGAGTGTATCAGAGTTTTTCTTTCTTTTTCAGATATCCCCTTTTTTTCACCCACACACCCGTTCAATCTCCTTTCAGAATAAATTTGTAACATGAGCTGAAGAAGATTTTTTTTATTCTTTTTCCATGGAAGGTACTCTTGACTGTTATGAGTTTAAGGGGCGGACAAATGAGTACAAGTTCGACATTTTATGCTGATTAAATCGGGTGAAGGTTGTTACGGAGATAACGATGTGATATAAGACAAACCATCTCAACTCCGCAATAAAAAATCGGATCAAAAGAGCAAAAGCAAACGATGAACTGACCGACATCATTGAAGCAATTGAAGAACTTTAAAGTTTTGTTCATTTTTACGGAAGAAGTATGACAAATTTTTATTATTTTTCTCAAGCATCAAATGCTAAGAAATTGAAGAAAATTAAAAACTTTGAAACTTTGAAATAATTTGAAGCGAGAAAAACTTTCTTGACGCAAAATGTTTAAAACAGAAAAAGGGTTGTGGAAATTTATTAAGCCTTTCTTTCATTTCACTTCAAAGAAGCTCCGGAATGAGATTTTTCGGGGAGAAGATGTCGACGCTGATAAAGCATTTTACCAAAATCTAACGCCTGTGAAGCATAAATTAAAATAAAAAAATATGGAAAGAAGAATGAGAATGTTTTCCAAAGTTTAAGCAAAGAAGAAAAGAGAAGAAAGTTCGAGAACTGAAAAACTTTTTGAGAAAATCTGGGAAATGAAAGAAATGCTGTGTGGAAAAACAAAAGTTTTCACTCATTCTATAGACGAAAGAGCGCGTTATAGAGCGAGTGAAAGACTTTTATAACTTTTTACAGCTGAGGGAAAAAAACTTTATCAAAGTTTAAGGGAAAAAGAGGAAGAAAGAGGAAACTTTTTCGATCTTGGCGTTGACGCTCGTCCTACGCGAATTGTCGAAAGTTTTTTTCCTTGCCTTTGTGCATATAGGTGGAAAGGAAAAATGTTTAAAAGAAAAAGAAAACTTTCCATGAGAATAGAAAAGAAGTTTTATGACGCGGCTTTTGTCTTTTAAACAACCCGATGAGGATAAATAGAAAAGAAAGGAGAACATAAAAAGCACCCCCTCTAGTCGATGAACTTTCGCTTGTCGGATTCGAAAAAACTTTTCAACTTTCACAAATGTAATTTATGTTTAATAATTGTATAATTAAACTTTTGCCACAACTTTAATACTTGTTACTTTCCACTCTGAATCACAAACTTGAAAAGTTTTCTCGATGGAATGAATAGGAAAAAGTTACACCATTGGGATTAAGATGAGACAACAAAGAAGTAAAGCAAGGAAAAAGAAGACGAAAAATAAACTAAAAATTCATAGAATGAAAATTTTGAAAATTAAACTTTAAGGCGCATAAATTATCGCAAGTTTTCGTTCACGAGGAGCACTTACATCTGCATTTAAAGCTTAAAACTTGAGGTTCAAACTTAATTTAATTAGATTTAAATTTAGTTAATTCTAAACTCTGAAATTCCATCCTCATGGCTTATCATCTTTCATAGTTTTCACATTCGCGTTCATTCTTACGTGATATTAAATTTATATATGGAAAGAACTTTTCTTTTATCACCATGGGATGCTTTTCTCTTTCTCTCTCTTGCCACAATCGATTCCATGATTTTACATTTTAAGCATAAACGTGGAGAGAATGTCAGAATGTGTATGTGTTTACTTGAACTGCAAAAATATTCAGGAGAAAAGTTTTGAAGCGGCAGGAATGAGAGAGAATGCGAACATGGAGAAGAAATAAATTGGCTTACATTGTACTTCGTTCTTAAAACATAATCTTCAATCCCATACCGTAGCTTTAGCCTTCCCATAATACATTTACAGGCAAGACACAACACAGCACAGCTACAAAAACGACTTTAACTCGCCTAAAGCTGAAGTAAATCAAAACGATTTAAAATTTCAGTAGTATGAGGACGAGAAAAGCTCGTATAATTAATGAATGAATTCTATAAGCCTTGTCTCCCTATTTTCTCAGTTTTCATACATAAATTGTCGTCAGAGCATGGCTGAAAGATTTAAAATAGAAACAGAGAACTTCTGAATAAATCGATGAATGCAATGTTAAATGTATTTGGGTGAGACATTTGAACAATGAATAAATTGTTGCAACTAGTAATGAACCACTCAAACCACTTACGACTTATGAAATTACATCCCACTCATCTACCTTCCTACATTCTAAATTAACAAACGACATGACAATTTCAATGAAATTATTTTACTTTCGTCTCCAAATAGGTTGAAAGATTTTCGTTTATTATCCACAAATTGTGATGAGATTTCGTGTCGGAAAATAATTTATTTATGAGAAATGAAAAGTTCACAATCAAAATGGTTTCCAAGCAAGAAGATTCCTTTAGGCATTTAATGACTTGACGTTACGATAAATATAACTTAAAAAAGGCGAAATGAAATCAGGACTAAGAAGCGAGAAAGATCTTATCATTCATCATTGCTGTCATTCATTGTTTAACCTTCTTCGAAGAAAGCTTCGAGCTGAAAAAACAAAACAAATGTACATCAAACGCCACGACGAAACGAATTGCCATTAAGTTTGTGAAACAAAAAAACCACTGACACCCACCCACGCAAGCATTTTAACTTAATTTCTTTTGAAGTGACATCGAGTCTTTTTTTATTTAACTGTTAGCTAACAAGGGTCGCTAAAGTCATCGACAATACAGACACATTATTCGTAAAGTGAATCGTCTGTTCTTCTGTTAAATAAAAATATAAAGTTCATCGTGAGTATTTCTTTTACCATTCACTTCTCATCCTTCCCACAATTTCTTCACATTTCCACCTTCCGTCTACTTTCCTTTGATGAAATAACTTTTCTTTCTTTTTTTTTGTTTGAAAACTTCTCTTTGGAAAGAAATAAAACGAGGAAGAAAATAAAGTTTTAGTCGATATTGTCGAAAGATTTTAAAACTTTTACAATTCTTTGCTTTGATATTTTCCCATCTTTGATTATTACAACGATAAAAGGAAAGAAAAAAGTTATTTTACACGAATAGAACTCAACTTGTTGTTACATTGAGGGAAAAAGTTTCTGTATTAGGATTTCAACTTAAAGCACAACAATACAAACTTTTGTCTCGTTTCGAGAATATTTACTGAGTTGATTAAACTATTTTTGAGTGAATTCTTTTTTATGTTACAGAGAGTTGAGTTATGTTTGTTCTTTTGATTAGCCGTTGAGAAATCTTTAAAGCGCATGCATGGAAAGTAAGCTGATAAAGATAAAATTGAAAATATTTACGATACGGTAAAATGCATGCAGTCAAGAGTCTGCAAATGAACATATTTCCAATGAATTTGCCATTAAATGATGTAACGAAAATACTTCAAATAAATTCTTTCAACAAACATTCTTCATCGAAAACTTTTGCATTATTATAAAAGTTTATTTTTCGAATGAATGTTAAACTTTCCATCCCTCACTCCATCTAACTTTCAAACTCATCGACCTATCGAGCTCAGTGTTTAATTCTTTTCTCTTTTATCCAATTCAGTTGGCAAAGTTTTCAACATTATTTCAATTAAAAATCTTGTTCCACACTCACATTTCTTAAACAGATATTTGAAGAGGGATTCGGGCAAGACATGAATGAAATATTCAAAGATTTTAATTTCTTTATTAAAAATTTATTCGAATTTTAATGGCAAAAGTTTTCAATTCGCTTTTTTTACGCTCTCTTCAAAGTCCTGGGACGAACTTGGCATGTGCTGTTTGTAAGCTCAAACTCAACATTGTTTCAAATCGACATTCTCCCCCCACTTCTCGTTCTCAGCCATTTTTATTCCCCCATGGGAGAGTCAATACAGCCTGAAACTTTCATGAGTTATCTTGACGAAAATAACAAGAAACGAACAAAAAAGTAGAAGAAAAAAGAAAGAAAATTGTTTCAGAACAAAGTTTGAAGGCGAGCAACCGAGATAAGTACGAAAGAAAAAAGAATCAAGAAAAAGTTTTCCTCCATTTTAATTGTCTCGGCAAAAAAGTAAAAAAAAACTCTAGAAGAAAAACGAAAGTTTTCTTTTTTCATTGAGATGGAAGAGTAATTGATGTTGTTTGTCGCTCGAGGAACTTCTAAGTCTTCCATTTAATACAACATCAGATAAGCATTGATTTTAGACTCATCGTTCGGCTCCGTCATTTAGCCGTGCATTGTTGCTAGATCTAAAATTACTGAATTAATTTAATTAAAACTGTTCGTATCTACCCCCACATTTTCTTACAAATTTTATTGAAACATTAAAAGCGTCTCGTCCCCTTAGACATCATCATATTTTTTTTGCTTTCTTCTTTCTCTTTAGCCTTATCAACGCGATTAAAGAATAAGAATAAGAAAGGAATGAAAACTCCACGTTTCCTCCAACATGAAAACTTTACAAATCAATCTAAAGTTGAAAACGAGCAAAGTAAGTTCGCTTAACTTTCACGTCTTATGGCATGAACAGCACAAGTTTGTTTTTCAGTGGAACAAAAGCCGCCTCAAAACTCCCCCAACTCTCCTTCTTTTGAATCTTTCAGAGTTTGCTCCTGCTCTGAAGTTAATTTAAAAAGTTTTTCCAAGAGTTTGGAGGTGGAGAAGAAAAGTTCTTTTTAAAAACAGTAAAATGGAAGTTTTCGGAAAATTTTCTTCTCGAAAGAAAAAAGTTTTAATTTCCTCGAGATGTGTACTTTACTCCCGCATAGCATGGCATTTGGAAACACAAAAAATAACTTTCACATTGTACGAGATGAAAAGATGGCAACATTACTGATACTTACATTTCACACCCAGCTTATATTTTTTATTGATCGTCATTACTCCACCACACGTGAGCGGTTTGTAAGCATAAGTGAATTCCTAAAATTGAAAGAGTTTTGATTCGAATTAAAATCACATAAAACAGAGATTAAAATGCAGTTTGATGATGAATCAATGTTACAATAAGTTTTGGTTTAACGAGAGTAAATGAATTGAATTGGTTGTGCGAAGGAATTAAAAGAAATGTTTATGATTAATAATTTTCATTCGTTCACACATCAACGCGTCTCGCATCTGAACTTGCCTCGAGAATTTTTTGATTTTGTTCTGAAGTTTGTTAAAATAATTGACGGAGAAGTTTAGTCTAATAAACGATCATCAATTTTTCATGCAATTGTTGTTTGTTTTTATCTCACACATTTCTCGATTCTTTACAGCTTATCATCACACCACATTACACTACAAAATACTTTGACTTCATAATTAGTTTCGAAATTGTTTCACAATCATTTTACAATAAAGGAAAGAAAAAAATACGATTGCGTGAGCAAACAATCAACAAACAATTTTCATTTATAATTTCAATTGTTGTTGGAATTGTTTTTTGTTTCATCGTTTCTTGAGTTCAAGAAAAATTTTCGTTTCTGTTTTTTGTTGTTGTCAGAATCGAAATCAAACTTTAATCGTGTGAATTTAACTGTTTTTGTATCATTTTCATAATACATAAGTAGTGTTTGAGGTTATTTATGTATCCACAATGAATGATTACCAGATCTTGTTACTGGCAAGAAAGTCTAATCCATTATTCATTTTGTGGTGAAATATATTTTGTGCGGATAAAAACTGAAAATTGCTGATATGCTTATTTCAGTTTTTTGGCTGTTGTCATATTCGTTGCTTCTCCATTTGTAAACATTGTTCACGTCGTGTCTTGAAATGAGCGATGACGAATAAGTAGAGCATGTGAGTGCTTTGTTGTCAATTTTATTTTTTATTTCTTTTCGTTTCATCGTCCCATGGGAGAAACGACTAAAAATATTGATTCGATTTTCATGTTTATAAGTTTACAAAAATAACAGCAGCAGTTTATGTCATAAATTTTCTCGCGGCTTCAACATCGATAATATTGAGTGATGAGTTTTTTAAAAACATTAAAAATGACAAAAATATTCTGCATTATTGGTCGTATCTGTCGCAGGTAAATAGGTCAACAAACATTATTCAAAAGGTAATTAAAACGAGCTCCACGTTTTCACATTTTTTTATTTTATTTTTTTATTGCAAAGCTGCTCCCTCAAAGGCATTTAGTAAACGACCAAAAAAATTGTTTCGAATCAATGTGCATTCATTACGACTGAACTGTTTTTAATTGTGAATTGAATTGATAATAAAAAGAATTTTTTTCTAGAATTTTCACATTTTTTTTGTAGTTATTGTTGCTGATAGCTTGTTGGCTCTCCCACGTTGTAGCAATGCTTTTACAAAATAAAAAAGAGACGAAGAATTTCTAACTAATTGGCAAGAAGATGTGAATCGAATTAGCAGAATATTTCAAGCAACATCAATCTCTGCGAAATGTGCTGAACTGCAATTTGTATCAAAATATTTATCAGTTTTTTAGCTCTTAAATCAAAAAACATTGCCTTCTGTTACTCAGACTTTTTCGAATAAATAATTCACCTCGAAATAGAAACGATAATTATCGATCGCTTTTTATGACTTGTTCAAGATACAACTTCGACATTAACACATTAAATTGGATCATGAAATGTGTAAAAATATTTTCTACATCTCAATTCGACACAAACATTCTTGAGATATTTGAGATTCAATCTTGACCAAGTCGAATCACATTTGTGAGAAACATCACATTGTGTGCCATATGTGCAAAAAAAAACTTCGGAATGAAGACTTCGATATTTATATCACACTCCACATTTCCCTCTCAGAGGTGTGCGCAAATGAATTTAACTATTTTAACTCACAACCAGCTGATGGTCGTTAATGAAGTTAAAAAAAGCGAGGCAAAAACAAATTTGATCTCATCAAGGCCATGAACTCTCCTTCTCTCTATCTCGTATTATGGCAAGCATAATAAATTTAATTGTTAGCTTTGATAGGTGAAAATTTAGCCTGCAGTTGATGGCAGTAATAAACCAAAGCAATTTGCTTATACACACCAGAAAAAAATGTGATAATGTGCAGGTGAGTGGAAGACTAACCGACTCTGTGATAAATAAAATCACATTATCTAACTCGTGTTCACTCAACGTTTTCACGAATTAATTCTGTGTATCCATTTTGAGTAAACAAATTCTAGAGCATAACAATGCCTAAATGTGCTGACGAAATCATTGTTTGCGATCACATACGATATCAAAATAGGATCACACTTGCTTCATGATTCACAAGAGCGAACTTCCCAGACATTCGCTAACCCATTAAATGCATGAGCACAGCACAAAAAAAAGAGTGAACAGAAAAAAAATGTAAAAGTTAAATAAAGAACTTTGAAAGGAGGCGAAAGAGAAAAATTGCTGACGGGCGCAAGCAGAAATAATTTTTCAAGTCAGTTTCCATTTTCATACACATCGGCTCCGAAAAAAAAAGAAAAAAAATCGCTCATCTTGCAGTTCCTTCGTTTTCTGCTTGACTTCGGCTTTTCTGTGCTTGATTTTGTGCTGATTCTGCTGTTTACGTTCCCGCAAACATCGGAAAAAAATATTTTATAACATAAATATATTTAAGTATGGACGTTCATGCTGATGTCAAGAAATTGACGTAGCTGAATAGACAATTCTTTAATTCACATCGCATCTTCAATCATGTGTCCACTGAACCGCATCTTTAACAACTCTATCAAATATTTTGAATTCGTAATTGGAAGTCTCGGAATCGAAACAACAGCTAACAAACGAGATTTTCAGTTTTGCAAATTACAAAAAAAAATCGTTTTCACGTGGTAGACGAATCTCAATTACCCAACAGCAACTCAATAGCAGTGAAAAATTGATAGAAAAAAAGCGAAGAAGGAAACAAGCACGAATAAAGTACTGAAGAAACATAAAATCCATCAATAATTCATCATCGTCATTGAGAGTTAAGCTGAAGCAAAAGAGGAAGAAGAAAAAGAAAACAAATTGTTCGATAAACATTTACATAATAAAAGCGAAACGTTTTGTGGAGAGAAAAACCGAGGCAAACGTAAGCAACGCAACAAAAAAAGGAAAGAACTCATTTATAAATATCTTAAAGTGTGCGTTTCACATCACTCTTGACCCTATCGTAGCCGTTCGTTCGTTTCATAAGTAGATATTCCATCAAAGCGTCACTTGCATGAACTTTTAAGTTGAAAGCGCGATGTGCATTGAATGTGCGCGCCAACGGCTCAATGTGAATGCAACAACAAAATTAAAATCAAACTGGATATTCGTGTAGAGCGTGAAACGAATCGAGCAAATCGATCGATCGCTTTGCTCTGTTGAGAACAATAAGAAGAAAATTAACAATTCTTCAATGCTCGCTCGCGTTGGATTTAAAACTTTTTTTTTCTTCATCTCCATTTAAAGTTGTCCGCAGTCTAGAAATGAAATCACAAAAAAAAACTGGTTTTCTGCGTTTTGCTTTCGAACTTTTCAAACGGATAAACACAGAAAAAATTGTTGTTTCCTCAAAAAGAAATAAAATAAATAAAAAATCACTTTCTGGCTAGTTTTCTTGTTAATCATATTTCTCTGTTGTGCTTTTTCTTTCATCGCCATTCTCGTCAAGCGCGACTTTTAGACAATAAGCAACGGCGACTCGCTTATAACGCCATTATAAATTTAAATATGGATGAGCAGAAAATAAAACTACAACTAGCAGCGATATAATAACGAACAGAGATGGAGTGACTGTTCATCGCGGTAGCGAATGAATTAAGATAGGTCATTGAATTGACTTGGCATTGGCTTTGAAATTACCATTTTGAAACTATTTTAAGCAGAATGAAGAAAAGCTCAGAACATAACGCAAAAGGGAAAGAAACGATTTGGGTCAACAACCAATAGCACTCCTCAAGTTGTGTCGTAAAAAGAAATGATGCTCGTAAAGCCACGTGACGCTTTTTAAACTTGTTAATTGTTGTCAATTTCAAAAGTCTAAATGTGAGAGTTTCTTTTCGACTATCAATTTTTCTGTTGTACGATGAATCACACAATCAATTTAAAACTTCATTCTTGATCATTTCACCGATTAATTGAAATGAAAGTTTCAAATAAACTTCTGGTGGTCATTAATTTGCCATTTTTGCCTTTAATTTTCTTTTTTTTCTGTATGTTTCATTTCGTATCGTTCGCCTCATGCCACTTTAGCTTTGTGTAATCTTAACTCACTGTAAAATACGACCAGAGCATCAAAACTTTTTTTTATATTTTCTTGATTTTAAAAGAAATTAAATTGTGCCGATTGTCAGAAAATGTTTCGCACGTTTTTGAATACAACAAGTCAATTTTTTTATGTCTCATGAAGAAATGAGGGGGAAAACGAAGACTGAATGAAAAACAAAAAAAACACACAAAGAAGTTGAAAAATGAATAAATTCACAATCGAATTTGAAAGAATTGTGAATAAAAAAAAGTGTTTTGTTGTATAAATATTTCGCTTGAACGCTGCTTTGGTTTCATCGTAGCTTTTAGCAGTGTTTCGACGTGGAGTTATGATTGCGTGGCATGTATAATTGATTTGTACCATTGGATTACTTTAGAGTTGAGGTGTTGAGTGGTATTTTTGTAAGTACAGGTTTTATAGACAGCTTGCTTCTGTAATTGTTGGAAAGTTGATGCTTAATGAAAATAATCTCCAATCAAAGCTCGGCTAATTGAATCGCATTCAACACAATTTATTGTTTCTCATTGTCTCGAAACATCCCGCGATGACTAAATTGAAGTGTTCAAAACGAAATCAAGAAGGAAAGATTACCGACCAAAAGTGTTTTCTTTTTTTGTTGTAAAGTTTGTTTCTCGACTGTTGGCTCAAACTCAGGTCGAGAAAGAGAAACAGAGGAAGTTGAATAACACAAATCTCAAATGAAAACATTTTATTTTCATTTTGTTGTATTTTCTATTTTTATATTCATCGACTAATTTGCTTCTTTTATTTATGAGCGAATGTTTTTACAAATGGAGTAGAAAATTTTCATATCTCATTACCGATGCGTCTCGCAAATCAACTTTTAAAACATTCAGAAAACAAGTTTGGAAGAAATAAAAAAATGCCGATCATGAAGGTATTGAAGACAGGACCTTTCTGTCTGTAGTTGCTGTTGAGAAAGGTTTTCAAACTTTACTGTTTCACTTCCGACATTTTAACTACTTTCGAGCGATTATTTCTTTCCTCCTTCTCCTTGCATATTGAAAATAGTTAACTTTATATCTTTCTCTATCGACTTTAGTGTCATGTTTGTCCATTCATTCAATTCAGTTTTTAATTAAAACGTTCACTTAAGTCCCATTCCATTTATTTTCTCACAATGGAGTGTGACAATTGTGGAAGTTGTTGACGTGACAATTTTTTTTTTTGGGTTTTCGGTTGAAAACTCGACACATCGCTAAAATTCATTAAACATTACAATGTGCCACAAAACGATTTCTTGCGACTACGTAAAACTTCAACCTTCGTTTGGCAGACAACATCGTTATGTGTTGAAAGATATTTGCCAATAAGCAAATTATTTGAGAAGCAAAGAAAAATTTTCCCATAAATTTTATTTTTATCGACAGATTTTTTTTTCTCCCTCACAGCTCGTTTTGCTTTTTTTCATTTCGATTTTCTTCGAGTTTTATGCTCCACTTCAATAATTTAAGTTTAGTTTTCGTTTTATGTTCCTTAAAGCGAGTAGAAAATGATTACGAAAAGCTGAATATTTTATTGATTAGATAGAATGTCGATTAGATGAAGATTTGCCATATCGAACATTCGAGTGTGAACGTGGAATTGAAAACATAAGAGTTTCTACAATCATGAAGAAGCGTGTTAATGATCAGCAGCATTGCACATCATCTTAATAAATAATGTTGTCTGTGACTTCTGCCATAAATGCGACAAAAGGATGAAAATGCAATCATCAAAGCTCTCAGGAAATTGTCGAAGCTTAGTAACAGACTTGACGCTTTTTCCAAGCAGCAATATTTGACCTCTCAGTATTAGTAAATCGCCTCATAAAAAAATTCCGCACAGCAAACGACAGACACATATCGTTGAAATAAACCATAAAAAAAAGTTGTTCGCTTCCAACAACAAATTGAATGGAACTTCCATCCAAGACTGGGCGGGAGCGAAACTAAAGTCATCATCAAATCATTTTGTAGAATGCGGACAAAAAGAAGTCGCAATAAATAAACTGATTCAACGTCTAATTGGAGTGGCTGTGGCATAAGGAGAAGTTTACTTTTGTCTGTCTTTTAGCATGATTGTTTTCGATTTTATTTATTATTTACTTCTTTTTTTTTTGTTTTATTTTCGTCGTTGAGGCTACTCTAATGAGCCCGAGGTATTAAAAGGAAAGCAATAAAGCGATGAATTCCTACATATATATACATATATATATATATATATAGGTTGAAGTGAACAACTAATTGCACTGCCATTAAAGATATTGCCCATTAAACTCAAAGAAGAAGCCGCAATTAAAGTATCATCTCGTGATTGCTTGTCATGTCGACAGACTTCGTAAACGAAATTATGAATTACAAAAAAAATTGTTTTTTGCATCATTTGAGTGAAAGAAAAAGATTCACTGCTGCATGTCTACCTTTCAGAGAACTCATTTCATAAATCTGAGGATATATAAATTGTTCTCTCGATATTTTCCTCCATCACAACAACTAAAGAATGTCTCGAAGAAAAGAGACGCGCAAACAGAAGATTAACGAGGAAAAATTGAATTTTATTTTTGGGCATAAAGCGAGATGGAAAAGAGACGAAAGAAGCAATAAGATAAAAATGAAATTTCGTGAAGACAAGAATTTGGTGAACGACTTCTTTTTACTTCAAATAATGAAACATATTACTTAAGATGTAATATAGAATTCGTTTTAACTTTTTCTTATTGTTCTTCTTCCGCTTTTCAATTTTGCAACATGATAAACTTCTTCTTGGCGCTGTAGAAATGTTATAAAATTAAAATCGTTTCAACAGATTTCAAGACATATCTCCACATCATCTTTTTTTATATTCTTAAAGTTGAATTTGTTTGAAATTTATGACGAAAGAAAAGATGCCAACAACATTTGAGATGATCTGATGAATGCAAGTTTGAGTTTGAAATGATTGAACTGTTGAAGATTAAAGATTTATGCTGCAATAGCTCAACAGATTTTTTTTATTAGATATGCTGAGTGTATTTGAAATGAGAAATTATTAAGATTATTGGGTGAGTCAAGGGCTCAGTATTTTCTCATAAAGAAGAAGAATAAGAAGAAAGAATCGTTCACCATCTTGTTTCATTTCTTCGTTTACCTCGTTTTCTCTCTCTCGACATTGCTTCAATGTTGATTTAATAAATTTTATTGTTTTTCTTTAAACTTGAAGTTTATCGATTCCGTTCGCGCCGCGTCCCTTTTTCCCCTTCATTCGTCGTGCACAAACAATTTTTCTCTCCCTTTCTCTTCTTTTCATTTACGGTTTAGTCAAAATGTATGTACAAAGCAACAATAACAACAAGACATCCACATTGAATGTGAATGGTAAATTACGAGCATAAAAGAAGTTTGAGAATTAAAAAAAAAAGAATGAGCACTGACCAAACGGCAGCAAAGCACTTCGCAAAAAGGAAAGAATAAAAATTTGCTTTCGTTATAAAGGGCAATGGCCTGACGCGCACTCTTCACGTTTGTCTCCAAACAACAACGACCGCAACGCGAAAACGTTTCCATAATTGATGTGCTATAAAAAGTTGTTCACCTTATCTAAGGAAAAAAGCTAAAAGGCCATTAGCGTGAATTCTGATTTTATTTCTTACTTAACCGACTCATGATTCATTTTTGCGATAATCACGTTTTTCATGACTTGGGAATAGTCCGACAATTGATGTTACAAAGGTGGCAGGAAGAGTTTTATTTTTTCACGCTGATATTTCGACAGTTTCTGTTTAAATAAACGATTGGTATTCGCGACAAATTCTTATGAATTGTATAAGTTGAGTTAAGAATAGAAAATGCGATGAAAAAACAAAAAGTTTCTTTCAGTTTTAAATGACTTTTAATTATGGTAAAAAGACGACAATGTGCGATACGAAAATAATTTCATATTTAACTTAGTGACTTAGTTGAAGCTATTTTTACACCCAATTTACATACGAAACACGTCGATTGACACTTGAAGAAAATACAATTAACTTTATTAAAATTATTTTCGTCATCTTTGCGCATCTTGACAAGCACGAAAAGTATTTACGTCTTGCTGATTGTACTCGTTGTTTTCAATACAATCAAGAAATAAAAAACTTTCTTCATACATAAACTCGTTAAACGCGACAAAATTATGAGTGTTTTGCTCAAAGAAATATGAAAGAAGAAGTCAAATTTCCTCCGATAAATTCATGAGAAACAACAACAACAGCGGAGAACATGTACAATAATGATATTTGTTGGCATTAAGGCAAAAGGTAAAAGCCGAAAGGGGGGAAGAACGAAAAAGAAAACATAACAGCATTTAACAGCCACGCTGTTTCTCATTTTCATACCGAAAGTACGATTTACAATTTCTGTTTTCTTCTCATTTCAAATAGATTTCAATGTGGCTATGAATTAAATCAGTAGAGAAGTAGAAAAAAAACATCAGTGGAAGCAAACGAAAATAATTCTTCAAATTTTTCATGTTATTTTTTGTGTTTCTTCTTCTTGTCTTTAACAAGTTTTTATATCTTTTTCCTTCACTTCTCATTTCTTGACATGACTTTTTTTGTTTGATAAATCATTTGAAATGAATAGACTACATGTGCACATAGTTTTTTTTTCTGTGTACGTATTATTAATAGCTAAAGGTTATGAGCCTTGGTTATGCTTCACATATCTGTAAAATTCATTTATATGTACTTGACTTGCGTCGTAAGTTTCGTTCTCTTTGAAACTTCCAGTTAAACTTCTTTTGTTTTTACTCTCTTATGACAAATTATTAGGCATGAGGGGGCCAAAGCATTTTGATTAGGTTTCTATGTTGTTATGCTTCCAGCAACACAAATTAAAATTAATAGCGTGATAAGGGGCGGAGAAGTGATAAATGAAGTTGAATTAATTTTGAAACACAAGAAATTTTTGAAATATGTTAATGTAACGGAGTCGTTTTCCATAAGATTTTCTATTTTGTAATAATCACGTGAACAGAAGCCGTCAGTAACTTATCTTGAAAAATCACTAATGCCTTTAAAAATATTATGAATATTTCACGAGTATAGTTAAATTGTCAGTTTTTAGTTTTTACAGCTCGATTATGTATACAAGGGCAACATCCACACTTGCAGACAACTCATCATACAAAGTCAATCTAAAAGTTTTCTTTTTCCAATTCAATTTGGTTACCTTTCGTTTTTTTCCATCCACTTTTAAGAGAAAGCTTCATCTAATCTGGCTTCAATCAACTTTTTTTTCTATAAAATTAATGCTTTCACGAAAAGATTTCTCAAAGAAGAATTAAATTTAGTTTCCATCAAAATAACATCTTTAACTTCAAAACGAGTCGACACTTTCGTTTTGTTTATAAATAACTTGTCACATCAAAGCATTTCCCAAAATGTGATGACAAGCATTGCAGCAGACCATGTCTATCTGTAGCTTTATCTTTAGATTACAAGCAATTGATTAGTATTTTGATAAGAATTCCAAGACAACAACATCTATGATGTGATTTTAACATGAAAATTATTTCTATAAATTTTCGTCAGAAAAGGAAAAATCTTTAAGAACTCGTGAAGAAACTTGTCTTCATAACTCAAAATATAATAAAAACAGAATAAATCAACAAAAACATCTGGCAACTCTACAAGACTTATCGCTTTGTAGATGAGTCGTGCTCATGCTTCAAATGAACGTCAAAATTCTTTTTCCTTTGAACATTCATTTGCTATATTGTCGATTTTCCATTCACTCATACACACACGTCAACCGTCAAGATCATCTCATCGTTTAAAAGAAGATGCGTGAAGAAATTGAAAATCAAAAAATTAAAATCAAACGAAAAAAGATTAAATGAAAATCGAAGCATCATAAAATTCTGATATTTTTAGCCAAACGAGAAAGAGAGAGAAAAATGTCTAATTTTGGACAGGTAGAATAAGAAGAACTAGTAAATGAACAGAAAAAAAAAAAGAAACTGGAAATTCGTGTACATGACTTTTCGTGCCTCGGCTATTATGTTCCGTCATGATTTGAATATTCAGTTTCTTATTTAGTTATTTATTTTTTTATCCTCCTTTTTCTTACTCGTCTCTTTGAAGTTGAGTCTAGCCACAAGCGACCAACAAAACGAAAACAAACACAACACTTCATAACGTTTTAATATCCACTTAACACCGGTTAATTACATCACAACTTTTCCTATTCTTCATTTTTTAATCGGTTTGACTTTTGTGAAGCAAAACGTCTTCAATTTGTCGATGTGGTGTTATTATCTGACTTCAGTAGTTGAATGTATTCAACTCTTTTATGACAGCTTGGTCTTGATTACAACGACAATTATCGATTATCTGCCAACTAGTTTTAATCTTTCCCTCGTTTCACATTCATTCGCAAACTAGCTACTCAACATTCTTCTAATATTTTCTTTCATGTGACGTTTTGCCTTGAACATTATTTGATTTTTTATCTGTCTTCCCTTCATTTATTCTATTTGTCAGCTTTAAATTCAATTGATAAATAATGAGATGACTGAATACGATTTTCAAACCATCATTTGGGGCGTAAAAAATAAATAAATACAATTTCATTGACTTACGTTCATTTCGCTTACTAAATCTCTGACATTGCTTGTTATCGAAACATTAAATTCTAAAAACAAAATTGCTATTTACTGATCACTGCTCGACGCAACGATGATGTTTTCCAAGAATGGACTTTGCATGTTTAATAAGTCATCGTTTTGAATCGCATCGATTTATGAATATTTCTTTTTTCTTCTTTCTCTTCGTTCACAGAAGAATGCATAAAGATTCATTGTCAATAAAAAAAAAAAATAACACAGCCATTTATGAAAATTCTTCATTGCCATTCAATAGAGAAAAAAAAATCTCAATCTGTAAAATTCAATTTTGAAACTCAGACAGAAGCAATAATAATATCCAGAAACCGGGTTTTGAGGAGCGAGATGAATAAAACGAGAAATATTCGTAGGTGTTTGATTCCATTGTAAAGTTTTGTGTCTGCGGAATGACATTGAAGTGAGACAGAACGAATATCAAGCATGCGAACGATGAGCGAGATGGCAATGCAGATGTAAATGTGACTCGGAAACCAGTTTTTAAGAGACCTCGAGCCAAATTAACGCAAGAAGAGAACTGAAAGCAGCAAAAGCCTATAAAATAACAGCACAAATAAAAAGCAAAGTCGATGTGTACACACAGGAAATAGTCAACACATTTGCTCAAAGATGAGATGATGACGAAGAAGAAGAAGGAAAAAAGTCAAAGAGAGTAATAAAAATCATTGGAAACATCTGCCTCATATACAGAATGCACAACATCACATACATTTATGCAGCGGCTGTTATTGCATCAAAGTATGTTTGATTAATAAGCAAGCAAATAAAAATTCATTATCACTATGATGATTGTGCAACATTACTTAACGTGTATGAATATTAACGAGATTATTATTAAGGTGCACAGTTGAAGGTTGATTTGTATTATGATTAATTTTTTCTTTTATATCGCGATTTTGCTGTCCCATTAAGGTGAATATAATTTGCTTTATTCATCTTTCCTTTATCCGTTCTTCGAAGCTCATATTCCATTCTTAATTTTTACCGGACTCCAACACAGATTGTAGCAAAAACAAGAAATGCTTCATGAAATAATAAAAAGAAGTTGATCATCGCATCATTTGAAGAGATTCATGAACTTTATAATGAATAATAATGTCATCAAAAAGATCCAAACGCACACCAGGAGAAGCAAAATGATGTCGGAATTGCTTCTGATGATTCCATAATCAGACTTTTATGAGTAAAGAAGAAGAAAAAAAAACTCGATGATAAATAATTTTTTAAAAAGCGCGTCAGTAAGCGGAGGAATAAAAATGTGTGATAAGTAGTGCTCACGTCAAGGTCAAATGGGTCTAGAATGTGATGATCGTACATACTTACACATAAATTTCGATATTTTTTATTTGAAATCATGTGAAAATCGTACAAAGATATTCTAGAAAGAAATTTCGTTTATTTCATAAGTCAACGCGCGCATATTTGCGAAATAAATATGAAAAAAAACCGCCACGTTTCGTGTACGAATATCAAAAGCAAGAAAGAAGGTTACACCATTCGAGCAAATGATTTTTCATTAACACATCTCACAATTTATACTCAACTTCGATGAGCAATCACACATACATCGTTATAATGTTTTTATTTAAAAAAAGTATAAAGTGCCGACAGTTGTAGATTGTTGGGGGAGCAACAACAAAATATAAAATGTCTGAAATTTCCACGAATTTCATGCAATGTAATTCAATAACAATAAAATAATGGGGCGAAAAATTGAAGCCTAAATTGTAACGTGATTATGTGTCAGGCGCACATCGACCGGAGATATTGAAGTCGAGCGAGACGAAAAACAAGGGAACACATAAAAAATTTGAATTAAATATTATTTTTGTCATTTCATGAAATTATCTTCTTAATGGCGTTGTTCGTTTTGGAATTGCGAAATTGAAGATTTAAAAGAGTCAATGTAAGATTTTTATAGATAACAGTTAACTTTACTTTATCGCAGATCACATTCATCATTGAAGCATGTATTTTATTTTCCCTTTATCTTCTTTTTCCAGGTCTACAGCACAGGAATAAACCTTATGTGCACACAGCTATTGATAAGATGAATTTTGAACTCATACAACGAACTCTTCGCACATATTTTTTTCTCACTTTAAGAAGCTTTTTTAAACGCAATACGACAGTTTCATAATTGTTATCATACGATTCAATTGTCTTATGATGATATTTATTTTTAAAAAATGTTGTAGGCTTAATTCCACTTATTTTTATGTGACATTCGGCAAGTCAAAAACAAATACACCAACACATAGACAGAATTGTATGTTCGCCTTTCAAATAGAAGTTCTCGACCGTAATCGCCCTTCACCGCCTTATCAGCACTTTTTTCCTTATAAATACATTCATTACATAGAAACAAACAACAACAATCGGAGCACAAATTTCACGATGAAGAAAACTGATGATTATTCACTTTTATTATTTTTCTTTTGCGGGTTTGATATTCGGGAAAAAGATTGCAGCTTATCAGTAATTTTTTTTCTAGTTTTATTTTTATTTCTTTTTTTGTTGTTGTTGCGCTCTATCAGCACGTTTCTTGTTTCATTTTTTTTACTTCACTCATCAACGTGAATTTGTATGTTTCTTTTATTAAATAAGTTTCATTCCCCCAATTAAATAACTGCTGATAATGAGCGATTGAATCGTGTTTCACCTTTACTTTTCGTACACAATGTGGTTATTAAATTTTTATATGATTGTGTCATCATCGTTTAACACAATTGGTTTATTTGGTCATCAAAAATTTTTTTTCCGATATGTTACTAGAGATTCCAGACAATTTTTTATTCTTCTTTTCACAAGTTACAGTAATCGGCTGACATGAAAAATTTGCTTCTAAAAACGCCTAAATTTATTTTTTATTTCGCATTGATATCGATAACATTCGTGGCCGACATTTCGATTGATACTTTTCATTTTTGTTTCATATCCGCAGCGCTATTTTTTATTTTTCTCTTCATAATGTGACACCAAGTAAAAATAACATGGAACGAAAGACGGTAAAACCGAAGGTGGAAAGAAAAAAAAATGAAAAACATGTTGTGTATGCTCAAGAAATTTATAATAATGAAAGGAGAGAAGAAAGAAAAAAAATGACAAAAGAAATACGGCTTTAAAGGCAGCAAAAGCAATAATAAAAGCAGCAAAAAAGTTCCTTCATTTTTACTCGATTTCGATTTCTTGTGTTGTGTTTTTTTTGTTTTTGCTTTAATGGCTTTAAAAAAAACATATTGAGATGAAAATGAAGTAGATGTTGATGCATGAGAATATCTCATGGTGGTTCTGTAGTGTTTTTTTTCTTCAAGCGTTTAAATTCAACTGTCTTGTGTCGTCTCGTTAAAGGCTATACACAACACCGGACAACAACAAAAAGCAGTAAATGAAGAAAAAAAGATCGGGTACGAATTATGGAATGGAAGAAAAAAGTTTCGAGCAATAAACGCGCGCGGAATGACCGGTTTTTCGCCGATGCCTTACATGTATCTTTCATGATTTTGTTGTTGCGATCATTTCTACATGATTGTTTTATTTTTCTTTATTCCAAATCCCGACTCCGAATCTCTACACATCCCAGACACATGGAGATGATGGAAAAAGGAAAATGTGTGCGAGAAGAATGAAGCAAAAGGCATTTCATGTTTGGTTATGTGTCCAATTAAATGTGCGGCATTTTTTTCTCTTACCGCTTACGATACTACTTAAGAAATTGAATCATCATAAAACTGATTTATCACTCGCATCATCAACGTTCAAACCCGTGTTCAAGTTTATATGTTAAATTGTCGAAATGCTACTCACCCAAAAATTATAAATATCTTTTGAAATATTGAAGAAATAATATCCAATTTTAGATTATGCCGCACACAATTGAACTTTTTCTTTTTTCTTTCTTATTTTTCCTTCCTTAATCCACACGGCTTGGCGCTGACTCGATTCGACGGCTGTTATAAGAAATTCAATTGAAATTACTTTCAAATAACACTATTGATTGGAAGAAAATCACTTTAACTGTAGCGATTCGATTGTATGTGTGACTTTTTTACCTTTTTTTGAACTTGTGAAGTAATCCAAAAATATGCGAAATTATTTTTTTATATTTTTTCCTCTTTTCGTGAATTTGAATTTCACCTTTTGTTTTAATTTTCACTTTTTGATGAAATTAAAGCTTAAAAGCTGAATATTTCAATTTTTTTTATTACAAAATAATGCTATAAGCATTTGAAGATAGATTAGAGCCGAGCACGAGTTGTTTTCGGTAGATTTAAAGCCAACTTATGAACTGAAAGAGAACTGACGCTTGAGAAGGCAAATCTCAAAATGGTCTGCAAGCATAAACTAAGTTAAACTAGAATGCTCACATTAAAACTTTCCATTTTCACTCAATATCAGTTAAATTTTAATTTCACGCTATAACATGGATGAGAATATGTTTTTTAATGGAGTCCAATGATTCAATATTACAATTTTAAGTTAAATTAACGTAGTTATTTAAAGAAATCTAAAGTTTGATTGATGTTCTAGTTTTGATTTCTATGAACGCCTGTGTTCTTCATGTTTAAGGTTGCGCTTTTCCGAGTTTCTACGAATGATAGGTTGTGTCAATGTATTGGAAATTACTACCGAGTAATTTTTTTTAAAAAGCTGCTTTTCTTGAAAAGCGTAAAAATAAGGTTTCTAGGCAAAGTAAATATTAAATTTGCTAGCAAAATGACAGAAATTAAAAGCATAGAACATCCAACACTAAAGGTCAGTAAAGTTTAATAATTTTAGGTACGTTTTAATAAGTAAAATATTTACCAATAAAATTCCTTTGTTCTTTTCTTTTTCGTTTCTTCGTTCTAGGTTCCATATGAAATTTTGAACAAAAAGTTTCGCATAACACAAAAGACTTTAGATCGTGAGTTAAATGCCATATTACAGAACGCAGCTAGTGAACTAGAGAAGGGATTGGAGAATACTCAAAGTCCTCCGATTGTTGGAAACATTGGTGAGATGATAAGGCAAAAGGTTCAAGTTATCTCAAACTAATCGATAATGAATCCATTATCAAATAATTTTGATTTTAGCAAAACTTATTGATGGAGTTGTTGAAAAATTACATATTCTCAAAAGGAAAGCAGAAGAGTCAATCAGTGAAGAGTTATCAGCTGGTTATGTCTGCAAACGTCGGATTGAACATCTCCGACAAAATGTTAAACCTGTAAGTTTACAGAGAGATGTTCCAGAAGAAGATCCTGAAGAATCACAAATTACACTTGCTGCGGAAAATCAGTGGAAAAAGATTCGCTTAAATCGTCTGATTGTCGAACATTTCCTTCGTCTTGGATATTACGATACTGCTGAAATTCTAGCGAATCGATGTGGAATCCGCGAAATAACCAATATTGACATTTTCCATATAACCAGAGAAGTCGAAAAAGATTTGAGCCAACATAACACAATGAAATGTATCATGTGGTGTATTGATAACAAAAGCAAATTACGGAAAATTAACTCTGATATAGAATTTAAGCTTCGACAGCAAGAATTCATAGAACTGATTCGAAATGATCAGCGAATGACTGCAGTGAAACATGCTCAGAAATATTTTCCAGCATTTGAACAAGACCAATTGAATGAAATCAAGAAATGCATGGCATTGCTGGCATTCCCAATCGATACTGAATTGGAGCCATATAAATCAATGTTGGATATCAAACGATGGGATGATTTGCTTGTAAACTTTCGCCTAGAAAATTATCGATTGTTTCAAATTCCTACACAATCTGTGTTGAGTGTTGCAGTACAGACAGGATTGTCAGCATTAAAGACGCCACAATGCTATTCAAAGAATTCAAAGAATAGCAGTTGTCCAGTTTGTCAACCTCAAATCAGTGAGATTGCTGAACCATTGCCATTCTCGCATTGCGCACAAAGTCGATTAATTTGTCGAGTCACCAAGAAACCATTGAATGAGAATAATCAACCTATGGTTTTACCAAATGGATATGTTGTGGGGGAGTTGGTAAGTATTTCTTTTTTAATGTAATGATTGATGGATGCATTTAATGAATCTTTCTAGGCTTTATCGGAAATAACCAAAGACAATGGAACAGTCGTTTGTCCCTTTACAAACGAAGTTTGGAAGGATCCTAAAATTGACAAAGTTTTCGTGATGTAAAATGGTTTTGAATATTTTTTTAATAGAAATTTGAATTTTTTGTGCACGAGAAATCAGAATATTGACACTTTGACTATTTTACTCAGAAAAATAAAATATTAAAAATTTAACGGATTTTTGAATTTTGAATTATCTTTGAACTTGATCTTACTTTAAGATCAAAACAAAAATTTGTAAACAATATTCGCTTACCGAATTATTTTATAATAATAAATCAAATATTTTAATAGTTTCTTCGTTGTGCGGCAAGAAAGTAAAACATCATGAGTTTTCTTAAAGATCCAGAAGCTCAAGCAGCAGAAAATTTACTTCGATCCTATGGTAAATTTCTTCGTAATTACAATGAAAATCTACGACAACGATTATCAACATTGAAACCATCAGAAAAACAAAATAAAGTTTTTAATTTAACATTTGGTGGACATTCAGAGAATATATCAATTTTTGAGCTTCTTGAATCTGAAAATAAAATTCTAAGCAAGATTCTACTAGTGTTCTTTCATTTAGGAAGTGAAGCAAAAAGATTAAATGAGAAATCAAAGATAATAATTAAAAAATTAATCTTGATAGAAGATGAAATAACATCGAACAACAATAGTGATTTGACACCGGAAGAAGCTACGAACAATGTAATTGTGAAATTCAGTTATGCTTTAGAAGATCTTCTCAATATGAAGTTTCTAATACAAAACAGTATCTTCTTATCAGTAAATGTGATTCATCAATTTAGTGCCTTATTTTCAATGGAAAAATACTTTTGTATTACAACGTCATCTTGTTTCCCATCAAATTTGGATGACATTGGGATGCTGATGAAGAATTTAATAGTATTGGATGAATTGTTTAGAAGTTCTGAGTACTCCGTTTATCTCAATCATTACGGTGTATTCATTTCAGAACAAGAAGAAACAATTGATGGAGATATTTTGAGAAATTTACAAAACACTTTACATGAGTTAAGTTTATTGCTGGAAGGGAATATTTTCCGAATTGCCATTGATAATCTAATCGCATTGAAGGGAAAAATCAAACCAAAATCACAGAAGAAACTTGAAAGTTTCATGCTTGTTTATATAAAAAATCTTATAAATGCTATAAACATGTATGAGTCTGACATCTCAGAACTCACAGAAGTCGATGAAATTATAAAACTCAACGTCTTCCTCGTGATTTATCAGAATTTGTTCAACAATTGTGATCCAAAAACTTTTCGATTAGCATTAGAAATAAATGCAAAGTTTTGTGCAATTCCGATTTATAACATTATTTGGAATGGAAAAGAATTCATTAAGAAATATATTCCAAATTACAAATTTACGATGGACATTCCAAAAACACAACAAAATTACATGAGTCAGAAGGTTCAAACATTAAGTAAAGAAGCTACATTTATGTACGCGTCTCAGGTAATATTTAAACATAAAAAATAATCCTTTTTAAAGATTATAATAAAACATTTTACAGATTTCCCTTTGGATTATTCATATGCAAAAAGAGTCACAGATTGGCAACGCAGATATCAACGAAAAAACATTACAACATCGCTGTGAGTTGTTTTATCAAGGTCTTGTAGTTGCTGGTCAAATCAGTTTTGTCATCAAAACTGTAATTAATCTACACATGAAATTTGCTATTACAATGCCAAAACATTTAGTTCCTATCATCTACAAGCTCATCGAGTATTTGAAAATCATAAAAAATACTTTTAATCTACATTCGTTTTTCATTGCTGAGTCTATTGGATTTGTTTTTCAATTTCTACAATTTCATGCTTTGAATGTGATTGGAGCATGTAAGAAAAAAGTGATGACAGAAGCAAAGAAAGAAAAGAAATTTGATTTGTCGTCATCGTTGGTTTTGGTAGAAAAACTTCTTTATGGAACTGTGTCAGTTGATCGTTTGAATGCAATTTCAATGACGTTGAATTTAACAGAGCCGGTGAAAAGTTTTGGAAATGAATACCTTGGACGATTGTTGAAGTTATTGGATCATATGATGATTCTTGCACAGATGAAAACAAATCTTGAGACACTTTGTGAACCTTCATTCTTATTCTGGCATCAAAATCTTTTATCAGCATATTTTAAGCAATTACTTGATCAATCTTTAAATCAGAAGAAAGTGAGTTTTATTCTTCAATTATCAAATGAATGTTTGGACGATGTTAAAGACATTCAACTTGAAAACGTTCAAAGTTTTCATTCATTCGTTCGAAAAGAATTCGAGGATAAAATAATTCAGAAACTTTGCAATGAAATTGAAATTAATTTGCGATTAGATTTCCATTCAAATCTTCAAATTGATAAATTCAATCCGTTTGACACGAATAACAATATAACAATTGAAGATCGAAGATCTTTAGTTAATCTTAGACCTATTCTTATCAAACATGATTACATTTCAATACGTGACCATGTTGAACATTATCTTAGTAAAATGTTTTACAATCTCACAACGATTTCTTTGAAAGACTGGAAGACTTATGGAGAAATGCGTTTCCTGGCTGAAAGAAAATATTCACTTGAAACAATAAATGATCACTTACCAACTCAAACGCTTGATCATGGTCTTGATGTTCTGGAGATTATGAAAAACATTCACATTTTTGTGAATTGTTATAACTATAATTTGAATAACCAAGTATTTGTGGAACAAAGTAGTAAGAATCAGCATCTGAATACTGTTAATATAAAAAATATTGCAAATTCCCTTCGAACTCATGGCTTTGGAATTGTCAATACAGCTGTGAATTACGTTTATCAATTTCTACGTAAAAAATTCTTCACATTTTCTCAATTCATCTTTGATGATCGAATCAAGTCAAGATTAGCAAAGGATTTGAAGAGTCATCGTGAAAGTTGCATGGAAGATGGTCAGAAGTATAATTACGATCGTGCAAATTCATTTAATCGTGACATTAAAAAGCTTGGATTAACTGATACTGGTGAAAGCCTTCTTGATCAATTTCGAAAGCTTATCACTCAAATAGGCAACAGCATGGGATACATAAGAATGATTCGAAGTGGGATGAATCATGTTGGTGCCCAAGCAAGTGTTTGCCTACCAAATCTTGACGAAGAAATGGAGTTTGTAGCTTTATGCAAGGAAGATGAACTTTCAGCAACAGCGATCAAAGCAGCGGAACATTTAGAGGAAGATATTCAACAATTGTCGAAAAGTTACGAAGAAGGAATGCTTTTCTTTAAAGTAAAATCTTATCTTTGTTTCTATTAAAACTTTAATTATTTTAATTCTTTTTATTCTCTTTACCAGCTTCTCGTCAAAACTTTCACTCCATTTTTTAAGAATCCAAAGAATGACCACTTGAAGAACTTCTTCATTATCGTTCCAGCTTTAACAATCAACTACATTGAACACATTTTAATGGCAAAAGACAAACTCAATAAGAAGAATAAAGAAGGCGCATTATTCACAGATGATGGTTTTCCAATGGGTTTGATTTATATTCTCAAACTTCTCGATCAAATCACTGATTTTAATGCTTTGAATTGGTATCAATCGGTTGTTGCGAAAATTGCAATGAAAAGATCTAAAATTATGCAACAAAAATCGAAGGTTAGCGACAGCGACGAGAAACTTTTACAAACTTTACTGCTGAGTGAAAAACAATTAAATGCTTTCAAGATGGAATTTGAACTTTTGTTTTATAATATTAGCAGTGCTAAAATCTTTTTCCAAAATTAATGTTTAAAGCCATCAAATTTTATTTATCGAAAGGAAAATGTAATAAAATATTAAATATCGTGAAATCCGATTCAATTTCTTTTATTAATTTATCTCGTCAGAATTTTGTTTTGATTTTCATTCAACAAACAAACCTTGACTTGCAAGGAAAGAAATCAACATCAATACTGAAAAGCAGTTTTTCATTTGAATAAAATAAAACATAAATTATAGAATTTCACTATCATTCAGTTTATTCTTTTAAAAATAAAATATCATCAAATAATACTTAAAATTACAACAACAACATTAAGCTACTCATCTTCCAACGTAATTAAAA